TTTCCTTTTTTTTTATTGACTGAAATTTTGATTTTCTAAATCAATGTCTCATTTATAATAAATCAATTTTAAAATCTTCACATTTTTTTTTTTAATTTCTTTAATAAATTCTTAAATTTTTTCATCATACTATCTTTAGTTCTCAATTAATTAAGTTCTATTAATATAGATTTACTAACAGATTTATTGCAGAAGTTTCATATATTTACATGTTTCAAATGGCTTCGAAAATTCACTAAATTTTAATAATAAAACTAATAAAATAAATAATTACCTGTAAAAATTTTATTAAATTTTGTTTTAGTTTAGAAAGACGTTGAGCCCAATTATATTTATTGCAGATTTCAAGCTGCTATTATTTATCTAATTTAAGTTATATATTCAAGGATCTTTAAGCTCATAAATAATAAGGAAATAAATTGACTACAAAAACAAATTATTTATCTTTAATGATTTGATAAGATTCTATCCTTAAGTAATAAATATAATTATAAACTGACTTTAATACAGTTTTAATATAAGGATGTTTTACGATATTGATTCTATAATGAAATAGGAAATATCAAATGTAGGCTTTTAATATATGTCACCAAGCAGGACTAAATGGTGATTCTTCAAGTACATAATTCATCGAAGTTATTCCTGGTGAACCCATCATTCTAGCTATTTCCATTTCATGGTTTAGCAACATAACATCCATGGGTGCTATATCATATAATGGCTTAGTTAATTGCATAAATAATGAATATTCTTATAGTTCTGGGCTATATTCATTGTTCATTTATATTTATTCATCGTTTTACTCTAGTCTTAATTATGGCCAACCATACCAAATTTGTTTTTGCCTCTAAGAGATGTTTGAGCTTAGCTACCTATTATTGTTAGAATCAAAATCAAGATGACCAACTTCATGGTAATTTAATTAATAACTAATTTAAATCCGTTTTTTTTATACAATATTCATTTCCATTATTCTAGCTTTATTTGAACAATTAATAAATTCTCTTTTATAAATAATATTTATTTTAAATGCTGTAGTTACTTTCCTTATTTTTGACAATTGCATACACTCATAAATCTTTATTAGATATATTTGTGTAGATTTATTCTCAAATAGAATACTAAAATTAATGAAAAAATTAATTTTTATCTCTATATGTCTTAATACGAAATAAATACTCTTAGATATCATTAAATATTATAAAGAATTTATATAGAAATTAAAAATAAATTGATTTAATAAATGGTTCAAATTCAAAGAATTTTTTTATCATTTATAGAAGATTTTAAAACAATTTCATTTTTTTTTCAAACAATGCTTCAGTTAAATGCAGTGATTTATTAATTTCTTAAATAATAATCTTCTTAAATTTATAACTTGATATATGTGTTTGATTTTTTCGTATTTAAGTTTCTTTCAAATACTATATTAATTATAAGATTCTCTTTTATAAATCATCCTATTAAATGCCTAAATCAAATATGATTTGCTTTATTTTATTCTCTTCTCGATCATATAGCTATAAATTAAAATTTAAGTTCTTTAATTTATCTTGTAAAATGTTTTCTGATAGTTGATTTAAATTTTGAATTACTATCTCCATTCATTTTTTGATAATTATGACTCTTCTGAACTTATTATGATTATTCTATGTTAAGACTTTTTAATAAGTATAAATTTTAGAATTTAATCTAATAAAATTCTCTTAATCAAATCTAATCTATCAAATTTTAAAATATAAAAGATAAATTTAATTGAATTTAAATCAAAAAATCTGGAAAATTCTTTATCTGATTTTAAAAACAGTCTAGAGATTTAAAAAAAAAAATTTAGTATTACTTTTGATTATGATAAATTTCTCATACTGTCTTTAAATTTAATATGAATTAATTTCAATTTTCTTTAGTAAATTGTTTTTGATTTTTTATTTTTTCTAATAATATTATTGGTATTTCATTATCATCTGATTCTATTTATATAGAGTCACTAATATGATTTGTAATCTTAAAACTAATTTAAATATTTATAAAAAAAAAGTCTAAACCAAAATTGTTGATATAAACCTTATAAAAAGAGTTATTTTTATAAAACAACTTTTATTATTTAAAAAATGCTCGTTTAATAAATTAATTTCATATAAGCTTCTAGGCCAAATTATTCAGCCATAATTAAAGGATTGTATAAAAATTATTTAAAGATCTTTTAATGGGTTGTTGAGTTTGGAAATAATATAGAAGAGAAGTCAAATAATTATTTATGTGGAAAATTTGAAATTAAAGATCTTAAAATAGGTTTAATTTAGCTGGAGCTCTAAATCATTAATTATATGAGATTTTTTTAATGATGAAAGGTAGTTTTCCATTTGTTTTAATTAAGATAAAGTTAAAAATTGTTTATGTATTAATAGTAATAAAATTATGAATTTTTTGAATCAATCTTGTTATTACCCTGACTAGAAGTTTAGCGTAATATTTTGAAAGTTTAAAATTAAGTTATTGAATTTTTATTCTAAAGTTGAGAATTCTTGAACTTTTATTACTATAGTCTGTTATTCATATATAAATATTTTGAGAATGTTATCTTGATTCATATATAAATTTAAGTTCTTGTTAATTCTATTAAAATATAGTATTACAAACTGATAGAATTAAAAACTACTATAAAAACAAAATAGGAAAGAATAAGTTGAAATAGAATAGAGAATGATGAATTTTTTTAAAAAACTCTTCTAAAATGATAGTTAATAATCTATCCGATCTACTTCTTAATCAACATGGAACACAGAAGTAGAATCAATAAAAAACTCAACTCCATCTGTAGTTGTGATTGGAAACTAGGGAACTGGTAAGACAATTTTATTTAACAAATGTTGTAATAAAAATTGTAAGGTAGCAGCCGGAGGATCTTCTGTTACCAATGAAATATATATGACAGAAAGTGTATATGGAAAGGGATTCAAGATGCTTGATACTCCAGGATTGGAAGCATTATCAGATAAACTTAAGCATGTTGTTGCAATAGCAGTTGCTTTAAGTGAAGGACCTGTACATCAAATATTAATTACGATTAAATTTGATAGAATTGAACTTTTGATTAAATAATTAAAACCAATGATAAATTACCAATTTGGTAAGTTCAAAGATATAATAACTGTTGCTGTTACACATTGGGATTATGCTATTTAAGATATAGATAAAAATAATAATAAGTTAAAATAAGAAACATAATTATAGAGGAAATAAGAATTAGAAAATTTTATTAAATAACTTAATGTTCTTCTTTATTATTAATTAGTAAAGAAGATTCTGGTGAAAAGCTTTGTAATTAGATAGATGAAATAATAATTAAATAAAAACTAAGTTTAGGTAAATGGTGCATTATAAATGAAGCTGAAATGTCAACTTTTTTTGATTTAATTGATCTTTCGGATTATTGTGAAGTTGAATTAAGTAAAGCAAAAGAAGCAGTTATTCAAAAATTTAGGAAAATATACCCTAATAATTTAAAGTTTTATAGAAAGTTTAAATCCAAAAACTCCTAATTTAGTTGATATTATGCATAATTTGACATTATTTATTAAAGATGAAGCAAAATATACTATTGAATAATATGAAAAGGATAATCTTGCGTTAGTTGATGAATTATATAAATAATTGCCAGATAAAGATGCTACATTCATCATTCATGCCTAATTAAAATCTGCCTTGAACAATTAAGTAGAGGAAATAATGTCACAAGCATAAAGCAAAATGAAACTTGATGATAAGCACTTTTATAATTATATAAGAAAGTGCCCTAATTGTAAAACAATTTGGATGAAAGTTTAAGGATGTAATGGATTGACAACTTGTGGAAATTTTCCAGAAAATGATGAATTATTAATGCAACAGACACCATATAGAAAATATAAATTTTAAATTAACAATTAAAGTGTAAGTTTTGAGTTGTAAGGCTAAGAATTTAAAAATTAGAATAAGTAATATCATTTAGATGCATAATAAAAAAAATTGGCTGTGGAAAACAAATTACATGGTCAGAAATGCCAATTTTTGAAGATAATTAATTAAAGGATTTATATAATTCAGGAATTATAGATTACATCTTAAATGTAAAATATGAAAAACAAGTTCAGCAAAAAGTCTTGGAAAAANAGTGAAGGACCTGTACATCAAATATTAATTACGATTAAATTTGATAGAATTGAACTTTTGATTAAATAATTAAAACCAATGATAAATTACCAATTTGGTAAGTTCAAAGATATAATAACTGTTGCTGTTACACATTGGGATTATGCTATTTAAGATATAGATAAAAATAATAATAAGTTAAAATAAGAAACATAATTATAGAGGAAATAAGAATTAGAAAATTTTATTAAATAACTTAATGTTCTTCTTTATTATTAATTAGTAAAGAAGATTCTGGTGAAAAGCTTTGTAATTAGATAGATGAAATAATAATTAAATAAAAACTAAGTTTAGGTAAATGGTGCATTATAAATGAAGCTGAAATGTCAACTTTTTTTGATTTAATTGATCTTTCGGATTATTGTGAAGTTGAATTAAGTAAAGCAAAAGAAGCAGTTAATAATTTAAAGTTTTATAGAAAGTTTAAATCCAAAAACTCCTAATTTAGTTGATATTATGCATAATTTGACATTATTTATTAAAGATGAAGCAAAATATACTATTGAATAATATGAAAAGGATAATCTTGCGTTAGTTGATGAATTATATAAATAATTGCCAGATAAAGATGCTACATTCATCATTCATGCCTAATTAAAATCTGCCTTGAACAATTAAGTAGAGGAAATAATGTCACAAGCATAAAGCAAAATGAAACTTGATGATAAGCACTTTTATAATTATATAAGAAAGTGCCCTAATTGTAAAACAATTTGGATGAAAGTTTAAGGATGTAATGGATTGACAACTTGTGGAAATTTTCCAGAAAATGATGAATTATTAATGCAACAGACACCATATAGAAAATATAAATTTTAAATTAACAATTAAAGTGTAAGTTTTGAGTTGTAAGGCTAAGAATTTAAAAATTAGAATAAGTAATATCATTTAGATGCATAATAAAAAAAATTGGCTGTGGAAAACAAATTACATGGTCAGAAATGCCAATTTTTGAAGATAATTAATTAAAGGATTTATATAATTCAGGAATTATAGATTACATCTTAAATGTAAAATATGAAAAACAAGTTCAGCAAAAAGTCTTGGAAAAAAAAATATCTGAAAAAAAAAATAAACAAAAATTATTTAAGTTTGATTAATAAATTTTATTTAATCCTTAAATATTTAATCATTTGCTTTTAATAATAATTATTAGTCTTTCTTTAATTATATTAATAATAAATATAAAAATAATGATTAAACTATTTAATATATTATATTATTTAATTATAAAAAATTAGATAGAATTATCTTTTTTATAAACTACAATTAAATCAATTTTAAATTCCAAGTTTTTCTGTCAAAACTAAAATAATTATTATTAATACTTTTTCTTCTTAGTTTTGTAGGAACTTTTTTTTCCTATAATGTTTTTCTAAATCTTTAATCTAACTAATTTTTATCATTACTCACATCTAAATATAAAATTAATGATTCAAAAGTATTTTCATTTGATTATTGGAAAAATAGTTAATATTCTTTTAAAACTTTGGAAGACTCTAGATAATTAGATTTTGATTTATTTCTTAAAGGTGTTTCAACCACTATAGATTCTGCCTTTGGAGATTGACTCTATGCTTCTTAATCAACAATTTATTCTGCTTCAACAATCTATTTGATAATTTTTATATCAAGTTTTCCTTTTTATGATTTTACATTTGCTGCAACTTTATTAAATATAACACTTCCTTTAATAGAAATTCTATGTAATGCTTGTAAAAATTCATCATAATTCATTCCCGGAGGAATTCCATCAATTACTTCTTTGTCTCGTGTCAAATATCTAAAAAGTTAAAGAATATCATCTTTAGATACAATTTCAGGACATAGATTAAATCTATCTGTAAACCAGGCAAAAACCTTAAAACTAATTTATTCTCTAGAAGTTGGTTAACCAATTGGTAAGAAGGTTTCTTTAATTAAGAATTAAAATAGGGAATTCAATCCAAATTAATATTTTTCTATTATTTTCTGATATGATACAGACTAAAATTTATTTTCTATTTCTTTTTCTAAATTTTTTTATTCTTAAATTCTTGAATGATTCTAAGTTAATATTTTTGATCTTGCTTATTGTAATAATAATTATTATTTTTTCATTTAATCTTATTTTTCTTTATCTGACTATTATTATTTGTTTTAACCTTATGATATTATTTCTTTTAATTTTGTTATTTGCTTTTAATTAAATTCTTAAAAATTATGTTTCTTCATTTTAATTTCTTTTTCTTTTTTATCTTTCTCTTCTAATAATCTTCTCAATTGTTCTTCCTTTTCCTTATCATTTTTTTCTTTGATCTGTTATTATATATAATAATTACTTTTTATTTTTATTCTGTTAGATAACTAGTACGTTTATCTTATTACTCTTTTTTTAAATTATTTTCTGTTTTGTTTTTTTCTAATCTTTCTTTTTCTAATGATTCTTATAGTAGTTTTTGTTTTTCTTTTTCTTCTTTTAATTTATCTTTAATCTCTTTTTCTCTTTATTTTCTTAACTATTCTTTTTTCTACTCTTACTATTCTTATTCTATTTATTATTATTTTTTATCTTCTAAAACTCTATTAATAATTTAATTTTGTCTTGTTGCTTATTATTTATTATGTTCAATTGCAAATAACATATCATCAAGTAAGTTAGCAACACTTTCTGCAATAAATTTATCTTTTATATTGCATTTAGCAATAGCCAATTTCATATTTAATGACCATTCTCTTTTAGGCTCTATCTCAAGAACTTTTTTTTTTTGTAAACTTGTATTTACTTCCTTTGTTTTTTTAGGTTTAATTTTGAATTAATCATCTGTAGGTTCTTATTATAATTTAGATTGAATATATCCAAAAGCATCAGGTTTTGCTTTGAAAACAATTACTTTTTTGGAAATTGGTTCAATAATATTAATTCTAGATAATAAAAATTAAATTTATACCCTAAAGCATCTTTCAACAAATCATTCAATATTTGATACGGTATTTTGACATTGTCTTCGAGTAATGGGATTTCATAAAAAATTTGAATTTCAAATGTAGTGACTTTCTTATACCCTTAGGGTAATTCATAATTAGGATCAATAAGCAATTATTAATTGAATTCTTTAATGATCTAAATTTATTATAAAAGATATACATCATTTTCCATAAAATATTGAGATTCTGGATCATCAAATAAACCTGTACTTTATCCTTTAGATGCTGTAACATTTCTTAAATGAGTTATAAATTTAATTAAGCATTAATAAGGTTATATATCTGCTAATTTATTTTTAGATAGCACTATTGCCAATTAAAATACAAATTAATTAAAACCTACTTAATCAAATTCTTTAAATTCTGTTTTACTATGCAGAATTTGAGTTCCTACTTACCTTGCTAAAGCTTACACATTTTCAATTGATAATGCAATTTCATAATCATGAACAAATTTACTTATTTCTGCAATATTAATGCTTTCTGTCCTTTAAAGATATTAATCAAAAGAATTCGGTTATTTCATACCTTAAATACATGTATTTGCATATTTTGTGAAAATATATCTTAGAACTTTACTATATTTTCTAAGAATCTATTCAACCATTAATTTTTCAATTTCTTCCTCTAAATTAAGATCCAATAAATCAAATGTAATTAAACCATGTTTTTTTTCTTTTGCTAATTCAGTTTATCTGCTACCATCTGGAAATAACAATTATACAACCATATCCTTTTGATTCAAAGAGGCAATTCCTTATTCAATTTATCTCTTTTCTAATTGCTTTCTCAATTTCTCTTTTTTCTATTTTAATTATTCATCTTAAACAATTTTTGATGTTTCTTTTTCCTATTATTTATCTTAAAACTATTTTTTTATAGTCGATATATCATTCATTACTTTTGGATCAGTTTCTTTTGGCATTCTCAATCTTGCTAAATGATATTGTTCTTCCTTTGTTAATTTAATTTTAGAGAATTTTTTTAAATTTCCTTAAACTTATTATACTTCTTTAACAGATGATTCTGAATATGCTTATCTATTAGTTTAAGCTTCTTAATATTCTAATTCTACTAATTACATAATTTCATTTATATCACCTAATAATGAAAGAAGCACTTATAATCCTTTATTTTATTTTGATAACATTTTAAATTATAAATTAGTATGACCAGCCATCATTTTTATTACTTAATTAATATTTTCGTTTTAAATTTGTACTAAACTTTTTAACACTTCAATTATTTAAGCTTTTCTTTATTAATCTACAATTTATTAATTTGGTTTTTTTTTGTCTGATTTCTTATGTACTGAAAAGTAAACAGCAAGACTTATCTTAACAAATTTTTGTACAAATTCTTAAGTACTAGGTGTTTTTTAAGTATTAGTAACCATTTATAGAAATATTTAAGATGCAATTCTATAATGTAAAGTATCATAAATAGCTATTTTTGATAATAGATCCATTAATTGAATTTAAGATTTAGTTGTTAAATTTGGATTATTGGCAACATTTGTAAAAAAATTAAATACAACCAAACTAGGATATGTCTTTTCTTATAAATTTACAATAAATGGATCAAGAACTATTGATAAAGGAATAGATGGTAGAGTTTAAAATACTATTAATAGATTTTATAGTATGAAATGTACTAAATTATCATTAGTTAATTCTACAAGTTGAATGGCAATACTATATATAAAATAAACTTTACATTTTATATATAATAGGAGCTTCTGGAATTTTATTTTTTCCAAAGAATTCTAAAGCAGAAAATAAAAATTAAATTGAGAATAAAGCTACACATTCTCTCGAATCTAATGAAGCTGCTTTAAAAGCATTATGAACTCTTTCTTAGTGTTATTAATATTAATTTTTAAGCCATATATTATGAATTAGTCTTAAAATACAAATTTTTTCATCTGATTTTAAAGTATTTGTACTTTCAAGAATCTCTAAACCTTATTCTAACCATTATTACATTATTCCCATAGATTAAATTTCTAAAATGTATTCAGGAGTGAGTGAATTAAAGAGCTTTTCTACATTAATAAGCATCTCTATATTATTTGCACTATGTTATTTTAGAATCGAAGTAAATAGATCAACTAAATGATATTTACAAAATAAAATCATTAAATCAACTAAAGAATCTACTAATTATGGATGTCTTTTTATTGATAAAAGTGTTGTTTAAAAACATTATTCAACATACCATTAATAAATATCCTCTTAATAAGAAATTTTATTATTATATGCATAGATAACAAAATTTCCAAGAGTTTTTATTGTTTCTATGCACACTTCAGGTGATTTTGATACCAATCCTGGTTTTAAGAGATTTAATGAAAAACCTAATGCTTTATCTTTTTCCATAGAAATTAAATTTTAGAGTTGTTCAACAGAGGTGAAAACATCTTTATAAATTGATATTATTGGTTCATAAACTCTTTAAACACCTTTAGTTACTATTTAAGCCCAAAATTTAAAATTCTCTGCATATAATGATAAAACCTGTTTGTATTACAAATTCAACTATTTTGAAAGTAATTATGTAAAATATTCTAAAGTATTTGAATCAGAAATTTAAATTTATTCTTATGATTAACTAAGGTTCAAATGATTATATCCTTATGTTGCTGGTTATTATTCAGATAAAATTCTATTTCTTACGTTTGGAGATACCTTTGGTTTACTTAATCTGGCTTATTGAATCTTTAAATAAAAATCAAATAATTAATTAAGTGTGTCTTCAATTACCTAAACATCACCCATTAATATTAATTTTTTAATATCATTATTTATATCATTAGGTATTTACAATTAGTTTATTGCAGTTATGATTATATTCCAGTTATATAACTTAGTAGATGCTGTAGTTAATTATTTTAGTTAATCTAATTGAGCTATTGGAGTTAGAGTTCTCATTATATTCATGTTTAATACCTTTATGAAATCTCTTATTTTAAATTGTATATTGATTTTACTAACTTGCCCACTGCAATTCCGTTCTCTATCAAATTTTGTTAAGCTTCTGTTAAAATAATCGGATTTTTATTTGCTTGCTTAATTGTTTCAAACACTTTTAAAGATGATAAGTGATTATAAAGTGCATACGATAATTTCATTGTTATATTATTATTAATATTTATATAAACCTTGAAAAATTATTAAATTATCATTTCAGCAAGTATTTAAGTTTTTTTGGTGGAACATTAATTTAATAGTTTCTTTATGGTACACATATTAATTGAGATATTATGATATATAGAAAAATAATTTTGAAGCTCAAATTTTAAATTATTATGATGCCAATAGTTTAAATAATTATTTATATATTCAAAACCATATTAGTAAAATAAAAGAATTCAACATGTAATTTTTCGAGGTTATTTATGATCCTCATCTAGTTATTCAATTGTAGTTTGACTTTTCGATTTTATACTAGAATTCTAAAAATATAATAGAATAATTACATCTAAAGTAGTTTAAGAATTTCCTTTAGATCGACAGCCAATTTCATTACCATCAAGTTAACTTTTAGCAATGAAAAATACCATAATAGCACTTTCAACTATTGTTTGATAGCTAATATATGATTAATTTGATACCCAAAAATGCGATTTAGATAGTCTTCTAATTGCTATTTTCTTCCACGTAAATCAGAAGCATCAGATAGATTAACTATTTTTTTTTCAGGGAAATTAGGTAATGGAAAATCAAGAGGAATATTTTTTAATTATCTATGATAATCTCTTAAGTCTTGAAAACGTTAAGTGAATTTCCAACTTTTGTTAGTAATAGTATCTGTTATTTAAATTGTATATAAGGCAGAATCATCAAAAATTATATGATCTTCAAACTTAAAAATATATTACTATCTAAAAATATTAAGTTTTAATACTTGCTTTGTTATTCAATTTTTTTTTAGGGCAAAGAGAATATTGAATCACCATGTTTTGCTAAATAAGATTCTTTGAGTTATTGAATTTCTTGCCATCTTCTATCAATAGGTGGCTCATTTTATTTCTGTGTACCTAATTTAGGCTCTTTAGGAAGCATTTCTTCAATTACACCTAAACAATGTAATTCTGGACATGCAAGAATTTCATTGAGATATTATTATAATTCGCCTCTCTTTATATTAAATTAAACAATACTCGTTTTATTATGCTTTCTTCACTCTAATTTGTATGAAACAAAAACTTCTTCTTAGGAAAATGTATCATAGGTATTTTTATTTTGAATATATGAATCCATTCTAATATTTTTTAATGCATAGATTCTAATTCAGAGTATCTTTTTCTAATTTCTCTGGGTTACCCTCCTTCCAAATTGTATACACTTATTATATAGTATACTTTCTTATCAATAACATCATGTTTTGGTATTTTCACAGAATATCTTTAAACAGATTGCTTCATTTAATTATTTATAAATTCATTTTTATACAAATTTTAAAATAATCACATCAGCGTAATCTATTCTGCAATTCTTTGAATTTCCATGATCGCAACAATTAAAAATTCTCCCTCCTTTCTCTTCTAATTTATATTACTTAATTCACCTTTAAAATATAAAATAATTTATTTTTAATAAATACTATAATTTTAGAGATTAGAATAAATCAAAAGGAGGTTTATTATATAAATTCTTAATTTTTCTAAAAGAATTGTTTGAATAATGTTTTTTAAGTAAAAAATCTATATTATAATATGTAATTCTGGAGTAAATAGAAATTAATTTTATTATTTAAGTTAAATAAAGAATAGTTTTAAATAGGTTGAAAGAATAGAGTTATTTTATCTTTTTAAAACTGAATAAAGGTTGTATTTGTTTAATAATATTAATTTAGTTATAGTGTAATAAAAGAGAGTTCTAAATATAAATAAATTTAGGATTGGTACAGTATTGTATCAAATTTATCTTATCTAAATAAAATTTAAGGGAAAATTAGGTTAAGTATTATTAATTCAAAAAAATTTATAGTAAAATATTTGATAAATGGGAAATGCTTGTAGATGTCATTCGTATCCAGAAAACTTAAATGAAGAGCAAGAATCTAATAATCCAGAGATTTATTAAGGAAATATAGATAAAGCAGAGGATGTTAAATGTGAATAATAATCTTTTTCAAAATGGAGAAATATTTAAGAAGGTTTGATTTATAAATGTAAAATAAGATGATAACCTACCACTTGCAGAGTTTAGAGAAGAAGTAGCAAAATCAAATAATGGTAGCCGAATTCTATTGCCTGCTGTAACAATGAAATCTGGGAATATGTAGAGTTTATGAACTAGCTTAGATATGAAGGAGAATGGTTGAATTAGAAAAAGGATGGTAAAGGGAAATTCACATGGAAAGATGGGAGTTATTTTTAAGGGGATTTTTAATAGGATAAAGCATAAGGAATAGGAAAATTGGTTCATGTAAATGGTGATTCATATGAAGGAGAATGGTAAAATGATATGGCTCATGGTCATGGAGTTTTTATTCATTTTAGAGGAGTTAAATATGCTGGATAATGGAAATATGATTTATAAGATGGAGAAGGATAGGAAACATGGCCTGATGGAACTGAATATAAAGGAACATATAAAGAAGGGAAAAGGCATGGATAAGGATATATGTAATTTTAGGATGGTTCTAAATATGAAGGTAATTTCGAGAATAATGAAATATCTGGATATGGTTGTTATACATGGAAGGATGGGAAATAATATAAGGGATAATGGTTGAATAATAAAATGCATGGTATTTTTTATTATAGAAGATATATAAGGATAGGGAGAATGTACATGGAAAGATGGAAAGAGTTATAAAGGAGAATATGCAGATGATAAAAAGAATGGATATGGAGTATTTACTTGGGCCAGTGGAAAAAGATATGAAGGATATTGGTAAGATGGTAAATAACATGGAGATGGGATAATAATCAATGCTGAGGGAGTTAGAAGAGAAGGATTATGGGAATATGGTAAACCTAAGAATTTAGATTGATTATAATTTTATCTATGACACTGTTAAATTAAGAGATTAATTATATAATTATCTATACAAATTAAAATTCAAAATGGATGAAGTTGATGCAAATTATGTTGAATGTATAAGTCAAGAAGGTTCATCTAATTACGAACCTATAGATAACTTATTTTAAATCTACTCTGATAAAGTCAACAATAAACCTGAATAATAAAAAAGGTTCTTTAGTGGATAAAAAAAAAATAGCGAACCTATTGAATAATCTTATAATAATCCAATATCAAATTCTGAAAGTAAATCGAATACTCAAAACAAAGAAGCTGTTTAATTTTAGCTGATTTCCTTTTATGAATAAAACCTCCAAAACTTAAAGTAGATGGTTATTGATAAAGATGAAGATATCAAAATTAGAGATGAAAAGATTCTTGAATAATCTATTCTAATAAATCTCATAATAACCAAATATAATAAGATATAAAATATTTTATAAGAGGAAAGAGATGAATTATTTGAAAAATATATGCAAGCTATGGATGAAATACAAAATTTAAGTTAAAAATAGCAATAGCAATAATAATAATAATAATAGTAACTTCTATTGATGTAATAAAAAATCTAACAATAATTACAATAATAACTAACATAACATCTTTAAAGTTTTTAAGCTCCAATTGACTATGATTGTAAATTAATAGAACTTCATGAAGCCAAACAATAGGTTAATCATTATAAAAATTAATGTATTAATCTAGAAGTTAAAGTCAAAGAAACTGAAGTAAAATTAGAGGATTCAAATTTAAGATTGAATGAAGCATATATCCGAATTGATTTTCTTGAAAAAGAAGCGAGAAATGTCTCATAATAAAATGTAACTTATTTATTACACTTAAGGTTGTACTAGATAATTAATTTAAATCCTTATTATAGTAATTTGAATAATATTAGTAAATATAAAAAAAGCAAAGTTAATAATTTTAATTTAGAGAAGCTGCAAGTATGATGAATAGTACATATAGTAATTAATCAATCAGTGAATAATAGATTCTTTAAACTGTTAATTAAAATAGTTCTAAGCATGAATAACTACAAGAAAATGATGATTTAATAAATACTTACACATAATTTAAGAAGTAGAATAGTCTTAAATAATTTAATCAGATGCTAGTATAATCAACTTAAAACAAATAGTAGAATGGTAAATAGGATTCTTAATAAACATCATATAATCAAGGGGGAATTTTAAATTTTCCATCTGATTTTCGTACTTAGTAATAGAAGGATTTAGAATTATAATTAACAAATTAACTGAATGAATTAACAATTAAAAAGTAATCTTTGGAGAGTGAATTGAATAAAAAGATTAATATTTCAAAAACAGCTTTAGAAAGAAGAAAAAGGGAATAATTAGAGCAAGACTTGGATTAAATTTAAGATTAAATCAATAAAGTAAAATTAAAATTAAGAGAAAATAAATTTATTTGATATTTATACTTGTTTAGAATATAAAATTAAATGAGTGTTTAGATAAAATTATCGTTATATTGTAAGTAAATTAAATAAAATTAAGCAATCAAAATAAATTTTTCAAAATATATATTGTTCATATTATAAAATTTAAAATATCATTTTTTTGGTTACTGCTAAAACTTTTATTATTATTTTTGCTAAGCTTTTTCTAATAATCCTTCAAGTTGACCTTTTCTTTGAGCCATTTTAAAAAGTTCTAAAATGAAAGGAATATAATTATGTTTTCTTCTGGAATTTTCCTCCTAAGAAAAGAAATAATTAATAAAAAAAATACTCTATATTTTTAGAATTTAGCATTTTCTTCAGTAAGAGTTATTTATGCTTCTTAGATTCTATTATTTGCAAGATTTAATCTATTTAATAATTCTTCCTTAGTTTCTTATAGTAATTCTTATTCAATATTCTTGGATAGTATAAGTAAATTTTACTTATTAATTTGAAAGTTAAAGTAATTATTATTTTTATTCTTCAGTCAAATCTACTCCAATAAACTCTAAAGTTTTGAGACTCAAAGTAATGTCATTTTATGATTATGAAATAATTTGATTAGCCTAAATTAAATAAAGGATAATACTCTAAATTTTCTACATTAATTAACAGCTAATAAAGTAAAGGCTGTTTCTTTTTCTTAATAATGTTGAATTCTTTTTAAGATTGCTTCTTTTGCTCTGACAATCCAATCATCCTAATATTCTCCAATTAAGATAGGTCCTTCTTAAAGACCATCTAATTCATAAACTTTTCCTTTAAAAGGAAGATATGATACAAAGTGAAAGACATCATCACCTTCCTAGAATAAAGTGAAAATAATACTTTAGCTTTTTTCTTTTCACTAGAGAATATAAAAGGTTCTGGTCTAGCAAAACTATTGTGGGCAGTTTTAATAACATCAACAGCTCCAAGACAATTGCCTCTTTCTTTAGGATCTAAAGCAAAAGCAAATTCCTAAATAATTTATAATATGTATTACTTTATAATTTTTAAGCGCTTCTCCTATTTCAATTTATGGACAATTGAGTAATATGGATATGATAGCTTAAGTTGCACATGCATTTTAGATGACTTAATTGGCAAAGAAGAGATCTTAATCATAAATTTTGAGGCATTCTCTTTTCTCACCCTTACTAGTCCATCTGAATAAAAATATGAATCCATAAATTGGTTGCATTTATGCTATCTACTATTCATCATTTAGATCATATATTTCTTCAACTTAAACTCCTTAAACTCCAATTGCATTTATAAGCTCAGTGAAAACTCCAGGATCAGACTCAATTGTACACCACTCTTACATAAATAATTATATATATTTAATTAATTGAATGGATAAAGAATAAGTAATACCTACTCTACAACAATAAGAGAGAGAGTTAGAGAAGAAACGAATAGGAAAAGGCTTAGAAGAACATTTCAAATTGTTTAATGATCTTTTGAAATTAAAATAAGCTTCATACACAAAGGCGATTATAATGCTAATTGTTGCTTTTATTCATCATATTACGAGTTAAATTCGATAGTACCTTAATCTGTATATTCAGATATAAAAACGTGATAAATCTCCACTATTCATCAGAGTCTACTATTCTTGATCAAATAATAGAATCCGGTACCTACTTTGACATTCAAGGTTTACTTAGACAAGACATTACAATCAATTATATAATGGTCTCAGTATTTTTACTAACAACAATTGGTAATACCTTACTTTATTTAATTCTTTATGTATTACAATCAGATGACTTCAGAGTTAGAAAAAAGTTTATAGGAAAAGTAATTATATTTTACTATCATAGAAATTTGTGTAATTATCAGAATGGTATATATGGATATTCCATTATCCAGCTTTGGTTGTCTTCTTTGAAAATATAATTTGTGGTCCTTCTATGGATTGTTCATTAACTTTAGAAAGAAAAGTTTTAATTGTTATTTCAATATTAGGGTAATACACAACATTTTATATTAGAGTAATTTTTGGAGTTTTCAATATATTTTTCTTAAGTGTGTTTTTTCATAATGATAGCAGTTAGAAAAAGGATTGTTTAAATACAGAAAATTCTATCTATTTAGCAATGTTTCATTTATTTAGAGCTTTCTAAGCTTTCTTAATTTGTTTTAAGTAACAAATTTATTATCTTTTAGTTCAAATGAATATTCTTATCTTTGGATTATGATGATTTGTATTTTTTTAGGATATTCTTTCTTTCTTTTAAATTGCTTATTCTATAGTGGATATATGGCTTTTGCTACATCTATTATACGTAATACTTTTATGATTTTATTAATTATTATGGTTTCATCTAGCTTTTCTATGATGATTGATGAACTTTGTCGTTTTAATACACTTGAATAATAATTTGAAAATTTTAGTTTATTTTTTACTTTGTCATTCCTTTTTTTAGTTTGTTGCTTTATTTATAATTTAAGAAATTCTAATTATGAAGATATCAATTATGAAAAGGCAAGTGATACTGATTTTGCTAGACAAGTTTTCATTGTAAATTCACTACTAGAAGTTACTAATTAAGATATTAATGTTGATTTATTTTTTAAAGGTATCTTGTAAAGACATATGGAATAAGAATGCAAACATACAATTATATAAGGTGAAGGAAGATGTTTTTGTAAAAAAAAAAAGACTTATGATTCTAAAAAAAGAAAAGAAGTTATGCTTGATGATTGGCTAATTCATAAGAATATCTATGTTAAATTTTTAATCAAATCATGGATTGAAACTAAACTTATGGATAACCCTAATTCTATTGAATTACAATTACTTTATGCTCGTTATATGTTCTTTAAATTTCAAAATCATTAAATTTCATTACATATTTTAAATAGTTTAGAAAAACGATTTCTATTTATTATTAATAGATATAAAGCTTATTAATTAAAAATGAAAATTATGAGATATGTAAAACATCGGAATTAAGAAAGTTATAGAGAAAAATTAGAAATCTAAAATGCTTTACATATTGAAGATTTGATTGAAACTATTAAATAGAATATTAATAATATTATGATATAAAATTGTTCATTTTGGAAATGTTTATAGAAAGAAGTAATAGATTTGAAAGAATTGGATGATATGCTTAAAAGCTAATTTGAGAAAATTGAATAAACTAATAATTTATGGGTTTAGATATAAAATTATTTAGACTTCAAAAAAAAATGGAAATTTTATTATGCATGGTTTACTCTTTATATTCAAAATAAGAAATTAAAAAATAAAATATTAGATAATTTTTAAGGATTATCAGTGAATGAGAATGACATATTTTCAGAAGAAGTTTAAGAAAATAATTTAGAAGAAGATATAGCAAGTGTAAAATCAGATTAAGAATTAAAAATAGATATGGAAAAAATAGATATAAAAAGCAAGAAAATAATTTTTGATAAAAAAGCTTGCATAATATAAACTACTGATGATCCTGATTCTTTAATTATAAAAGTAAATAAATAGTTTACAAAAATCTTTGGTTATACTTATGAAGAAGTTGCTAATAAATTTTAAATAGCATAATTAATGCCTGATATATATTCAAAAGTACATCCATCATTATTAAATGATTATAAATTAACAGGAAAGGCTAATTCACTATATTCATAAAGAAAAGTATATTGTATTCATAAGAGTGGATATATGTTTACAGCATAAAAGTTTCTTAAATTATATGTAGATTTAAATGGATAATCACAATTTGTGGTTATGATTAGACCAACTGATTTAAATAATGAAAAGAAACATGATGTAATAATATTAAATTAAGATTGGGAAATTAATGGAATGACATAAAATGTAATCTAATCATTATAAATTGATTAGTCATTATTTTAAAAATAAAAATTATAAACCTTAATAAATATTTTATTATTTGCACCCAAATTAATATAATTTAGTAGAGCATGTTAATTAATTAATGAAGAAACAGATTTAGAATTATTTGGAATGTAAAAACTTAAAAAGAAAAAAGAAGAACCTTTACTTAAATCAACAAAACATTTTAATAATTTACCTGGATAAATTAAAATTTAAGTAAATATGACAAATTCAGGTTCAAATAATTTGATACCTGGTAAAAGTGGAAAGGCATTATCATCTGATGTTGATTTATCATCAAATTATTTATAAATGTAATCTTTAGATGTACCAGATGATAAACAATTTTTATAATAAGCTAGTAGTGTTAGTGATAAAAATGAAGTTTAAGATTTTAAACATTAAATTGATTAATATTCTGAAATGTAAAAAGATATAAATGAATAATAAAATAAAAAAGTTGATGAATAAATTAAAAAAATGTATGAAACATAATTTTAGAATAATTATAAAAGAATTTAAACTAAATTTGATAATAATGCTGCACATTCAGGAGATATAAGTGATGATAATATAAGTAGAGATGAAATTGTTAAATAGAAAGGATAATTTGTTTTAGATGGTAAAGTAAATAATGGAGAGCCAATTTCATTTCATATGAAATTATCAGATAAATTTTTAGCTGCTTGTAAACATTATACAGATTCTAAATATAAATTATATTAAATCAAGAAATAATAAGATGATGTAATTTTATTAAATATTTAAGCATGTTAAATTAGAAGAAAAATAAGATAAAGAAAAAGAAAAAGTCAAAACAAAAGTTAATGATAAGAAATTATTTTTTAAATAAGGAACTTAATAAAGAGAATTTAAGAAAAAAGCAAGATTAATGTTTTAAAAAGCAGCTGAAAGAAGAAAAAATGATGAAGATAAAGGTTATTATGATTTGATAAAGGAAATTTATTAAGATATTTTAAAAGATTAGTAGAAAGTCAAATCATTTAAAATTATTTGCACTATTTCATTTTATAAAATTAGAGATGAACGTATAGGAATAATGAAAGTTTCAAATATTTCAGAAATACTTAAAAATAAAATTAGATAAAATGTTCGTAAATAATCTTATATGATGTTACATAAAGGTCTTTCTAGAGGTATTTGTTATTAATATAATAATTTAGAAATGTCAAGACTTAAGAGTATATAAAATAATGATGGTGCAAAATATTTAACAATGACTAGTGATGGAGAAAGTAAAATAATTTCACCTCTTCAACCATAAACTTCTCCAAATAATTCAAAAAATTAAATTAAAACAGCCACAAAATCAAATGGATTGGGATATTAATTATAAAAAGAAGATAATTTAGAAGATTTAGAAGAAAAAGATGCTCTTGTAGATTTTAAAGGTCAACCAAAAATGATCAATTGGGAAACCTTTTAAAATTAATTTAAGATGCAATAAGGTACTTAAAGTTTCTCTTTAAATGTTCTTGATAACATTTTTAGAAAAGAAGATAATAATAAACCAAGAAAATTACTTGTCAAAATTTCATATTTAACTTGGTTTCTACGTTTTATGTATGTAACTATTTTAACATTGAATTTAATAACATACTTTCTAAAACCTTATTCGGTATATTAAAAATTTATTATAGGACTTTTTACCAATTAAAACTTAATCTGCACGTATCTTACAATTATCCCAAATGTAAACCTATATATTTGAAGCCTATGACACAATTATGGATTTACTATTATACAAAAATGCCAATTTTTCTAATTTATTAGTTAAAGGAATTGCTCTTAATTCTTAAGAACAATTTTTTAATTATTAAACCTAATAAATAGACCAAGGATATGAATTTTTTAAATTATAAATTAGAGATCTTAATTTATAAGAAACATTTTTGGATGAATCTATTTTTTACAGTAATTCAATGATTGATGAGACTATTGCTTAAAATTTAAATGTTCCTATCACATTAGATTATAAAGATATTTTTACAAAAGTAATACTAATTGAACATTAAGTATCCATTTTATCTTCTGATGAATTAATATAACTTAATGAATCAAATTCTTTGGTGAAATTTATTAGAAATGTTACTCTTCCTACATTATATTTATAATTTAATACTGCTGTCATGATTTTGGAAGATATTCTAAGTGATAAGGCAAGTTCAATGTCAGATTTTGTGATAATTATTTTAATTTTGGAATCTTGTATATTTATTATTGGATTTTTTGGTTTATTACTAATCATTTTATGGATTTGTTAAACTTTCAAAGCAGTATTAAAAATGTTTATAATGATTAAAAAAAATGATCTAAATAAAATTGTCAAATAATAATAGTTTGTTTAAACTTAATTTTAATATATATTGAATAAAGATGATGAAATATCTGGAATACTCTAATAAAATGATAAAAAATTACAAATTACAACTAAAACTAATTTTTAATAATAATAAAATTTCCTTCTTATTAATGAAGTTGAAGACTAAAACTTAACTAAAAGAAAAGATAAGTAGATTTTTGAAAAGCAATTACTAAAAAAATTAACCATTAAAATGTCATTAATCTATATATTATATGTTCTATTTTCATCTTCTGCTTCTTTAGTATTTTTTTTAACATTAAGTAATTCCTCTTAATAAATAACTCTTTTAATTAGTACTGGTTCAGATTCTATTTAAGATTTCAGTGATAGTTAATTATTATTGGTTTCAGTCAAAGAAAAATATTTTAATCCTAATCTATATAATTCAAATCGCTTAGAATAAATATAAACTATTCTAGAAGAACAAATTGCAGATATCAAAAGCACTCCTTCTATTGAAAATCCAAATTATGGTACATATTATACAAGTTTTCAATCTATATATTTTGGTAATTTATGCACATATCTTGCTGAAAATTCTTATTTGGAAACTGATGCTGCTGAAGATTGTTAAACTGTTTTGAATGGAAAATTAAAATAAGGAGTTGTAGCATTTAATTAGTTGTATTCTTCTGTCACTGAAGGTATTTATCTTAATTATATTAAGATTATGTCTTGAATAAAGAAACTCGATTTGGTTAGATTAATTTGGAAACTATTTGGTAATACAATATTGCTATAGATTATATCAAATCAGCCTTCAAAGCTTTACTAACTTCTTGGTCAAAAGATTTAGGGAATCTAATTGACCAATATTTTACCCTTATACTTGTATTGCTTATTGTCATGGTTGTTTTTTAACTTCTAGTATTTATTACCATAGCAGAAATGTACTTAGTAAATTAATTGAACAAATCTTTTCAGTTCTATAGAAAAATATACAAGTCTTATATGCCCAATGATATCATATAAAAAGAAAAAATTATTAGAGCTTCACTTATCAAATATAGTATTATTAAAAGATGACTAACTAAAATATCTATGAAATTATTATATATAATATATATATTTACTATATTAGTTTGAATTAAATGAATGTAATTGAAAATAGAATATTCTACCTTTGTTTCCTCAACAGAAAGCAGCTTATATATATTTTATAAAATATTTTAAAATAAATTTAATTTTCTTGATTTATATATATGTATTAATAAGTAATGTAATACACAAAAAATTATTTTAGTCATATAAGAATTCTTAATTAATGGTATTGGTTTCAAATATAATCTTTAAATATCAAATCTAATTCAATGTTAAAATATGAACTAATATAAACTTAATTAGTAATAGCTCTCGAGCATCATAATTGAATTATTTTTAATGTTATTTAAATCAAGAGTCAATTATGTTTGAAGCTTTTTAATAAATTTTTTGTGTTAATAAGAATAAAAAAATGGACTAGATGAATAAATTTACGTTATAATTTAGAGCTGGAGATATTGAATTAAAATATTAAAAACAGTCGATTTAAAAACTACTCAAACCTCTTCATTATGGTCTCCTTTTAATGTCATTATTGTTAAATACAATTTAGATAATTACGGTAACAACTAGAGAATCTTTTTAATTACCATTCATTAATATTGGATTTGTTGTAATTTCACTATTTAGTTTTTATATTGTCTATAAGAAAGAGACATTAACATAGAAAATGATGACTATTGAAAATGCTTATATCCTGTTTCTTTAATTAAATTTTACTGCTAGTAATATACATGGATAAGAATACTATTTATATGGTAGTAGCTTTTCTTTGATATAGGCAGTAACTTATTTTGCTACAGATTTTTATCTAAGTTGTCCGTCTGTTATAATGCATTTAATATTTCGACTTGTAGCAACTACTTTATATGCAGGTAGATTTGATTTGGTAGGGTTGGGTCTCACAATTACTACAGCAATATTTTTAATAAGTGTTCTTTATATCTGCAACAGAGCACAAAGGTAATAATTTTTATTGAATTTCAAAGAAGATACAATTAACTATTAATTACAAACTTTAATCAATAAACCCTTTACAAAAATCCTTTTTAATGAGAAGAAGCTTTAAATAGATGTGCTTTAGGTCAATAAAGAACATTAATTTTTGGGCTATAATTAAGATTTGTGTTTTGGATGTAATATCAGGAATTTTATTAGGAATTGTAAAATTGGAGATAGAGCCCTAGAGAAATGGATAATTCATGATTAAAACAATTTATAGGAGAATTGTCTTGCGATAGTGTAAAGAACAAAAATAAAAATTCGGCTATGTTAATTTAATACTGATAATAGTCTAATATTAATTATAGAAAATTAAAAAGTGGATACAAAGCAAAAAAAAGTTCCTTAGTTTATAAAAAGTTAATTAATTGAATAATTTTTGATAAGCAAAAAAACACTTTTTAATATGTAATTTAAATTTGGTGTAATGTCGATATTAATGTTAAGTCAACATAAAATAAAGACAATAAATATTGTAAAATTATTGGATAAGTTTTTGAATACTTATGTTTTTTCTGGAAAAGTATATTTGAATTTGAATGGTAATAAGATCATAAAACTGAAGACTTATGCATTATATCTTAAAATTTTCTTAATTCAAGTTTTTAACATAATTTAAGATTTAGAGTACTCTTAAAATATATTTAATGAAATATGTATTAATAATTTTGATAATTATCTTGTTTTTGAGTTGAGATTATCAAATAAGAATTAGTTCCTATAATTGTATGAAAAGAATTTTTTTATAAAATATACTGAATAGCATTTGTTAGTAACTCCATTAAGTTTAGATTTAGTATTTTATTTTAATAAATTAATTCCATTTGATGAAACTGACTCTTAGTTATGATAGTAGAAAACTTGATAATGAAATTTATGTTATAATAATTTGTATAAATTATATATTTAAAGTATAAAATGTTGAATAAAAGTCGCAGAGTAAGAAATCAAGAATAAAGTTATTTCTTAAAAATAAAAATATAAATTAAATTAGCAAAAAGCAAATAAGTAGTTTGAGATGGTAATACAGAAATAAAATATAAATATAATATATTTAATATATGAATAATCAACCTGTTTATATGTCTGTTGAACAAATAAATGCTTTATTTTAGAGGGATTCGACATTTGAGATGAGAGATGATCGTATTAATTCGTTCTAGAATGATTTCAAAAAGAATGAAGTAATGATATTGAGTAAGTTAAAGACTTGGAAGTCTGAGAGTGCTGAATGTGAAGAGAATAGACCAACTAATTAAAGTGAGAGTATGATGATGAGTAAGAATAATTTTGGTTGAAGTTTATAAGTTACTAGAGAGGAGTATTAGAGTTTACAATAGGAATATGAGAGACGTAAGGATATGGAAGAGAAATATAAGGAAGATATAAATAGATTAATGAGAGAACTTAAATAGAAGATTGCAGAATTAGAAAGTGTAAAGAGAGATTAGGATATGATATTTGAATAGAATTAAAGAAGAGAATGTAAGATTGAACATTAATAAAATGAATAGCAATGCTTCAAAATTTGAGATCATAAATCTAGGAAGCAAATAGTCGTGAATAGAAGGCTGTGATTGAATTGGCAGAGATGTAAGAATAACATCTATAGATGAAATAACAATTAGAAATAGTGTAGCAGAAATACAATTGTTTACAGAAACAACATAAGTTTGAAATTGATAGAAAAGAAAAGTAAATAGATTAACTAAAGACTTAAATTGTTTCTTTAAATGAGGATAATGAAAAATTAAAGAATGAACATTAGTTAGGGATTTCCCATCTCGATTCTTTGAGGATGTCATAAGAAAAAATTTAAAATTAATAGGCATAATTTAATTCGAGTGCATATAAGAGTAGCATTTAATTTTAGAAAGAAAAGCCAATTACATAGATTTAGTTTAAGAGTAATTATGATTCTAAATTAACTTTCGGTAAAAAGTCTCAAAACTCATTAAAATAATAATAATAATAATCATAATCTGATTTGTAGTCGAAAGAATAATGAGTTTAATATATTATATATATATATTAAGATTTAAATGCCTCCTAAAAAGGAATAACATGAAGAGAAAAAGAATAAATTGGGAAGACCCAGTAATACTCTTAAGATGGGAATAGTAGGTATGGCAAATGTTGGTAAGGAATGCAATTTATGAAAAATAGGAAAATCAACCACATTTAATACTTTATGTAAATTGAATGTTCCAGCAGAAAATTATCCATTTTGCACAATAGATCCAAATAATGCAAAAGTTCCAGTACCAGATGAGAGATTTACTAAATTATGCTAAATGCATAAACCAAAAAGTGAGATTTAGGCAGTGTTAAGTATTGTTGATATTGCTGGGTATTTATATATAAAATAATAATACAAATAGATTGGTACCAGGAGCACATAAAGGAGAAGGTTTAGGAAATGCTTTTTTATCACATATAAAAGAATGTGATGGAATTTATCATGTAGTAAGAGCATTTGAAGATGAAAATGTTTGTCATACTGAATTGTCAGTAGATCCAATAAGGTAGAATAAATATATATATAAATATATAGAGATATGGATATAATTTCAACTGAATTATTGTTAAAGGATTTAGAATTCTGTAATAATAGATTAGCAGAGACAGAACATGTAATAAAGAGAAACAATAATAAAGATGCTAGAGAAGAAAAAGAGGTTTTAGATAAGGTTAAATTATTGTTGGACAATAAGAAATGGGTAAGAACAGGAGATTGGAATTTTAAAGAAATTGAAATATTAAACAAATATTATTTCATTACAGCAAAGAATGTTGTTTATTTAGTGAATTTGAGTCAATAAGATTTTTAAACAAGAAAGAATAAATGGTTGAAAGGAATTAAAGATTGGGTTGATGGTAATTGTCCAGGAGATATTATTCCATATAGTGCCGATTTAGAAAAAGCTATATTTGAAGAGTACTTATATAATTATATATATAAATAGAACTTAAGCAGGTACAATTACATAAGAAAGATAAAAGTTATCTATGTTACCAAGAATTATAAAGACAGGTTATAAAGCATTAGATCTAATTTATTTTTTTACTGCTGGAGAAGATGAAGTCAGATGTTGGACTATAAGAGCAGGAACAAAAGCACCTTAAGCTGCTGGAGTTATTCATACAGATTTTGAAAAAGGGTTTATTTGTGCAGAAGTTATGAAGTATGAAGATTTTGTCAATTTGGGTTCAATCACAGCAGTTAAAGCTGAAGGTAAGTATAGACAATGGGGTAAGGAATATGTTGTTGAAGATGGAGACATCTGTTTCTTCAAATTTAATGTTGGAGGTGGAGGCAAAAAATGAGTGTTAGAATATTAATTTCACATTAAGTATATTAAATAGATAAATCGATCTAATTTTATATATTTAACCTTTTCTCTCTCAAATCTATTATTAATCTTATACTCTAGATTCTGTTGTTGTAATACTGCCTATTTCTAATTAGAATTGTGATTATTTTGCCTCCTCTAATACAAAAGAATGATTCACTTAATCACATGTAATGAAATCCTGTCTAGATTAGAAATATTTAAATGGGAACGAATATTCTATTTTTGTAACAAAGCCCTATTTTTATATATTAAGTATTTACCTTAGATAATTTCATCATGAAACCATCAAATAATTGATATTCAATAAATGCAAACATAGTTGATGCTATTAAGTCTAATCTAGGAAATTCAATTATATTCATTATTAAGAAGAATGCAGGAGGATAGTATTTTGATGGCAATGAAAATGGAAAGCATAAAAACTTTTAATATTCATCCTAATCTGTTAATGCTCTTCACTTATATATTTAATATACTTATTCATCATGTAAATGAAAGTGATATTCCAAAATCCAAAAGATTATGTTTCTAGAACTTCTTTAGTAAGATATGACAATGAAAAACATAGCAAAACATAAATAATCTAAGGATCAATTTTTAAATACTTGTATGATCAGATTCTTAAAGAATATATCACAAAAAAATGGTATTGTACCATAACTTTTTTCAACTTCAATAGCACAAAAGAGAAATCCAAGTAAACTAATGGTAATATTATACATATCGCCTATTGGTAAATGATTTTAAATTTACCATGAAAGAATTGTGGAATGAACAATCTCCATAATTCGAATTCATATATAGTTTTAGATGGGGTATCAACAAATATATTGAATAAGGAATCGTTTGTAAATATATCAAGGATGCAACATAAAGTGCTTGATATAAGAACAAATTTAGTTCCAAAAGTAATGCTTTACCAAATAGCTATAATTTTATCTAGTATTAACATTGTTAATAATAATTTTATAATTTTCATATTCATGATTAATGTTTAATGCTAAAAACATAAATGTCTAAGATTTCACAAAGTTAAGTAACAATACTCACAATACAATGGAAATAAGATAGAAATGAGAAGACTAATAAAATAAATATGAGTTTGACTTCATCAAAATAACAAAAGCCATCAGAAGTAAAGTATTGAGAATACAAATTAATGATAATGGATCCTAGAGTGATCATCCAAGTGAATGAAAATTGATTAAAATTCTAAAATAATTATAGATTAAATAAATAACTTATTTAGTAATAATAGCCAATTACCAGATATTGATAATTTTAGACCATTACAAACCAAAGGTAATCATGTATATATGGAACCATTTAAATAATATTTTTGTTGGAGACTGTTTTAATAAAGAATAATTAAATAACAGGTAGACCTTCATCTACACCATTAATTACTCCTAATTAAAATATACCAGTGTGTTATTAACAATATACTCCAAAAAAGAATCCTGCATATCCAACCAATAGTTGTTAGAATTGAAAATGGTGTAAAGGAAATCTTAAAAGCACTAAGAAATAACTATCCAGCTATCCAAGCTGCTGTACAATCACTACTATGATCCATCAACATTCCTAAGGCAGTTGATTATTTAATTCTTCTAGCTTATTTCCCATCTGCGTTATCTAAAGTTTAATATATGAATATAGACAAGGCTATGTACAAACTAACCCATTATGGTAAACCTTAATCAAACATTGGATTGAAAAATAAACTTAATAGATAACCAGATAATAAAGTACAAAATCCTTTAATTGTTATCAATCGTTTTAGGTATATGATCAACCTTTTAATAAATTTAGTTATTTTACAACAAATTAAGCTATTTCTCCTAAAATCCAATTGTATAAAATAGAGAAATTCTATCCATTGTATTTGAATTTTCTCAAATTTTCATAGTATTATTATTTGACGTATTTTTACAACATTGAAAATAAATTTATAATTTTAATATAATAGCTTAAATAAATTAGTGTTAATCAAAAGTCTGCATCCATAGTAAATACTTTATCTTATTTTTTACTCATGACTCCAGCTTTTTAGTAATCTCCAACTCTTCTTTCAAAGAAATTAGTTTTTCCTTATAATGAGATCATATTCATCCATTCAAAAGGATTCTTTGAATTGTAAATTTTAGGAGCTCCTAAAGCAAATATTAATCTATCTGCAACAAATTCAATATATTGTTTCATTAAATTAGAATTCATTCCAATTAATTCAACTGGTAAAGCTTCACTTATAAATTCTTTTTCAATTTCTACAGCTGATGTTATTATTTCATGAATTCTTTAATTACTTAATTTATTAATTAAATGTTTATAAAGAAGACAAGCAAAATCAGTATGAAGACCTTCATCTCTTGAAATTAATTCATTTGAAAAAGTTAATCCTGGCATTAATGATCTTTTTTTGATCCAAAATATTGCACAAAATGAACCAGAAAAGAATATACCTTCAACAGCAGCAAAAGCAATCAATCTTTCTGCAAATGAATCATTATCATTTATCCATTTCATAGCCCACATTGCTTTCTTTTAAATCACAGGTACATTATCTATAGCATGAAGAAGATAGTTTTTTTCATTTTCATCAGTTATATAAGTATCAATCAAAAGTGAATAAGTTTCCGAATGTATATTTTCCATAGCTATTTAAAATCCATAGAAACATCTGGCTTCTGGAATTTATACTTCTGTACAAAATTATTAAGCCAAATTTTCATTCACTATACCATCACTTGCTGCAAAGAATGCTAACACATATTTTATAAAGTGTTTCTCATCAGCTGTAAGTCTTTCCCAATCTTTAAGATCCTAAAATTTTATTATTTAAATTTCATACTTAATATAAATCTATCTCTTCTGCTGTCCAAAAACTTGCTTTATGTTATTTATACATATTCCAAATGTCATTGTATTTTATTGGAAATAACACAAATCTATTTGGATTTTATTTTAAGAGTGGTTCATCACAATCATTCTAATCAATTAATGTTTGACTCCCCTATACATTTGATAAAGGAACGAATGTTTAAGTCTTAGTATTGCCGCTCAATTCTTTATTTTAAATGAACATTTTTTGTATTTCAAATTTTAATTATTATTTTATATATACTCTTGAATTTTTGGTTTAAAATCATAACATTTTTGTTAAAATATTTATAATTTAAAAAACGGCGGTTCACTCCATCTTTTATAATAATTTTAATAACTCAGTTATAGTATTTTTGTCATCTAAATACGAATACATTGCACCTATCAAAGCATTTGATAATCCTTATTAAAATCCTTCCTAATTGTATAAATTTGCCAAATTCTTAATTGCCAAATCCATAGCATTTGTTCTTAATTAATCATTTGCTAATGCTACAACCTAAGCTCTTTAATTATTCAAAACTTTAATCAAAAGATCTCTCAATTTCAATTATATATCATCATTCATGAAAACCTATTAAATTAACAGATCTTTGGTTAAATTAAAAGTCTTATCATATAAAAAAGATAAATTTCCCAATTTACATAATTATTTTGCTATATTATGTTAAGTTGATTCTTTATTATCTATTCGAACTATTAATTCTCCCAACATTTTATTAATACTTTCTTTTCTCAACACCTCATTTATTACTATTGAACATCCAGTTATTGGAATTTTAGGTTCTAATTTCTTCTTTTTTTCCAATTCTTTCCTTTCAAGGTAATTTTTATGTTTTTATTAAATCTCATTTTAGTAATAAGTCAAATATGATATTGTTGTAAATGACATTAACCAATAGAAATGAGTAGATTTTATTCTTGATAAAAGAACCAATGAAAATTTCAATTTGTTTTTTGTGTTGCTTAAAACATACATATTATTGCTAAATGTGTGTGTTTCTTCTGCATATTTGTATAAATCTTGATAGAGCAGTTAATGATTTTAATGATGCAAACTAAGAAATCCATTTAAAAGTGACTTTAACATTATAATATAATTAATATTTTCAATATTTTAGTAACTTTTCAATTTCATCATAATGATTATACATTTCCCAATATGTAATAAAACCTTTACTAAATAAATCAATCTCATGATAAAGTCTATGATATTAATGTAATCTATTACATTTCTGCTTATATTCGATCATTCATTGCATTTATAAAATTCTCCAAATTAACTTTACCATTCAATCTAACATATAATCCCTTAATTGGATTCATATGTTATTCTGTCTCTATGCATGTTTAGGATAATGTTTAACCCAAGTCTTCTAAACTAATCCATCCATCATCATCATTATCTGATAACTTGAACAAAGACTCTAAATCTAATTATGCATTAGGAATTGATATTTTAGCATTTTCTATTAACTAATACTAATTCAATCTTTTTGTAAAACGATGATGAACTAAATATGTAAAGAGTTCTTCTGCTGTTACTCCACGAATTTCTAAACTCTTAGCCATTTAAGATTATTCTGTGTTCAAATTTATTGATTTAGATTATTCTAAATTTTAGATTTCTTCTGATAAATCACATCTTGGCTATTATGGATTATGAAGAAGAGAATTCCAATCTGTAAATAAACTTTAATAATCAGAAGGAGCTATTTCTTTATAATTCAAACTAATTAATTAAGGTAAACTATAAGTCTCTTTTGATATGTAATGTCTATCATATTACATATAATGTTAAATCTCACCTGCATTGTATTATAAAATACATTCACTTCTTTAATCACTTTAATTTATAGGTGCCTAAGACACAACAGTCTAAAATTCCATCTTTACAGGAGTTATATCCTCTTGAAAAGCATTTATTACTGAATTTGCTTAGTTGAATAAAACAGTTTATTCTTCTGGTTTAACCTCTTAAATTTCATCTAAAATTTTTAAATCATCATTTTCTTTTTAATCAATTTGATTTTCTACTTTCTCTATTTTTTTTAAGGATTCCATTTTTTTATATGATTCCTCTTTTTATTTCTTTCTAAAATCTAAATTAGATCTGCTAGGTGATCTTATAGATGGATTTGAACTCATTGAAGTATTCCATTCACATCTCTCTTTAGATTTCACTTTTCTTAAAACAACAGGTGCACATTAAACTTTATCTGGAGATCCTTTTTTATCTTTCAAAAACTTTCTTAATTCTTACTATAAGTCATTTAAATCATTTTTTCTTTTATGTTTTGCTATTAATTCAATTAACTTCAAATTTTCATCTTTTACCATTTATCTTAATTATAAACGATCTTCTTTCATTATTTCTACCATACACAAAAATTACTAATACTTGTGCATTTCTCTATAACTTATATTGTGTCCAATTATTCGTTCTTTCTTGATTTATTAGAGGCTTTGAGCATTTTAACGGATAATTAATATATAAAACAAAAAATAACTAAAAAGTAAAAATTTTCAAACAATTCCAAATTATTCCTGCCTTTTTGAAATTATTTATAACTCTTTAAGAAATGTCATGTTTTACATAGTGAGTTCATCATTTTATTATTCAATTATTTCATTTTATTTTTCAATACGCTCTTTCGCTTATTGATACTTCTCCTTCATTTATTCTAACTGAAGAATATAAATATTATATAAAGTACCTTTTCTGAATTCTATTTAAGTTAATCTTTTAATGAATCTATTTGTTTTTGATAATCGCTGTAACATTTATTTTAGACCTTTTCTTTGTTATTTGAATCCTATTCCAATTATTTGATTAACATCTTTAATTTATTATTTTCAGTTTCGAATCTATTACATTAATCTTTTAATTGAGTTTATTAATTGTTATATTGGATCATTTAGGATTTTAATTAGGATAATTCTTATTCTAAAGTTTTTAGCTTATTATTTGTAAATTGCAATTCATAAGTTAATTTATCATTTTTTCTCTTATATTCTTTGACTTATTCATCTAATTATGTAATAGTACTATTTTGTTCAATATATTCTGGGATTTCATTAAATTAAGTATTAGTAGATCTATCAATTTTATTGAAGTGTGAAAATTCAGCTTTTTCTTCAAACTATTTAGCTTTTTTGAATGCTTATTAAAATTTATTTTCTAAAATAGAATTTTGAATTTTGTAATTATCAATTTCATGATTGATTTTATCATTCAAAATTTGAAGTTAATTTAATTAAAGTGAAGTTTCTTTAAATTTAATGATTTCTTATTTAGATGATTAATATTATTCTTCAAGATATTCATTTTCATTTTTAAGTTAGATAATTTATTTTTTAAATTTATTAAGTTCATCAGTATAGGTTGTTTTTTCATTTAATAATAGATTAATTTAATCTTGTAATTATGTATTTTTAATTTTTTATTGATCAAGATCTTTGAGACTTTTTTCATATAATTCTTTAGTTAATTGAACTTCATAATCAGAGATTTGTTAAATGTTAGATTTCTTTTGACTAAGAATTCTTTGATTAAGATTTTCTTTTTCAAAAGCATTAGATTCTGCAAGTGTTTTTTGATGGAATGATTCACTGGCACAACTTTCACTAAGATCAGTTTCTCCTAGATTGACTACTTGATATAAAAAATATATTTTGGCATTAGGATCAGGACTTCTTTCTAGATTGAGTGCACAATGTCCTTCAATAGGCATAGTTTCATTAATATTAAAATTAACAACACCAGCAAGCTTTGATTATCCATCAACATTAAGAAGAGCAATAAGATGTGTCTTTTTTAAAGTGTTTTCTGCAACATTAAAATCAAGAGTGAGTACTTCATTAACAATGAAAGTATTTTTAGTTTTTTCTTTGGTTCTGGTTAAACATTTATTAAGTCCTCTTTTCCACATAACTTATAAAGTGCAAGGAAATTTAACAGAGAGCTCTACTTTGCTAATATTGAGAGTAACTTAATAGCGGAAAGCTTTCATTTGAATTGAGAATCAGTTAATTAAATAATGAATCAATAGGGAAACAACTATGATTTTAAGATAATGTTAGGAAAAGTGATAGAAAAGAATATGAGTTTTAAAATAGGATATTCTTAAACGAAAAGTGAAGATTATGAAATAGTACTTAAATTGAAAGTAAAGAGTAATATTGATGTGAAAACTGCTGATAGTGAATTTAAAGAGAGGTGTAAAAGCTGTTACACTATTTTAACATCATTTGTGTAATAAAGAATGTAGAAGATCTTAGGAAATAAATTCGTGATTTTTTGAAGCCAACATTTGCACTAAGTTATCAAGTGGATGAACATTATGCATATATAATATTTAAATATGCTAATTAAGTAGAATTATAGGAGTTCATAGAGATTTGTAAATTTATTAGAGATACTATGGAAAAATCATAAGAAAGAGAGGAAGTTTAGTTGGTAATTGAAACTGATTTATCATTTTAAAAATTAAGCGAGAGTATTTCTAATGCTGTGTATTAAATGAATTTAGAAGTATAAGGCAAAGCAGAATTTCAAAAGGATACTCTAAAATTGTTAGAAAACATAAAAATGTGTAATTAGGATATTTTGCCTTCTTTTTTATAATAAAAATATTTGAGTCAAATATTATTATATCTGTAATTGTTAGAGAAGGTCTAAGCTGAAATAGAAATAGAAAAGATTGAGTACGATTTAGGTTTTGCATAACCAAGTATAGAATTGCCATTTAAATTTGCAATCTACGGAAAATTGCAAAAATTTGCTGAACAATATTTAGATGATGGAGTGATTGAATTGATAATTAGAGGACCTGGTTTAAGTGTTAGTGTTAATTTCACTTACAAAGGAAGCTTATTTACATTGATTGACAATATTTTAATTATTAAACAATGAATGCAACACACAATATTTTAATTATAAAGTAATGAATGTTTTGGAATAATCATTAAAATAAATATAGGAACAGCATTTCAAAGGTCAATATAGAAAAGCTTATGAATAACTTAAGCAATTAGGGAGAGATCTTGAAACTTATGATCCTTCTTTTTAAGTATTTCAAAGAAGACCATGCAACATCGAATTGTTAGCTGCATTCTATACTGAATATGGAAGTGTAGCTTTAAAGTTAAGTTTATTGGATATCTCAAAAGAATGTGTTCAATGTGCTTTCTTTTATCTTAAGGATTTTGCAAATATCAATCTATTTATATTGAATATCCTTACTTATCAGAGGATCAATTTCTGGCTCTGTCGGTACAAAATTATCCATTAAATAGATTAGATATCTTGACTCAATTCATTTATTAAAGAGACTTTTGAATGTGGTGCCCAACTAACTCATTCATTATAAAATCGAGATTTTTATCAATATTGCCAATTCTCAAAGAGCTTGGTGTATTTATGATGATGCTGAAATCTCCATCAATTAAGCCGAATAATTGGCTAATCTATTAAATCCATCCCTGTAAAATGATTTACTAAAAACTAACATTCTATTTTTAAAAGCTAGACTTTATATGGATACAGATAGAAGCAAATATGGATTAGATTTTGCATTAGAGTATGTAATTCAAATGTTAATTAGTTGTCAGTTGTTTACAGCAAAGAGAGATGTTGTTGCCACGTGATCATCCTGATATTGCTATTGCTATGGAACTTGTTGCCAAAATTAATTTTAGTTAGAATCTTGTCTAAGAAGCATAAAAGTATCATGATTAGGCCTATAAGATGAAGATTAAGGCCTTTGGATTACATAACTTTGAAACTATTGATTCTATTAATGAAAAAGGTCGTCTCTTGCTTTCCTCGAAAAAGGTATTCTGTTTTTAATAAATAAGGAATAACAAGCTATGTATTACTTTTAATTGATAGGAGAAATCAGTTAAGTACTCTTAGGCCCTCTTAATTAATATCAAGCACTCTCTTATAATAATCTAGGTTGTGCTTTATTCAATATTGGAAAATATGAATCATCTATTTAATAACACTCTAATGCATTATTCATCTATGAAAAATTATGTGGCTATGAGCATTCTAAATTAGTGTTCTCATTAAACTAAATGGCAAATGCCAATAAATTACTTAACAGACCTAAAGCAGCCTTTTTGATTTGGAAGCGTTGTTAAACAATCTTAGAGAAAAACCCACAAATCAATTCTAAATAATTGACTGCTATCAAATCTAGTTTATAAGGATTGTCTTTACAAGAAGAAGATTGATTATTATTATATATATTGTTTAAATTAATAATATATAAATAATTTCATGTAAAAATCAGCTTAACCTTACATTGATAATTCTTTAACCAAAAAAGATGCTCCAGTTTAAAATGAACCATAATCCAAATTCACTCCACTTTAATTAATACCTCCAATTAATGATAATTCTAAACAATCAAAAGGCATGAAAGCATCTAGATCATAGAATAACAGTAAAATCAAAGTAAAGAAGGTTAAACAAAAATTTCCATCATTAATGGAATTTGACGAAATGCAGACTCAAGATGATGAACTTGAATTTCATGCATACAATGTTAAACCATTTGATTCAGTAGCCCCTTAAACTTTCAGAAATATCTATAAAAAAATTGACACTATTCTATAAAAGAAAACTCTCTATCAGAATTAAAAAATGTCTCTTTTTAGTAGTGTAGCAGAATCTTCGAAAATAGAAGTAATGCCTTAATTTTATAAGTATTTTAATAGAAATTAATGCCCAGAACTCTTGGTTTAATTCGTCCAAATACTAATAACAATAAGATACTTGATGCATCTAATTTTTGTATGGGTGATAAATATGCAAAAGTACTGTGTTCTGGTGTAAAATTAACTCTAGATTACTATGAATAAGTTAATCTGAAAAACAACAATCTTACTAGTAGATCCAGTGAATGTCTAAATTAATTGATTCCTACTAAGTTAAAAGGTCTAAATTTATAAGGGAATAGTTTAGGTTAAGGAGGATAAGAATTCGTAAAAGCTTTAAATACAAGATATGGTCAATTGCAGTATCTAAATTTAGAAAACAATAAATTTAATGATGATAGTTGTCGGCAATTATTCAAAATGCTTCAAGAAAATACCATAATGTAAAAACTCAATCTCTCCCATAATCTAATTACAGATAAATCTATGCCAGAATTTAATTGTTTATTATTAAAAAATGCAACTCTAAGCGAGATATATTTACACTGGAATCGAATTCATTAAATTGGAGGTATATTAATATAAATAATTATTGAGGCTAATATATTATAACAGCTCTTTTTATTAATTACAATGTCAAAGTATTAGATCTATCATTCAATTCTCTTGGTATCAGATATAAAGATGATGCTTAATCTCCTTAAAAAAATAGATAGTAGCCAAATTAAAATTGGCCAGATTACTTGTCTTCTAAGAATTGTAATCTTATACATTTAGATCTTTCCAATAATCAATTCAACCAATCATAATCAGAAGCTATTGCAAAGTCACTTGAAGACAATCATAATATATTTGGATTTCACTTTTCAGGCAATTTTCATAGTTCAATTGATCATTTAGGTTTTCTAAATATTACAAAATCAACAATAGAATAAAAGGATATAATCTTGAAGAAAAATGAAGAATATCAATCAGAAATTATTGGAGCACTTTAAATCCCAAGAATAGATGGTTTAAAATAGATTTAAAGATAATCATAATTCTATAATGAAGTATGTTGGATATGTGATGGATGGGTAGAATGTACTTTTCTATGGTAGCCAACTCATTTAGATATAAGAAAGGAACCCTTATTCATCCATTTAAGTCATGAAAGATTTGCTCCAATAAAATTAGAATTAATGGATGATGAATAAAGAGAAAGATCACCAATGTCTCGAAAATCTAATTCATACAAAATATGGTATGTATAAAGAATGGTACCATCAAAGTAACCAATTCGATTCTTCTTTTCAAGTCCTTTATTGAAATAAGCTCAGGTAAGTAGTCAATATGAAATTGTTGATTGGCCTAAAGCAGAATAGAATAAGAAAGTTTTGTTTTATATGATTAATGAGAAACCTTTAACATTTCGAAGACCAAAATAATGTAATTAAATAATTTTGGGATAAAAATAATCTTTTGATGAATTACATTATGAACCTAGTGTGCATTGTAAGCCACGAATAAAAGATTATGGTGGAATATTAGATTTGATTATTGATGATTCAATAGAAGAGAATGTTGATTATGGAGATAATTTTTTTAAGGAATGCCATCGTGATTCTGATTAGGAATTTTCAGATTGTTTTGAATGGGATTGGAATAATTCTTAATTAGGAAAATTAATAAAAGAGTAGGATCAATTAATATAAGTTAAATAGTATTTACACAGAATATATAGAGATTTAGTATCAGCTTATAGAAATTATAGTGCTTATTCTCCAAGTGGTGAAATTTGGAGTATATCACTAAATGTTTTTACTGACATATTTTAATCTTCATTTGTAGATAATAAATCATATCTTTTAAAAGATTTGGATATATCATTTAGATAGACAACATCCAAATATATAAATTAGACAAGGACATCAACTTCACATGCATTATTAAGACATTAATTTTTAGAGATATTAGTAAGAATGTCAATGGATAAATATTGTAAGACTCCTAATTTGATGAGTCCAATTGAAGCTTTATAAAAGGTTTATGAAGTGGATGGATTATAGAAGAAGATTGAGTGTGTATAAGAATCATAAACATGGAGAGATGTATATTATTGGAGTATGGAATGTAATAGGGTGATATAGAGTAATCAGTCAATTCTTAGATAGTTATATTAGGAGTGTGTTTAGATGAGATAATTAAATTATTTCACAAATAAGATTTTTGTATCTCCATAATCATTTAAAGAATTATTCAATAGAGCAGGATTGATAAATGATGTAAATGCAGAGAGAAATGTATTGATTGCATTTGCATTAAGTGTACCTCTAGTTTTAGATGAAATTAATTAAGATAGATAGATTTAGATGAATTATCAAGAATTTGTCGAAGCTTTAGCTAGAGTGGCTGAAAAATATGGTTAGAATAAAGCAGTTATCAGTTCAGAATAGTTAGCATTGAAATTATAACATATTATAGGATAATTATAAGAGTATTATTAAATTGTAGATGAAAACAAAGTATAATCTAATTAAATAATCATATTTAGATAACTATTCCATAAATGAGACAATCTAAAAAGTAAACCAATTTTTTATAAGAGAATGTAACTAAATTATTATATGAGATTGATGGATCACCTATGAATGCACCATAAATTAATGAATATGATTTTGTAGAATGATTAAAATATTGCTTTATATAAAAATTAATTAAATAATTCTAATTTATTGTACATAAAGATTAATCAACCTAATTTTACTTTCTTTTTATAGTTAATATATGCTTAGTCTTTTGATCTTCCTAAAGTAACAACATCACCAGTTTAAAGTTCTTTTTGAATATCTTCTTAATCTACTTATCCATCTATTTAATAATTAACTTTTCCTCTTTTTTATTGTATAACTGTTTATTTAGATTATTATAATTGTTTTGGTTTATTTTTTTATTATTGTTATTCTTCATCTAAAACCATTTTAATAAAATTCCTCATCTTCCTCATAGCTTTATTAAATAGAGGTAATGATTAATTAACTGCATTATCTAATTATTCACTAGCAATTTCAATATTCTTAAATTATAATCCCATAGCCAATAATAAAGCTGCTTAAGTTCTACTCATTCTAATTGCTTTACCACATTTTTAAGCAAAGAATATCCTAATAAAAATATTAATAAATATGTACTTGCATATTGTCGGTAATATATCCAGTATTAAATAAAAGTCTGCCATACTTTTACAATAGTTTTCAAGTCTAGCATAATCACTAAGACTTAACTATTAACGAAGTTCTTCTTTAGAGATAATATTATCATCTTTTGCAATTTCAATGTCTTCATCTATATTAGCTGTAGTTACATTAGCTTTTAAAATATCAATACAAAGATAAGGTTCTAAATCCTTAAAATCATATCCCAATAAGTTAATGAATCTATTTCTAAAATCTAAACTGAAGGCTTTACATAAATTATCAATTCCAGATCCATCCTCCTTTAGTGATCTTAAAACAATACATGTATATTCTCCAGTAGTATCATTCTTTCTTAAACTTAAATATGCTGGAGAAAACTCATTTTTATTCCAAAATTTATATAATTCTTATGTTAATCCAAAAGATACTCCCAAATAATCAATTTAAGGTGGATAAACTTCACTTAACTTTTTTAAAAGTGGAGGTAATTTCTTTTTTGGTTAAATTGATTAATCTTTATCATCTTCAGTAGTCACTTATTCTCTAAAATCTATATGAATTAATTGAGCTGTATGATCTAAGATTTCACCTTTACAAAATCTATTTAATAATTCCATAGCTTTGCTTCCATATCCCATTTTCTATGCATTTGGATGTGTTGCAATTCTGATTATTCTAACACCTGAATATTATGGAAATTAATTATCCAAATAATATTTGCTAAGAGTCCAAGGAATTAGATCACCTGAAGGTTTTTATTAATTTGTAACTTAATCTACTAAATCCTTTGGAATTGCTCCCTCAAAACAAACTTATACTGCACATAATATGTCAGGCATAGTCTTATCAGTTGGTAAAGGACCTAAAAGTACAAATACTGCATGAGCAGGTGCATCTGATAATAATTGTAAATCATTTGGTGAGTTTTTATAATGTGATGATATAAACAATGACATTAAATTAAATAGAAACTTCTCACTTGTTTTCTATGATGAAAATAAAGTATCTCTATTACATAAATACAATTCACAATCATTAGGATGTGGTAATCCTTTTTATAATTTAGATGCTTCACTTGCATCTAATAATAATAATTCATATAACCATTTCTCAACTATATCCTTATTACTATATCTAATAGGATCATTCATTTATAATTCTTTTAATAATCTTGCTTAACCTGTTGGTTTATTCTCTCTTAATTTTTATAATAATTTTAATGACAATGACCTACCTGTTCCTTCATATCCATTAATAGTACTTGAAAGTACTAAAGTATGACTACCAAACATAGATTTAACAAATTATATTGGAATTGCAGCTGCTTCATCACAAAATACTAAATCAGCATTATTAGCAACTTTTACAAAGTCTTATGGTTGAATATATTACACAAATTATCGATGTGTTTTATATGCATTAACTCTAATGACTGCATTATTAAAATCAGGATTAGTTGATTAAATAACATCGAAATGTTGATTCTATCTAAAATCTAAAATTTCTAAACTTTAAATTAAAAATTCAAAGAAAGTAACTAAATTTTCTGGAGAAGGTGCAGTTACAAAGATATTACTAAATCCTAATTTAAGAGCAGCAGCAGCAGCCATTCCTATTGCAGCTGATTTACCTCTACCTCTTGCTGCACTTATTGATATAGTATATCTGAATACCTTCTCTTATAAACAATCAATTAATCCTAAGATTATTTTTGCTTAATCTAATGTTTTACAATTCTTTATCAATTTTTAAGCTATTTCATTTGGAACTGTCTATGCAAAATCTGATACTTAATTATTATTTATAGGTGTTCCTTACTCTATTTTCTCTAAAGCAGTCGAAGACACTGGTAAAAGATTTAATTCATCATCCACAAAAAGACATCTCTAACATCTACTTAAACTTATTATGAAACGTTCATTAAATCTTGGTTGAATCTCTTTAAAACTAGGAGTTCTTAATCTGGAATGAATATCCATTGTGAGAGAATACAATTATTTTAATGAAGACATTGTTTTAATTAGAAATACAATAATTCCTCCTCCTGCTATTGTTTCAACAGTTCTACATAGTATATTTGGTGTTAATGCTTCAAAATCTTATAAAATTAACATATTATATGTATTTCCTAAAACCTTTTATGTTTCTGCATAATAACAATATCTAATTTCATTTGAGGATAGAAACAAATTAAATGGTTCATTTAATTAAGTTTCTTCTTTCATTTATTAATTCTTAATTTCTGTTTCTCTCTTCTTTTTATGAGTTGTGAAACCCAAGTCCTTTATTTTATTAAAAAATCTTTACTTTCTTATAACACCACAATACTTTTGGTTTTTATATCATACTTAGTTTACTTAACAATTAATGCATTGTTGCAACTTAATATTTGCTTCTATCTCCAATCATCACAAATATTGAACGAATATGTTCATTAATTCCAGATTAAACAAGTGCTTATATTTAAGAATCAAGTTTTTTTTTCATTAATCACAAATTAAATTATATATATATATTTTTATTTATCATTCTTTCAACTAATCACATTTTTATCTATAAATGCTTTCTGCCTTCTATCCTAAATCTGGTTTGAGAGTTGATATTTTTTAACTGAAAGATTGCCAAGAAGATTATTTCTCTTAAGCATATTTAGTAATTTTAGATAATTTAAATGTTTATTTCATTGCTTTAATTTTCTTCTTTTTAGCTTACCTTTATTATTCATTATCAGTAGGTAGAATTTTTAAGTTTTCTGGTACTTAAAATTCATCCATTTCTTCAAAGTTCATTTTTTTAGAATCATTCAATTATTTTTTTGCTTCCCTTAAATAAATCAAAGGTACGATTTCTCTATTTGAATTTTTCTTAAATCTTATATGATAACCTTCCTCTGTCACTTTTTCTATTGTTCCCAAATAATAACGACCATCTGAAGAATAAATTGCTTCACATTATTAACCTACTGTAAATAACTTACTATCTGGTATAAGTTAAACTTTTATAAAAATAGCATGCATTTTTATTACTTCTTAATAACCAATAAATTAGATATCTGCCTCTTATTCTTCAGTGTCAATTTAAATTAACTTTGCATTATACCATTTTCTATCTTATTCATGATATGCCTTTGCTAATTTATCTATGTCTTCACCATTTAATCTATTCACACTAAATAAATTATCTTGTGTTTTTTAAAGGGATGCTATTTCTTTCTCTTATGCTTCCTTAGCTAATAATAATTCATCCTTTATATTCTTTAATTCAGCTATTGTTGAACCTTCTTCTTCATGAGAAAGTAAAAGATTCACTTTAAACATATGATTTTTTAACATTATCAATGTTTTATATGCTTCTATTACTTTACTCTAATCTAATTGTTATACAGGTGGTTAATAATTCTCTGGAGGATCATAATAATCAAATGAATCTATCTTCAATTTTTTGTATGATTCCATTTTTAATAATAATTATTTATTATTGAAATTCATCAATATGTTAAATTAAGTGGTTTCATCTAAATTAGCTTAATGTGCTACTAATAACTAAATGATCTAAGCTAAATTATAAATCATCAAAGAAGCCAGAAAACCTGTCTTAGCAGAAATTGATGATATACCTAAATAAAATTATATCTATCCACCCTTTCAATCTGAAATTCCAACATAACAATATTTAAAATAAGTTAATTAAGAAGTTAAAAAAATTAATCAAGAAATCAAAGTTATTAATTAAAAGGCAGAAATTTTCGAAAAAAAATATAATCGGGAAGAAAGAAAAAGACAAGATCAAAAATTATTTAAGAAACCAGTCATTAAGACTAAATAATAAATTGAATAAGAAAAAAAAGACAAAGAAGATAAGAGACTTGATGATTTTATTAATCGTATTGTTACTAAATATGAACCATATCTTAAAAAGCCAGAACCTCTTAAAGAAGCTGAAATCAAAGCCAAAAAAATTTATTAATAATAGTTTTAATAATATCAATCTAAAAAAGAATAATCCAATTAAATTTAAAAAGCTCTAGAAACTAAAGAATAAAAATAGTTTGATCTAGTTACTAAAAAAGATAATTGGGTAAAACAAAAATCATAAACTAAATTTTAATTAGTTGAAGATTATATAAAACCTAAAGAAGAAATTAAATTAGAGAAAGAATCAGAATCAATCATTATGAAGAGAGAGTAAGAAAAAAAAAAAAAAAAATAATAGATGTTATTTTATTAAATACTTGATGAAAAAGTAAAATTGGATTAAAAAATATTTAAGAAAAATTTTAATTTTTTGGTGACAAAAATATTTCATTAAATAGATAAATAAAAAACAGGATACATTTCTAAAGAAGAATTACTATCTTATTTTAAAGAGTTTACTATATTTATTGATATTTTTGAAATAAATTGGTAATCATTTAAAGACTTTGTTGTCAAAATTAAAGCAACCCGTAAAGGACTTTTGAATAAATAAGAACTTATTGAAATTTTGTAAGATCAAAAATTACATAGTAAAATTGAGAATGTTGCAGAGAGAATTTAGAATTAATAAAAAGAAGATTATTAATTACCAGAATTTGATTAGGAAGTTTAAGGTAACCAAGATGAACAGAATCAAATACCTCAACAAGAAGAAAAAAGAGATCCAGATATAGATTTTAAATAATTAGATTATATCACCTAAATAAATTAATAATTTTAAGATTAAAATTATCCAATTTATCATTAAGATTTAGAAAATAAAAAAATTGATTGTTAACTTTAAAAAGAATAATAAAAACAAAAGAAAAAGTTAGATCCAAATTTTATTATATTTAATAATGAAATAGGATAATTATCTGAATAGTATAATAAAGGAATACTTGAGTTTTAAAAGAACGAAGATTTTGTAATAGATTCTTTACTATACAATTTTTAATAAAAGTGATTAATGCTTCATATATATATTATATTTTCATTATTAAAAAATCATATCAGTCATTATTAATGCGTTATTTTTTTTTTTATCCTCTAGTAAAGCTATTATTTAAATTTTAGGATTAAGAATTACTATTTAATTTTGAATCAATAACAAATAAATCTAAAGATATGTTTTATAAATTACTTTGATCTTATGTTTTATTCGTATCTTAAAATAACGAAAGTACATCCTACTTAGTATAAAGATTATTTATTCTACTTTCTTAACAGCAATTAGGATTGGATTTAGTCATTGAGGAATTTGATTAAAATAGGTTAATGCTTGATATTTGATATGAAGATTACTGCATTTACGGAAATAGATTTTATTACTAAAGAGGTACTTGGTAACTGTTCCATGGCATACTTGATTAAGATTACTTAAAGGCATCAGGTTGGGATTAATATTTTTGTTCAAAATTTGGTGAATAGTAATTTGATACTGATTGATGAAAATTATTTTGTTAGCTAAAATTAAATTAATCATATTATGGCACAACATCAATTGTTTCCATTTACTTATAAATTAAGCATTAATTATCCTTTTAAGATATATTCTATTAATCAAATAGGTTTTAAGTTTAAGTTTAATATGTTTAATTCTCTGAAAGAATATTAAATTTAAAAAGTTAATTATTTCTTGGCATCTTAAATAGATCTGAAAATTTTTGATTTTTAGTTGTTTATTATTGTTATTAAGAAATCTAAGAATTCTCTATTACTAAACCTGACAAAAAATATTAACTTACTTATTCTGAATCAATATGAGAATTTGGATTTAAAAATGGATTATTTTACTTTAAGAGTTAATCAGTGTTTTGATTTGATTCTTTTATTTAATCAAATTCGTGAATAATATTTGAAGTTTTTGGTGTACTTTAATAATTCACAGACATTAATGTATTTTAAGATTAAGGACTATCAGGCTTTTTATCTAATTATTGAATAAGCTATTAATTATGATTTATTTATTCAATTTAAGGTTATTATTATATTTTATCATTGTTTTAAAATATACATTAATTATTTCCTATTTTAATCTAATTTACATTTTATATGATTACATTTTCATCTTTAAAATAAATAACAGAATCATCATTTGAAATGTTAACTGATTTTTCTTATGTAATTGATTATTAACATTATTATTATTAGATTTCAGAATCAATTTTGCATTATTAGTTGATAAATTCATTTAAATTTGAACGATTGCATTAAATTTATAGGCTAACTATATTTGAATCTAATAAAAGTTTTTTTTATTTTTTAAATTATTTTTAAGATCCTAAACTGTCTATTTAATTTTAGTATTCATTATTTTAATGTTCATTTTGGCTTTTATTTAATTATTATTCCTATACTTAAATGAAATTTGCTTGTTCTGTAGGGTCAGGATGAAATATAGAAAAAAGTTTATTTTAAATCTCAAAAGAGCTATTAATTGAACATTATTCTTCTGATATTGAGGAATCAATATGTTAAGAAAAAGAAATATGTTCCATATTGAATAAGAGCTCTTAAGGTTCTCCCTTTGTATTAGTACCAGTAGAACTTGAAAAATATTAATTTTCTTAAATAAATTATTTGAAGTTAACAATGTTGCAAGAAATTCCATTTTGAGTATCAGAGATATTTCTTTTTTAATCATTAAATTATTGACAACTAAATTGTTAATTTTATTTAATGTTTGCAAAAGATTAAATTTCAAATTAATTTATTTGAGACATTTATCCTTTAGTCTAAACTTCTTAATTGTTCGAAGGGGGAGGTTTTTCAATACAATTGTCTTAGTATTTGATTTTTTTAATTGAATAATTGGACAGGAAATTTGAGGAATTTTCTTAATTGAATTCAACATTAAAATTCTAAGATTTTAAATTATAGTCTAAGTCTATTTATTATGAGTTGTCTATTTGATAATAGAAACAAAAATTACCTTCCATTTTTGTATGTTTTTGAATTTTGGCATGATTTTTTTTAAACTTCATTTGTTTCTTGGGTTTGTTAAGATAAGGTTGCTAATCTTTTAATTTGATAGCTTGGTTAATATTGGATTCTTGAGATGTTTAATTTTGTTTTTGAATAACCTCCTGGTAATATAAATCAAAGGGATATAAAGACTTGCGTTTTGAAGTTTAATTATGTTCTTAGTTCGGTAGAATATGATCTACAATTACAAGATTATTTTAAAATTAATGAGATAGTTCTTTTTCTAAATTTAATTCATTATAGCATTGTATCCGTTAAATTGTACTCGATGGGTTGATAGTAGGTTGAAACAAATCTTAAATCTTGTTTTTTAGCTTTGTTATTATGCCTGGTTTAGAGTTTTTAGAAGAACCAAAGGGACTAAAGGGAGAGTAAGTTGATAGTTTATTTCTAAAAAGAAAATTATGCATAATTTAATTAATATATTATTATATTTAGAAAACCTAGATGAGAAATAATTATATGTTTTAAGTACTAATTGTTTTATATAAAATAATTATAACTAATCATAATTAAATCTCCCATTTCTTTCTGCCATTTAGGTCTCTATTCTAAATTTTAATTGTTCATATACTTAAAATAGAATTTCATCCATATAAGACTTCTTGTTAAGATTACATTTTATTCCATTTTTACATTAATTTGGTATTCCATTCCCTGTTATAGGATTTCTATCAATTTATTTACTAATTAAAGTATATATAAGGTTTTCCTTATTAGAATATTCAAAAATCTTATTAGCTGCTTCATTTTCTTTAATTCTCGTTAAAGATATAGAGACTTAAGGTCTCTTATAGAATCCAGATTAACTTGTTTTCTTATGAAAATTAATAAATGAACAATCTCTTTCAATATGAGTTGGCTTAATATAATCTACTGAATGTGTTAATAAATCTTTTTTGCTTTAATTTCTAGATGGAGAATGTCTTCTTCTATATCTAAAATTAAATTATTTAAATTTTACTTATATACTTCCTCTTTCTTTGGCATCATATCCTAAATAGAAGATTCATATTTGCATTAATTAATTCTAATCTAACTTCTATTTTATTTTGTTAAACCTAATTCTGTACTGGTTGCCTAATAAATATATTTTTATTTAGTATATACATTTTTGTTAATATGTGTTGATTAAGGTTATTTTACAAATAATTAACACTAATTTAGTTTAAATTATGCCGATGCTTAAGAAAAGTGTCCTTATGGAAAATGCTTTTTTGATAAAATGTTTTTCATCTCAACGAACTTTTTATTATTATTATTTTTGCTTATAAAATAATAGTTATTTCTTTAAAAGAAAGAAATTGTCAATTATTATTAATTTATTAAATGTTACCAAGGATATCTTAAAGTTAGTAACTAAATTCTATTCATTATTAAGAAGATGTTACATTAAATGAAGTAAAAAAGAGAAAAAAAGAATTAGAATTATAAGCATAGAGTATTGAAAATAGAATAAGATAACTTAGAAGTGAAGAAGGAAAATTAGTTAAACGAATAGTATAAACAGAATATTTAACCTCAGATGTTTATCAATAAAAATTAGCTTCATAACTAAAAGTAAAAAAAATACTTAAATATAATAGAAAGAATAAAAAATAATAAAAAATTAACATTAATATAGATATTAATAGAATGATTCAAAATTATTGACAGAGTAATCTATTGGAAATGAAAGAAATAAAGAACTCTATATAAAAACAACAATTAAAAGAAATTAATTGAAGTAAGTTAAACAAGAATTTAGATAATATAAGCATGATGAAGCATAGAATTATAGAAAACTTTTATAATATGAACTATTTAAATATATTGAAGAATAATAAAAATGGCATCAAAATTAAAAACTAAAGGCAGCATTAAGAAAGCAAGAGTAAAATTTATCTGAGTTATTAATTCGAGATAAATTAAATGAAAAAAGAAACAAAATAAAATAAGAGATGAATAAAGAAAAATTCAAAACCATTCAAGAGAATGAAGAAAGAGAAAAACACATTAAATAATTAGAGATAGAAGAATTATAAATAGTATAAAAATTATAAGAAACTTAATAAAGAGAGAAGGATGTGAAAGGAAAATTAATTGCTGCTACTAGATTATAACCAGAATAATTTGCTAAAACATTTCATTCATTAAATAATACATCAATATTGGCAGAATAGTTAAACATCTAAAATAATGTATTTATATATATAATATAAAAGAAATAATTAGAAATTTTACAATAAAATTAATAAAGTCATAATGATAATGAGCATAAAGAAGAATAATAGGGAACTTAAACTGAAGAATGAATTCATTAAATTTACATAAAATATAATAAAGCTTAATTTACCATTTATTAATTCTTATAATAATTCCTTACGATTTTATTGTTTATATTTAAGTCAATCAATATTAAAGCAGCTTTATTAATATGTTTAAGAAAACTTAATTTATTTTAAAATTTCTTGCCAGACTATTAGAATTTGAAAACAAAGCTTACATTCTGCCTGAACATTTAGTTAATATTTTACTATTGTAACATTCCTTAATAAACATATCATATCTCTATTAAAAGAATAGATAATCATGGATCTACATATTAGTGCTTATTGCAAGACCTCAAATAATAATAAAGATTGCATATTTAGATTATTTTATGCTTGCATTTATTTTTTTGTGGATTGTATTTTTATTTAATCAAAATTTTTATGGAGCCTCACTGACTAGTTTATTGAATACGATTTTGAAAACTGCATTTTTTAATTTTGTACTTGAGTAGATGGATGATTAATTAGGAATTATTGTTGGATTATTTATAACCTTATTATAATTTTTGGATGTTTTATTAATATAAGGAACACTAACTGTTAATACTATAAATTTTTAAGTTCCATACTCTAACTTCTTAAATATAATAGATTTTATATTAAATATTCTGCTAATTTATTTTTAGTTATTTAATTTTCATTAAATATTGTTATAAATATTAGCTTTAATTAAATCATGTTTATAGTTAACCTTTATTATCTTACATAACAATTATAGAAATAGCACAATTAGAAAAATGGTAGCTTTTTCTCATTTGGCTACAATTGCATTTGGAATAATAGATTTTGTTAATTATTAACATTCATATACGTTAGTTATATTACCTTTATTGCTTAAAATTATACTTTAGTCATAATTCTCTAATCATAAAGTTGATGAACCTATTCTAGAAGCTTCAATATTATTAGAATAAGGATAGGCTTTTAAATGTTTTACAATTTTAAACAACTAAAAGAATCTAGGAATAATGAAATAAGCAAAATGTAATCAATAAATGAAATTGTGTATTGATTAAATAATTATAAAAATATAAAAGCCACACTAAACTTTAAAAGGAGTTTGTTAATAATTAATGAAAAACGATGAAAGAAATGTTTATCTGTCTAATTAATTAAATAGTTTGATTGAAAACAAATTATCTTTACTTTAAAATTTTAAAAATATTAATTTTAAATAATTGCTGAATTATACTAATAAAATTAATTCAATAAATAGGTAATTAAAATAATACCGAAGTTAATAAAATAGTATGATGATCTAATCATTATAAGTTTTCTTTTATTCAGAAATAGTAAATGATTTACTTAAAGCATAATAAATTTAAGGTAGCTTTACGACATCTTAAGAGACTTAAGTTAAATTTAATGATTCAATGTTATCTAAGTTAATTTATTTAGTTGCTAATTATTAAAATAATAAATTGATAATTAAATCTATATCGAGCAATGCTCCAAAAACATTTTGTAATAAAAGCCTTGATGATCTCATTCCTTAAGGAGTTAGAGAATGGCACTCTTTATTAGTAGATTAATTTGTTACTAATGGTTAATCAAAGTATGTTAGAAATTTAAATAACAATTACATTACTAATGAAAATTTTATTGAAAATGTTTAATTTGCCATTGATCTCATATATATAGATGAAGTTAACTTTGTTTGCTTATTCTAACCCACACTTTTATAAACAAAAACAGTCATTATTAATTAAAACTATTAAATTACTTCAATGAGTTCAGATTTCAGTGATTTTATCAATTTAAGTAAATATTTTCAAATAGGACAATAACTTGATAAATTTATACCAGCTGTTACTCAAATTACAGAAAGTTGTTATCTAGAAAATATGATAGTAATATAATCTGATCATATTTTAAGTACTAATAATTTTTCTGATAAAAAACGTGAAATGAATTATTATTGTGATGTCAATATTACTGTTAAATTAAATAAAGGTAAAATGATATATATGATCATCTAATTTGATAATTTTAAGAAATAATTAATAAAAAAAAATGATGACCTAACATAAGATTAATTGCCTACATTTGAAATTATTCCAAATGAAATAGACAATAATATGATTATTGATCCGTATGAATTTTCTGAAGATTTTTATGATAGGATAAATATGCAGAATTATATGAATATTGATGAAAAAACTGTAGCTTAATAATAAATTATTACACCTAGAGATGAAGAAGTATCACTAGTTCCATTTTAAAGAGTAGCAAAAAGATTTAAATCTTAATTTTAAAAATCATAATTTTAAGAAGAACAATAAGCTTAATTTATGGATGTTCAGTCTTAAGTTTCTTCATTAAAATAATTTAGAAATTCTAAATTTTATAGAAAATATGAACTTTATAATAAGTTTCTTTAATATATTCCATATAATAGAATGCATAAATTCATTATTGTGATTATGTTTCTGTTATGCTTCTGTCAGATTATTTTCATAATTATTGTATTTAAACAATTTATATTTAGCAATTAACAAATATGGCCTTAATAACATTAGCAGAAGATGTTAATTTGTTAGAAATTAAAAATTTAATATTTTAACCAATGGAATTATTTTTAGTAACCAGATGGACATTATTTAACTATAAAAATCAACTAAATGAAAAATAAATTACCTTAGAAGAATATAATAATAGAACTGAATTTGCTTTATCTAATTTAGATTTAGGATACGATTAATTAAACAAAAATATATAATCAGTATTATTCAAAAAGGAATTACAGCCATTATTGTAAATTAAATATTTATATGCTTATTAATACTTAGATACATATAAAAATGAATAATATAATATGACTTTAAGAACAGCTATTTAAATTCTACTAAACTTTTAATATACACTTAAAATGAATTATAAAATTGATAAAACAGTTGCTATTGATACTCCTTAAATATTTTATAGTTATAAGAACTATAAAGTATTAAATGACATTACTTAATAACTTAATCTTGATATAATATCAGAAACATTAATTAGAGCAAATTTAATTCAAGTTTAGATAGAAACCATATTAGTTGTTCATTAAATATTACTAATATTCTTTTTAATTTTAATATTTTTTTTGCATTAAATTATTGATAAAAGACTTATACAGTGTATCAATTTGAAATAATATGTTAATGAAAGAGAATTAGAATTAGAAATAAAAAAATATTAAATATTTCTAAATTAACTTAAATTAGATAATTCATTCAAATTTTGTTACCGACTAAATATGGAATTAAAAGAATAATAATTTTAATAAGTTTAAAATTTTGAAATTTAAGCAAAAATTAAATTTTAAAAAATTTCAAGTAATTCTTTTGTTAAATATTTATTGCTTTTATCAACTGTTTACATTTTATTCTCTTTTAATCATTTCGTTATTTACTTTTTATAAAAAACCTTTATATAAAAATATCCTCAAACTGCAATATAATTAGAAGCATTTGCAAATTTGGGAGTTGATTTTCCTTGTATGTTTGCATAACGTGAAATTTTGTTAGAAAGGAAAAGATTGTTTTATTTAACTTAAGAAGATTTCGAGAATGTATACTAAAGAATAATATTAGCTTTGAATAACACTGCTAAATTTGATTCAACTTAAAAGGATTTTTCTAAGTATAATATAATTCTAATTTAGAATTTTAGTAACAAAAAAATTTTAAGATTACTATGAATAATTATTAGGATCAAATCTTTGTAACTTTATTCCCATTAGCTTATAGGAAAAAAGTAAATTGATATGCCCCTAAATTTTTAATTAAAATATGTAATTAGGTATGAAGGCCGTTTTAGTTTATGCTGAAAATTTGATTGCAAAAGAGATTGAAATTAATAAATTTACTAAAAGGCTAACTATTGTATATAATGAATTAGATGGTGTTTTTATTTTATCACAAATCATTAAAAATGTTAATGATTAATTTGTTTAAGATTTATAAGAACTGACCAATCAATTAGCCTAAATTTTGAATGTAAAATATTCGTTAATTTATTAGATAATAAATATTTGTTATATTGTATTGATCATTTTAATTATTTTGATATGGACCCCAAAATTGGCTGTGGTTTTTATTAATAATTCTAAATAAATTGTTCAATTTGTGCAAATATTACCTACTTATTCTATCTACACAAATGATTTGTTTGAAAGAATTTTAAGAAGCTTTTTAAATCAGAATTGATATTATTTTTAATCAAATATTTGTTCTTTTAATTTTTATAATTAAGAATTTATTTATAAATTACTAATTTCAATATATTAAAAATATATTAAATTTTGATCTAGAGTAACATTGAGGAAAATTAAAAAGAAAATTTCAATAATTTTTTTCCTTTTTTTAATCAAAATAGGAACCTATTTATTAAATTCTTATAAAAAATATTTAAAAAAACTAAAACATAAAACTGATGCTTCATCATTCCCAATAATAAATAAAAGAATAATTTATTTATTTTTGTAAATCATTCTTTTTTTCTTAACATTTTGGCTTTAGTAACAACTTAAAGTTTTTCTAAATCCCAACATCAAATTGGAATTCTTAAAGTAGTTGTATTACAAATTTTCAACAGTTTAAATCAAATATTTAATAAAAATTTATAAAATTTATTGTAAAATTGATTATAATCCCAATTGATTAATATGATTGAATCTCTTTCCAAATTTTCTGCCTTTTAACAAATTTTAATATTTTGGATAGACACTTATTTCCTATTTTAAGATAGAAAGCTATAAATTAAAAAACAATTCAATGAAAGGAACCCTATTAATTCTCATAAAAACCTCAATAATTTAAGAAAAATTTAATTTATTAAAAATAAATTTTTTTATTATCAATCATTAATATGTTTTCCTCCAACAATATTTTACTTCTATATATTTGCATTTTCTATTGCCTATTCATTCTCCTTTACTTCAAAATAAAGCAAAATTCTTCCATAAAAAATACTTATTGGAAAAAAGTGATCTAATGAATCGTAGCCTTTATATTAAGTTTTCGTTAAAATATCCAGTAAATCTTATAAATCTAAATTTATTTTAATCAAATGTTTTTTGAGAGTATTTAATGCGATTACAATATTTATCTTATCACTTAATCCCAGCTTTTCATTAAATACATTTTTACATTATTTAATCCAATTTCCTTTTGAATTAAAGTTGTCCGTCTAATTATATTTTGATCCTATTTAGAATAATTTATATAATTGTTCTAATTAATTAAGACTATATCTCTCAGATTCGTTTAGGAAATCTTAATTAATTTTAAGAGATTCTTTTAGTAAATTAATTTAGTCTAATTGATTTAATTTATCAATAGTATATTTTTGAATAATGCTATCAATTTTGCTAAATAGTTATTAACATTCAAAAGAAACCTTTTAAATTTTTTCAAATAGTTGATATTTATCCATCAATAATTGGAACAATTATTTTAATTTTTTATGATTACCTGAATTATTATCATCAATAAACTCCAATTAATTATTTATGATGTAACAAATATCTAATAGTTAATTTTTGAATTCTTCAGTATTCTTAGGATTTAAGGATGAAAGTTTAAGAAATAATTTAATATCTTATTATAATTGTTAACCATTTAAATATTCATTGTTATCTTAAATTTAAACAATTTTTTCAATAAACTTTTATTCTAAATATTCTAATTTTTATATTAAGCTAGTAGATACTTATTAAAATAATTTTTATTCAATTAAATTAATATTGAAATTCTTAATATATAGTAAGTTAAGTACTATTTTTTTATCTAAATTGTATTCCCCGTCTTTAATTTAAATTGTTTGATAATTTGGTTTCTTAATGTATTAATTCAATATTTTTATATCTATAGTTTTATAAAGCGGAGTTCCTTCTTTGTTGTTAACTATTATATTAAAAGAATCAAGAGTTATAGTTTTATTCAATTCCATCAATTTTATTAAACCTAATTAAATATTTTCATTTATAAAATTTTGATTTATAACTAATTATAAATAAAAATGTTTTTAGTTCTTTTGACAATAAACAAAAAAGTACTCAAGCAATATAACAAAATCTTCTGAAAATTGTTCAAATTCAATAATTAAGTCTTTATCTTTTTATACAATCTCAATTACCTTGTCGTATTCTATTTTTCCAAAGTGTATTTGCATTATAGAGTTTTGAAAATGCATTTTTTTATGAGGAACTTTATAATACAAGTTAATTGAAGTACTTTTACCAGACAATGGATTCCCAATAAATACTAGTAATCTATCCCAATTAGAATATTTCTAAAATTCGTCGATATTTGATTCAATACCATGAATTATCTATTTCTCTTTTTCAGTGGGTTTTATTTTTTCTGCTATTTACTTTTATATAGTCTTAACTTAATCTCAAACTTCCTATTTCTTATTCTTGTTAGATATTTTAAATTATCTAAGATCTATTTATATTTCTTTTAAACATTACAACAAATTCTCTATAATGTTCTATTCAAATAAATATCTGAGTTCTTCAAGCTTTGTTGATTTGCATTCCTCATATTTTAATGCAGTATAATATTTTGTTAAATCTTAATAATAGAATTTATTTAAAAATAACATTGGGATATCATAATCTATAATTTAGCAGAATTGCATTAATTAATCTCTTTTTTTCTATAATTCATCTAATTCTTAAGTTTTTTAAATGAATTTTGTAATAGATTAGTCTATTTCAACTTAAAAAATATCTCTAATTCCAATTAATATCTTTTAAAGTTATAATACAGCTTATTCGGTTATGCTCAATTTAAAATTAATACTTATTTCATGATCCCTATTTTATTTAATAAAATCATGGATGTTATTTTTGAATTATTCTTATTAATGCTTTTCTGGTAAAATTTATAAATCAAATATTATATTTTTGAGCCTTTAATAAAATTCTTTTGACACAGAATATGCTATATTAGCTTTCTATATTGGGTTATCTTCTTAATTAATTTCCTTAACTAACCATTCATTAAGCATATTCAGTTACCAATCCTTAATTTGGTTTACAATTAAGCAAATTCTATTATTGTTAAACATAGTATTAATTTCTTCTTTACTATTAAATAAATTTTCAGCTAAAAATAAAGGTTATCTATAGCATTCGCGATTATTCATCTAAAAGTGAATAACAATTAATAGTATTATATTTTTATAAGATTTTAATAATTCTAATAATTAAATTTAAGGAGTTAAATCATCTAAGCGATTTTGATTGTCATCAAATCCAGGGGTGTCTATAATATCTATTTCTTAAGATAAACTATAAATATTTGGAGTTTTGGTCATAGAATCACCCTTCTAACCAATTAACGATTCTTCAACAGTTTTCACTTCTAATGTTTCTGTCTTAGTTTCAGCTAATTCATCACCTTTTAAAATATGATAAATTGTTGATTTTCCAACTCTTGTTTTACCAAATAAAATAACAGCTGTTTTTTCTTTCTTTTAATTTAAATTTATTTCTTTCAAATAGAATTCCATCTATTCCTTAAATTTATCTATTAACTATTCATCGCTTTAAGATTCCTTTTCTTTCTAGCCTTAATCCATGTTGAGAATTGTATTTAATTATTTCAGAATTCTATTAATTTTTTTTATATTTCACAATTCTATTACTTCTGGAATTTGGATACACTGTTATTTTAACTTTATAAAAAAGCAAACTTCTTATATTTTATTATCTTTATTCAATATTCCTTTCTTTAACTTGCCAATAAAATTATATGTAAAATATATTTTCTACAGGTCCTTTTTAAAAACTTATTCGTAGATCACACTTTTGAAAAAACTATGAGGAACTTTTAAACTAATGAATAATTATTAATATTTATATTATAGTTTAAAAATTTTGGTGGTTGATTTCGTATTTTTGAAGCTTAACTATGTAAATTTAAATAAAGATAAAAATAATAATATAATATTTAAAGAGACTTAAAATGAAAATTATGATCTTCTATAGTATCATTCAATTTCATGCATTCTATTTAAATACTCTTTAATTGCTTTACTTCTCTTAATCAAACTTAAAGGAATATTGGCTAATAATAGAGTTGTTTTTTTAATCTAATAAGATGAAAAATAATAATTTACTTCATTATTTATTTTAGTTGCAGTTGGCCACCAAAAGAAAAGATAGATCAAGACTAAAACGACCAAAAACACTATAAATATAGCTACTGATGTAGTTGTATTAGTATCAACATCTTGTTGGACACATTATAAAAATAAATCAGTAGTATATTAAAATATTTGTCTTAAATAAAGATCTTATAAAATATCTAAAATTAATCAAAAATACTTACTAATTTCATTCATTTATGTATTTGTATATAGGAGAGATAATGCTTTATTATAAGACGAATTGGTTGTGAAATTATAAAGAGTTCCAGTAATTGTATATGAAGGATCTTTGATGATGTTATTATATTCTTGTAATTGTGATCTTATATCTTCAAAATATCTTGAGAGAGCTAATGATAATGATTGATCAATGATGCCTTCAATGAATGATTAACATGTATTGATATCAATATCAATAATAGAAAATAAGTATGAACATCCCCCTGATTTCATTAAAGAATCAAAATGTGTATTGTAAATAGGATTATGATATTAAATATTTGATGAATGTTCTTTTTAGATTTTAGTATTGAGATCATATAAATCTTTGACAAAAGTGGAAGAAATAAGATAAGATGAGCTACTTTTAACTTCAAAAGTAGGATCTATTATCATTTATCTAATAACATTATTAGAAAATGTAATATTAGGAACTAATTAACTTGTAGCTTCTATTTCATCTACTAATGAACGGAAAGCATTTTATAAATAATCTCCAACTAAAAAATGAGTTAGGAAATATCCTAATAACATAAACATGGAAATAGCAAATTTAAGATAAAAATTACGTTTATTTTATAAATCGTATTTATATTTCTTTCTTTTTTTATGTCTTTCTAAATATTCTTCATCCTCATCTTATACTTCATCTTCATCCATAAATCCTTCATTATCTCTATGTAATTCATCATCTTCTTCTCCTACCTAAAGTGAATTAAAAAAACCTTCACAAATATTAACTAATCTCTTAACCTTATTAATTTGAATTTATAAAAATAGCTTCATAATAATTTCTTAATTCTGACTAACTAAACTAAACATACATGCTATTAATGGTACTGAAACAACAGCAAAGGCACAAGCAACAATAAATAAAGTCATAATTATTGATGATTCATTTAGTTTCTCCTTTAATTAAAATCCATAGATATTTGCACTCTATACTACAGCTTCAAAATAATTATTCAGTAAATTATAACTAACAAAAAATTAAGACTCAGGATTATATGTTTAAAGTAATTCTAATGCCTTTGATAAAATTTAAGCAGTCCCTTAATTTAAATCCACTAATTATGTAGATAATGTTCCACTTTAATCTCTTCCAGTCATTTTTACAGAATTAGTTCTTATCAAATCTATTTAATCTCCCTCAACTACTGCTGATTATAAAATGAATTATAATTCTTATAAATTTTAAATACTTGCATTTAAATTATGTCTTTATTCTGTAATTTTAGTTTTTTAATCTAAAAATGGATCTACTTGATTCAATAAATATAATTCAACTGTTTACCACAATATCCTTTAACTTAAAGCAATTCTTAAATTACTATTAATAAGATTCTTATAACCATCATAAACTCCAGAAAATAATTATTAGGTTAATATATAATTTAAGAGACCTAAAACTCCTAAGAAAATGATAAGAAGTGCAGCATTCCACCTAAAACATGCTAAACTTGATTAATTAGCACTTTTACTCTCTTTCAAAAATTAAACAAATGTTTTCTTTGATTTATAAACATTTGCATTACCATTATCTTATTCTTAATCATCTTCTTATTTTGATGGCATTTAACCTACTATTTTAGATTATCCATCTTCTTCTTCTTCTATATCCATATTTTTATATTCATCTGAATCAAATAATTATCCTCCTATCAATATCATTGTTCTAATTCCTAATGCTAAATCATTATTTTTATCTTCAATTTTAGATGATGGAGTTTTATCATCATCATTTTTTTATGAATATTCATAAGTTTCATCTTATTTTGAAATTGAAATAGCTGACATCTAAAAATTTTAATCAGAAATATATTCTCCAATAAATTTATAAACAAATTAATCTGGAAGTTTAGTATTGTTATCTTTTTTATATTATTTTTTCATTTATTCTATCTTTTCTTTCATTCCTAATATTTCTTTTGAATCAAATTAAAATAGAAACTTTTATGTTGTATTTAATTATTTTCTTGCTGAAGCTGGACCATGTTCAGAAGGTGTTTATAATATAGATTTTTCACCTCTGATTTATTCTAATTTAATTATGTAACCATATAATTAAGCTTATCTTTCATTTTTATGATGCTAAGACTGAGGAACATTCAATGTAAGATTAGTTTATACTAAATTTCCTTCCTTATTCTAATTATTCATAAATCTATTCACACATATATTAATCTCACTAACATAAACTAAAAACTATTATTATATGAATTAGTCTCTACTTTTATATTATACAGTAGTTTCATAACCTTATTTGCTCATAAGTTCTTATTTGAATTCTTCAAATTATGGTATTAAATCAGAAACCTAAGTTTTCTTTTTTGAAATATAATTGAGATCAATATGAAATAGACTTATAAATTAAGCACTAATGTTTTCTATACACATATCAAAGCTATTGACTATCATGTAAGCTTGATTCTTAAAATATCTTTCCTATTTTATAGCTCCAAAGAATTGAGAACCATTAATTAATGATGGAATATATCTAACATAAATAAAAAATGGGAATATGTATCCAGACTTATGCTTCCCTATTAATAATCTTTCTCGATTTAATACTCGACTCTCTTAATTTTATGTATAACCTTCCAAAAATTAATCGTGATATTAAGCATAAATATTTGGCATTAAAACATTAATTTTTCTATCCAATAACTCTGATTTAGTATATCCAAATGTTTTTGCACAAGATTAATTTAAACCTAAAATTCTACTAAAATTGCCATCCTCTGCTGAAATGCTTATTAAAGCTGTAGATTCATTTACAAAATCTTTTAGATTATTTATAATCTTTCCTCTATCCATATCAAAAGTTTATAAATTTTTTAATCTTTCAACAACATCTTCTGCTTCTTCTCTATCATTGAGTACATCGATCAAATATCGAGAATACATCATTAATAAAGTTGGTGGCATATCAAAATTGATTTTCATAATTCTCTTCCATTAATCATCCAATACTTTATCTACATATAACATTCTTAAACCAACTTCATACAATTTCCCAAGATCTGGTGTATCTTCTCTTAATTTTATCCAAAAATCTAAATGTAATTAAGTAGATTTTTCTATTAACATTTTAATCTCTCTCAAATTATTTTCAGCAGTGAATTCATTTACATTTGTCAGATTCCCAGAATCAAACATTTGTTCTTCAATAATCTTTCGAAGTCTGAAAATTAAGAATTATTAATCTAAATAAGGTTTTTCCTATTCTGCCAAAGTCAGTTCTTATAAGGCTTAAATAGTTGATTGCATTTTTTCATAAAGAAACAATGCATGTGAAATTCTCAACTCAATACAATTAGGATAACGAGTCAAACTAAGAACATAAATCTTCTCTACAATATAAATTAATATGACATATTAAGACTTCATTGATAAATCTTTTACACCTTTTTTAAATTTCTCAATTCTTTTTTCATTCATATTTTTAGGAGAACAAGGACAATCATCTCTTTTACATGTTACTTTATGATATTCAACGAATCCATCTAATAATGATGCTATACTCTCATCTTTATCATAATATCCAACCAATTTAGTTAAGTATTATAGTAATTATAAAGATTAATCTAAAGAATCAAATTTATTTGAATCTACCATCATTACTTCATATCTATATTCCTTACGTACCAAAATTATTATTAATAATAATGGTGTACATATTACCCATAATTAAGGTGCTCCATCATAATCTGTTTTCTCTAAAATCAATCCTAACACAACCATCATCATAGTCCAAAGAATTATCATATGTTAACCATTCAGCAATTTTGCAAAGTAGATGTTCAAATAAATGCTTGATTTATTAAAGGAATGAAATAACTTTATGGAAAATAAGGTTAAGATTATTATAATTAATAATCGTTAATTTCCAACATCTAATATTGTAAAACATAAAACCATCACAACTTTAAAAATTAAAAAAATTAAATCTTCCCTTCCTGTTACTTTGCATTAAGGATTATTTATCTAAAATCTAGATTCAAAAAACATCAATGTAACTAACATGCTTACTCCTATCAATATTATTGATGCAATACAACATAATAAAACATGTAATAAATAATTTCCATTATAACATTATTAATCTGCATATATCTTATGAATATGAGTTGAGTTATCACAATTAAATATCGTTAAAAATAGTTACAAAATAGGCATGAATAATACATAGTTTAATACTTCAAAAAATATTTTCAAAATCATTAAAGTCCCTGTCATCCTACCTAAACTTGCTGACTTTAATGCTATGAATAATACTAATATTAATAGGAGCATAATTAGTCCCATAACAATGTAATTCACTAAAATATATGTTTAGAAGCTCAAATTTTTCAAATAAGGTTAAATCATAAAATAACTAAAAAAAGAGTTTAGAGCAGATGTCCATGATTGCACTTTCCAAAGCGAAGAAAACTAAATAATATAAATTATTAAACATACTTCATCAGTGAAAAAGAAATGGAATACTTATAAACTTTCAATAAGTATAAAAAATACATAAATAAAGAATGGGAAATTATCTCCTAAAATTAAGTTATGTACTATTTCGAAAAACATTATTTTAAATGAGTGTTAAATCTTATCTAGATTTGTTTTGTCATCCTCAAACAATGAAGTTCTTTTCATTTTTATTATATCAATTTTATATTTATATTAATTAATTTTAATTAGTCCATATTTATATACTGATAATACAACAAACATTACCCTAATCTCAATTCATCCAATCAACTTGATCCATTTCTTTTATTTTATTTTATTCACTTAATTATTCGAGTTCTATAATTATTTAATCTATTGATGGACGTAAACTTTAACACGGATGTATCATTTATTTCATTAAAGACACTACAGAACTATCAATTCCTATATCCTCAATTTTTTTTAATATCTTAGTTTAATCTATTCCATAATTTATTATTTGATCTTTAATATTCTCTCCTTCAAATTCTAAAACATATAAATACCATCAAACAATTATTATTTTGTAAATATTTCATAAAATACACAACCTAAAGACCAAATATCTACTTTATTATTTATTATCACTTTATCTTAAATCATTTCTATGGCCTAAAAAGCAGGAGTACCAATATTTTGAATTATATCTTAATTTAAAGTTCTTACAAACCCCATATCACATAACTTAAATAAGTTGTCAATTAATTGAAAGTTTTCAGGTTTTATATCACAATGTATTAAACCAAGAGAATGAAATTCTTAAATACAATAACTAATCTTTATATTGCTAACAGAATTACCTTTTTACAAAGATTGATCTTTTCTGAAGGTAAAAAGTTTTACTGCTATATGTATCTATAGAGATCTAAAGTACCTAATTCCATTACAATTATATAGTATTTTTCATATTCAAAGTGATCAAAAAACTTTATTATTCTATTATGAGTCTATATTTGCATTAATTTATCGATGGTATCAATTTCATTTTAACTCTTTCTAAAAATCAATTTAAGAGCAACTAATTTTTCAATTTTCATTTGATTAATTTAAACAGCTTCAAACACATATCCTTCATATCCCTCTCCAATAATCTTTCTAAATTAATATTGCTTATCAGGTTTGCTTACATTTTATATAGTTTTATTAATGAAATATCTAGGAGTAATTCTTTATTGCATGTATTTAATAAATAATTCTAAAAATATAATAAGGAAATTCAGGTATTGGTGAACGCACAAACAAAATAATCTATAAATTTAGAATTTTTTTCTCAAATTTTAATCAGATTGATTGGTTTGAGCGAAAAATAAAAATTACTTTAATTTCTATTACATTCACTTATTTGTAGGCAAGCTGCAATTTTTTTTAATTAATTTTATTATAAAGGGAAAAAATAATGATAGGTAGTAAGAAATTCAAAAAGAAATGTGGGTAGCAAAAATCTTTAATTTTCCTAGAAGATTTGCGAAGTTTTTGTTAAAATAGATTGGACGCTCTGATCGTGTTGAGCAAGCTTAAATTTTATATTCCCAACTCTAATTCAGTAATTAATAGAGATTTTCTCAAAATATGCAATAGATGGATTAATTTAATATAAGGATTAATCAAATGACTCATACACAAGATTTATGACAGATGCAGGATTTGAAGCACATTAAACTTTATAATTGTATATAGTATAGATCATCTGAAAATGGTGGTCCTAGATTAAAAGAGAAAATAAAAGCAGAAAATAAATACAAAAATTTGTATTTTTATTATTTTGGAGTAATATCATTAGGGAAAAATTCAATAAATTTACAGAGGCAATTAGTAATTGATTTTTTGAAATAATTAACACTTTGGGATTCTCTATTAAAAGATCAATTTCAAGAAGTTTTTGATTTGAAAAGCCAATAGAATTTTAAAGTACTAAAAAAGTTAGATTTGACTTATGTTGTCAAATATGGAAATTTCTTGAAACAATAGGAGAAGATTATTGAAAATTTGATGAAAATGGTATTTAGCTAAATTAAAATGCAGATGCTTGGTCACTTCTACTTATGAATTTGTTTAATTTAAATTGAAGTGATTTATAATATAAACACATAATCTATTTCACAAATCATCATGATGTCCTCCATCATGGAATTCATATTTAGAATGTTCTTTAATAAAGGTAATCAATCTATCCCTTTAAATTTTGTTAACTTTTTGTATAAATTTAGTGTAATTTTTATTTCCTTTATATAATCTGATCTTGAATATATCAGTTGTATCTGAAAAATCACTGAATTCATTTTGAGTAACATCAGCAATAGCAAATTTGACTTTGCTTATTTAACCTATTTACTTAGCAATTTCAGCAAATTCTGGTAGAAGGGATAGACTAAATATATAAATATAAATACTGTTCAGAGTCAAATGAATTATAATAGAAAATGACCCAGTCTTCTTATGAGTTAATAACTTTTTAATAGGAATTACCAGTGAGAATTTCTACATTATTTGAATGAATAGGATTATCTAATTTTTAAGATTTATAATGTTTTTAGGCTTTTCCATTTTTGAAATCAAGAATAAATTAATCTATATTTTATTTTGTAAATGCTTAATTGAATTTATATTTATAGACTCCGTACTTTTATAATCCAAATAAAGATGGTGTTCCAGTGAAATCCCCAATTTATTTTTAAAGTTCAGGAAATAGTGGGTTTGTAACACTACATTTAATGAATAATATGTGATCTTCATGAGGATGATCTAAACTAATAGATTTTAGAGCATCATGAGCATTTCTATCTTTCATTTAAATTTCATCAACTATTAATATTAGAGATGATCTATCTTATTTGAAAATCTTTTTTTAAATATCTTCATTATATTCTTAGAGTCTCTAAAACCAATTAGTTTCGATGAAGGCCTTTAGATCAGACACCTTAATCTATTTAGGCTAATAAACAACTGGAGACTTATCATATTTCTTATAAGCCACTAAGGAATCAGTTGCACCAAACCCTAGTTCTTATTATACGTTTTCAATAAAAGTATGATAAAATTCTAAATTTCCATATGCATGACTATAATCTTTGTATCTTCTAAATCCTCTATCTTCATCATTTTCAGCCATATAAAGAAACATCAATTAGCTTTGTGATATCTTATCTTTGATTTATTATATTGATTTCAATTCTTTTGTACCTTCATTTAATTGTTCATACATCCACATTATAACACTATCACTAGTTCTAGGTCCTTCAAATTTCTTATATTTTTTGCCATGATCTTAAGATAAGATAACAGATGGAAATCCATTAACTTCAAATTATTTGGCTATGTCTTTGTAATTATGACCATCAACTTTGGCAAAGACAAACCCTTCCTCTTTTAATTATTTTGCTGCTTTCTCTACTTCAGGTTGGAATCTCTCACAATGTCCACACTGAGGAGTGAAGAAGAAAATCATAGAAATTTCATTCTTTTCAAAGAATTGTTTAGAATTCTTATCAAATACAACATGTAAATCATTTTCTTCTTTAGCCTAGGCGTAGAGAAACAGAATTGAAAATGCAATTTGTAAAAACATAAATTAAAATTGTATACGTATGTTTCTAGAATATTTAAATAATTATGTTACTTTAAACTTGTGTTCTGGCAATTGCTCTTTTATTATCTTCTGCCTAAGAGGATTCAGAATATGAATTAAAAAGTAAATCAAAACGTTAGACATATGATGATCCAGTATTTCATTGATTTTTATTTTTTAAGGATCCATATAAGAATCTTATTTAGTGGTTGAAAGATGGCAAAGCAGAAGTGTCTAAAGTTTAAATAGAAGTAAAAAGTGAAGGTTATAGAACACTAAGAGCATCTTAATTCATTCGATAAGGAGAGTGGGTGCTCTTCATTCCTCGCTCTCATTATCTTTCATTAGAAGAAGTCAAAAAAAGTTGTCTTATTAATAGAAAGATGATTCAATTGAATTATATTCCTAATAATATATAGACATACTTTGTAAATCACTTACTCTAAGAGAATAGAAGGTAAATTTGAGTTTTTGATTCAAATAGATAAAATTCTTTTTGGAAACCATACATTGATGTGTTACCAAAAGATGTCAGTGGATTTCCAACTTATTTTGATGCCGAATAAGATGCATTACTTAAAGGATCTCCAACTTTATATACAGTTATGAATTAAAGAAAAATATTCAGAGAGGAATATGATAATTTAAGAGAGGCAGTATAGGAATTCTAAAGATATGGATATACTTATAATGATTTTATTAAATTTAGAATTCTAACCATCTCTCGTAGTTTCCCTGTCTATATAGGTGAAAATGAATAACAATAATTATTGGTTCCATTGGCTGGTATTTAATTAATCTATATTAGACTTTATTAATCATGATAATAATGGCTTTTTATAATATGGTTATTCTCCAGATGCAGATGGATTCTTTATGTAGGCTGTTAGAAACATTTAAAAAGGAGAAGAACTATTTTATAATTATGGTTAATGGTCAAACAAATATTTTTTTATGAATTATGGATTTGCTAGTTTAACTAATCCTATGAATTAATTTGATTTTGATGTTTGTTTAGATAGAAATGATAGATTGTTTAAACTTAAAATTGATTTAACTGGAGGAAATATTTGTTGGGGAAATAGATTGGTTAATGAAACAGATCATGATACATTTAGACAATCTTTAGCTACTGTTAGATTTGCTTAAATTACTAAATTAGATGATTTCTTATAATTAGAAGAGGATGTTGAGAATTATAATCAATTTTGGCCAGGATGGCATACTACACCTAAAACTCTAGAATTAGAAAAAGCTACATTTATAGCTTTTAGAGAATTATTAATTTCTGAATTGGCTAATTTTGCTAGTACTATTGAAGATGATTAAAGAAGATTAAATGATCCATCCACTCCTGAATTTAGAAGACACATTATTATGTTAACTATGAGAGAAAAGTAAATCATTAAAAAGAATATTGAAGTTTGTGATATGATGTTATCTGTTATTGATAAAAGTTCTGAAGTATTAATGTATATAAGTATTAGGAATTACAAAATTTGATGAGATATTACAATTATAGAGAAATAGCTAGATTTGTAAATAGCGAAATCATCCCAATGAAATTAGAATAAGAAGGACTTGCATGATTTATTATTAAATGCATCTTTAATGTTTACATTCATTATTCTTGTAATCGAAAATTCTCATTTCTATACAAAAATATTTTAATTATTCTTATAAAATGTCTTATGGATAAAATTTGTAAGTTTTTAATCCCTAGCGATTCAAAAAAATTGAAAAAGAATTGTAATCAAATAAAAAGCGATTAGAAGAAAGTATCTTCATTCTTGTTAATTTTTTTAGTGAGATTAGAGGAGGAATCCTAAAATACTAGACTATTAAAAGTGTAATAAAAAGAAAGAACTGTTGATCTAGAATATAAGGATAGGAAAAAAAAAATGGAAGAAACACAAGAATAATTGGCTTTTGAGGCTCAAAAATTTAATGATGAATAAAGAAGAATGAACTAAGATTTGGAAAGTAAAAAAGACTCAGTTGTAATGTTGAATGATAGAAAAAAAAGATAAGATGATGAAAGGTATGCAAAAGAATAAAAAATTACATTAGCTAAAGAATAAGAAAAAGCATAAGCTTTAAATGAATTAGCCAAGTTACAGTATTCTAAAATTATTTATTGTTAGAGAAGAAGTCAATTAATTGGAAGTTAGAAGAAAGAATCATTAATAATATGAACTATTTTTTAAGAAAGTTATCTCTAAATCAAAAGAATTAGAAACTGGATAAAATGATGATGAAAATGCTATTAAAGAATTGATTGATCGTTATGAAAGATTAAAGAAAAAAGAAGAGGAATTCAAAAAAGATAGAGAATTGAGAGAAAACTAAAAAGATTAAATCAATCAATAGTTTAATGAGGTATCCTCTTCTTCTAAAAAATAAGTTAAATAGTAAAATCTAAGCTGAGACCTATGAATTCAATGCTAAATATAATAAATTAAAACTTGCAATTTAACAAATTAATGATGAGAATGATTAAAAACATAAAGAAATTGAAGGGACATAAAATTAGAACGAAGCTACATAAAAAGAATATATCTAAGTTATTCATGGAATATAAAATATGAAAGATATTTTAAAATAAAGAAATAAAATTGTTAAAAGGATACTCTTATCTGGTAAAGATAGTGATAATGTTACTGAATAACAAAGGAATCGTAAAAAAGAAAAAAAAATTGATAATCAAAAAATAGAAAAATATTTGAATTTTATAAAGGATGAATTATAAACTTTATAATAATTTAAGTAGGAATTTGATAAATTTTTAGCGAAGGAAAAAGAACGTGATTGATTCATAATTTAATAAAACTTAATAAAACATTTATGAGATTCTTTAGTATATTACATACAATAAAAAATTATCAATCATCTTCATATTGGTTCTATTATTGTCCATTAAATTATTCTTTTGTAGATAACATTTATTTTCTAGGAGATATTAAAGTTAAAATAGCATAACCCATAAACAGGAGAAAGAATATTGATGCAAATCCTTGAAATGATGTCACTGAAGTTGTTGTTTATGGATCATCTAAAAATGATAATTTGATGAAAATTACTTAAGCTTCCATTTTCATTTTATAATGAATTAAGGTTTGCAAGTGATTGATATATACGATTAGCATGATTGACTATTGATTCACATAAATCGTTGTTCATTTTTTGAAAAATAAAATAATAAAATTTTCCAGAAAAAAGAACATGCTTTATATTCTACAAATATGTACACATCATAATATTCATATATTTTAATTAAAAAGAAATTTATATAAAATAATATGTTTAAAAATTATAATTGATTATAAATAATACGAAATGATGTCATATAATTAAGTAAACTTAAGAAATGATTTCTAAAAAAATCTGTATGAAAATTGATTAAAAAAATATAAAACTCAATTAAAACTCTAGTAATATTAAAAAGATATTAATTAAGAAATAGTATGTAATTGTAAAATGATTAATAATAAAATCTTAATGGAAGAGTAAGTGTACATATCAGAGGAGGGGATGAAGCATATTTTATAAGTATTTGACCCAAAAGATCCCCATAAAAACATTTTATGGACAACAGATTATAAAATGGAGTTGCCTTTGAGGGTGAGAAAAAGTGGATCAGGAAGCGAAGTACCAATAACTCTTGCAGAACAATTTAAGATGGATTGTAGTTAATTTGGAAAGCAACCAGCATTAAGTGTGAAGAGAAATAATAAATGGTAAGATAGTATATAGATAATTAGGATAACAAGGACTTATTAAGATTATTATAATGAATCAATTTAATTTGCAAAGGCATTAATAGCTTTTGGAATAAGCGAGATGAGTGCTGTGAATATAATAGGTTTTAATTCTCCAGAATGGTTTATTTCTTTCATGGGTAGCATTCATAGTCACAACTTACCAGTTGGTATTTATACAACGTAAAGAATTAATAAAATATAATTATAGTAATAATCCTGAAGCTTGTTTATATGTTTCAGAGCATTCTGAATGTGAATTAGTAGTAGTAGATACAAGAGAATAGTTGAATAAATATTTATAAATATGGGATAAATTGCCAAAACTAAAAGGAATCGTAATGTACAATGATGAGATACCAAAAGATGGAATTAATGAATAAAGAAGATCATAGATATTTAAATGGTAAGATTTTTTAGAATTTGGAAAGAAACAAGAATTACTTAATGAAGTAATTGAAAGAGTTTAGAAATTACGTCCTGGAAATTGTGTTACTTTAATTTATACATCAGGAACAACTGGAAATCCTAAGGGAGTGATGTTATCTCATGATAATTATATCTTTACAGTAACTTAATAGAGAAAGAAATATTAATTTTTAGATACAGAAGGAATGAGAATAGTAAGTTATCTCCCATTAAGTCATGTTGCTGCATAATTAATAGATATTATTGGAAGTTGTCGTTGGGGAGCACATATATACTTTGCTAATCCTGATGCTTTAGCTGGTTCACTTATTACTACTCTTAAAGAAGTTAGACCCACTATGTTCTTTAGTGTACCTAGAGTATGGGAAAAGATTTATGATTAAATGTAATTGATTGCTAAATCTAATGGAGCAATCAAAACTAAAATTGCAACTTGGGCTAAATCAATTGGTAAAGAAGGAACTTTTGCTTTGACTCATGGATAAAAACCTCCTCTTTGTTTTGGATTAGCAGATAAATTAGTTTATCATAATGTTAAAAAAGCCTTAGGTTTAGATTAAGCTAAATATTTAATCTTTGGAGCTGCTCCATTATCTCCTGTTATTAGAGAATATTTCTTAACATTAAATATGTATTTAATCAATGGATATGGTATGAGTGAATGTGGAGGAGTGACTACTGTTGCAGATCCATTACATTTTGATAAATTTGATGATTTCTTTATGACCAGCACTGGTAAAACTATGGAAGGAACTGAATTAAAAATTGATTAACCAGATAAAGATGGAAATGGAGAAATTTGTTATAGAGGAAGACATATCTTTATGGGATACTTTAAAGATGAAGAATCAACTAGAAATACTATTGATAAAGATAGATGGCTACATTCTGGAGATGTTGGTAAATTAGATAAAAATGGCAATCTTACTATTACTGGAAGAATTAAAGAATTAATTATTACTGCTGGTGGAGAAAATGTTGCACCTGTCTTGATTGAAAATGAAGTCAAAAAAACTATTCCTATCGTTTCTAATTGTATGGTTATTGGAGATAAAAGAAAATATCTTTCAATTTTATTGACTTTAAAACATGAACTCAAACCTGATGGAACGTAATTATTTAATTTTTAATTAATAATTTAGACCAACAGAAAAATTACATGAAGATGTAATTTAAGTTTTTAAGGGACTTGGTTCAACTGCTAAGTCTTTAGAAGAAGCAAAAAAAGATCCCCTGATAATTAGCTACATATAAAAATTAATAGACGATGCTAATACAAGGTAATTAATTAAATATAACAAAAGAGTCATATCGAAAGCATAGTATCTTAGAAAATGGGCCCTCATACCTAGTGATTTCAGTGTAGATGGTGGTGAATTGACTCCAACTCTTAAATTAAAAAGAAGAGTGGTTGAATAAAAATGGATGAATGAAATAGAAAAAATGTACTAAGATGCCAAATTATGAATTATAAATAAAATATCATAAAATATATGGAAAAACCAAAAATAATTGTAGCTGCTAGAATGACACCATTATCAAAAAAAGAAATTAAGGAAGAATAAAAAGATAATATTTGCATGAACTTAGGGAATCTATAATTTGTAGTTTTAGAGTAAAAGTAGATTTAACTAAGTTTATGGGGGGAGTTCAAATTTTATTTTAATGCAGTTATATAAATTAATTTTGTATCATTATATGAAATAAATAAATATCTATGATAATGAAGATTTACATAAATCACATATTTACATAAATAGAATAAAGATAAAATGTTATTTGATCTTTAAAATATTGCAAAAGTTTAAAAGTTAAAATTACAGGATTATAATAAATTTCGGTTTATTTTTTTAGTAACTCTTAAAAATCTTAAAAGTAAATAGCTGTGTCAGAATAAAAGTTAGTAATATATAGGAATTTTAAGAAAGGTTAAGATGGGAATAAAAAGTGGAGTGATTGCATACAATAGCCTAAATCAAGATTCTTCAAGATCAGATGCAATATTTTACAAATCATAAATATACTAGAATAGATGGAGATGAAATTAATAACTAATTATTAGCTTTTAAAGAATGCATAAGAGCTTTAGATTTTTAATAAAAAACATTCTAAATTAACTTAAGTGCTTTAAGATTCTACTACTTGGAATTGCAGAACTTTAATTATTGAAACTTTATTATCTTGTCATAAAGACGTAAAAAATAGTTTAAATATGTTGAATTATGCATATAGAGTATCCTATCGATGATTTAGATAAATCTTCAATAAAAGTAATTCTCTTTTGTATGATAATGATGATAAATTAGATAAACTCCATTTTTTAAATTGAAAATTAATATCATATATTGTAGAATTTTCTTAAAATTAAGAATATTTGGTATTTTTTTTTAAATATGTTTGCAAAATTCTAGACCTAAGTAATCTTTTGTTAAATCATTGATATAAACACAGAGGATTATTTATAATTATTTTGATTAATTGATATCTTTCATCTAAAAATCATTTTGGAATTATAAAAATAAACAGCAAATTATTTTTATTTAATATACCTATCTCATAGCTTAATTAAAACCTTATTAAACCTTCAAATTTATTTATAAATTATTTTTTAAATTAACAATGAAGTAACAACTATATTATTATAATTTTTAAATTAAATGTCAGCCACCACCAATTGGACAACCTCCAAAAATGATTTGATAAAATGGATTAATGAAAGCTTTAAAGTAAATTCTTAAATACAATTTGAAGTTAACAATAACATAATTAGAAGCACTTGGTACAGGTTGCGTATTTTGTTAAATTTTTGAATACTTATACCCTGATTCAATATAATCAAATAAAATAGTTTGGAAAGCCAATACTGAAGTAGATTATATCAAAAACTTTAAAACCCTCGCTGATGCTTTCACGAAATTAAATATTTCCAAAACCTTAGATGTAAATTTTACTTCGAATTATAGATATAAAATCTGTCAAGAGCAAAATATTAAGACCTATTAGATTTAGCTATATTTCTAAAAACAAAATATGATAAATAAATAGGCAAGAGAGAGGGATATGATCCTATTGAATTTAGAAAAGTTGAAGAAAAAAAAATGTTTTTGGCTTCAAATAAAAAATCTGTGTCTGCACTCAAAGATAAAACTAATCATGAGAGCTAAAAGATTCCCTAATAATCAGTGTTAGTTAAAAGATCCTCTTCAATGGCCTAAAGTTAGAGAAAAAAAAGAACAAGTACAGATTAAATCCAAAAATCATAACTATCATTAATAACTGAAATAGTTAATAACACAGAAGATGATGAAGTCACAAAAGTTAGAAAAATAAAATAATTATTTATCTGAATATAAAAAACCAAATAGTATCAATATTTTTATCATCGATTTGTTGAAGATTCATCTTTCTATATAATTGATGAAGTACTGTCTTTAGCTGAATCTGCATCATAAAGTAAAGAATTTTTTGGTATCTTATATTCCTAAATTCAATGTTAATTTCTTACTGCTATTTTTCCAAAAAAGCAATTATAAATACTAATTTTTGCAAAGAACATATAAGTACTTTATAATGATTTTGGAAGATTTGGCACTAATTATTAGTAGAATGCATAAAAAAATAATGATGCATAATTAAATCCTTATAATGCTAATAATAGTTATGGAAAGAAAAATAAGCCTTAAACAAAATTTCCCTATTCTCTAATAAAATTCTTTTCAGAATCAAAAAGTTTAATTATCATATTGATTGTCCAAAAAATAAGTAATGTTATTGGTAATACATAAAGATTTAATGAGGAACATGAATCAAATTCATTTACAAACTTTTTTTTAATCTTTTTTTTTAGCTTACTTACAGAATAATGAAAGATTAAACTAAGAATTATTAATGCGAATGTAAAAAATGATTAGCCCCAGAATAACATTTAAGTATTAATTTAATCTGATGAGACTTTCAGATTACAAATATAGTATACAAGCTCTTTATTCCATGAAGTTCCATAATGTTAAAATTCCACATCAACAATAAGCATAGGTAAACAAATAATAAAAGTTACTATTCCAATTATGAAATGTATTATATAAATTTAATTAATGTTTTTTCCAAATTTAGGATTTGCATTCAAAGTTTATTTAATGATATAGCATGAATACAAAGAAATCAAAGTAGATGCCAAAAAAGATGAATTGACGAAATATCCTTAAAGTTTGCAAACTTATATATTATAATATAATAATACATGTTTGATTGATGCAAAATTATTTATTTTCAAGATCATTTTTGAATTAACAGAATTCGTTGTTATAATCTCGATCAATTTCATCATTTTGATCTTTTGGGTTTCCATTAAAAAAAAATGGAGTTAGTACTTGTGGTACAAAGAAAAATAGCATGCTAATGATTTATGTAAAGAAGATGCTAATAATTATAATTTAACAAAATTACGTAGCAATGAAATATTTCCAACCTTTTCCAAGTAAAAATACAATGATAACTCCGACAATTGAGAGCAAGCTAATAACTATGCAAGAAAATTAAACAATCATCATGGGATTATTGTCATAGAGATACATTTAGGTTGATATTTTATATAAATAAATAATATTATTTAAAAAGATATTTAATCATAATTCATTTAATATAGAAGTAAAGTTTTAATTATTTCATTCTAAGGCAAGCTCATAAAGTATTTAAGGATAGATTCTAGATTTTTTATTCCTGCTTGTCTAATAGCACTAACAAATAGCGAAACATAAATTTAAGAGATAGAGAAAATCCACAATCAAATAATCTATATAAGATTTGTTCACATAATACTCATATTCTTATTCAAAATATGGATAACAAGCATCTTTTCTTATATTAAATATATAAATACGGTATTCCATTATTAATATTTGAAAATAGGTAGACAGGATGAGATTTGCACCATCCTGAACAATTATACTTTTCTTCTAAAGATGCAATATATGTATTAGATGCTCCTTCAATTTTAATCCATTTTTTGCATTTTTAATATTATGTTATATCACTAATTTCTTTGTTTGTTGTATATTGTATACGATTATTTTCTAAATAATCAGGATTCCAATCTTAGATTTTCTCTATGTAACAAATACAATCATATTTGCAAAATTTAGTTTCAGCCCATAAAATTTATTCTTTTGTATTTTAAGCAGCAGGTAATTATGAAGTTTTACAATCAAATTTGTTACTAAGTAACTAATTTTTCAAAATAGTCAATGTGATTGTAATATAGACTGTCAAAACTCCAATAAAAATAATAAAGCAAGAATAAATAAAAATGATACAGAAGTTAGGACAATATGAACTTAATAATCCAGATGCTCCAACTATGATAATAGCAAGTCCTACAGAAAATGTAAACACAATTCCCTAATATTAATTCATTAATAAATACATTGCCATCATTACTTACACCTTCACTCAAAGTCATAAAAACTTAAGAGATCAATATAGTCCCCAAAATAATAAAGCAAAAGCAATTTATTCTGATAAACAATTAAATAAACTTGAGTGGTAAGCACATGAATAAAATATTATAAATATCTATAATTATTTAGATTATTGATTATAGAAATAATTGTAAAATATATTTTATTTTAAATCATCATCATTTTTGTTTCTTAGAATGATTTTCTACTAAATCATATGCTTATTGAACTGTTTTAATTTCTGATATTCTAGAATTATAAGATAAAGTTAATACCTTTTGCCTTTTCTTACAGCATAAGCAGCATCATATTATTCTTTATATTCTCTAGTCTAAATAAGTAATTATTCAGTCAAACTTAAATCTCTATTTATTATTGTCAATCTTTTTTCTAAAAGAACCTTATTATTATTAGATTACTTACTTTATCATTAGTTCTCTTCTTAATTAATTATGATGTAACTTCAAAATCTTTAGAAAACTTCTCTCTTAATTCAGCAATCTCTTAAATTTATGTTTAGAATGTTATCTTATATATTTAAATCTAAAATAATACTTGACTTTAAATCTCTTATTCATCTTCTTATTACATTAAGGCAATTACTGCATTTCTAATATGATCTAATTTATCAATAATCCTCTTAACTGTTGGAACATCAAATTTTGTTGTCATAGCAACCATAATTGCAACTGGATGATTATGTCCTAATTCTCTTTTTATTTTTTCAACTATTTCAAATTATTCTGTTTATAATAATGACTTTCCTTCTTAGTCAAATACTGCAACTTATAATTTTGGAATTATTTCATTTAATGCTGCTAATACTTTACTATTATTTTCTTATCTAGCTTAATATGAAGCAGCTTCTTAAGCTCTTGTTTATCTAAGTTATTCTTCTTTACCATTCAATATATTTAATTATTCTGTAATTGCATCTAATTATAATTATAATCCAACAAGAACTTGATTTACTTCACTTAATTAATTATTTTTATCTTATCTCTCCTTTGTAAGATTTCTTAATACTATAATAAGCCATTCAATATCTAATCCAAGTGTTGTTGTTCTCTATATAAGTATATTTATTCAATATATACATGAGCATATTCAAGATCATCATTTAATTAATCTCTCTTCATTTACTCTAATAAATCACCAACTAAACCAACTACTTCAGAGATCTTTCCTCCTTAACTGAGTTCTAAATCTAATAAGAATGTGAAATCTGTATGATCAGTCTTTATTGCTTTGATCTCTTTTAGTAATATTGGCACTCCTGCTTCTAATTCAACACCATTTATTCCAAAAACTAACAATCCTAATATCAGGATGGCTTTCATTTTTTTATTAATATTAATAAAAACGGACTTTAAACAAATAATTAAAAAGAATAATAATCAATAACCATTTCTTTACTTATTAGGGGCAATCTCTATTTATTAAACTTAATAAAATTATTGATAATAATGTTATATCATTCAAAACTTTTCTTATTATTTTTATATTATAAAATATTATATTTGTACCTTCTATTTCTAAATTCATTCCAAATTTTCTAAATATTTAACCATCTATTAATTATTTTTAATATCCTAATTTTATAAAATTAAAACAATAATATCATTATATGAAATACATCAATATTTTAATAAATAGATATAAATTAAAACAATAAAAATAACAGAAATATTATCAAACCATATAAAAGTATTAATATTATTATAAAAATTTTATTTATTGATAAAAATTAATACTAAAATTTTATTAATCATTTATTAAATAACTTAGAGTTAGATAGACAAAATTATCCATTTTCTATAATTTTCTGCTAATAATCTGCTTTTTCTACTGCTTTCTTAGTTTCCTCATTTTCATTTATTTTGAAACAATGGACTACTTTAAAAAAATATTTCACTAAAAAAAAGGAATCTAATTACTCGTAGCCTATGTATTAAGTTGACTTTAATAAATCTAGTAATTCTTTCAAAATCTTAATGTTTTCAAGCAATTCTTTTTTAAAATAATTTAATATTGTTATAATACTATTCTTATTTTCCATGGATATATTTTAACCTTGAATCATTGCTTGATAATTTTTATTCACATGAATCTCTTAATTAGTCTTTGATTCAGTTTGGAATTACTGATAAAATATCTTTAATACAGTTAGACATTTAATCTCAGAATCATTAAGCAAATCTTTATTAACATTATTAGATTATTATAATAAATTAATTAAATCTAATTAATTTAAAGCAACATTTGAATATTTTTCAACAACCATTTCAACAGTCTTAAAAATTTTTTAAAATTCTCCAGTAGTAGATTCTATTTTTTCAAATATTTTGTATTCTTTTATTAAGTAAATGAACAATTTTTTTAATTTTTAATGTTTTCCTAAATTATTATCATTAATAAACTCTAATTATTGATTTATGATTTTTCTAATATCTTATAGTTAATTTTCAAAGTTTTCTTTATCAGGATCTAATTCCTTAATTTTAAGAATTAATTAATAATTGAATTATGTTTTTTCATTCAAAAACTTCTTGTTTTTTTGAATATTTTAAATTTAATTAATAAATTATTATTCTAATCCATCTAATTTTTTTTTTATGCACTAGGATACATTTTCTAATTCGTTTTATTAAATTTAATTAATTTTAAAATCTTTAAAACAGTGTGAGTTATCTTTTATTTATTAATCTAATTTGTAATCCCCATCATCGATTTAAATTTTTTAATAATTTGGATTCTTAATAATTTAATTCAATTTTTAAAGGTCTACATTTTAACTATCAGTAAATCCTTATTTAATATTTTATATTATATTAAATTAGTTAAGAGTTGGGATTCTATTCAAATTGATAAATTTAATTAAACCTAATTATATTTTTTCATCTAAAAAATCTTAATCTGTGACTAATTATAAAGAAAAAGCTTTTTAGTTTTTTTGACAATAAACAAAAAAGTACTCCAGTAATACAACAAAATCTTCTGAAAATTGTTCAAATTCAATAATTAAGTCTTTATCTTTTTATACAATCTCAATTACCTTGTCGTATTCTATTTTTCCAAAGTGTATTTGCATTAAAGAGTTTTTAAAAAGCATTTTTCGATGAGTAACATTATATAGCAAGTTAATTGAAGTACTTTTACCAGACAATGGATTCCCAATAAATACTAATAATCTATCGAAATAAGACTAATCTGCAAATTCGTCGATACTTGATTAAATACCATCAATTATCTATTTCTCTTTTTCAGTGGGTTTTATTTTTTCTATTATTTACTTTTAAATAGTCATAACTTCATTCCACACTTCTTATTTCTTATTCTTGTTAGATATTATAAATTATGTAAGATTTATTTATATTTCTTATAAACATTAAAATAAATTCTCTATAATGTTCTATTCAAATAAATATCTGAGTTCTTCAAGCTTTGTTGATTTGCATTCCTCATATTTTAATGCAGTATAATATTTTGTTAAATCTTAATAATAGTATTCATTCAAAAATGACATTGGGATATCATCAACTATAATTTAGCAGAATTGCATTAATTAATCTCTTTTTTTCTATAATTCATCTAATTCTTAAGTTTTTTAAATGAATTTTGTAATAGATTAGTCTATTTCAACTTAAAAAATATCTCTAATTCCAATTAATATCTTATTAAGTTTTAATTTAGAGTCAGCATTTAAACTCAATTTAAATTTGACATTTTAATTATGATTCCTTTTTTAATTGATAAATTTATAGATACTCTCTTTAAATTCAACTTATTCATGTTTTACTGCACATTTTTATAATTCAAATATATTATTTATGATTGCTTTATAAAATTCTTGTGGTAAATGTTAGTTTGATTGAATTTTTTATGCTTTACCCTTAATTTCATTTTCTATACATGTTTTGGGCTCATTCAATTAGTCTCTATCTACTTTATTTGCAATTAGGCAAATTGTCGTATTTTAAAACATAGATTCAAAATCTTTTGAACTTTAAAATAAATTTTTAGCTAAAAATAAAGGGCATCGATAATTATCACAGTTATCAATATCAAATTGAAAAACTATTAATAGTAATATATTTTTGTAAGAATTTAGTACTTTCAATAATTGGATTTATGGTATTAAATCATTCAATGGGTTTTGATTATCTTCAAATCCAGGAGTGTCTATAATATCTATATCTTAATTTTCGTAAGAAAAACTGAAAATATTTAGATTTTTTGTAAAGGGAATATTGTCTAAACCAATTAAAGGTACTTGGTCTTTTTCAATATACAATCTTCCTTTATCAGTTTTTTACAATTCATCACCTTTTAAAATATGATAAATTGTTGATTTTCCAACTCTTGTTTTACCAAATAAAATAACAGCTGTTTTTTCTTTCTTTTAATTTAAATCTATGTCTTTAAAATAACATTCCATCTCTTCCTTAAATGTCTTTATTAACTATTCATCACTTGAAGATTCCTTTTCTTTCTAGTTTTAATCCATGCTGTATTAAATTTATTTTTTTTTATCATAAATCTATTAAAAACAACTTATATATTTATTTTATTATTCTATTAAAAAATTTGATTTATTTTATAATTGCTGTTTTTTGAAATTCCAAAAGTTTTATGTTTGGAATAATTTAAGAGTGATCTCTTGTGGCTATTAACTAAAATTTTAATTACTTAATATAAAAATTAAATATCTTGATTTAATGTATGTGTTTTAAACTTCCTGTTTTCAAGTAAAAAAGTTTATATTAATAAATATAAAAAATATAGATTATGTTCTGATCTAAAATCCTATTTGAAAAGTTAAATTAATATTGATTGATAAATAGTTAAATAATGTTATTATTCACCATTTTAAAAACGATTGTTTAAAAAATATAAATTGTAAATTTTTTTTTTAATAATAAAAATAACATTAGAATTAAATAAAATTTAATGATTATAAATATTAAAATTTATCTATGTATATTTTAGATGATTTTTATTAGTTAATATTATAATAAAAAGATAATTTTAATCATCTTCTGTATGGTGCTAAACTACTTTTCCTGACTTCTTCAACTTCTTTTTCTTTTTCTTAAACTCTGGATCTAAGACTCTCAATTTCCACTGATTACATCTACATTTAATAAATAAATACCACAAAGTGATAAAGTAAATCTTAAATTTTTCTATTTTATGCACCTCCATCTGCATATTATAATCGCCATTATTTTAATTCAGTTTCATTTGCATCGATAATTGCTTAAAGTCTATCAATTTCTTAAGATAAAATTCGTATCTAATTTCATATATTTGAATTCTCTTACATTTTCTTCATATTACTTTAACTAAATGATTTATTATTCTAGTAAATAACATTTCTTTTTTAATTAATCCATTTCATCTTATTTATTATTAATAACCTAATTTAATCGTTCTATTTCAGTTACTAACATTGAACATCTATTTTCAGATTCTCCATATTTTGTCTTATAAATTTCTAATTAATGGTACTTCTATTTAATTTCATCAAACTATCTTTATAATAAATGATATTATGATTCCCATCTTTCCTTCTCTTTTCTCATTTCATCTTATTCCTAAAAAGTCTTTCTTATTTATTAATTTATTCTTTCTAACTCTTAATTATTTAATTAAAGCTTAGTTTCATATCTTTATATTTATGTTTTATAATCTTCAATTTCTCCATTTCTAAATCTTATTTATTCGTTCAATCTTTGATTTTCTATATTTAAATGTTATACTTTTTATTCAAATATAACACAATTTTCTTAATACATTTTTAAATTAGCTAATTAACTTTCTAATCCTAATCTTTTGCTTTTTTCATCTTCTTGTTATTTTTATAATTAATTATTTCTATCTATTTACTTATATAATTGTTCATCCTTTATTTTTAACTAATTTTAATAATGTGACACTTAAGTATTCAATTATTCATTTTCATCACATAATTCAGCTTAAATCTATCCTAATCTATCTATTTCTGAACAATGTAAGATTATTCTAACTAATGATTATTTCCATTTCTCCTCAATAGTTTTATTTTATTAATTTAATTCAAAATAAGATTGTTCTAATTTTCGATATTTACTTGACCATTCATCTGCTTCATTTGTTTTCAATGCTAAATTCTATTTAACTTTTGAAATTTCAGCAATCATTTATTTTTTATACTCTTCAAACTCTTAAAGTTTACTTTATAATATCAGTTTCTATCTCTCTATCTCTTAAGTTAACATTGCAATTGTATTTTCATATTCTTATATCTTTTTATTTTTCATTAATGACTATTAATAATCTAATTCTAAATCTTAGTACTTTCTTTTCCATTCTTCAATCTAAATTTTAAGTGTTTAATTTGTTAAATCTGAACTATTCAAATCTTTCTATAATTAACTTTTGTTCATTTATAAATTTTGTTATTCAAGTTATTTTTATCTTAGTTATTCTTGCATTCTATCAATTTCTTGAGTCAAACAAATTAATTTATTTACAAAATCATTATTTTGATTGTTCTTAATTTTATATTCTTATTCAAAATGTAATCCTTTTTATTTCCAATCTTCTAATTCTTAAATTTTCAATCTTAAAATATTATTTAATCGTTCAATTTCTTTTGTTAATAATTCAATTTTAGATATTAAATCTGTATTAATTTACTCTAAATTAAACTTTTATTATGATAACTAATTATTCTTTATTTTTTAATCTTCTAAATTATTAGTCAATTATTAGAATACATCAAATTATTCTTTTAATTGCATTTATAACTAATCCAATTTATTGAGTTTTTATTTCATTTCCTTACATTAATTTTCAGAATCAAAATATTTCTATCTCCATTCTTCGCCTTATTTAATTTTTTCTCTTAAAACTTGATTTAATCTATCAACCTCCCCTTAAAGTAAATTTATTTTGTTTTACATCTGATCAATAATCTAATCCTAATCTTTATATTTTATTAATTCATTTGTAGATAAGATATAAGCTTAATTTAACTAATCATAATCTTTCTATTTTTTATCAACAATGTTTTATAATTACCTAAATTCGGATTTTTATTTTTCTGATTCCTAATTAAGAGTTGAGAATCTCTACTTAGAATATTCTAATTCCTCTAACTTCTATCTTAATAATGTATTCAATCTTTCTGTTTCACAAACTAACATTCCTATTTTATTCTCTAATTCAACTACTTTTTAACCCTATTATTATTGTTACTAATATTCTGATTCATACTAATTTAATTGAAGTTAAAAATAGTCAATTTCTTATTGTTTGTTTTATAATTCTTCTCTTAGATTAAATAATTCTCCTTCCTTTGTTTATATAAATCAAAATAATTACATTGCTTTATTTTTAGAATATCAATTGTTATTTTAATTCATCAATTTCTCTTTAATGTTTCTGATTTCCTGTCAATAGAGTTTATTTTAACTATTCATTCTAATTTTTGTAATTCTCCTCAGTTGTGTAATATTTTATTTTCCAATTTTCAACTTCTTCTGAAAATTAAGTAGTTGTAATTTCAATTTCCTATCTAAGTATAATATAATTTTTTACCTATACATACTTTCTTGATACTATAATTACAGAAGTCTAGCCTATAAATCTTCGATCTACTTTTCATAACTATTTCTATCAAGCAATTTATCATCCATTTCTTTAATTCTGTATTTCAATTTATCATTTTCAGCTACAAATCTCTCTATTTCACAAGCCATCAAAAAACATACAATATCTAGACTTTTACCCAACTATTATCTTGCAGGAGGTGGGTTATTCATTTATGAAGAATAAATACTGTTTCCTGACCTTAATAAAACTAAACACAACATTTTACATAGATCTCTTCATTTATTAAACACTAAAGTTTGTAGTTGAAGTACATTATCTGATAGTACTTGATATAATCTTAGATTAAGATTAAGTACTAAAATATTCTTTGTTTTAGGTAACTGGATCTAATGGTACGCGAGAATATGTGCTCATTTTAAATTCAAATAATAATTATAATGCATGATCGTTAATTTCACATTCATATAAAACAGCATAATCATTTATTAATTCTTTTTGGTTTATTTTTTTTTTCATTCCTTTACTTAGCAGGTTTGATTTCAGATTCACTTTAACCAATTTCTTCATCTTCTTCATCATTTTCGTTATTTTCGTCATCATCATCATCTTAATCATTTTCATCATCATCTTCATCATCTTCATCATCATTTTCCTCTCCTTCATTTTCATCATCATCTTCATCATCTTCATCATCTTCATCTTCATTATCATTATCTTCATTTTCATAATCTTCACTATCATCTTCATCTGATAATATTTCATTTAAATCTTCTTCTTCATCTTCTTCATTCTCATCTTCATTATTCTGTTTTTCTATTTTATTTACTAATTTTGTTTTCTTTTTGTTTTAAACATTTCTTAAATGTTCCATCACTTTTGATAAATGTTCTACTTTTTTATATGATTTAAGCATTTTTTTTTCTTTAGCATTTTTAAATTACTTACTTACACAATCATCATTTTCTATTTCCTCTTCATCTTCATCTTCTGAATCTCTCTCAATTTCTTTACGGTTTTCTTCAATCTTTTTCTTTTTTGCTTCCTCTCTCTTCTATCTCATATAATTAGTTTAATCCTTCTCTGATGATTATACAATTGTTTCTATTTAAACTTTTGGTTCTGCTTTAAATGTTTCCATTAATTCAAAATAATCTAGACCTTCTTTTGTTGGAGCTTAAGGTTTTGATTATTTTATTGGTAGTATGTCTAAAATTTATGGTAAAGCTTCATTAAGTTATAAAATTTTAATTTGATTCCCCTCTTTTAATTTTTATTTATCAGCTTTTCTTTATTTACTATTTTATATTATTTCATCATAGATTTCCTTTTTACTTTTTCTTTTATCTTAATTTTAATCAAACCCAACAAAATGATTATTTTTAACAAATCCTTTTGGCAATTCATCATCTGAACTGACAGGTATTTAATCATTATAATCTTCTTATAAATCTTAACCATTATGAGTAAATTTCCAATTTTTAATAACTTTTTATTCTTCTTATTCATTATCACTATCTAAAGCAAATAAATTCTTTTTTTTTTAAGCTTCTTCTTATACATTTCGTTTCTATTATAATTTTGGAACTTATTGCAATTTTTAATCCTTTTTTTATATCTTTTTATCTAGATTTTCAATATGTTACTCAAATTTATTTTGTTTATGTTCAAATTTTTTTATTTTACCCATATATTAAAAATATAATAGTATTTATTATTATAAATATTATATTTAATTAAAAAAATGCAAAAAGTCAATCAAAAATATCATCATAATTATCTTTACTATTATTTTCTGCATCTCTCTAAATTTATTCATTTAAAGCTTATTATTCCATATATTTTTAATAAATTTCTCTTTCTTCTTCTGAGTCTAATTATTTTTATTTTTTCTTTGAATTAATTTTTTTTTCTGATTCCTTCTTATCTGATCCGTGCTATTTTATTTCATTTTTATCCTCATTACTGTGTTCAACATAAGATGGCAAATTTTCAGTAATCTAATTTTTTGATTTAGATTATTTCTTTTATGAAGTAATTTATAGTGGTTGAAATTCTTCAATAATTTAATCATCATCAATCTTCTTAGCTTTTTCAAGATATTTTGTAAGTAAACTTCTCATTTCATGAATTTCTGCACTAAATGTATGTGTTTGTAATCTCCAATAGATTTCACCTTAAGATGGAGGTTTTAAATCTAAACCTAGAAATATTGCTTATACAGATCCTTTTTCAAAAAACTCGAATTATAACTTATCTAAGGGTGGAATTGGCATTTCTATGGATCTTAAATAATAAATTATTATTACTCAGATCCTCTGTATTCAACATAATTCTAAAGTGTTGAAAACAAATTATTAAAAAATTAATTTAAGCTTTCCTCTCCAACTTCTTGTAATAAACTCTTTATACTCTTAGCCATAATTTCGACCTTCTTCATAGAGATCATTTCATATTATTATTGATACAATTCTATAGCCCTTTCATTTCCATCTTCCAATCTAAATTTTCTAATTCTTTTTCTTATTTCTGCTGGCGATTTAATTGTGAATCCATTTTAACTGAGTAAAAGACTTAATTATTCTTCTGGTGATTCACAATTTTAATATTTTTCATAATTTTCAATTAAAATCTTATCTTCTTTCTAAGTCCAAATAACCTTCTTTTTTGGTTCTTCTAATTAATAATTCCCTTAATTCATATCATCTTCTGCGACTGAATCCTAATAATTCTTTAAAATAGAATCTTTAGTTGCAAGATCCTTAAACCTAAAAAGGATTTCTACACTTAATAATCGATTAACTTTAAATAATTAGACAAAGCTAATCCCAATTCTTCGAAATAATTAAATCAAATTTAAAAACTCGCTTTTATACTAAGATTTATAAACATAATTACTGTAAGTTATTTATTTTAAATAATTTAATTTATAATGTAAAGAAAATCCAGTTAAAAGAAGATCCAATCAGCTTTTAAAGTATCAACAATTCTTTTAAAAAATTTATAAATGGCTATATTTAATTCTGATGTGTTTCTTAATAATTTGCTAATAAGAATAATCATAATAATTTTACTCATCTTTTATTAAATAGAAATATTTTTCTAAAACTTTGTAGTCAACAACGGTTGCAAATTCTGATACTATATTACATCTTCTTTCTTTATAAATAGGTTAATCCTCATCATCTTCAGTTTCATTATCTTCATCTTCTTCTTCATTTTCCTCCTCATTATCTTCATCTCTTATTGAATTTTCATCATCTGGCCCTTTTTCAATAAATGAATTGTCTTCTTCATTTTATTGCTCATTCTGTTTTCTTCTTCCATTCTTCGCTTTATTTTATTACTTCTTGATTTTCTTCTTTAATAATTTATTTGTTCTAATGGACCAACTTTTTCCTTGAGTATATAATTCTAAAAGATCATAATACAATGCTGTCAATTTTACTAATGTTGATAACATTTAATCATTAAACAACCCAAATTAACAATACCCAAATCCTATTAATATAGCCTTGGCTATATCCTAAGTAACAATAGTTTATAATAGAATCTAACTATTTCTTCTATCTGTTTAGTAGACTGAAAGTGATAATTCTCTCACAATCATTAGAAATTCAAATAGAACATTTATCACTGCAAAGAAAATTCTATAATTGAAATTCTTCTTTCTAAGTTATGTGCTTTCATTAATTAAATTACTGTAAATGAAATTAAATTAAGTAATCTGTAAAGCTGCTTAAACAGAGACAAATTCAGATGATAATTATCCTTAATTATCTTCCTTATTTTATTTACAATAAAATCTAATAAATTTTAAAAAGTGTGAAATCAAAACAAAATAATGGACTTTATCATCAGAATCAATAATATCTTTATTCATTTCAATAAAAGCTTGATCAACTAATTTACTAAAACAGTGAATTAAAAAATCAATTGTGGAATATCTTAATTCTTCTTTAAAATTTTTCTCTTTTTCTGGATCATATAAATCAATAGTTAAAGGTTTTACGAATATAGTTTTTTATTTTGAAATCAATGCTCTAACTTATGGTTTTTATCTTTGATTTGCTAATTTGTTAACTTAATGCTAATGAAATGGTTAACTACTTATTTATCCAGATTGAGATAGAACTCTTTTAGTAACAAATAATCCAGGAAATCTTGAATGTCTAGTTGGTATTGTACTAAGATGTTATTATTTTTATATTCTATATTATTAAGCTTGTTTTTAAATAAGTTCTTTCTCTTATTCTGAATCTCTTAATAACCATTCTGGATCAAAAGGTGTTAATGCGTAATAGAAAATTTCCATAAGAGCAAGAGTAATTCTTTGCATAATTGATGACTTGAAATCTTGCGATATATAAATAAAAGCAGATAGAACCGATTCCTTGATCATACAATAAATAAAATTTCTTTGTAGATTTCTTTTTACTTCTTTACCACTTTCAAGTCCAATTTTTGTTTCTTCTACATCAGGAATTGAAAGTAAATTCTTAAATAATAACACAATTAATTCTATCATGTCATTATGTACTTTTGTTCTACAATCTTATTCAATTTAAATGCATTCAGCAAAATGAGTGACTAATGTTTATAATACAATAGGTTTTAAAAAATAAAGTTTATATTCCTGAAGAGTATCCAACATCTAAGGAGCATTTGGAGTTTATAATTTAATTCCTGATTTATCAATATTTGTTAATTATTCCATTAGAATTACAACATAGTAGGATAAAACTTTATCTTGAGGGTAACATGTTAATAGATTGATTAAGTTTAATTAAAACACTCTATATTTGGCCAAGTAAATTCTTGCAATAGGTTTATCAGGTATATCTTTTTTGCATTATTAACAAAGGTGTTTAAGAGCTCCTTCAGCTTTTTCTCCTTTTGCATATACATTCATATTGTCAACTTTAGTAAATGTACCTAATCCTTAAATTGAAAGTAGCAATTGTGTTGAATAGTATCTCTAATCATTACGCTCCTCATCTTCAATAAGTCTTTCTTCAAAATTCGATTCAGAATCAAAATCTCTATCCATAAATTCTTGGCGGTAATTTTAATTATAAATATCACTTTTTAAGTTCAATGGTCAAATTCTATAAATATTTAGATAATGAAATTCTATTTATTTTGATAATCAATAATCATTTTGAACTCTTAAATTTTATAAAGGAATCCAATTGAATAATTTTAAATTTATAAAATGCAATAGTACACTTTTATATTCACCTTATATATTTATATGTGTTAACTATGTCAATTTTAATATTATTAAGCAGTTCTTTGAGTTCTTATATTATTTCTTTTAATTTCTTCTGTAACCAATAATTTGTAGATTAACTATTCTCTACTCAAGCATTGTAAAGCTCTAATAATCCTAGTTTAGGTTCAATTCTTATTTCCTCATTCTAATTCTGCATTTTCATTGTTGATACTGTTAAATAATTAATATATAATTCTTTATGGAAGACGAAGATTACAAACAGGTGTAGAATTATGTTCTATGTAAATTTATTATATTTAGCAAGAGCGCACATTAGGACAAGGAACATTTGGCAAGGTTAAATTAGGTTATCATACTATTGCTGATGAATATGTAACATAGAAATTAAAATTTATAAGGTAGCAATAAAGATGCTTGAAAAAAGTAGAATTTAAAATTAGAGTGATTTGGTCAGAGTTTAAAGGGAAATCTCTATAATAAGAAAGGTAAATCACCCAAATGTAATAAAATTATATGAGGTAATTCTATCATCATCAAAACAAGATATTAGAATCGGAGTCATGTGTCTATTTAGTAATGGAATACGTAAAGGGTGGAGAATTGTATGATTACATAATAAAGAAGAAATAGTAATCTGAATCCTAAATGAAATTAGCCTACCAGAGAACATAGCAGTACGTTACTTCTAGTAGTTAGTCTTTGCAACAGAATATTTACATTCATAAAATATAATTCACAGAGATTTGAAACCAGAAAATCTTTTGCTAGATGAAAATAGACAACTCAAAATTGCAGATTTTGGTTTAAGTTATTTATCATAAACTAAAGGAGAATATCTTAAAACAGCTTGTGGATCTCCTTGTTATGCTGCACCTGAAATGCTTGGTATAAATTTTTAATAACAAGTTGGTAAAACTTATGAAGGAACTAAAAGTGATATTTGGAGTTGTGGAATAATTTTGTTTGCTATGTTATGTGGTTATCTACCATTTGAACATGAGAACACATAATAACTATATGAATTAATAAAGAAGAGTGATTTTGAAAAACCAGAACACTTGTCTAAACATGCTCTCGATTTATTAATAAAGATACTAATTAAAGATCCAAATAGAAGATATAATTTTGATTAAATTAAATAACATCCTTTTTTTTAATTACATGCTTCCATCCCTACTAAGAATTTAAGTTTGAATGATCAAACAATCCTTTCATAGATGGTAGAAATGGGATATTAGCAAAATTAAATTATACTTTAATTGCAATCTAATAAGCATAATACAGTAACTACTATTTACTTCTTATTATAAAAAAAATATAATCAGCCTCATAGAAAAAGTTTTTTTTAAAATATACAAAATATAGGTAATCTCAAACTTGACATTAATTAAAAAAGGTTTACCATTACTAAATTCTAAACATCTAATTAAGGATCACCTAATCTAGATAAAATTGAGAAAATTAAAAAATCCATAAGAACTAGATTAGATAATTCACCTTATTATTTAAAAACTTAGATCTCTTAAAAATTCAAGAAAGTTAATTTATCAGTTCAATCTAAAAGAGTGAGTATTCAAATTGAAAATTAGAGATAAAAGACTAATTCTGTTTAAGAAAAACATTTTGATTATCCTTGTATTTTTACACCAAATATTTCCGAATAGAAATAACTTTAAAATGAACAAATGAAATCTAGAATTTAATCTAGGAAAAATTCTAAAAATCAGCAACCTTATAAAATTATGTTAAGAAAAGAAATAGAATAAGTATTAAAAACAGATATTAATGAAGAAATGCTAAATCATTAAAAAGCTATTTAAGCTTAAGTAAAATAAAGACATAAAACTTAACCAAATAAAAATGATAAAGAGTAAAAATATTTTGAAAAAGCCTCTAAATTGAATACATCTAATTAAGTAATAAATTATTAAATTAGATGATGGAAAAGACACCATAACATTCTCCTTACATAAATTTGAACATAAGTAATCATCGACATTTGTTCAAACAGATATATAATGGAAATTTGTCTGATTTTATGAAGAATAAAAGCGAATCCAAACCTTAAAAATTTTTAAATAATTTGCCATGATATTATTTGAATTTATAGTTAAATACTATTATAAATTAAATGATTAGTTAAGTTTTATGTATTATGTAATATTTATTAATATTGTTGAATCTTCGTTAAATAATTTAAAATAGACATTTTGGAGGATAGTTATAAGAAGTAACAAATAAAAAAGTGTTTTGACTCAGGATTAATTTCAAAAAAAATGTATATTCATTTTTTGGATAATTTTAATTATAAATAAAAAAAGTAAAAAGAGAGTTATAATAATAATAAATATTAAGATTGATTTTGCTAATAATGTTAATTTAGATTACTTTAATTAATAAAATAATGAATTATAATCTCAGTAATAATTATAAATAATATTATAATATTTATTTTCAAAAGGAGTAATTTGTTGTTTATTAATTAGTATATTTTGGTATAGTTTAAAGACTAAAAAATAATCAATGAGCTCTTTCTCTTATTTTCCATTAATGCAAATAATTATTTAATTTAAAGCTAAACTCCCTTAATTTATCTTTTTAATTAGTATCATTTACAATTGAGTTGATTATTGAACTTTAAATATTATTAGAATTTCTTGAATTTTGTTCATAGCCAACTGAACCTCTACGTGTATAATTATTGGTTTCTATATTATTTCTTGTACTGTTTTTTCTTCTTATTTTTTGATTAATCCTTTATTCATAGTCTTTTAGTTATTAGATAAAGCCTGGATTAGGACTAATTAATTTTCGACGTTATTTAATGTGGTGTAACGTTTAGCTTAGATTTAATGAGTATTTTTGCATCATATAGGCTGCACAAACAGCTACAGATAAAGAAATACCATCACAACAATGAATGAGCACATTTGTTCTTAAAGCTTAAATATCAATGAATTTTATAGATTAATCATAATATTTGTGTAAGGGAAAATCATGAGAGTCTTCTGCCATTATCCACTAGAAATATAGTATGAATTATATACTAATTTTTAAACTCCTTTGATTGATAAAGAGTGATCAATGACAGAAAGTACAGCTCCAATTTAATATTTAATTAAATTATCTGGATTTAAAGCTGCATCAATATTTCCCAAGTAGATTCCTCCAACTTCATTTATGGGTGCTATAATACAATTCATATTATTAGACAGAAGCTGACTATTAACGAACATTTTAATTAAAATTATAAATTTCTTTGCTCTAAATGACTAAATGTGAGAGTCTATCATATAAGGGAAACATTTATTTATTTTATTAAGATAATGATTCTCTAATTAATTACATTATTGTAAATAAAATAGTATTATAAAATTCATTTTTTTGAGATATAAGACTTTTTTATTGAATAATTATATGTATTTGCATTATAAACTAAATTTAATTTTTGAGGTTATAGATAATGTTAAGCCTAAAAATGATATATTAAATATACTTAAGCATGAAAGGAAGGTTATTATATAGAATTTTTTTTTTGTGGTGATTTGGCAATTGAAGTTGATTATTATTTTGGCTATTATTCGAATTGATATTAATGTTAAATTTTAGGATCATCTTTTACTCCAGGTAATCCAATGATTCTGTTGATTCTTTTATCTTATTCAGATCCTAATCTACTTTAAGGAAGAGTATCATTTAGTTTTATTTTAAATGATTAATTAAATGTATTATGCATTTAAGATTTATTATCTTCACCTTCTTTATTATATTCTGAAACATAATCTCCAATTTTATAATTATAAGCTTATTTTTATATAAGTGTTTAATTTTAAATAGTTTGTGGAATAGCTTTTTCTAATATTTTTTTAGGTTTTGTATCACATAAATCAAATTAATTAGTAATGTATTATTTTGAATCATCTCTTTCGCAGCTGGTTCTTCTCTAAAAATTACTTTTTGGTCTAATTTCCCTTTCTTTACTCCATAAATCATAGAGATATTAATGCTCTAAACATTCTATAGAGGTTAATCTTTTATTTGGGTCCATAATTAAACATTATTTTAGAAAACTTAAGCCTTTATTACACATTTTTCCTTAATATCTTTTCTCAATTGTTTCACATTTTGTAATATCGGGAAATTTCATTCCTATGTATTTCTAATTCTTCTAAAATCTTTCTATCTAATCTTAAGTCAACGGTCCTAGAATTTTTTAAATTAAATATAATTAATCCATCTCATTTTCTCCTGGAAATAATGGTTAACCATCTATCAATTCTCCCATTATACATCCTATTGCCCAAATATCAACCTCTTTTCCATAATTATTTGATATTAATAATTCTGGAGATCTATACCATCTTGTTGCCACATAATCTGTCAATTACTCTTAACATTATATTGTCTATATCTATATTTAAAAACACTACTCTTGCAAAACCAAAGTCACACAACTTTATATTTAATTCATTATCAATTAATAAATTTTCAGGCTTTATATCTCTATGTACTATCCCAACTTAATGACATGCATTAATTGCTAAGACTAATTACAATATTATTCTCTTTATGCTTTCCTACTAATAATTTCTTTATTTCAAATACGTCTAATTATTTTCTCTCTTCTAATAATTCCAATAAGTTTCTATCTACAAATTGGAATACCAAAAATATTTTCCCCTTTTTCTTAAATGCCTCCTTCAATTATATAATATTTGGATGTTTTAGCATTCTCAACATTTTTACTTCTCGTTGTATACTCTTTTTTACTGTCTCATCATCTTCTGTCTCTTTAAATTTCTTTATTGCGACTGTAACAAATACAAAGAAATATCAAACCATATTCATTTGTCTCTTTATTTCTACATTTTAACACTATTCCGTAAGCTCCTTCACCTACAACTCCAATTATCTCATACTTATTCATTATTTCTACTTTTTACTTTGCCCTTTTTAATTTATATAAATTAATTCTAATTTTATTGAAAGCAAAATTTTTTTAAATTATTTTCAGTCTCTCTCAAATTAAGCAATCTTATTAAATTCTATTATATAAAATAATTATTTCAACTTGCTTAGTTTCTAAGCAAAAATCTTATTTTAGATCTAAGACTATTTGTTTATTTTTTTAATAATTTCTGAACAATTATTTTAAAAATTTATCTATAGTTAAGGATTAAATTATTTTTATTATCCACAATGCTTATTTTATGTGATATTCGTCACAAATTAATATAAAAATAGTTATTGCCACTTAATTAGTAAGAAAATTAAGAATTTGGATAATCTTCATCATTTAAGAAAGAATTTTTGAACTAATAGTATTATATTTTGTTGGTGAAATAGAATAATTAGTATTATAAAAGATTGAACCTTAAGGTAAAATATTTTTATTTAGTATTATTAATTTATATAATACATCTAATATTTTTATTTTAAATTTCATATAAAGATAAAAACACAAATCAAAAGTTTTCTTCATTTTATTGTTCTTCTTGTTCTTCTTGCTCTTCTTACTTTTCATCTCCAGACGAATATTGTTAATAATCTTCAAACTATTATTCATCATCTATGTATTTCTTTTCAGTAGAGCGAAATACTTTTCCGACAAAACTTATTTTAAAAGTTTTATCATATTAATATTTAATCGCAATAAGTCCTGATTCAGAAATTTCCCTACTTCCTTCAAAAATATCAACTAATATTTCAATAGCAAATTTATGTGTGACTATTATATATATCTACTTGGTATTATCTTTGTTCTCTTATAATTTATGTATGGCTTGGTAAATAAATGATGCTATTCTTTCTTCTACTTATTCGAGTGATTCTTTTTTATAGTTATTTTAAGGTAACAATTTTGGATCAATTAAATTTTCCTTTGTCACAGATTTCAGATAAGTGTTAGCATAATCTAAATTTATTTCTTCCTTTGAACATATGTTTGGATGTTAATAATCCCCTAATTCATATTATGTGAATATTTTATCATTTTTTTTCTTAAACTTTAATTATTTTGAGACTATATTAGTTTTTATAATATCTGCAGTTTCTAAACATTTTCTGAAAGGAGATGAACAAATTGTTAAATTAATATCAGAATCTTCAACTTCAATCTCCTTGCAATAATCTTTAATTAAAGTCTTAATCTCTTTTGCCCTTTTTAATGCTTATTAAGATCCCATTTAAGTTAATCCATCATATTTAAAATCTCTTTCTCCATTTCTTACAAAAATTATCATTTTAAAGTTCTTTTAATTCTTTTAAATGTTCAATAATTTCTTAATTACACATTATAATTTCTTTATTAATTTTGGACTGAATCGGAGATTATCAGAAATAATCATAATAGGCTATTTTTTGTTAGAGTTAATTTATTATCACGGTATTATCTCAAATATTCTTGGATAACAAACATGCAGAGTCCATTTCATGCTATTCTTTATAATAATTTTAATCAATATTGAAGAATTTAAATTAATGAAATTTATGATTGATTGGATGGGAATGAAGAAGAAATTAAAAATTTGAAGGCAGAATTAGTTAGTCTACGTGGATAGTTTTATAAATATAATTATTTCTTATATCTTATAAGCTGGTTTTAGTCTAGCAAGCTAAATTTAAAATTATCTAACAAGAATCACAAAATAAATTAGATTTTAGCTTGATAAGTACAAAGAGAGTTATTAAATTAAGCAAATATCAAGAAAAATTTTGAAAATGACATTCTAAATAAGTTATAATTATTTTCAAGAAATAAATAGCTTCATTGTCAGAGAGATGAAAATGTATTAAAAATTATTTTTAAATATTTGGTAAAAGACAATCACAATTGCATCATTAATTTCTATGCTTTCTTAAAACTATTTAGCATATCTTCTAATTGTTCAGGAAATAAAACAAATTGGCAACATTCTTATTTTCCATTCTCATGTTAAAATGTTATGTTCGTATCTATAAATCTGTTACCCTCAATTTATTTTTAAGGGACAACACTTTCTGATACAATAAATTTACTTATTCCATAATGAAACTCTATTGTTTTTCCAACTTTTTATAGATAATTATTTTCTTACTTCTTAATATTTAACCTTCATAAACCTATTACAATTTATCTTTGTATTATTTAAATGTCTTGCTCAATTATTCACAGTTTTCTTTTGGTAATCCCAAATCAATCAACTCTTTTATAAGTACTTATTCAGAAACATCATATTTTGCAGAGTTTTCAACTATAAATGATACACATGCAATAGTTGAATTGATTTCTTATTAATTAAATCCAGATCCTTCCAACATTTTAAAAATTTTAGCTGTAGTATCAAGACCTTCGACTATATTCTATAAAATATATTATGTCACTAATTTCATTTTCACAGAAGCCTGAACTTATATTTTCTATTTAATACTATTTTAGTTAGAAGGGCAGATTCAGCCAAAAACCATTCTGGACAATTACTATCTCCACAAAATAAAAATCTCATAATATAAATATATCTATACTATTTTTTCAATAATTATAAAACTTTTATTGTTTTATTCCATCAAAAATAACCTATTGATAATAATTATAAATTACTTTAGTTCTCTGAAATATTACTATTGTTTATCAAAAAGACATATAAATTTTAAATAAAAAAATACAAAATTAATAATCAAAATCTGGTAATCTATTTAACTTTTTCGCTAGCCTTACCAGATAAATAAATTTTTGGATATAATTATTTAATATAAGAGGCGGCTAGATTATTTTATAGCTTATATCCTCATCCACTACAATATGTAATGTTAAATTTAAAAAATAATTCTTTACTAGTTTTCGCGACAACAATATTTTTAGGAATTTTTTACATAAAATTAATTAATTTATAAAGATTTATAAAATTTAAGATTTAAAAATCTCATAATTTAATCTCTTTTATCATATTACCCATATTCCAAACTCCTTATTTATAAAGTTTACCCTTTTTATAGATTGCACCATCGCCATTTTATCTGCTTGATCTCCAATACCTTATAAATACCCTTCCATCTGGATAAGTCATTTATCCTTATCCATCTAATTTATCTAATAAAAATTCTCCTTTATAATCTTAACCAGTAGGCCAAATCATTTATGCTTAATCATCTCTAAGTCCATCTCTCCAATCGTCTATATACTTTTTACTATCACTCTAAAAGAATGTTCCTTTATCTTAGATAAGGTAATTCACATAAAGTTAAAAGTTTCTCTAAGAAATTCTCCTTCATAATATGAATTATCATTGAAGACAATCTTTCCATTACCATCTTTTTAACCTTTCTTAAATTATCCTTAATAAACTATAAAATTAGACCATACTTCTTTTCCTTAACCATGTTTTTCTCCATTTTACCACTCCATCATAATAAAAAGTAAAACTATACACACCTAATCAATAGAATAAATTATTTTCAAATTCTCCTTCTAATAATCTCCATCATGATATAATAATCTACCTAGACAATAATACTTATCTTATTTAAAAAAAAAACTTTCATAAACACTTCCATCTAAATTTATAGCCTTCCCATATCAATATTCATGTCTTAAATCGTCAAGCCAATCTCCAGAGTATAATATTTCATTCTTTAAGCTCTTAAAATGTGAATAATTATTACATAAACACCCCATCTTATTATCAAATAAAGAAGTTAAATCTTACATTTTAAAATGAGCAGATTCCTTCACAATTATCTTTTTCAATTTATCCATAGTTGCTAAAATTAAAGGATTCAAAATAATAATTATTCCTGTTTTGATATACTCTTGGTGTAATTGCATTTATTAATTAATAAAGACTCTCCTCAATATTTNCGCTAGCCTTACCAGATAAATAAATTTTTGGATATAATTATTTAATATAAGAGGCGGCTAGATTATTTTATAGCTTATATCCTCATCCACTACAATATGTAATGTTAAATTTAAAAAATAATTCTTTACTAGTTTTCGCGACAACAATATTTTTAGGAATTTTTTACATAAAATTAATTAATTTATAAAGATTTATAAAATTTAAGATTTAAAAATCTCATAATTTAATCTCTTTTATCATATTACCCATATTCCAAACTCCTTATTTATAAAGTTTACCCTTTTTATAGATTGCACCATCGCCATTTTATCTGCTTGATCTCCAATACCTTATAAATACCCTTCCATCTGGATAAGTCATTTATCCTTATCCATCTAATTTATCTAATAAAAATTCTCCTTTATAATCTTAACCAGTAGGCCAAATCATTTATGCTTAATCATCTCTAAGTCCATCTCTCCAATCGTCTATATACTTTTTACTATCACTCTAAAAGAATGTTCCTTTATCTTAGATAAGGTAATTCACATAAAGTTAAAAGTTTCTCTAAGAAATTCTCCTTCATAATATGAATTATCATTGAAGACAATCTTTCCATTACCATCTTTTTAACCTTTCTTAAATTATCCTTAATAAACTATAAAATTAGACCATACTTCTTTTCCTTAACCATGTTTTTCTCCATTTTACCACTCCATCATAATAAAAAGTAAAACTATACACACCTAATCAATAGAATAAATTATTTTCAAATTCTCCTTCTAATAATCTCCATCATGATATAATAATCTACCTAGACAATAATACTTATCTTATTTAAAAAAAAAACTTTCATAAACACTTCCATCTAAATTTATAGCCTTCCCATATCAATATTCATGTCTTAAATCGTCAAGCCAATCTCCAGAGTATAATATTTCATTCTTTAAGCTCTTAAAATGTGAATAATTATTACATAAACACCCCATCTTATTATCAAATAAAGAAGTTAAATCTTACATTTTAAAATGAGCAGATTCCTTCACAATTATCTTTTTCAATTTATCCATAGTTGCTAAAATTAAAGGATTCAAAATAATAATTATTCCTGTTTTGATATACTCTTGGTGTAATTGCATTTATTAATTAATAAAGACTCTCCTCAATATTTAAATGATCAGGTGTATTATGATTACTAATATTTGTGAGCGGATTTAATTTGAACAGCAATTACCTATTAAATATTAATATTTATATTGATAGATATTTTTAATGTATATAATGTATCAGGCAACAAGTATGCATGCTCCACCGACAGCCTTTATTCTTCTTTCTGCAGTTTTGCTAAAGAATTTTGCTTTTACAACAACTGGTTAATTTGGTAATCTTCCCTTACCTAAGACCTTAAAATAACCTGCCTTTGTAACATCTATCACTGCAGCCTTATCTTTTGATTTCGAATATTTTTCTCTAGTTTCATCGGTAACAAGTGACCATAATTTATCAATATTCACTACAGGTCTATGAAGTTAGTTCTTCTTTAAATGAAAATGTCTCATTCCATTCTAATATTATATTAATCACTTGTACCTTTTAGAAATATCCAGGATGATATTTATTAAAGTTAATTCTGTGATGTGTTAAACCTCCTGATACACCTCTACCACTTGGATGTTTTCTATGCTTACCAACTCTACCATAACCATGACAAACATGTCCTCTCATTTTTCTGCATTTTCTTAATCTGCTGACCATTTTTTTTTTATTTTAAAAAAGATTTTAATATGTAATTAATATACAAAATCTATACGTAAACAAATTATTTATATCTTTCTTCACACGTCTTTCCATATTATAGTTATTTCAAATCAATAAAATAGACTCATATACAAATTAATTTCTCATTTTTTCAAATCTGCTTTACTAACTCAATTTATTGATGTTTCATTATTATAATAAACAAAGATGCCTCCTCACTTTAGAATAAAGATTTTCTATCTTATTTTCTTTCTATATTTATCCCAAAAACAAGCACAAAAGCATTTATGATTAATTGAAGTACCCTCCCAAAGACGATCTGTTATTAAATCAAAATAGCAAAATTAAAAGATAATTTTTTCACAACATTAAATATCTTAATGTTAAAATTAGGCAAACATAAAGTCTCTATTGCAAATAATTATTAGAAACATAAAATAGGCACTCCAATTCTTCCTTGAATTGTATGACAAAAAAAAAGTAAAAAAAAACACTTGCAAACTAAGCATCATTAGTATTAATTCCTTCCAAAAATTCATAATCTATTTTATAGAAAATTATCTCGTACATTCAATTGTCATGCCATGCACATGAATAATTAATTATTTTTGAATATTTGATCATCTGACTTTTATTTGCCTGATAAATCATTTAAGTAATAACTACAAACATCAAAAAGGTCCAATAATAAATGTAATAAAACACATCAATAATGGTAGAGTCTAGATGAGATATAATCTATTTTTCTTGATTTATAAGATTACCTTAATTATTAAATATTTTCTATCTTCCAAATACTTAAATTCTGATAATCAGTATTAAAGAGATCAATTTGACAATATTACAAATAAAAATTGTAAGTAATAGTCATGATTGGGATCATAGAACATTTTATTTTGTAATTTTAAAAATTATGAAAATTATTAATTTACATAGTTTTATAATGTTTCAAATTTTTAGTATATACTGAACAAATTATTTAATTTATTATAAATTTATACATTCTAAAATGTCAATTAAATTTCATAAAAATTGAATCGATTTATTAAAAAAAAAATATAAATTATATATTTTATTTAATTTTAGTTTAAACGATGTTAGTGGACGAAACTTAGAGGAAAGATAAAATTTTGAAAAGATTTAAAATAGATTTGTTAATCAATGATATGAAATAAATTATATTAAAAATCATTTACTTTGGTATTCTTCATTTCTAAAATATTAGACTTTTTATTTGATTATCTAACTATTTATAATAATATATACATCAGATCTTAAGGGATTAAATTATTAAGCTTATGAAAAGGATTTAACAGATTATTAAGATTCTTTTACTCCTGAATTATAATTAGAGATATCAGATCTTTATTAAGCAGTATTTACTATAGATTTAATTTTTTTAGAATCTTCTAAGTTAAAACCTGATACTAATCCTGTTTAATTATTAATTGTTTCTCCAACCCTTTATATCTCAAAAGTTTTCTATACAAATTATGTATTATTAGTATTATTTGAGCTCAATCTTCTTTAAGTTTTAGCCAGCTCATTTCTAAGCATATTAATTTCAGATTCATATTCTGTTGCCTATTTATAAAATAAAATTATTACTCTTTCAATTAATTTATCATGCTTCGATTAAATTTACTCTTTCAGCATCCTTTATCTTTAAATTTCAGCATTCAAACCTTCAATTCTTGTTTCTAACTCTACAAGTCGTTAATTACTTAGTATATAATTATTAATTACTTTTAAGTTTCTCTAATGATGATTTATTGTTTGTTTGATTATTCTAAAATAGCTTCATGCTCAATTTTTAATTACCTAATTTTTGTTGATAATTCTTGAATCATTTCATTCAATTAAACGATTTCAAATTCCTTAGATTATAATTAGTTTATTAACTCTCTAGTTTTCACTTCATTTGTTGTTGATACCTTTTTATCATTTTCTATTTTTCTAACTTATATTTCTAGTTACTATATTTGTTCTGTTTTTCTTTTATTTTCTAATTCTAACCTATTTAATTTTTCAAAATCTATCTATTAATATCTATCTTAATAATCTTAATTTTCACGATTTAATTATCTTAATTTTAATTCAAGTTCATTATATTTTGATTTACTCTATGTTAATTCATTTTAACATTAAAAATACATCTTGTTTACTCTATCTAATTCAGCTTTAATTGTATCTCTGCTTTATTCTGAAGATTTCAATTACAATCTTATTGATTCAATTTCTCCAGAAGTAGTACTAACTTCAGTTGATAAAGCTATAAATTTTCTCTTCCATTATTCATTTTCTTCATTTTTATTTCTCATTAAATCTATCATTTTTTAATTTTCTTTCTATAATAATTCTATCTATTATTTATTTTCTTTAATTTCTCTATTTTTAGAATTTTCTAAATATTGCAACTCTTAATTTATGCTATTTAATTACTAAGATTAAACATTCGCTATTTCTTTTTTAAATTAGACTTCTTGAAGATTGATTTTTTCTTCATATTATTTCTTTTATGATTAGATTTCTAATTTTAACCTTTCTATTAATTTTTCATTTTAAAATTATTCTTCTTTAAAATAATTAAATTTCAATTCTTGTTCAGCATATCTTTCTCTTTCTTGTCTTAATTCTTAATTTTTTTTTTCTAATATTCTAATTTATTCTTAAAAGTCTTATTCCCTTCTTTCATATTATAAAAGAATTTATTTTTACTTTTATCCTTCATCTATTTTTAATTAAAACTAAGTTAACTATTCTTAAGTATCCTAATTCTGCTTTTAAGAATTTTTTAATTATAACTTTAAAGTTTTTATTTCTTATTCTAATTCAAAGTATGAATTCTAATATTCTTTGAGCTGCTTTTCATAAATTTCAATTTATTTTTATTATTAAAGCTATTACCTTTCTAAACTTTAAATCTTCAATAAGTCTTCTTATTTACTAACTTGTATGGTTTCCTTTACAATTTATACCTCTTATTTTTATTTTTGAATGATAGTAATATTATCTCTTAAAGTAGATAATTACTACTCTAATTATCTAATACGATATTAATCTGCTTCGGAAGGAACCTCAATAGTTATAGTTTCTTTTATTACTTCTTATTTCTTTTAATTCAAAATAAAAAATTCTTATTATAAAGTATTAAGTTATTATTCCAATTATTTTATTTTAATTTTATCAGACTCTATAGGTACTTCTACTATTTCTCGAACAATTTCTTATTTTCGAGATTATAAAATCTAATATTCACTTTTTATTTATGAAAGCTACATCTCTAATTATTAAATTCTAAATTTATCAGCCTATGAAGGAACCTCAACTGTGTATGTTTCTTTTATTACTTCTTATTTTATCTTATTTAATGCAATATAATCTTATTGCAATTTATTTAAATCTTACTCTAATTCAATAATTCTTCTTTTATCAGATTCTTTAGGAACTTCTATTCTCTCTGTTATTACTTCTCGAATAGTTTCTTATTTTTTTTTTGAAATTATTTATAATTCCAAAGTTAAATTACTTAATTATGATTCTAATTATGCAATTCTTTATTTGTCTACTGACGAAGAAACTTCTATTCTTTCTGTTTTTACCTCTTATTTTTTCATATTTAGGATTTCATAATTATTTTGTAAATTTAAGTACTCATTTTTTAATTGTATTAATGACTATTCCAATTATGAAATTCGATATTTATCAGCCTATGAAGAAACTTCAACTGTTACAGTTTCCCTTATGATCTCTTATTTCTTTTAATTCAATTAGTTGTAATCTCTTTATAATTATGAAAATTAATCTTCTAATTATTTTATTCTAACTTTATCTTATTCATTTGGTACTTCAATTGTTTCTGTAATTATTTCTCTTATCACTTCTTGTTTTTATTATTAAATTATTTAAATTTCTGACTTTAATTTCTATACATATGATTCTAATTATTATATTTTGAATTTATCTGCTTAAGAAGAAACCTCTACTGTTACTGTTTCTTTAATGATTTATTATTTCTTTTAACTAAGTTAATAATAATCTTCATTTAATCTTTATAATTCATCTTCTAATTATTAGATTTTTATTTTATCTTGCTTTGATGGTATTTCAACAGTTTCTGTAATTATTTCTCTTATTACTTCTTATTTTTATTTTGAAATAATCTCAATTTCTTATTTTAATTAATATACTAATGATTCAAGTTATTGTATTTTTATTTTATCTGATTATTAAGGAATTTCTACTGTGATTGTTTCTTTTATTATTTCTTGTTTCTTTAAATTTAATAACTAATAATCTTTTTATAATTTTTATAATTAATCTTCTAACTATTAAATTCTTATTCTATCAGATTCTAAAGGAACTTCAACTCTCTCAGTGATATACTCAGTTATAATCTCTTATTTTTAAGATGAAACTATTTGCAATTCTTTTCTTAATTGTGTTAATTAATATTCTAATTGTTAAATTTTTTATCTATCAGCTTAAGAAGGAACCTCAACAGTAATAGTTTCTTTAATAATTTCTTATTTTTTCTATTCTAAATATTGATAGTCTTTCTTTAAACGTTAAAGTTATTCTTATAATTATGAGATTTTCAATTTGTCAGACTCTGATGGAACTTCAATTCTTTCAGTAATTACTTCTCTTATAACTTCCTATTTACTTTTTGCTAAATACTAGAATTCTGTTTTTAATTAAGCTAATTGAGATTCTAAAGATTATATTTTTATCTTATCAGCTTAAGATGGCACCTCAACTGTTATTTGCTATGTTATAACTTCTTACTTCTTCTAATTTAATTCATAGATTTATTCTTTCAAAAAGTGTATTTCTTATTCTAACTATTAAATTCTTATTTAATCTTCTTCAAGAGGAACTTCAACAGTTTCTGTTATATATTCTCGAATAATTTCTTATTTTTTTGCAGATGATTATTTTATTTAATGCTCTAATTCTTATATTTTTATTTTATCACTTTCTAATGATTAAACCTCTCTAATAGTTTCTACAACAACTTAATTCTTCCTTCTATCTAATTCATAATATTTAGTTTTCCATAATTATAACTCTTCCTCTAAACTAGCAATTAATTTTATATCTTCTTAACTTCGTACTTATACAGTTTCTCTAATAGTTTCTCTAATTACTTCTTGTTTAGATGTGGAAATTTATTTCAATTACAAATTTAGTAAGTATAATTATTATTCTAAATCTTATATTTTTTATTTATCTTATTTTGAAGGAGTTTCTATTATTTCTTTAACAATTTCTTACTTTTTTTTTAAAAGTACTTCATTTGAAGCCCTTAATTCACTAATTTTTTATTTATCAACTTCCCATTCACTCTTTAATGAATTATATTCATTTCTTTTATCTAATAATTATTTTTCCAAATCTCTACACTTTATTCTCAAACTCTCAATATCAAGTTCGAATTATTTAATTTTTCTAGATTGATCTTAATTTGATTTAGTATTTTCTACAGTAATTTAATATGTCGTTATTTATTCCTAATAAGTTTATTCTCTAATTTTAAGTACTCGAATTTCTTCTTACATTTCAATTAATTCTTATTCTAGTAATTGAATTCTATGTTAATCTTATTCGTTTTAAGTATGAACATAAGTATGAGATTCATATTATGTTTTAATGTCAATCAATAATTATCTAGCTTCCTAATGCTTTAATTATTCATCATAGAATTTCTCTTTCCATAATTTTACTTAAACTTCAATTTCTTGAGAAAATTGTTCAAGTTATCTATATTCTCTTCTTATCTTTTCAATCTCCTTTTAATGACTTTCAACTTCAAATTAATATTAAGCATTTTAATGAATTTCAATTTATTTTTCTTATTACTATCTAATTTCTCTTACATCTTTAGAATATTTAGATTCAATTTCATACACTTTTAAAGATTCATTTTATAATTGATTATTAAGTTATTTTATTAGCTATTGTTCTTTCAATAATCTTTCATTCAATTACTTAATTTAAGTTTCATAATATTCATTTTATGATGTTTCTTTATTTGCTTATTCAATTTTTAATTTAAATTCTTTTTATTAAGCAGCAATCTAAGTTTCAAGTTAATAAATTTATCTTTCTAATTCTAAAATTTTTGATTATTCTTTTTGAGATAATCTCTAATAATTTGTTTCATTATCTCTTTTTAATCTTTCATATTATTTCGATAATGATTAATTTTCTACTTCCAATGATTAAATATGTTATTTTAATGTAGAAATCTCTCTCTCGTATTTTTATGAATATTTTTATATTTAATCTTCAATTTATTATAAATTATTTCGTTCCCAATCTTATTTTTCAATTTTCAATTAATCTTCAAATAATATTCTAAGATCTTTTTCCATATTAATTATTTTATGTTATAGTTTAGAAATATTGTCATCTTTCTCTCTCAATTATTATTCAAAATCATATGCTCTATTTTAATGATATATGATTTAATCTTCTAATTCTTTAATTTCAATCTTATAAGTATTGATTTATTAGTTGAATTAATTAATTTGTAATTTTTATCTATCAGATTCTTATGTATTTTTATTTTACTTTTCAAATTATGTAATACTTAATCTATATCGATTATTTTATTCTTGAATTTATTTAAATTCAGATACCAAAATATCCATTTCTTCTTTTACTTATTCATTTTCTATTTTTAATTAACTATTATATTCTTCTAATTATTTAATCTTATGTTTATAATTATCAGTATCTTTAGTTTTAATTTCTAATTAAATATATTTTTATTTCCAATTTTCTAATTCATTTTAAATTGTATGAAGTTGTTAATTATCTCTTTAAATTTTATCACTTTATTATAATTCTATTTATTTTTTGGTTTCATTGACTCTGATTTCCATTTAAATGATTCTTCTTTCACTTTCTTCTTTCTATAATTCAAATGTTTGACATTTTTCTTACCATTATCTGCATTAAGCTTAATAGAAATTGAGTTCTTATTTTAATTAATCAATTTCATACTACATATTACCTTTTGATTCTGCCATTGCTGATTCTAATTTCATTTAGTTCTAATTATGTGCTTCAATCAATATTTAAATATCATTATCCATTTCTTTTATTTTATCTTTTAATGTTTAAATAGTTCTTTCATACAAATCCTTATCTGTTGTTCTATATTAAGCTTCTGATTAATATCTAGCAATTTCCTACATTAATCTTGTTATTTCACTTTAAGTATTAGAGTTCCTTTATTCTTTGACATTTCTAACTTCTAACTCTAAAGTAGATGTCCTATTTTTATAAGTTTATATATCTTGTTCATATTTATTTTTCATTCTTAAGAACTCTTCTACTTATTTTCTCTATTCTTCCAACATGGCATTTAATTAAGTAATATCTAAACTATTTAAATGGAAATCAATTACCTTATTAATATTTAATTTATTGCTAAGTTAATGAAGAAATATCTTGCTTATATCTCGTTACTAAACTTGATTATTCTGCATCTGATGAATTTCTCATTAGTAATTGAGATCGAAGCTTCGCTAATTCTTATTAAGATGCTTCTAACTCTGCTTGATTTATCATATATTTTTATCTTAAGTTATAACTTTCTCCAGACATTTACTTTAATTACTAATTGTCCTTGTCTAATTGTTCAATAACTTCTTTTAATTTCTTATTGTCTTGTAATAACTCCTCATATCGTCTTTCAATATTTATTATTTATTTACTTATCTTCAAATAGTGTACTCTTCTTAGTGCTTTAATTAATTTCAATGAAATTTCTTATTTATTATTGATTTTATTTCTCACCACTTGAAATTATTCCTGAATTACTTTAGTATTTATCATTAACAAATGATTATCTACTTTATGCCATGGGTATTTAGAGATATTGTTAATTCATTAATTTGAATTTATATTAAATATTTGTTGTTTAAACTTTATTTAGGAAAAAGTATAATAATTAAATATATTTGATTATAATTGCTTTCAATTTTAAGAATCGAATAATTACTGTTTAGATTTATCGTTACAATTCAAACAATCATCTCAATTAAGTAATACATTTTTTTAGAACTTCCCGAACTCTAGATTAATTTATTTAACTTCATTTTGAATTAAGATAAAAATATTAATTATTTGTAATGAAAATTAATCAATTCGGTCTATTAGAACATTTAACACAACCTGGACTCATAAAAAATAGTAAATAATGTGTCATGGAAGAACGACTAAATTTATAAAAAACTAATTTTTTTTTAAAATACATCCCATTTCGACATAATGGGTAATTTCAAAATTAAAAAATTAATAAGGTCATGAAGAATCTCAATGCAATGAAAAAGAAGAGAAATATTTAAAAAACATCCAGAAATATAAATGTTATTTGGAAATGACATCAATTCAGCTTGGTTAGGAATTACCTTTGTGTTGGTGCAATTTAGTTTTAAAAGTCTTTTTAGTTAATTAAATTTATTTTTGTTTGTAATAACTCCTCCTTAACATTAAATCATGCATTTCATGTTTTGATTAACCATTTTACTTGTTTTGAATCAGAACTTTATAAAAAGAATAACAATTTATGAATTGAAATAACTTTTAGAAATACAGATAAATAATTTAAAATTTAATTAAGCCAATTCTTGATAAGTGCTTAATCAATTATAAAATTGTAACAATACAAAACTAAAAGCCTTCAATTAAAATAGTAGCAGTCAATAATAATTTGTGCTGATAATGATATGCTAATTAAAGAAAAAAGCATTTATAATACAAACTTAATTAATTTGTAAACTCCTATCAATATTAAAATAAATTTAAATGGATATTTAGAATTTAAATTGCATATTATTTTATAATTTAAAAGGTTATAATGCATGGAGTAAATAATTTTGATAAAAATTATTATAATTTATAATAGATATTAAATACTGTCAATGGAAGAGCAACAAAAAATAAAGAATAGAAAAGATAGAATAACACTTTCTCTTCACTAACCATTACAATATACAATATAGAAAATATTTTAGGAGAGATTAGAATAAAATTTAAAGCCAATTATAAAATCTTCAACAAATGTAGAATTTTCTTGACTATTTAGATTATTAAATCAAATAAATCTCAAAAGTAAAATAAATTGCAGTTATTTTATGATGCAAAATTACACAACATCAATCTCTAGCATATTGAAGATCATATAAAAACACCACGCATGAATCATTCTGTAAAAATTTTAAGAACTGAAACAAAAGAAGATTTAAATTAAAGATTATTGACACTTCCTGTTAAGAATATAACTTATGAAAAACTCTTAAATAAAGAAAAAGAGACAAAAATTACGTGTTTCTGTTATAAATCAAATGATGATGTATTCTGAAGAATAATTATAAGAAAAATGCTTAGATATATTTCGAAAACTGTCTAAGCCTATATCAGGTATACAAATTCTTGAAAATAATTAACTCTATTAATATTTACTATCAATTTTTCATAATGAATAGATAACTATAAAAACAATTAAATATTTATCTGTTCCATAAAATATGAATTATAAGTAATATTGTGATTTGATTATGAGATTCAATGAATGGAGTAAAGTTGGTAAATTGATATTTATATATTTAGATATTCTTTTTTATTGTTTTTATATATTTTAAGACAATTACTCAGCAATATTGGATTCAAAATGTTTATTTTAATTATTAACCTCAGAATAATGTTTTTCAGATGATGCTAATTTCATTATAAAAACATTAAGATAAAGTTAAGAATTAAATAAACGAAGTAATTATAAAACATATCATACTAAATTGCTAAAAATACATAATTTAACATTTCGAAGATATAAACGAGAGTAAGAATTAATGATAGAAAAGCTTCGTAAATAAAAATTAGATATGTACTAAATAAAAACGAAGATGATAATATCAAATTTAAAAGAAAATTAAATTGTAGATAAAGAAGAGAATTTATATTAATTACCCATCTAAAATGAAGATGATATAATAGTTACATTTGAGACTTTCAAATCTATTTATAGTTAATGTCATCCTTGTTTTTTTGGATGGCTAATAAAATGTCTTGGGGATATTGATATCTATTTTGTTGGGTAAAAATTATGATTATAAAATTAATTATATGCAATATATTTATGGATCCTTCATAGATGGATGGTACAATCTAAGATACTTTCTAATTTCATATTTCTATGACTCTGAATAAAAGTTAAGGCAGAACTCTATAAACTTATATATTCTTAATAATATAATCAAAGATGACTGTGATGTAGATGTAATCATTTAAATTATCATTTCTAGTAAAAGTTAAATAAATTGAAAAGTATATTTGAAAGTACTATTTGGTTCTCATATAGAAACAAACTACCATAACTATAATGTTTAAATATTATATTACATTTTAAGATAGTACACTTACTTCTGATACAGGGTGGGGATGTATGTTACGAGTAGGATAGATGTCCTTATGTTAATAGATCAAATATTTTTATAATATTAATACACCTGAAGCATTAACTGAATTAATTTAGCAATTTGCAGATAATGATTAGAATGAATTTTCTAATTTTTTAGATCAAAATGATGGAGATTAAAAAATTAAATATAAATCTCCTTTTTCCATCCAGAAGATTGTAGTGGAAACAAAAAAAGAAATTTAAAAAACACCTGGAGAATGGTACAAACCTAATGATATCTTGTTTGTATTAAAAAATCTGTTTAGATACTCAAAATGTATATTAAATTAAATAAATTTAATAGTTTCAGAAAATCTAAGGATTTATATAAATCATGAAAATGCCTTTATTTTAAGTGATGTTGTAAGTTTAATGCTTAATAACAATGGTGGAAATGAAGAGTGGTTTAAAGACTATATTTAAAAAGGTTAAAATACATCTAATCAATATGGAGTTTCCATTTATATATTAACAAGAATTGGATTAGAAACTTGTAATGAAGAATACCTAAAAGTCATAAATGAAATTATGACGTACCCTTAATTCTAAGGTATTTTAGGAGGATCTCCTAACAAAGCTTTATACATCTTGGGGAGGGTTGGAAATTATTATATTTATTTGGATCCTCATTATGTTTAATAAGCCTAAAATTATGAAGAAATATAAAATGATCAATCTTCTTACTCTTGCTAGAACATTTAATTAATTGATAGATCTCAACTTGATCCATCTATGGCACTATCATTTTGTGTTAAAAATGCATTAGATTTGTTAGATCTGTGGATAAGAGTAAATATTATATATTTATTATTTTCAAGTTAAAATAAACAAAATAAGAAAATGGTGAGTCTTTTTTTATTGCTTTAACAGAAATTCAATCCTATTATCAGTTGACTTGGTCCATTTCTAATGAAGAAAATGAAGATGAGTTTGTTACAATTCTGAGCTGAAATTAATATATACTAATTATCATCACATATTACAATTATTTTTAAATAAAAAATAACATCAAATAAGATATAAAAATATTTGAAATTGTCAAATTCATATATTTTATTTTAGGCCTACCATCATTTTAATTTTTTATAAATTGATCACTAATTATTGGAGCCTAAATTATTAAGGAAAAGTAAAATGATTCAATCAATTATTTTAAAATTATTTTTAAGTCTTTAGATTGCCAAACATCCATCTCTATTCTATAAAAATTTAATAAGAATTTAAAAATTTAAAACAATAAATTTTCAGAACAAATAGGAATATATAAGGTAAGAAATTTTTAAACGATTAAATTAACTTGTATTTAATCTATTTTTTTTAAACAAAATTACAATCATTTGATCCGTATATATATAAGTATGATGGAAATAATCTTATCTGAGTCTTCAAAAATTTTGATTAAAACATAAATTAAAAAGTTACTAAATTATATACTGATAATCCTAATTATTTTGAGTATTATAAAATAATGTATTTAATTATAATAGATTTATGAAGAATTTTAAAATTTTTGTCAGAAAATTTTCTGCAATAATCAATCATAATGCTTAGTTCTCTTCATTCAAATACATCATATAATGAATACATACAAATTATTAATCTCAAAATCAAAATAATTAAGAATCCTCTTTACACTCTGGCTTTTTACTTAAAATAGGAGAATCAAGATTTGGAACATCTTTTACAAACTTTGTTCTGATACCTGTTAAAATTTAACTGCTATCACTAGGTTCATCTTCAGAGGAAAGTATGTCAGCAAATGGCAATTTTATAATGAGCTTATTTTCTATTTTAACTTTTTTTTTAATAGGAATTTCCGTTCTTTCTTAGTCTTAGCATTTGTTTTCCTTTGTTTATTTTTAATAGATTTTTGATAATTTGATACTATTCATATATTTTAAAATATTAATATATTTTGTTCTTTTATATTTGAGATTAAATAGCATCAATTTTATTAATAATTATGTTGCAATATCATTTATAATACTTAACCTCTATTTTTTACGATATTTAAAAACAGAACTCTTCATCTTTATTATTGAGAAAGAAATTAAATATAAAATTAAAATAAATACACTTTTCAACAATTGTCATTTGATAATTATTCTATCAGAATTAATTAAAACTAAAAAAATTATTTATTATTTTTTTCAAATGACAATCATTAAATATAATTAAAAGTACTTAAATTAGTTAATATCAAATATATTATTCTTAGCCAAAAGTTCCATTTTAGATTTTTACCTCATTTAATAATATATACATTCTGATATATTTTCTATATATAGAACTCTTATTGTTATAAACAAATATGATGGATTGTCAGTAAATTTGTAAAAAATGAAAATCCAAATAGGAATGACTATTATTAGCCTTAAGTAATAATATTACTCATCTATTTTAACAAATGTTCAAATAACTTTTATTTATAAAATAAGAACAAAAATGCATAATTATTCATGCCTTAGGTTACCTAATTAATGTCATTTTGTCATCAAGATCTTTAATCAAAGCTTATATTAAAGTTAGACTTTTGTTAAATCCAGCTGCATTTGCTCTTAAAGAATCAATTTTAGGCATTTTCACAACTTCTGGAATTGTTGTTGTATGAGTAACTCTTTAATTTTTTGCTGCAAATAACTCGTCTTGATTTTCTAAAATTAATAGTCTATATACCTTTTAATGTCTGTTTTAGACGCTCAATTTCTTCCTAAGATTAAATCTTGTTAGCTTCTAAATCAGTTTAAGCAATTGCTAATGACTCAAAGACTTTGTCTAATTTAATTTCTAAGTCTTTATTTGTTTCTTCTAGCTACCTATGTTTAATAAATAAATATACCTAATTTTATTCTTATTTAGATCTTGATCAACTTCTAAGTCGATTATCGATAATTTTAAGGTTTGCATATTTTTTTAAAACTCTGCAATTTGAGCGTCCTTTTTAGTTACTAATTTTTCTAATTAGTTTTAAGTCTATTATAATTCGTTCTTAAATATTACAAATAGATATTACTCTTGCTTTTTGTGTTTCTTCTTTTTGTTACAATAACTAATTTTAGGTCTATGCAAGTTGTTTATTTAAGATTTCTATGTTCTTCTATTATTAATCTTCTAAAATTTGGCTTTCTTCTATAAATTAATTGTATTCTTCTTCCATTTATTGATATTTTTGGCACATTTCTTCATACAATTACTTAAAGTCCATTTTATCGGTATTATTAATATATAATAATATATTTTATTAAATAAGAATCAAATATTTCGAATAATCTTTATTCTTGATGTTCTTAATTAGAAAAATCCAAATATAGTTTTTATTATTTAGTTAAAATTTTTCATCATATATCAAAAGACAATTTTAAAAGAAATTAAAAAAAATAGGTATTTTTAAAATTAGCAGGTGATAATTTCATAAATTATTATAATTTATTATAATTTCTAAAATTCTATCTATCCCTAAATTTAATAAATTGAGAAACTTTAGAATTAAATCAAGTGAGATAATTTAAAGATAGATTAAAAAAATTATGTTTCTAAATTTAAGAAAATAGGAATTTACTTATTTTATTAAATGTGTTCATCAAAAATTATTATAATTTCAAATAATATTCGACTTATGAAAATTTGCTAATATAATGCTGATATATATTAATTAAAAATCAATATAATTGATCAAATCTAGGAATAGTTTGACGATGTTCATCTAGTTTATCACAAGATGAAAAGTCTAATCTTCTGATTGCATTTCTATATGAATCTCGATCTCTTTAATAAAAAGCTCTGCTTGCATAGCTTTCATACATTTATCTTTTATATTAAATATTATTGCAATCTCGTTTTAGCTGATTAACATATTACTATTCAATTTCTAATTCAATCTCTCTAAGTTTTTCTTTAGATGAGATTTCTTCCTTAAAATCAGACCCTACAAAATATTTAACCTTTATTTATTTTAAATCATACTTAAAGTGTTCTAGTGGTTTATACAATAGGATATTCATAAGATCTTTAAAATGAATAAAGGGGAGCTTTTTAAAATAGAGTCATAAACCCTGATGATGATAAAAGTAACAACATTATGATAGGAAGAAATTAAAATAATTACATGTTTGCTTATCCATTTGGGTGCTATCTATTTTAATGATGAGCTCTTGGCGTTCCAAAAAAAGCTTTAAAGATTTCCTAATCTTTATTATGTTATTTGTACATTAGCAAAATCATCACCATAACATTATTCATAATAATATCCATTTTAATCTTAATAGTGATGCTAACGTTGACTTTCTGGTCTTTCTGTTCCATGTTGATCATATATTCTCTTTTTATCAGGATTAGAAAGACAATTATATGCTTAAGCTACACGTTTGAATGCTTCTTGAGCTCCTTCATTTTAATTCTTATCAGGGTGAAATTTCAAAGCTAATTTTCTATAGGCCTTTTTAAGCTCTTCATCTGTGGCTGATTTTGAAACTCCCAATATTTCATAATAATCTTTCTTTTTAAGAAATTCCTTAATTTCTTCAGCCATTATTTTATTGTTTTAAAAAGAAACTTTTTTTAATTTCAATGAAATACAACAAATAACAATACACGCAATAAATAGATTAATTATATATATAATATCATTTTTTTCTTTATTGTAATTTTTCTTCATGCTCTAAAACAATTTTTTACATTTCCTCCAAATCTTCCATCATTTTATCTATTTCTTAAATTCTATCTTCAATAATATTAACTCTCTCATCAATTTAAGCTATTTTACCTTCAGTCACTTTATTACTAACACCTTTTCCAGCACCTCCAGCATCTCCAGCCTATTTAATAATTAATAAAAAATACAGGTTTTTGGTTTTTACTATTAGAAATATCTTACCCTAATTTTTAAATTGTCTCCTCTAATTTATCAATTTCTTCTCCTACTTAAACTTTAAACTGTTCAAATTATTATTATGGAACTCCTCCATTAGGATTACCTTTATTTTGGTTAAAATCCTGAGAATCTAATTATTTTTTTAGAGCTCTAACTTCTTAGCTAATATATTGTTCAAATTAATCAGAATCAATTTTCATTTATTCAATAAGTTTTTTTGTTTCTTAATTATTACCTGTAGAATCACCAGAACCAGAAGATCTTGCTAAGAATTAATTTTTTAATTTAACTATATCTTAATCAATTCTTGAAATTTCTTATTAATATAAATCCAATTATTGTTAAGTATTTTAATTTTTATTATTAGGAGTCTATTATTAAGATATTGGAGATTAACTCTATTTATTTGACTTTAAATTTCTCACTTAATCATTCAAAGACTATATTTCTGTATCTAATTCTTATTTAATATTATTTATTCGTTATTCTAATTCTTTTACTTTATTATCTGATGATGGTTATGTTTATTATTATTATTATTATGATTATGGTTTAGTTTAATCTAAATTTCCTTATCTTTATATAGCAACACTTTATCCTAAATTATCAATCTAATTTTATAATCTGTTTATTTCTTACATTAAATCTTTTTTATAGGCTTCTAAAGCAATTCCATAATTTACCATATTTGAATCATCTTTTCCTTATATTTCCAGTTTAGATATTTTATCATTAAATTATGTGAATTGCGAATCTATATCTTAAGTTAATAGGCTTAAATCATTAATTAATTTTGAGACATCATCTGATATTAATTTCAAATTCTGGCTTTATTAATCATTTTTTGCATCAATCAATAACTTTATATTTTATTCTTATTTAGACATATTATTTAGATTAGTTTAATTATTTTTTAAAATTAATTCTAAAGTTTATTCAATTTAAGTTTTTACATATTCAGATAAATTTATTTCCATAGCTCCATTCATAGTTTTCATTAATTAAACATTACCAACAATCTATTATAATTAAAGAAAACTTAATTTTAATTATTCTTCTTAAATTTTAAGTTATTCATCTTAAGTTTTTAATGATTCTTCTTAACTATTTATCTATATTTTATGTTTATCTAATTCTTTTTCAAACTTATTATTTGTTTCTTCTTAATCTTCTTATATTTATCCAAGTTAATTATGAATGGTATTATCAAAATTACTAAATTTTTCTTCTAATTCTTAAATTTTTGCATCTGATGATTTATTTATTTCAATTAATTATGCTTACAAATTATACTCTTATGCTTCATTAATTGTTGATTATAACATTAATTCAATTGTTAATTTTGCATCTAGTTCATTTAAGAATTATCCATGAGCTTTTATAGCATCAGTTATATTATTAAAATTATTTTAAACTCCTTTAATAAAATCGTTTAAGTCTTTTTTTATTTAATTTTTCTTTTCTTCCAATCTTTCCATTTCCTTAACTAATAATTATAATTTGCCTATAATTCCAGTATGTCTCTCTTTATCTAATTCTTCATTTGCTTGACGGATTTATTCTGTTAAATAAAATTTTGATTAAAAATATGCAAAGCTCTAATCAATTTATAATTTTAATTGATTTCCTGAACTTATTTATAATTAGACTACTTAAGTCAACCCATTTTAAGTATCAGTTCTCAATTAAGCTAGTTTCAAACTAATTTCATCAAATAAATCTTATAAATCTTATTTATTTTTTTCAGCCATCTCTTAAAATTAAGTTTCTACATCATTTTTAAATTGAGTTAACTTTTAAAAAAACTCTTCATCCATTTTATTCATTTATTAATTAATTTTATCTTCCAAATCTTTAGCAGCATCTTTTATTTATTCATGCATATCATGTAATTCTTAATTAAAATCTTCTTTTAATTTTTAAAATTATTGATTAACTTATTCTTTTAAAGTTTATACAGTCTATTTAAATTCTGAAGTTGCATCATCCAATTATTGTTATAAATTGTTCTAAACAGAATCAATTTTATTATTTAATGAAATATCTAATTAATTTAATTAATTTTCCATTAAAAATTACCATTATAATCTATCTTATTTTTCTTTATTAACAATGTTGATAAGATGATCTTAAAAGTTTTCAAGTGTTGTAATAGTGTACATTCTATCTAAATACATTTCACTTTAGATTTAAATATGTATCTCTCTCATAGCAAGATCCATTTTTTCCATTTATTAAATAGTCCATATTCTTAATTTAAATACATCATCTTCAATTTATTTAATCATCATTTTTAAATCATGTTTAGTTTAATCTAATTCTGATTAAACATATGATTTAATATTATTTACTTGTTTATCCATATATAATTTTACTTATGTAATATTTTTATTTATTTCGATGCTTAAAACTTCTAAATTTTATGTCATTTTATTTTCAGAATTTTAAATATCTTATTTTAATTATCTTTCAATGTCTTTAAGTTTAAATTGTAATTCTTTTTCTATTTTTGAAATAGCTTCATCTAATTTTTCATCTTAATCTTTTCTTAACAGTTAAATTTCATAATCCAAATCTTCCTTTAATTTTCTAACCATATCTCCATATTTTTCAATCAATTCTTAAAGCCTTTATCTAAGCTCTTTTTCTTCATCAATCATTGATTATAATCTTTATAAAATATATTCTTCTCTATTTCTTATAAGATCTTTCATTTAAATAGATAAACTGTCTAATTTTGCATTTGTTTATTGATCAGCCATTTCAATTTCTCTTGTAATTCTTTCATTAATTTATTATGATGATTCCAAAACTTATTAAGTTGCATCTTTTTTTGCAGTTTCAATTGCGAATTAAATTTATTCATGTAATTGAATATTGTACTGTAACTATATATTTTTAATAATTTCAGAAAGTTCTATTCTTAATTAATCTAATTTGAATTCTTATGAACTTAATCCTTAAGTAACTTTATTATCTAAATTTTTCATTAATTATAAATATTTTTTATCATTATTATCAACTTCATGAGACATTTTTTTTAAATTCTCTTGAAATTCATTTTTATCTTTTAATTATTCACCTTTAATGTTTTTAAGATTAGTACTAACTTCAGTAAAAATAACAAGATTTTTTTAAGCAAATTATTTTTTCCAATCTTCATTTAATATCCTTTCATCATTTAATAATTTATTTTAAATTTCCACAGATTTTTACATTTATGATTCATAATTTTATAATAATTCTTATTATTTTGAAAATTCTTTTTAAAGACTATTATTTATAAGATTAGCATGTTCATGCATCATTTATCTAGTTTCTCCAACTCTAAAATTTAATTCTTTTTATCCTTATTCAATTAAAGCTACTTTTGCTAAAGAAGATTCTCTAATCATATCTACAGTTTTAGAAATAGATTTAATATTTTCAGTAACAATTGTTTAAGATGCAGCTAAATTGGCTTCTAATTATTCCTTTGTATTTTTAATAATTTAATTTAATGATGAAACGCTATCATGCATTTATTTCATAAATTTTTATTCTCCTAAAAGAATTTATTTTTCATCATTTCTAATTTCTTCTTTAAATGCTTAGATTTTATTTTCTAATTAATTTCTCTAATCAAATTCACTTTTTAATCTTCTTTCAACTTCATCAGCTATACGATTTTCAACACTTCCAATTAAATTTTTAATATAATCTTAATCTTAATTGATTTTTAACAATTTCATATTATCTAAAGCTTTAATACTAACTTTAGTTTTTTCATTTTAATCTAAAAATTCTTCTCTTTATTACTTTAATTTATTATAGAAATCTGATTCCTATTTAACCACTCTATAATGAACATCTTACCATTATCTTTGTAGATCTTCAATAATTGCATCTCTATGAGTTTTTTCATTATTAAATGCTTCTCTTAACAACTTAACTTCAATATTATCTGAAATAGGTTATACTGGTATTGGTTTAGATACATTTAATTTTAATTCAATTCCTTCCTACTAATTTATCATTGCACTCAATTTAAGTTCTTGATCATTTTATTTCTTTTGTAAATCAAGAATCATTTAAGATAAATTATCTCTGTTCTTTTCTCCTTAATTTCGTAACTGACTAATTGCATCTTAAAGTATGATCTACTTATCGTTAACTTATTTCCATAAATGCATTTCCTATGATTCTAATTACTTAATTGATTGAATAAACTTTTGAGGATTATCCTCTATTGTCTTTTGTATTCTTCTTTCAATATTAGCTTTGAAATCTATCATCATTATCTCTAAATCTCTCACTTTACTACTTAATTCTAATTGATTCATCTCTTTATCAACATCTTTCATTATTAATGATTGAGTAGCAGTTCTACTATCTAAACGAGGCAATGCTATTGTATTTTTTTAACCTGATGGTAATCTTCCTATCTAACTTTATTTAGGATCACTCTAATTATATCCATGCAACTTACTTCTATTGCTTTTTATTATCCTTATTATTATCTAAATCGTAATTTCGGGGTTTGACGATTATTTAATTCATCCATTGTTTTATATAAATATAATTTACTATAAATTTCATATACAAATTTTATAATTCATAATTTAAAACTATGACAAACCAAATCCATTTAAATATTTATCTATTTCTCAACTCATTTAATTTCTTATCATTATCAAACAATCATCAATGGTTGCAATTATAAGTTAATCTTAAATTCCAACCCATTAATCTTATTTCAATCTCTATAACTCAATTATCCTTTTTCTCACTCTCTTCATTCTAATTTCAATCAAATTTATGAATAATAAAGGAGAAAGTAGCAAAATTGATAATATTACTTAACTCTCATGATTAATGGTGAATCTTCATTATATCATAGTTGTAGTTATTCTACCTAATAGGAGATATATTAAGATCTATGAAGAGGAGTAATAGAATAATATCATTAAATATTTAATCAAATAATATTTAAAAAGATTCTAATTTGAACGTATTCTTGAAATAAAAATAGTATTAGTTAATGGTTATAAAATTGCAGAGTTTGCAAAAAACAAAGTTTTAAAAGCTAGAAATATATTAAAACTTTAAATTACTCAATTTATTAGAGCTAAAGAATATTAATAAGATAAATATAGATTGAATTATATATATAAAATTAATAATACATTAATAATTGTTTAAAAAATTTAAATAGTAACTCTTCTTTTTTTTTAGAAGTAGTTAGTTATTAAAATAATCAGTTTTAAAAAATATTTTAGAATTGATATGAGTTCGATATTAAAAAGTAAGATATATCAGTAGTGCGAAAGTTGAGTTCATATTAATTATCGTACTCATTAAAATTCATCATTATATATTCACTTTTAAAAGTAAATTATAAATATATTTGACGTATCAATTTTCGTATATGGGTTAATTTATTTTAATATGTAATCTGTCAACAAATTGTTTGTTAAATGTCAATCAGAACCAGCAAAAGAGGAGATAATTTTTAAGACTGAATTCTTTAAGTTCACAAATCACAAATCAGTTTAATTGCTTTTATGTAGTGATGAGCACATTTACAAAATAAATGTAAAATATGAATAATTAAGTTTTTAGAAATAGAAGGTTTATAAGGTTTCACTTTAGTCTTTACGATTTAGTGTAAAAGCAGAATAAACAAATAAATAGACTTAAAAATAGATGAAAGGTGATGAATTTCATACTTAAATATACAAATTTACATTGGAGAGAGATGACACAGATGCTAATGAATTTTATAACTTTAACTTCTAAACAATGTATTGGTTCGACAACTTGAGGAACAAATTAAATATGCTTGATTATTGGGTGAACTATGATATTTCTAAATTAATCGGTAAAGGAACTTTTGCATCAGTTTATGAAGCAAAATCAAAGTTCGATAATTAAATGTATGCAGCAAAGGCATTTTATAAGAAAACATTATTTCAAGATCCAAAAGGAAAAGTATTTTTTTAAATATATATTGTTTAGGAACAAGTTGAAAATGAGATTAGAATAATGAGATAACTAAATCATCCAAATTTGATAAATTTACATGAAGTATATGAAAACAAGGCATAAATCTATTTAATAATAGATTTAGCTAGAGGAGGATCTCTCGAATATGCATTAAAAGTATTAAATGGTCCTGTTCCTTTTTTATCGGCTAAGGTGATATTCCGTTAAATAGTAGAAGGATTAAATGGATTACATGAAAAGAATATAATGCATAGAGATTTAAAACCAGATAATATTCTTTTTAGAGAATTTGTACCATTAAAAAGATATGGATTAATTCATATGGGACCTAATATAATGGTAAGTGATTTTGGTGTTTCAAGTTAAGTTTAGGAAAAATTAAATGTCTATTAATATACTGGAACACCAGGATACATGGCACCTGAAGTATTTGAGACTGAATTGGATTAAACAAAAACATATAACGAAAAATGTGATATATTTTCCTTAGGTTGCATTTTGTATTATTTATTAATTGGCAAACCATTATTTGCTAATAAATAAGCAAATATGGAAATGAAAATAGATTGGATGGTTGTTGAATAAGAATTGAATTCAAGTCATTCTCTTACGATGTTATTATAGAGAATGTTATCTCCAAATCCTTAAGAAAGACCATCATGCAAAGAAATTTTGGAGAATAAGATATTAGAAGTAGAATATGGAGAAGATGGAGTTCCCTTATTTAAAGACTTTCAGAGACCTAAGAGTAGTCCACCAAAAAGATTAATTTAAGAAGATCCACTTAAAAATAAAGGTAAGAGAGGTAGTGTTTTAATGAACAACAAAGCTATTAATATGATGCCTATTATGGAAGAAAAATAAAGGGATTCTGGTAATCATAAATTTACCAAAAGAAATACTAATATGGACATTTAAGATATGAAATCTAGTCAAATTAGTGTGAATCCATAATCTGTAAAACAGGCACGGCGTTCGTCAGCTATTGTTCCTGGAACTGCTAAAAGACCATCATAATAATGATTAAATTAAAATTAATTTTAATATGTAGCAGATTAGTAAAGAAAAAGAGTAGTAGTATCAATAGTATATGGAATTAGAAAAAGAAGTTATGAGTACTTTAGCCAAAGTTAGACAATATGAAGCCTCAATGACATAACTCAAACGAAATATTTAGAAATGCCAAATTACATTAAAAGAACTTGGAAGTATTGATGAATAAAAAACTTATTAACCAGTTGGTAAATGGTAAAAATTAAATTCATTTTATTAATAGCTTCATTCTCAAATCAAAAAAAGATATTACAAATGAAGTTATTGAAATCATTAAATCTCATGAAAAAGATATCGATGAATATGAAAAAGTTAGACAACATTTAATTACCAAAGGAAAAGAAAAAGAAACATAATTGTAAGAAGCAATGAAAGCATTAAAAATTTGAATTATTTCTATTTTGATGTTCTAATATTAAGTATTACAAAAAATTTATTATTGTTCATTTCATACTTAATTATAAATAATTATACTAAACTTTTTATTATCAAAATTGTTTCATCAAAATAAAGTTGGCCTCGCTATTTCTTTTTGTTACTATTATAAATTAAAAATTATTACAAAAAAGTCAACAGCCTTTCTTGGAATTTAATTGCCATCTTTTCTGATTTATAAAACATTAGATTTGCTCTACATTAAAAATTTTAGATTGTTGTATAATTAGACAGCCTCTTCTATTTATGCTTCAACACATTTATTTTTATGTAAACTAGTTTAACTATTGTAAGATTCTTTGTGTTAATGAAACTTAGATAAATTTATAAAAGTCTACATAAGATGCACTATTATTTTTAGTAGAATTTGATCCAACTGGAATTGAATTAAATTGTACTTTCATCAAAGTTTTTATTGGAGTAGATTTTTTATCAATTAAAGGGGAATCCTATTTTGATTAGCTTCTATTAATTTAAATAATTGGTCTAGGTATTTTACGTTCGCTTTATGGAATCTTATTTGTTGTAATTGTTATTGGTTCTTTATTTTCTGACTCTATTGTTACTGTTTTATTTACAGATTAATTTTTTATTTTATCAGATGAAACTTTTTATTAAGAAATATTGTTATTTTATTATTATTATGAAGCTAATTTTTTTTGAGTTGAACTTCTTACAATTCCTTTGAAACAATCTGCTTTTTTTGTATAAGAAGAATCTGATATTCGAGATTCTTTACTTGAAGGTCTTTGCCTTAATTCATAATACACTTTTGATTATTATTATAATTATGATGAATTGGATCGAGGATTTTTTCTAAAAGGAACATCTTTAGTGCTTTATGATTAATAGGAAAACTGTGATTTATTCGCTAATTTATCCATTTCAAAATCTTTTGTTTCGATTGTTAATCTTTGTATTTCCAAATCTATGTTGCCAATATCTTTTAACAAAATTTTCTTTAGATTTCCACTATCACATTTAATAAATGAAGTAGGAGGTTATTCAATAGGAGTTGGTTGAACTATTTATTGAATTTATTCTATTTATTCAATATCTGATTCTGGAGAAGGAGTTAAATTCTATTCAGGAGATTCTTCTTTTACTAATTTCAATTGTTTAGATTCCTACTTAGGAAATTTCATTTATTATTTCTTTGGATTTTAAACAATGAATTCATGTTAATTCATTTATGGTTTTATTATTTTTGATGCCTTTTTATTTTTTTGGCTACTCTCGTATTATTCAAGCAAATTACCCATTATTTATTATTTTCTTGAGTAAATCACAATCAGTACCTTAATTCAAATTAAGCAGCCGCTTCTTCTTCACTTAATTTACTATACCTGCCTTAATCTTTCATTCAGTTAAATAAATTAATATGAGTATTATTTTTTGTAAATTAATTTTACAAAAAAATTTATCTTAATTAACAACTACTACATGTATCAAAGTAAAAATATTTTCTTGTTTTAAATTAAAATTCTAAAAAATTACATCAATTTGTTAAGAATTAGTACCAATAAAATAATTTTACATAAATATCAATAATGATATGGATAGATATATAGACAAACCAAAAATATATAATCTAAAATTAAAAGCACTAAAATTATCAATTACTAAAATCAAAATATGACCCTTCATAAAAAAATAATCGTTTCTATTTATTAACTTCTAATAAAATTCAATATTTTTAAGTAAAATTAAACAATTAATTAAAAATATACTTGATCAAGACATTTTTAAGTAGAAAGTAGATTATAAAGACTTTTAAAAACTAATTTTAAAATTTACTTTGACAATTTTGAGATTTGTGATTTATATTAAATAAATTTCATTGCTAAATGATGGTTTTAATAGATTATTCAAGTCCTTAGGTTATCTTGGTTAGTTTTACATTTGATGGTAGTTGCACACAATATATTGTAACAGCTATCATATTTGGATTTGATCTTGGATAAAAAAAAGATTAAACTCCACAAGTCTTACAAAAATAATGTTTTGCCTAAATTTAAGATCAATTCTTACTTATTTTGTATTAAATGTATATAAACTTAATTCTTCCATACTTGTCAATAACTTAAATTTAGATTGAGGAATTAGAACATGATGGTTTTATTTCATACGACATATTGAACAAACACACTAAATTACTTCCATTTCAAGGGGGCCATAGAATTCAAATTACACTTTGCAACAATGACAACCACCTTAAAATAATTATTCCATTTTCTTAATTTTTAATATATAATTAAGGAGTAATATATTAATACATTTAAATAATAATTGCTATTATTCTTTATTAAAATTAATTCTAGTTGGAAGTGAATAAATATTATAAATGAATTGTGATTATTTAAAATTAGCAAGAATATTACAAATAATTAATTTCATAAAAAATGTTTATTTTAATTTCCAAAATAATCACAATATTAGACAATCTAGATAATTTTTTGAATTAAAATTTTATTCAATATTATAAATTGGAAAATATACAGAGATATTTCACAATATCTAAATGTTAGTATTATTAGCTAGACAGCTATATGTTTCAATCAATCATTGTAAATTTATGAGTTGGTACATAAAATAAATTTCTTCTAATGATTTTCTCAATCTCTAAAACAACTTTGATTTCAGTTTGCCTATTTTTATACCTTTTAAACTATAAAAGTTCTTTATTTTTCAATAATTAAGGTAAAGCTTATTAATCTAAAGACTCTTCTCTCTTCCTCACTGATTCATTTTGTGATATTTTGGTAATGAATACTCTCGGATTAATATTGCTTAATTTAAGTCTTGGTAATAAATTTCTTCTTTCAGAGTTGATTTGATGAGTAAACTAATGAGCACCTTTAATTTCACTTTAATTTTTATTAATTGATGTTGAGTGTGAGTTATTATAACGTGAACTTGGTCTATTCTCATCATTACGCCAAGGGCCAATATCTTGGTCAAATTACATTTTATATACTAATATTATTTTTTTAATGAGTAAATTCTTCACCAAATTTCAATTATTTAAAATAGTTCAACTCTCTCTTCAAAGGTTTCATAAAGAATATTGTTTACGATGATCGATTTAATTCATAAATTGTTTTATAAAACTCTGATTTATACATCTTTCTCTAAAAATTAAATAAATATAAATTCCTCAGATTTTGTAAAACTATTATATTAAAATTTAGATAACTGGCAATAATGAAATGACTATATCTCAATTAGACTGAACAAATGAATTAATCTTTTTAATAGGAAAGTGAATATCACTCTGAAATAATGGAAAGAGTATTAGGTTAAGCGAATATTATTATAATTTAATTTGGGAAAGTAAAAAGATTAAATGAATAAAAGTAGGAAGAAAATTTTATATTATTAAAATAAATATAATTTGTATCGATGAAACTATTATATTTATTAAAAATAAATTTTAAATTTAACTCCTAAATAAATCAAGAATATTTTTAATCAGATTTAAGTTTGAATCTTCAGAAACAATTAAACTCTTTTCAAACTTAATGTATATTACTATTTTAAAAAAATTTTAAATCATATATTGAATCCTAAATTAAAATTATGAAATGAAATCATAATTTAACCTATGAGTTTAATTTCTATGTATAATCGATTTCGTTCTCTATGTGTTTGGGCTATGATTGAACTAGATTATATTAACCTATTATTTTTGATATATATTTATTGGTTAAATTGTAATTGCATGGAAATATATTTTTGTTTTATTTTTAGAAATTAAAAATTTGTTACTTCTTAATAATGTAACTATTTAAAATTGAATTTTTTCTCTTTTTTCTGGTACATATTATCTTAAATTCTTGTCCTTCTTATCCTTAGGCATCTGATTTGTTAAGGTTTCATTAATATTATTTTAAATTTTGTATTAATTTTGAATAGCTTTCATTAAAGAGTATTATTTTTTAATTATTTCTAAAAAAGAGATCTTTAGAATAATTTATTAATTACTTGAAATGAAAAGAAGGTTTAATTTATAATTTCTTATATATATTTATTTCATTAAGATTATAAGTATTCTATTTATAAAAAATTTCATATCAAGCAAACTAATTTTTTTGGTAAGAATTTTATAAAAAAAATATCAATAAAATTAATTAGAGTAATTAATTTAATAAATATTGATTTTTCCGCTATTTTTAATTTAAAATGTGTATAGAGGAAGTTTAAATAGACAGGGGATTCGAAAAGTTTGTGGGAGTTGCTATGAAATAGTATAAAAATAGTTATATATTAAAAGTTATAGTTATAGATATGGTAGTAATAAAGAGAATTGGAGAGAAAAAGCTGAGATTTAATGGAATGGTCTTCCTATGTACAAAGATAAAATAAAAGTGTTGGAATTTATGTAGAATAAAATCAAAGAGCTTGAAAGTCCATCAATAAAAATAACTAAGTTCTTTAAATAAAAGTCTCATATAGATGGAAAATAATAAGAATAAAAAAATGAATAAATAAAAGAATAATGTGATATTGAAGAGTAAGCAAGATTATTGACAGTTTAAAAAACAAAAAAAACTAAGTATAGTGAATTTTACGAAGATAATTATTGGAGATTGAAATTAGAAAATTAATTTCTAACTCATGATTAAATAGAATAATAGATAATTAAAATATGGGAGAAGGTAGAAGATAGAGAACACTATCCGATTAAATAAAAAATAAGTTTCTGATGAGCTAATTTTATTTATTATTATTTTTATAACAAATTCGTTAAGATTTCTTAAGAGATGATAGTTAAAAAAATATTTTTTTAAGAAGAGAAAAGAATGAAAATTTAGATTTCTAAATTATTTGAGATTATTTACTAAATAAATATATAAAATTAAGTAATTCAGATTAAAAGAAAGTTTATTTAAAATTGATAGTTGATTAAAGAACAAAAAGAATTTAATTTGATTACTAAAAATAGAAAAAGTAGAGATCTATAATTTTTTTGTTTAAAAAAATTTGAAGAGATTTATAGATGATAAAAGATGAGATGTAGATAAATTTAATATATAATGATATTAAAAAATGTGGTATAGAAAATAAAAAAGATATATTTGTTATTACTTCTTAGAGTAGATTATTTAAAATATATTTAGGTATAATATCTTAGATTGTTAATAGATTTTCATATAAATTGAAAATGAAGAAAGTCTTTGTAAATTTACTTCAAGTAAATTCAGTAATTTTTTAACAATCGAAAAAGGAACATAATGGATAATGATTGTTGAAAGAATTAATTAATCTAAGTAAGAAAGAGTAGAGAATAGTTGTCTTTAAGGTTGATATATTGGAGTTAATGATAAAAGTAATAGGGATTATAAAAGAAAGAAGTTAGAATATGGAAATTATGATAATTTATATATGTTTTAATCTTGTAATAATGAAACCACTGTAAAACAATATAAGTAAGTGGTAGAAAAGTATTAACGTTACTTAGATGAGAGAGTCATAGTGAAATAAAAATCAGAGGATAGATTAAGTATTGCAGTCAGGAAAATATACTTAAATCCTCTTTTACCTACATTATAGTTAGATCAATATAAAGAGATAAATAGTATTGGTAATAGATAATCTTGTTTAGTTTAGGAATAATAATCTTAATCAAAGCAAGAATCTATAGATTAAATAACCAACAACATTTAATAATCAATAATCCCTCCTTATTCTGATTTTGTAAACAAATATTAACACTAAAAATCTAAATCTAATTTAGATGCTTCTCAATAATAAGGATTTTTTAATAGACTCTTTAAAAATAATAATAAAGTTAATCATCAATCTAGAGATATTTAAATTAAGGACCTAACTTTAAATAAAAGAAATTAATCTGAAGTATATTAAGATAATTAGACTCATCTACCTTCATTGTATTCACCATAAAATGATATCACTAAACATATAATTAAGAAACATTCATCTAAAAAGTTTACTAATGATGAAATTTCATTTACTAATAGATGGGAAAGAGATAGAGGAAATAATGTTGTAAGAATAGACAGATTTGATGTAGAATAATTCAATAATAACATTTTTGATTATATCTTATCTTAAGATATAATTAAAATGTTTTTTTAAAATACAAATCTTAATTAATTAAAAAATATGATGAAGGAATTACTTAAAGGAGTTTTTTATGAATAAGTTATTAATTTTGAATTGATGATAACATATTTTACTTCTCTTTAATTCACTTATCTAGAAATCTTTTACATTAAATATGCAATAGCTTAAGTTTTAATTTAAGCTAATTATAACTATCTTTTCATTGAAAGAGCTCTTAATTAATTTGAAGAATACAGATATTTAATTTAAAAACCTATTCCTTTTATTACTAAGCTCTTTGATAATCTATTCTATTCAAGTATCACTAAGGATTTAATTATCAAATTGCTTAAAAGTGTTGCATATCATAAATACTTACAAACACATAAATTTTAAAGTGAATAATTTATTTTAGCTATTAAAAATGGGCTCTTTCCTTACCTAGTCGGAGAGTATGTAGCTTTGCCTTTACATGCAAGAATTAAAGATGTTAAAGCTGAATTATTTAGATAATAAATTCTAAAGCCCTTTATTAATTCGACTTTTGTTATTCAACTCAAAAATCTACTTAAAGAATATAATCTTGAAGATTTATATATTAAAGATGTTGAAAGAAGATTAATCTTTCCTAAAAACCTTATCTATTCATTTGAAGATGCCCATTTTCCTTTATACTACACATTAACTTATATTCAATGTAACTATACTCTTATACCTTCTTATGATATTAAAGCTTTGATTAAAGTTATTAAAATAGATCCAACAATTAGGGAATCTGATTCTACTATTTTTTTAGACAATGTTAAATATCTTTCCTAATTTGAATAAATATAAGATGATATTTAATTATTTTTATGAAAATCTAAAATAATTTCAATTTCTTAGACAAAAGCCTCTAGTTCTAATAATTAATTATATAAAAATCTCTAATTTCTATATTATAGTCATAAAAATTTAGGTTGATATTTGAATTTTATTAAGAAATTTAATAAATTCATTAATTTTAATAATTATGAATAAATTTATGTTGATAGGAGCACTTCTCCTTTTGCTTTAAATAACTTATGTAAATGCAAGTAATAATATAATTTAAAACTAGATTGTATGTAATTGGCCTAAGATTTCAAATGCACATATATGCATTTATAATGTACAGATAATCATAATGGTGAATGTTCTTGTGAAGATGGTTCTACATGTAGATGGAAAGATGGTATTGGAGATGATAATTGTCCATGTGGAGGAGCTAAACCTAGAAGAAGAAGAAGAAGAGTACACGATGGTCTGTGAATAAATCCTGCATTATAAAAATCAATCAAATTAGTTTTAATTTTACATATAATAATCTGTTAGCTTCAATCTTTTCATTTTCACATTATAATAAAATTTATCACTGTTTTGCAATCAATTTTATTTCTTTTTCTTTCTCAGTTATTTTTTTACTAATTATCTAAATTATGAACCATAGAATTTGTATAGAAATCACATTATTGGAGTTGTATCCTAAAAATATTGTTCTTTTAATTTATAACAGTTTATCATTTAAAATAATTTTAGTTTTTGTTTTAAATCAATTATGTAAAATATTTGACTATATTTGATATATAAATTTATACATTTTATAGATTTTCATGGGAATATATTAATATTATGTTTTTATTTCCATCAGAAAATTATACTCATAATTTGTTTAAAATCTTGTAACATTATCCATATATCATTATTTTACATAACCCTTTTTGTAAAAATTCATTTTTAGATACATAAAGTGAATTAGATTTACATTTCACTTTTTCAAAATACATAAGAGATTCATTAATAGTATAATATCAAACAATTAGAGTATCTACTAAAACTTAAATTTTTTAGTAAAATAGATTTATCTATATTTTCTTGTGCATTAAATATGTTTAGTTCTTTTCCTTAGAATCTAGTATAAATAAATTATCTCAAAATCTTACAACATCCAAATAGAATCTGATTTAATTAATCGTAGAATTGATGAATAGGATTTAATCTTCTTACTTGTTTGGACTACGCTATGATTTATTTCAAACAGATGTACTACTTCTTTTTAAATCCTACAATAAAATTTAAGATTTTCTAAACTTATTTAAATATAGAATAATTCAGATTTATTGATTTTGATTAAATTAAATTTTTACTCTTTCTTTATAAAATCGTTTGAAATTTAAATAAAATAATCTTTAGAAATGACTTTCTTGATATCAAAATTAAAATTGTCAATATTAGATATAATTATATTGAAATTATTCAAAATATACAAATTATAACAATTAACTTAAAATTATAGATTATATTGACAGTATTTGAAATAATAAAAAATCTTTCTTCAAAAATAATTGCTATATCATTCAAACCCATTCAATTTAGATCCGATTAAATTATCTCTTGATAAATTAGTATTCTTGATCCTAAAATTTTCAAAAAAAATTGGTTTGTAAGATCAATATTCATACCTAACAATTAATTTATTCTATTCGATTCATGCTAAATAATTTTTTCTTCAAAGATCATTAGATAAACTAAAAATTTAATAAAATCTATGATCTTCTGCAATCTTATTGATTAGATCTGTTTTTGCCTATTAATAAATTTCATAAGAACAGTTTTCTTTACTAAACTTATTATCCTAAATATTTATTAAAATATCTGTGATTTTTAATTTTCTTTTTACTTTCAGCTTGAGAAAACATGCTTTTAAAAAGATATTCTCTAACAAGTTATATTAGATATCTGGATAAAACATTTTTTTATTCATAACCATTTCTTTGAATAAGGCAATCAAAACTAGTTGTTTAAGTTCAATTAAGTGGTTAAATAACAATCAATACAGTTTTTTAACAAAAGCACTAGTGAAAGGTGCCATGCATATCAAGTTAATAGCATTTTGAATATGATATGTGCAATTCTTGAAATTCTATCGCATTTGATCTTAAACAATGAATAAAAAAGTATCTTATGTATAAATCATTATAATTATTTGTCTTTTCTTGTAAATAAAGATAAGTCTTTGTTTCTTTAAAATATAACAAGAAAAAAAAATTATTTATTATCTAAATTCTTACTAATTCCTTAAATCAGCTATTATGCTTTATATTTTGACTCTTAATGTCATTAAAAAGAAAGCCTTTAAGTAAGCTTTTTAACTTCTATATAGAGGCTATTTGATGGAATAAGTGTTAATCTTTCTAAACCAGTAAAGAGTAATAATAAAGTTTTTCATGTTCCTGTTGGTGGTTCTAATCGATATTAATTTAATTAATATACCATTCGTTCTATTTCATATAGTACTTTTTATAACACTTTCCATATCAATATTTTATACTTCAGAGGTTATGGTTACTTCTTGCATATATTTGAATCTATTCAATTTTCTCGGTTTATTCAGATTCATCATTCAAAATAATTTTAAGTGGTTATTTACAGTGTCATTGAAACCCGAATGGATTTTCATTTTTTTAATAAAATTTGGTGATAAAAAGGATTTTTATTGAAATAACAAATAGAAATTGAAATTATGAATAAAACTATTAGATTTATTATTTTACTAAAAAGATATAAGGATATTGATATATGAATACAAAATGAATTCAATTATTGAAGAATATTAATTAATCTACATCTTGATCATATATAAATGTCAAAATTTATTCAAATTAAAAATGATTTATTATTTGATAATCATAAAAAAATTTATCTTAATTCTACTTGTTTTTATTTTTAGGCAAGAATACTCTTATACTTATGTATTATATAATCTTTAGCTTTTGTGAAAATGATGTAACAATATTTAATTAATGGTGATAGTAATCCAAAACATAATATCGCTATTTGTACAAAGCCTATAAGTATTTATTAATTATTTGTAATATATTTAACAAAGTCAGGATGATGAAAGAGACTTAAAAGTGTAAAAAATATTATTGGCATTTCAAACCAAAAGATTACTATTTTATCAATTTTATTTTTTAATAGTTTGGCTAAAATAATTATTCCAAGATATATTGTATTGATTAATGCAATTATTATACATTAAATAATTGAGTTATCTTATGCTTTAATTAAGAAAAAGAGGAATAACAATTTTTTTATAACTATCAAACCTTGATGTCTGTATATTTTTAGATTCTTTATTTTTTAATTCTTGGCAGCATTAGTCATATAAAATATTGAGATTGCAATAAGGAATAGCATAATCACAATACATAGAGGGATAGATAGTTAAGTTCTAAAGGAATTTTAAGGTTTAGAATAAAGGTACAGGATAATTTTGAAAAGAACATCCCAACTATTAGCTAAAAGCCATATTATTAATCCATTTACTGAAAAAATTTTGCCTAAGCTGAGGATAAATTCATTTATTTAATAGAGAATAATAATGATTTAATCTAATATTTTCGATTTTTATTAACTAATATTAATCATTTAATTTGGAGTAAAGCATTTTTTATAAGATAATTTGACATAAACATAATAAAAAATAGCAAAAAATAAAAAAAGAACTATTTAACTAATTTGACTTTAAAAATTGATTAGTAAATCTGCATTTATTGAGTAAAAATAAAATTTTCCAAATGACTCTAAAAATTCTGAACCAAATATTTCTTAAAATAAATCTACTAAATTAAATTTAATTATATATGTTTGAAATGAAATGAGTTCTGATGATTCAAAATATATAAAGATATTTTCTGGAAAAGGAATATTGATAAATCTGAGATACGATTAATATTGTAAAGAGTCTAAAACTTCAAAACAATCTGTTGGGTTACCAGATAATAAAATTATAAATGCTGAAACACCAAGTATAATAAGCATTATTGTGTTGAATTTGTTTGTTTTTTAAGAAACCTCTTTTTATACTTTGCTCAATACAATAGGATTAACCAATTGTATTTAAAGCTCTTTATTTAAAATTTGTAAATCAAAATTATTAACCAATGTAATATTAAAGTAAATGTGAAAAATTAGTTCAACTTCTAATTAATTAAGTAGTTCAATAGTAAATAAGTACTAAATATGATTCAGTTCTTAAAAAGTTGGTTCACCTTAAACATTAAAAGTTATGTTGTAATTTAAGGGATTAACATTTACAATGGAAGTATTTAGATTCTTGGTTAGGTTTTCCTGACTTTCTTTTAATCTTACTTTTTGAGAACTTATCATTAAAATATATTGCTTATTAAAAGTGATATTTAAAAATTGTAGTTATAAATTTGGATTATTAATTTAAAAACATAAACTTCTTTACTTTTCGTCAATTATACAGTTCCAAAATATTTCTATTTAACATATTTCTGAGCATCCATCGTCAGGTAATATATTTCCATCATCACACATTTCATTAAATGTCTTTATTCCGTTCCCACACTTTTCTTAACATTTGTTATTGTCTAATTAATAACCATTTTCACAATTAATACATTAACCATCAATGCAATTTTAACAATTAAGTGAACATGAATATTAGCATTTAAAACATCCATCAAAAGGTTCATTATTTTCATCATCACATTATTCATCTGAAGCCACAATTTCATCCCCACAAATAGATAAGCATTTGTTTTCAATCAAATAAAATCCAAAATTACATGTCTATATTTGAATTTCTTCCAAATAATATTATAAACATGTTCCATCTAGACAATCGATACAATTTTGTTAACATTAATATTAACATTCAAAACATCCATCATATGGAATATTATTTCCATCATCGCATTATTCAAAATCCTAAATTATTCCATCCCCACATATAGCAAGACTATTTTAGATGCAATTATTATTAATCAATTAAAATAAAGTATTGCATATTAGACATAAACCATATTAACATTTGGTACAATTTAAAGGGCATGAGAATTGACAATCATAACAACCATCAAAAGGAATTTAATTGAAATCATCACATTCTTCAAATCCAACAATTTTACCATCCCCACAATAACTATTACAATTATTATTTAAAGGATCATACAACCAATTTTCATCACATTCCAGACATTGACCTTTTATACAACTACTACAACCTTCATTACAATCAAATTGTTAATTGAAACAACCATCAAATGCATAAATATTCTTATCATTACAAATTACTATTTCCTCTTCTTTTAGTGCATCAGTAAATATTTCAAAGTCTAAGATTCCAAAATAAGGATTCATAGAATAATGATCACTAGATGATATTATTATTGATATAAGTAGATTAGTGATATTATGTTGAAATTAATCATCTAAAGTAGTAATCCATTAATATTACCCACACATTAAATTTATATGATTAAAAGGATTATAATTATCAATTCCATAAGATATTTACTATTAATTTAATTACAAATACAGGTAATACTATAATATATCTCCTACAAAAATTATCTTGAATCTTAATCTAATTTTTTAATGAGCTTTTTAGATAATTAAACGATATTAAATTTCATCAAAAATAGTAAATTATCCTAAAAATTATAATCCTAGATATTAATAAAGTAAGATTTACTTCCACAACTTTTCTTTCCATTAAAATATTCATTATTTTTAAACCACCCTTCCACAAATAATTGACTTTTTTCTTCATAAATGCTGTCTAAATACCTCCAATCATTACAAGTACCAGAATCATTACAAGAATGACAAAATGGAGGGCATTGAAAGACATATAATTCAAAATTAGTAATTCCCCAAAAAGGTGGATCTATATAAGCTCGAAAAATTTATATTTAAAGAGTTGAACTGGAATGAAATATGGAAGTAAAAATTCTGTATATACTAATTTAATTATTATTGCATTAATAGAATTGATTCCTTTAATAATAACTTTAAGTCCACTATTCATCTAAATATAAGACTTGTTCAAAAGCATATAATGAATTATCATAGATATCATAGCTTAATTCAACCATGTAATGAGGAGGAAGATAAAAGGTTTTTGCAATTACTATATTTCCTATTCCACCAAAAATATTTTGGTCCCAACATTCGAAAATTAAATCAGAACTTAATTCTATTGAATCTTCAAATATCATCCAATCTAATCTATCATTTATATTTACCTTCTTAAGATGTAAATTCTGTTTTATATATTAAATTCTAACATTTCACATCTTGAACTCTTATTAACATAGCCAAACAAAAAATAACAAACCTACAAAAGGTTCTAGGATTTTCAAATATAGGCAATTCAGAAACAATAATCATAATATTTTAATAATTATCATGAGAGGTCTATATAGATTCTTATATTCTAAAATAATATTATAAGTCTATATATTTTTATATATGTGATACGTATTAAAAAATCATTTGGTTGAGCTTTCATAATTACAAAAAATCATCGATATGTTTTTTATTCAACTTATGGGAAAGAGATTCTTATTTTTCAGCTACGCATGCTTTTACTATTCCTATCAATGCTTTAATCTATTAGTTTAATTTTTCAAAGAAATTCCCCAATATAAATTATTTGGAACTACAATAATTGAAATTTGTCAAGCTTCTGAACGTTTTTAAGAAAAAATTGATGGCCTTCAAAAGGGCTGCTGAAAGAATTTCATAATTTGACAATTTTAATAAAAAATATTTTTCATTCCATATAATTATAAAAATTTTTAAAATGAAAACAAAAAAATTAATTAATGAAAAATATTAATACTAAGTTTATAATAAGAATATTACTTTAAAATATATATAATAAAAACTGAAATGATTAATATATATATCTACAGATATTTCGATTAAAGTCTAATTAATGACTATAAAAAATAAATTAATACTTAGTTGTCTTCTTTAATTGATAAATTATTTCATAAAAAAGCAGAGCTTGAATTATTGATAATTTTTAGCAATCTATTATTACAGCATTCAATCATATTTATATATATAAAAATAATACTTCCCTAATAAAACCCTATTAGGTTCTAACGTTCTAATTAGGTTATAATTAATAAACTATCATTTTGATCAAAATAATAATATAGCAAATATTAGTTGGTTCACTTTTAATTGACTTTACATTATTAACTGACAAAATAATACTTTAAAATTAATGAATCTTATTGAAGGGCTTTTGATATATAAATTAAAATTGATTAATTTAAACTTATAATCATAAGAAAACAAATGTTTTTCTTGTAGTTAGATTTTCTAATAAACAAAAAAGTACAAATCTAAACAACATGTATGTTAATTATAAGTATCTATTATTTCAATTAAATTAGTGATAAACAAAAAAAATTTACAATACTTTTATTAAATCAACGTCAATTTATTTATCATTATTAGAGGACCTAATTAAAATATTTCTTAAAATTTCAGATAATATCTTAACTTAAAATTGTTATTTGATATCTTATACTTGGTTAAAATAAATACATATTTCTTTATGTAATTAAATTATTCTAAAAATTTTAAATTTCATAATTATTTATTATAGAATTTTTCATAGAATCAATAAAAAAAAATGAGAACTAATATAAATATTGGTTAAAAGAGAGACAGATCTAACATATAGCCGAATAACTTTGGAAATATATTGATAACGACAGATAAATCTTTCTATTTTGCAGGTGAAATTATATCTGGTATTATCAAATAAATAATTATGTAGGAAATATTTATTTTAAAGTTACTTAAGATGGATTACCAGGATGCATTCTTTATTTGGGTGTCATAGGTAAAGAGAAAAATGAATGGTCCGAAACAACATATCATACTGAAAGAGAAACTAAGACTGATTAGAATGGTAATTAATTAATAACTGAAACAAATACTAATAAGACTGAGAATTATAAAGGAAAGACTTGTATATATTAACATAAAGTGGAATTACACAATTTTGAAAGTGATATATAACCTTTAGGTGACTTTGTTTTTCCTTTTTAATTTTAACTTAGTTCTAGTCTTCCTAGTTCATATTATGAAGAAGATAGAGCACAGATATCTTACAAAGTGAAGGCTCTTGTTCAATATAAAAAATCTTAAATACTATTTATTAAGCACAGTCAAAAACTCATAATTCAAGAAACTTTAAGAAATTATTAAAAATCTCTGACTTAAGAACTTTAGGTAACCTCTTTGAATTTCTGTTTCATTAAAAATGGAGTATTGAATTATTTTTATGTTTAGCCTTGTTATGTCAAATGTAGTATTAATAAATTTCACTTTATGCCAGGAGAAAAAGTATATTTGAGTTTAGATATCGATAACTCTAGGTTTGATAAACCAATTAATAAATTAGCTATAAAATTATACCATAAATTAGAATTATGTGATAATAAAGGCAACTAAACTTCTTATACCTCATTAGAAGGAAACTATTAAAATAAAGGAGTTGAAGCAAGGGGTAAGTACTCAAACAATTGTTGGATTGTTTTGAGCAAAGATTTATTACCAACAGCAATAGGTAAATTAATTGAATCACGTTACTGGTTATAAATTGAAGCCATAAGTATTATAATATTTTATTTCTAGCTGATGATTGTTGCTCTTGTTGTTGTAATTTTTGTTAAAATTGTGGCTAAGACTGTAGAAGTGATTGTCCTTGTTGTTGCTGTCCTAGTAATCCAAAATAATCTAACTTAATTGCTTTCCCTATTTAGATTATTAGGCCTGCCTTTGAAGGGAATGGTTAATTTTTATAAGAACCTTCTGATTAGAAACCCTAAGTATTTTAAACCTAAAAAGTTTATCTAACAAATCTAAATAAGTAAGAACAAAATTAAAATGTTGTAAAATATAAAATTAAGTAGATATTGAGTAATACAGGATTATAAATTTAGCAAATGCAGGATTCTGTGATGTCGGAATGATTATTTTATCATATAAAAATAAAGTTTGGTTCAAAAAAATAATATCTATTTCTTCTTTCTTTTCTTGAATTTAAATAAATATTAAATCTAGAAAAAAGTTAAAAATATTTATTTATATTTATAGTTTAAATATAATATTAAAAGTTACTATTCCAAAATCAATGAGCACTAATCTAAAATTTGATAATAAATACAATTATTTAAATAATATTTCACTCAATCAAAACATTTCGAGCCTTTTAAATTATTTGTTACTAAATTAATATAATATTCTACTTAACTGATTCAAGAAGATGAGATGATCAAAGAATTCTTAATGAATTAAATTATGGTAAAAAAAGGAAGCAACTAAAATTATTTAAATGCTGTGAGATATTTTCAATTTAATTCCTTATTATCTATATATAACTCATCCTCTTAAGATGAATAATAAAATTTACAGAATAATAAAAAAGTTTAGTCTAATAATGGTTATATATTTTATAGAATTATTTATAATTCGTTTATATATTTATTTGGATTAAGAGCAAATCTAATAAGAGAGATAATAAATCACTATGACTCAAAATTTATAAAATGACTTTATCAATTTAAAACTTATATTTTTTTCTTTTCTAATTTTTCTGAGGTAGAAAATTTAACAACATATAAATTATGAATTACAAACTTTTTTTTTTATAATTTCTAAATTTAATAATCCCAAGTTTTTTCTAGGTAAATTTGTTGTCTTAGTAAATGTAAAACTTTGATTAATTGTAGATAACAATAAGTTAAAAGTAAAAAAAAACAATCTTGAAAAATAAAGGCAAAAGAAATTTTTGATAAAAGTACTTTATTAATTTATAATACTCGACTTGTTAAATTTGAGGAAATACTTTTTTAATAGATTAATATTTGAACTTAATGAAACATAATAAAGTAATAATGTTTCTATAAAAATATGAAGAGATATATTACTTACATATTTTATGAGCATTTATATAGAATTAGAATTTAATTTTCAATATTATTGATTTTAATAAAATGTAAATTCCTAATAACAATAGTAATCCTTATGCTCAATATTAGTATCCATAATAATAAGGTCAGGTGTAATATAAATAAGCATATCCTTAATAATATTAATAATAATATCCTGGATAATAAATTGCACAATAATAATATGTATGTTAAGGAAAATAACAAAAACCGGTTGTTCCTCCAAAGAAACCTGGTCTTTTTTCTTTTGAACCAGGAAGCAATAAGGAATTAGATGATGCTTTAAATAGTATTGATACAATGTATAATGATATGTTTGATACCGTGGATAATTAAAAAATGAGATAAGAAGAGGGTAATTTTAGATATTATATAATAGGTTAAGATAAATAGGAAGAATATTGTATGGGTATTCCAATAGATTAGAATAATTATGGTTAATAAAATTAGTCAAATCAAGTATAGAATGGTTTTGGTAATATTTGTCAAGATCCAGAGAAATGGAATTATTATAATGGTAATCGTAATTCATTTTATTGATATATGAATATAAATATATATATGTATTATTTTATATTGAATATTACTTATAATAATGTATATGTTTATATAATATGGATAAAATAATAAAAATAAATAATTAATGGCTAATGGTGTAACAACAGAATGGGAGGATATTCATGTAAAACATGGAAATTATGTGGAAAGAGAGAAAGTAACAAGCTTAAAAGAAACATATTAATAAGCAATTTCTAAGTTGGAAGAAAAATAAGATAGTGATGATGATTTTTTTGATGATGATGAATTTACTAAATAATATAAAGCATAAAGGTTTTATGTGATATTTATAAGTATTATAGACTTTAATAAATGATGGAATAAGCTTAAAAGAAACTCTATGGAGAAGTATATGAGATATCTAGAGATGAATATGTTAAATAAGTAACTGAAGCATCAAAGGATAGATTTGTTGTGTTATCTCTTTATTAAGATTATATTGTTGAATCTTTGAAACTCAATGAAGTATTGAATGAATTAGCCAAATAATATAAAGAAATTAAATTTGTAAAGATGGTAGCAACTAAATGTATTGAAAACTTTCCAGATGATTAATGTCCTTGTTTTATCATATATAAAGATACAAAAGCAGTTTCAAATATTCCATTTATTCATAAACTAAGAAAAATTACATATGCATCAATTGAAGACTTGCTTATTAGTCAAGGTTTTCATTTAAATTTATTATTTTTAGGAGTTCTTCCAAAACCAGTAGATGAAGATGAATAATATGAAGAAATTAAAGATAAACTTAAAAATCCATACAAAACTAATAATGTTAAAGATGTAGATGATGAAATTAATGATAGAGAATATTCTCATCAAGTTAATTTCTAAAAACCTAAATGAATTTATATATGTATTTTAGGGAATTTAATTATTAATTAATTTTATTAATTATATATCAATACTTCAATAAATTACACATTCCTTTCTATTTCATTTGATTATCTTACTTAATAGAGTAAATCTCTATATTTACAATTACTATATATTACTAATTATACAAAATACTATCTCTTATATAATTGATTGATTCATATTATTGACCAATATATATATTTAAGAGCATTTACCGCCAATTTGAAATTTTTATAAATTAAAAAAATGTAAAATTCAAAAAGGAAGCAAATGTTTTGCAATCAATTCGATTTATTTAAAGATAAGAAATTTAAGTAAATTCCATCATTAAAAGTATATTTTATATGAACTTTTAAATAGCTAGTTAAAGTAGATAAGCCTAATTATTAAGAATAAATATTTAATGAATCAAGTGCAGAAGATATTTTTGAACAAATGGGAAACAAAGTAACTGATTAAGATTAATAAAAAAATACAAATCAAGAATCTAATAATATTAAAAATGATGATTGGAAATCCTATTATAATTCAAGATTGAAAGAAATTAAAATAGAGAGACCTGAACTAAATCATAATTAAATGACACAGTTAATATCAGAAGAATGGAAGTTTTTTAAAAAATAATTTAAAAAAGTGCCTTAATCTACAAATTAAGATGATTAAGTATTAATTAAGAGGAAGTTAAAATAAAATAAGGAAAATTTTAAATTTTGTTAAGAAAAACTAATAGAAAAATAAGAAGAATCTGATGATGGAGAACTTGATTTTAATCCTTTTGAATGTGCCAAATTTATTGAAGATTTAAAATAAAAGAAATTTAAATTAGTTATAAATGATATGACATATGAATTATAAGGAAATGCTATTATAGAGGCAGTACATAATGATTCAGTCTTAATCTATTTGAGTGAAAATAATAATAATAATAATAATAATACAAATACAGCTTACGGAACTCCAAATGAAAAAGTAAATGCTAATATTGAGGATATAGGAAGTGATAGTGAATAGAGCATTTGTAAAGGAAATGATGATTTTATTTTGTAAAACAATATTAGATCATATTTATGATCACAATAACAAACTCTATCATTATTATAAACAAATTATTACTGTAGCATCCTAATTTGAAATTAAATAGCTCTAAAAATTATTTAATTTATTGAACTAATGTACATATATTGATATCACTTTCTAAATGATATTTAATTATTGCAAAACATATCAAAATATTATGAATATTATACAATTTAAACTAAATTGATTTATATATAAAATATGGATTCATAAATGGAAGAGCAACAACTTTTTGGTAATCACTCCTTATCAAGTAAATTTAGTTTATAGAGATAGTCTCTAGTAGATACACAGAAAGAAACAATCCATTACATCTTTATCATCATACTAATTAGATTGGAATAAAACAAATACCTGAGATAGAAAATTAAGAAATCCCTTTTGAAGATGGGAGTGCCTAAGAACAAATCTCTCAGCATAATTTATCTAATCCAATAACATCATCAGAAAGAAAAAGCTATATACAGCATCAAAATAATGAAAATAAGGAATCCCCATTTCGATAACCTTTAGAAAGATAGAGCTAATTCATTCCTGAGCCAGATGAACAAAAAAACTTTTTGCAACTAATTAGAAGAAAAAAATTGATATAAAAATTTATATCAAGAACTCGATAAAAAGCTTATATATTTACATAATTATTGGCAGAGTAATTTATGAAATTCTAATTCGAATAGTACATTATTAAGAATAAACAAAATATTAAAAATGTAATTGATAATGAAAATAATGAAAAGATGAAAACAGGTAAATTAAATTTTATCCCTTTGTTTTAAACTCAATAACCTATTCTTATGATTTGGGAATTCTTTGTGTTTATTTAAACTTTATATATAACTTGGTGGGGACCATTCACAGTAGTATTTGAAAATAATGTTCATAAAAATACAATATCTGAAAGTATAATTATATATTTTGGGATATTTGATGTATTTATGATGATGAATAAGAGTTTAGTTTATTAAGGATAGATTTTAGAAGATAGAAAAACGATAATAAAATAATATTTAAAAAATTAATTTGGAGCTGATTTGATTTCAATATTTACAATATGTTGTATTGATAATAGAAATTATGCATAAGATTAGGAAATAATTTTTATAATTTTAGTATTAATTTTGATATACATAAATTAAAAACGAATAATGAATATTTTAGATAAAATTCAGGAATCTTTTGATGTTTAATAGGATGCATTTGATTTGATAAAGGTTTTGTTGATAATAGGATATTTTGCTCATATAAGTGCATGTATATGGGCTCGAATATCAATGATAAGTGATAAACTTGGTTGTATGTCTTGGATGAAAAATTATGATGTAGATAATCAATCATCATGGATTTAATATAATTTTTCATTTTATTGGGCTACGATGACAATGGTAACAGTTGGTTATGGAGATATAACTCCATAGAATGAATATGAAATGTTGTGTGCAATATTAATAATGTTCATAGCGAGTATCATATTTGGTTATTCATTGAATTCTATTGGAATAATTTTAAAGAATATAAATGATCGATAATAGAAGTTTAGGTAATAAGTTAATAAGAATAGGAAGAAAATCTTAATTGTTAATAAATTCTTATATGAACAAGAATCAAGTGAGTGTTTAATTGTAATGTAAAATAAGGAACTACTTGAAATATTATATAGAATAAGATAATTTTTAAAATGATGAAGAGGTAATAACACTATTTTGATATGAATAGTTAAATTCTTTGATTTCTAAATTATCTCCAGGATTGAGAGAAGAGTTGTTATATGATATATAAAAGAAACCTTTAAAATCTATGGATTTTTTTATTAAGGAAATGTCTTAGGAAGTTTAGAAATAGATAGCTTATCAATTATAAGCATAACATTTTGCACCTTTGGAAGTTATATATTAATAAAATAGTTATGATGATAATTCATTATATTTGATAGTAGAAGGACAAGTTTAATTGATTGATGAAAGAAATAATGAGATTGTTCATAAATATGAAAAAGGATAGTGTTTTGGTAAATATGAATTTTTTACTGGTTTAAATAGAGAGTTATAAGCTAGGAGTGAAACATTTTCACATGTCTATAGTCTGAAAAGGAATGATATGATTAAAATATTAGAAGACTTTATGGATGAGAAAGAGAAATTTGCAAATATGAAAGATTAAATAATAATTCTTAAAAATTTGTAGATAATTGATTTTAATTGTTATTTCTGTAATGAATTTACTCATACTTATAATTAATGTCCTTATTTATAATACAAACCAGATTTAGAGAGATTAATAAAGAGAGATGGATTTTGTAAATAAAATAGAAGTCGTTTTATGAGATAAAAATTAAGGACAGGATCCTCTTTAAATTTATTAATAGTATTATATTATATATAATTAATTTAGATAAAGAAAGAATAACATGATAAATTTCTAAAAGATATAGGTATTGAATTAGATAGTTCATAATCTTCATCATCGTCATCTAGTGAAAAGAAAGAACAATCTTAATAGTTATCAAATTAACGGAGTAATTCTATAGAGAGAAAGGAAGAATTTTAATAAGGAAAGAAGGAATATTTGTCAACTGTAAATTTAGAGAATAAAATGACAGAAAGGTATACAAAGTAGAGAAAGAATTAAAGATAGGGATCTCATAATACTCATTTAATTTAAACATAAGCTATAAAAACATTATAGATGGATTAAGAGGTTGAGAATACACATCTTTCTAAACGGAAGAGATCATAATCTATTAAAGATATAGCTCCAAAGAATAACAAAAGAAGAAATAGTTAAGATTCATAAAGTGGAGGAGGTTCAAATCAGAATAAGAAAGCTATGTCAATGAATAATACGACAACCAAGATATTGAATAATATTAATTTAAATAGCATCAAATCTATTATAGAATAATAAATAGATTTTGTAAAATTGACAGAAGAAATAGATTAAAATAGATTATAATTCTTAAATTGTGATATGGAAAAGAGTTAATAGTTTAAATACTATTTGCCATAGAATAATTTAAATTAGATTTTATTATAGTATCAATTAAGATAAAGAAGTAATAAGTTTAAAGGAAGATGTGAATCAAATAGATATTCAATATTTTATAATGTTAAAAAATAAGGATAGATAAATAGATGTTAAAAGGGAGGTAGAGGAAGTCGTGTTTGTTCACCAGGGAGTAAGAAATTGATATGTAAGAATAAAAAAAAATCATTTTTAATAAGTCCTTTGTAATAGGAAGGTTGATATTGTGATTAAATATATAAATAACCGTTTTTGTATATTATTAATTTTATTGAGATGAATAAGTTCATAAGTATAGTGTTGATTGCGTTAGTGAGTGTTTAAGCATTGGATATCGATTTAACATTGTTATTATAGGTATGGAGATTATAGTAATAATGAAAGACAGGATCTTAATCAAATGATGCTGTTCAAGCAGTTTATGATTTATTGAATGATTTAAAGACAAGCAATATAGAAGCATAAGGAGTAGCAGATGAAAAGAATATTTCAGATGAAGAAATAGGATAATCTAGAATAGCAGCTTTGTCAAAAGTTAATGAATTAAACTAAAAAGCATGGACAAGTGCAAAAGCAAGAAGAGAATAAATTGGTGTTGAATATAGAGTATATAATATTAAGATAATAAAAAGGAAGCAACAGATTATATAGCTTGGGCAACATAAAGATTAGCTGATATTGATAGAAGAGAAGTAGAATTAGAAGAATTAAGATGTTTTTCAAATGGATTATTTGTAAGAGCAATCAAATAACATAATGATGCTTTAGGTGTTATTAGAATATTGAAAAATGATTTAAGGTATTAAATTACTATAAATAAAATAAGTGGTTATTTAACAGGTGCTCCATCTTCAATGGTTGAACTTAAAGTTGAGAATGTAGCTGATAAACTTAAATAATATAGTCAACTATTTAATTAAGATGCAATGAGCAAATTTGCTTAATTAGCATCAGAATAAGCATCAGGAAATGCTGAATTACATGCTTTAGGAGAGAATGAAAGTACTACAGGAACAGATAGATAACCAGGACTTAATGTTGGTTAATTGGTTTACAATGCTCTAAGTGATTTAGAAGATTAACTTAAATCAGCCTTAGCTGCACTTGAATAAAATGAAATTGCAGGATACTATTAGTTAGCTGATTGGTTAGCTGATTCAGAAGCTGAAAAAGCTCATTTATAAGATGAAATCTAAAGAAAAACTTAACTCTAAGATAAATTAGTTGTGGTATTTATTCTTTATTATTTAAATCTATCAGTAAGAATAAGCTGCTCTTGCTGTCTAAGCTAAGGCTAATTCAGTACTTAAAGATTCATAAAATGCTATTAATGCTGCCACTGCTAGTCTATAAGAATTGAGAGATCTTTATGAAACTGAATTAAATAGAAGAAATGGTAATTCTCTTATATTTTATTATTATAGAGGAAAATGCCATCATTGACGAAGTTATTCATATTTTCAAATAACAAGTCTTAGAAATGGCTAATCAAACCTCTTATGGAAAGAAATGAAATATTAATATTATCAATTTAAACTCAATATAAATATATACATATATAATAGATCTAGATAACTAAATTGATATACATAGATATATAAATATCAACCTTTCAACTAATCCACTTGTTAAATTATCCATTATTCCAAAGACCTTCTCTCTCTTTTCCTAAAGGATTATATTGAATTCCTTTTCCATGTTACATACCATTAACCCACTATCCTTTATACATCCAATTATCAGGCCTAATTTACTATAATATTAGCATTTACCATATGAATAATCCTTCCCCATGTTCTAAATCATTCTCATATTATCCTTCATATTTTCTAGAGTCTACCCATTGATAGATTCCTTAACCATTTCTTTTAATTTAACCATCCACTGTAATTACTTATCCAAAATATCTATCTCCATTTTTATACTCAATAGTTACTTCTCCTTATAACTAATCATTTTAAAATTCTCCTTAATAAACATTTCCTGTAATATAATCTAATAATCTTCCTTCTCCACATTTTATATTACTCTTAAAATCTCCACTATACTCATATTTGCCTTATAATATTTCTTTTCCTTTTCCATGTTTTTAATCATCCATCCAATCTCCTTCATATTAATAATAACCACTACAAAATAATCCTCTACCATTAGCTTTTCCATTTTATGAAAATCCTTCATAATAATCTCCTGATCCCATAATTATTCTTCCAAATCCAAATGGTAATCCTCCTCTCCAATATCCTTCATAATATTCTTAACCTATTATTGCTCTACCCCAACCAAATCTCTAATTATTTTATATCTAACCCTCATATATAATTCCATCTGGAAATTAACAAGGAGGTACTGTCTCAATATTATTCAATAAAGAATCTGCTTATGGAGGTTGTAAATGTCCTATTTTAATCAATACTTATTAAATCATTGGACTTACACTTGGAAACTATTCTAGTGTTTTTACACTCATTATCTAAGATTAACTATTTGATCTATGAAATCTTTGACTTTGATGACCTGTACTTAAACACTATGATCCTGCCAAAGTTCTCTAAATTACTTAAGATTACTTTAATGATTAAGAACCATCTAATGATCCAAATTAATATAAGCTTCGTTTCATGTCTTCCACTGTATGAAATTCTTATGTCAAGTCTTATAATTTCTAAAATAAACAATTCAAACTTTAAGCAAAGTCATTCTTCAAAAGATTGAATTATTGCTATTAATTTTATGTACTCTTGTATCTAACTCTATTACTTGGTGATTATAATGTACTAACTACATTATTCAAACAATTTAATATCTCACATCTTAATTAGTTCAAATTTCCATTTCTTCATATTACAGTATTTTATACTTGTTAATAATCTACATCAATGATTATTCAGATACAGGTAACTCTTTATCTTAATCTTTAGAAAATATTGTATTGAATAAGTAATTGTTGCTTTCATTCCTCTTTTACTCATTTTATTGTATCTCCTATAATTACTATTTAAAATTTGTATTTTTTGCCTGCTACTCACATAAATCTCTTTTTATTATATCTTAAATCTATTTCTTTGCCTTATCTGAACTGTCATAGAATATTTTAAACAACTACGATATATCAGCATCTAAATCTTAAGCTTCCTTATCGATCAATGCATTATATTCCTTTAATTTTTTATCTAAATCTTAAAGAGTACTATTTATATTTGGAATCAAAACTGTTTTTGTTTTCCCATTCTACTAAAACAAAAAATCATTAAGTTAATTTAAATAATTCTTGTGCTCATTTTTATGTTATACATTTCCATTTATACCTAATATTTCTATTATTGAATTTACATTACTGACATAGAAGATTACCATAACTGCAGTTCACTTTAGTGCATACAAAACATACAAAATTACCTGGATGTTTGCGGCATTAAAGTACGTATGACATTTTATAATTATTTAATTATTATATTCATTTAGGACTAGTTATTGACAAAAATGGTGCTTAACTTTAATTATCTTAAAATAAGTCATCCTTTATAATTACTTCAGGTACCTTTATTACCCAATCTCTATTAATACCTTTTGTCTCTTTTTCATTTTCATTATTTTATCTTCTCTCTTTATTCTATTAATCATTATCACCTTTATCATATTTATTATATTTATCATTTCTCTCATTTCTCTCATTTTTATCATATTTCCATTATTTTTCATTTTTATCATATCTCTCATAATTATTCATTTTATCATATCGATCCTGCTTATCATTTCTATCATAATTATTATTCCTATTATATCTATTATATCTCTCCTCATTATCATTATTTACATATTTATCATATTTTTCATTTCTGTCATATTTATCTGAATAATAACTTTTCTCATTACTATTTCTTCTTTCATTATCTCTATAATTACCTCTGAAATCTTTTTATTTACTATTTTTCTAATCAGAACAATGTTTCCAATATTTTTTATTTTATTCATCATTAGACTCAAATTTTTAGTAATCTCTGTAATTATTATTATTATTCCTTAAATCTCCCTTAGATTTATCTTAAACTTCTATATTTTTATCTGCAATCTCAAATATAGATCTTAAAATCTCAGTTATACTCTTATTTTCTGAATCTCTAATAAATTGTACTAATATATCCATTAATGTAATCTTTTATAAATTAGCAATAAATCTTTCTGAATTTATCATCGGAGGAATTGGATACCCATTTTCTAATGTCTAATCTGTTGAATTTCTTTTTTTCCTTATTATCGGCATTGAGTTATCCATTAAATAAATTATCTGTAAAATTAGTTAAAAAATTATAAAAAAGTAGAATTATTATATTAATTGAAAATTTTACAGGTGAATTTTAGTTATCAAATTTAATATGTGCTTAAGATAATATTATATATGTATAATAAAATTCATAACAAAGATAAAGAAAATTCATTACAAGGTATTTAAAAAAGTGTAAACTTTAGGATTTGATGTTCTTTTTGTTCCTATTTCCCAAGAGTACTTTTTTTATTGTTAAACAATCTATTCCATTTTTTTAATTTATATTTGCAATTATAGCAATGATGGATTAATTTCTTAGGGATTTTATGTCTTTTTTCTGTCATTTTATTTTTTGTATCTCCAGAAAGATAAGAAATTTCTTGGCAAAGTATGCTTAGGAAAATCTGCTGTATTTCGATGGATGATGAATTCTTTTGACAATCTAAAATCACAATATTACTTAACAGGGGTTGCTTAAAGAACTTATCTTTAAGTTTAATCGATGCTTTTGACTCTATTTCTTAAACATCTTATTGGAAATTCAGCATTTGTTGTAGTGAGGTTGTTTTAATTTATTTTTGCATAACTAGATTTTGTTTATCTAAATTTATTCTTTTCATCTTGATTAGTATAGAGATGTTGCTATTACTAACAAATCTCTTTTAAGATTACTTAATAATTTTGATTGGTAACCTACCAGGGAGAAAGATCATCAGTATTGAATTTATCTTAAGTAAAACTTTGTTACATAATTTATTTTTTATTTCATCTTTTTGATTGTATGGTTTTTAATTTTAAAGTTCAAAGATTTATTAATTAAAAATAGAAGCAAAAAGGATTATGTAAAAAATAAATAATAAATATATTAAATGTTCAATGTCTAAATTGCAGACACAATAATATTTTTATAAATATTTCAAAATATTAGACATCCTGCATTAAATTCATGTTCATTTGCTTCATTTTCTACAACATTGTATTAATCTTCATATTTTTTGTCAAATTCATCTAAATTATATTGATATATTAAACCATAACTAGGTTTGAAATTGATTTCTATAGGTTCTTATCTGAATAATTAATCATTTTATTTTAATGTAGACTATTATTATTAAGTATGAACAGGTGTTGTAGGTCTATATTAATTAATAATTGATTCTTCACGTTCTGATGGTATTTTATAGTTAGATTTATGTAATATTTAATCTTATTTATTTTCATTTTTGATAAGTATTTATTATTATTGAAAAGATTCATTTATTTTTTATTTAGCAAGACTTGCTTATTCAGAAGGCATATTATTATTACTTGATCTCTGAATTTAAGAATCTAAAGTAATTCTGTCTTAAACATATGGATTATATGAAGTTTATCTAAATATTTAAATAATTTTTAACATGTTTGATTAATTGGGTTATACAATAGATCTTTATGAAGATTAGAAATCTCTTGATTTATCTAATTATTCATATTTTATAGGTTCAAACTTATAAGGTTCAAATTTCTAATAAACTTTAGGTTAATCTTATTTGGAAAATTAATCTGTTTCATAATTCTGAAATTGTTTTTCATACTTTGGAACTTCATAAGTGGTTTTATTCTGATAATTATGAACACTACCTTAAGGTTCTTAATCTTGATTGATAATAATATTTAATACATGTATTGATATATGCTATCATAATTATTAGTTCAAGTACCTGTCTAAATAAATGATCCACTTTCTGGTTTTTTATAGTCTAGACTTTAATAATTAAATTATGAAGTCTATTTTGCATTCACATATTATGGTTTGTAAACTTAACTAGTTCTGTAAGTGTCTAATTCTGAATTTTGATATTTTTTCTATTCATTTAGATTTTAATCATCATTAGGAGCTAGTTAAATAATTTTAAATACAGTTTTTTTCTATATATTCTGTTACTCCATATTAATAATTTATTTATTGTTGTTCTGTTTTTTTTTGTTCTGTGCTTGTATTTCTAATTGATCTTGTTAATCGTTTAGTTGGTTCTAATTCAGAACCTGAATCAAATATTGCTCTTGCTGTTCCCATTCTCTGACTTGTAGCTATTGGACTTTAACTTCTTCGATCTAACATTTTTATTATTAAAATTTTAATAATCTTTAAATTTATTATTATCATATATATTATTCTCTAATTCCTTAAAGATCTGTTCCAAAATTTTCTAATTCATAATTTATTAATATTTCGAAACCTCCGCTTTAATTAACAAAGTAACGAAAATACTTAATATAAATAATTAACTTAATTCTTTTAATGATTAAAATAGTCAAATTAATCCAGTATTCTCTGTTTAAATAAACATAAACAAAATTATCCCATAAATATTTATGATTATTTAAAGTGAAAGAAATATTATTAATTCACGAAGATCTAGTATTGGACCATCATTCACAAGAAATCCTTCATATATTTAATATAGAAAATAAAATTCAGATTGCTCTATTTATTCAGAATCAAAAGATTAAGCTGATTCAATCAACTAATTAAAATAAGATTACTAGGAGAGATAATAAAGGGCCTAGTCTATTTATAGTTCATTTGCTGTATAATAATATCTAAAGTTAGAAAAAACTATTTTCAAAAAGTGGGGATAATAAAAAATAATAAAGCGAAGAACAAGTTACTAATTTTTTAAAATAAATCAAAAGTAAAGCAATTGTTAACAGATTTATTTCAAATCTTTTTAGAAATTCATACATTTTACCATAAAAGTTGTAGTCATAATTTTAAGATTAGTACATATCTANCCTGTCTAAATAAATGATCCACTTTCTGGTTTTTTATAGTCTAGACTTTAATAATTAAATTATGAAGTCTATTTTGCATTCACATATTATGGTTTGTAAACTTAACTAGTTCTGTAAGTGTCTAATTCTGAATTTTGATATTTTTTCTATTCATTTAGATTTTAATCATCATTAGGAGCTAGTTAAATAATTTTAAATACAGTTTTTTTCTATATATTCTGTTACTCCATATTAATAATTTATTTATTGTTGTTCTGTTTTTTTTTGTTCTGTGCTTGTATTTCTAATTGATCTTGTTAATCGTTTAGTTGGTTCTAATTCAGAACCTGAATCAAATATTGCTCTTGCTGTTCCCATTCTCTGACTTGTAGCTATTGGACTTTAACTTCTTCGATCTAACATTTTTATTATTAAAATTTTAATAATCTTTAAATTTATTATTATCATATATATTATTCTCTAATTCCTTAAAGATCTGTTCCAAAATTTTCTAATTCATAATTTATTAATATTTCGAAACCTCCGCTTTAATTAACAAAGTAACGAAAATACTTAATATAAATAATTAACTTAATTCTTTTAATGATTAAAATAGTCAAATTAATCCAGTATTCTCTGTTTAAATAAACATAAACAAAATTATCCCATAAATATTTATGATTATTTAAAGTGAAAGAAATATTATTAATTCACGAAGATCTAGTATTGGACCATCATTCACAAGAAATCCTTCATATATTTAATATAGAAAATAAAATTCAGATTGCTCTATTTATTCAGAATCAAAAGATTAAGCTGATTCAATCAACTAATTAAAATAAGATTACTAGGAGAGATAATAAAGGGCCTAGTCTATTTATAGTTCATTTGCTGTATAATAATATCTAAAGTTAGAAAAAACTATTTTCAAAAAGTGGGGATAATAAAAAATAATAAAGCGAAGAACAAGTTACTAATTTTTTAAAATAAATCAAAAGTAAAGCAATTGTTAACAGATTTATTTCAAATCTTTTTAGAAATTCATACATTTTACCATAAAAGTTGTAGTCATAATTTTAAGATTAGTACATATCTANCTTAATCTTGATTGATAATAATATTTAATACATGTATTGATATATGCTATCATAATTATTAGTTCAAGTACCTGTCTAAATAAATGATCCACTTTCTGGTTTTTTATAGTCTAGACTTTAATAATTAAATTATGAAGTCTATTTTGCATTCACATATTATGGTTTGTAAACTTAACTAGTTCTGTAAGTGTCTAATTCTGAATTTTGATATTTTTTCTATTCATTTAGATTTTAATCATCATTAGGAGCTAGTTAAATAATTTTAAATACAGTTTTTTTCTATATATTCTGTTACTCCATATTAATAATTTATTTATTGTTGTTCTGTTTTTTTTTGTTCTGTGCTTGTATTTCTAATTGATCTTGTTAATCGTTTAGTTGGTTCTAATTCAGAACCTGAATCAAATATTGCTCTTGCTGTTCCCATTCTCTGACTTGTAGCTATTGGACTTTAACTTCTTCGATCTAACATTTTTATTATTAAAATTTTAATAATCTTTAAATTTATTATTATCATATATATTATTCTCTAATTCCTTAAAGATCTGTTCCAAAATTTTCTAATTCATAATTTATTAATATTTCGAAACCTCCGCTTTAATTAACAAAGTAACGAAAATACTTAATATAAATAATTAACTTAATTCTTTTAATGATTAAAATAGTCAAATTAATCCAGTATTCTCTGTTTAAATAAACATAAACAAAATTATCCCATAAATATTTATGATTATTTAAAGTGAAAGAAATATTATTAATTCACGAAGATCTAGTATTGGACCATCATTCACAAGAAATCCTTCATATATTTAATATAGAAAATAAAATTCAGATTGCTCTATTTATTCAGAATCAAAAGATTAAGCTGATTCAATCAACTAATTAAAATAAGATTACTAGGAGAGATAATAAAGGGCCTAGTCTATTTATAGTTCATTTGCTGTATAATAATATCTAAAGTTAGAAAAAACTATTTTCAAAAAGTGGGGATAATAAAAAATAATAAAGCGAAGAACAAGTTACTAATTTTTTAAAATAAATCAAAAGTAAAGCAATTGTTAACAGATTTATTTCAAATCTTTTTAGAAATTCATACATTTTACCATAAAAGTTGTAGTCATAATTTTAAGATTAGTACATATCTAAATACACTTCATTTTCTAGATAATCATTTAGTACCATTTATTTTATATTTTTATAGATTTAACAGAAAATACTCAATATATTAAAATATTTCAACCAGGAAGCAAATTGCTTATGTATTGGGATTTGATTGGAATTATTATCAATATAATTTCTTTATGGTTAAGCCCATTTTAAGCAGCCTTTACTTATTAATCACCGATCTTGTTAATCGTAACCATTATTTGGTATTTATTTCTAGAAATTTTGGTTAATTTAAATAGATCGACCATTTCATTTGGAGAAATTATCAATACTAGAAGCTAAATTATTAAACATTATCTTAAAGGATAAGGAGTACAAGATATTATAAGTCTTATAATTTGGATAATAATATTCAATAAACCTGAAGAAAGTTTAGTTTTTGAAATACTTTAAATAATATAAATTATTGTCACAACTAAAAAAGTAATAACAAATTTTGATAAATTTTTTGAATCTTTGTATTCCAAAGGACAATTTTCAAATTTGATTGATTTGTTTTCCCTAGTAATAACTATATTCTTTTTTGCTCATATCACAGGATGTATATGGTATTATGTTGGATAAAAGAGTGATAGTCTCTTAGATAAATCTTGGTTAAAGAAATATGAAATTGAGAATGAAAATATTATGATCTAATATAATTATTCAATATATTGGGCTACAACCACAATTGTAACAGTTGGTTATGGTGATTTAACACCTTAGAATTGGATAGAAATAATATTTACAATAATTATGATGTTCTTATCTAGTTGTGTTTATGCATATTCACTCAATTCTATAGGAATTATTTTAAAGAATATTTAAGATACAAAGTATTAATATAAAAAAATGCTTTTGAGAATTAATGATTATATGGACAAAAATAATGTTGAAATGTAATTATAATTAAGAGCCAGAAATTTTATAAAGCATCATTTATTTTAAAATGAAAATTAAGAAAGTTAAGAGGAAATAAATAATATAATGGAAAAACTTCCAGAAGACTTAAGAATTCAAATTACAAAATCAATTCAATTAAAAAATCTTAATTAGATAACTTTTCTAAAGGATTTATTTTCATCTTAAGTTGTGAATGATATTTCGAGATATTTAGAAACTTAATATTTAATGTCTAATGATTTAATATTCTCATAGAATGAATCTACTGATTCTAGTTTGTATATTATTTGATAATAATTAGATATTTTATCTAATCAGGATAAATAGCCATATTTGAAGAGAAATCTAACAAAACTTTAGTAATATTAAATAAAGGTGAGAAATTTGGAGAATACTCTTTTTTTACTGGACTTTATCCAAAATATTCTGTTAAATGTGTAAGTGATGCAGTTCTATATAAAATATAAAGAGATAAATTTTTATAAATCATTTAATATTATTAAAAAGATTTTCAAAGATTTCATAATATTAAAGATTAAATACTTCTTAATTGTGATTATTCAAAATGTATTTCAAGTTGTTAAAATTGTAGATTATTTACTCATGAAATCATAGATTGTCCATTAATCTAATATAAACCAAATTTAGAATAAAGATTAAAAGTGGCAGCATTTAAAAAGGTTGAAAATTTAAGAAAGTCTCATAAAAGGTCATAACATAAATCAAATTGTAGAAAACTTTGCAACAACATAGAATTATCAATAAAAGCTTTTCAAGAAGATAATGAATCAAAAGTATAACTTTCTGATTACTAATCTGGACATTTATATAAAACTACTTTTGAAGAAAGAGATAAATAAACATTTGAAGAACCAAAATCAAAGTTTTTAATTAATGACTAAGATTATATTTCTCCAACTCATTTCGTTTCCTCAAATTAATTATAATAGAAAAGACATTAAACCTAATTTAGACCTTCTATCATTGCCTAAATACCAAAAAAAAAAGTAACTGTTTTTTAGTAGGAACTTAAATCTTAAAACTAAATAGTAAATAATTCCTTTAATTCTTCATCATTTAATAAGATTTAATCTGATTTATTATTGCAATTCCCATCATCTCATTAAACTTCCATGCATATTGATTAGATGATGAATTATAAAGATTACATGCCATTCAATAATATTTCAGCAATCATTATTTAGATGGAGAAGAATCCTAGAAGATAATCTAAAAGAAGATAAAGGGAGATAGAATAAGTAAATAAATACACATTCTTTCATTATGTGAAAAAAATGGCTATTAAAATTAGAAGAGCTTCAAGTAAAATGATTTAATAATGGTGAGATTTAATAATTTATTATTCATTTCATATAATCTTTAATTGTTTTAATTTCAGTTTTAAATTTTCAAATAAATGAACTTTCTCAAGTTTATTTTATTCTAACTTTTCATTTCTTAAAATTTAATCTTGACTTCGAAATTCTAAAATTTTAGTTTGGAATTTTATTGAATATTTTTTAATTAAGTTTTTATTATAAATTGTTATGATAATATCTTAAGTTATAATTTTTGATAATACATATTTATTAAATATTTGATTATCATTCTAAAAATTAATAGATTAGATGCTTTATTATATAAATAAAATATTTGATAGAAGAACTTGATTATTTATTATTAATAAAGATAATAATCTTTGAAATTCTTAATTATAAAAATGAAGCTGAAAATATAAATATTTACTTAATTTATAGAAATGAGAATAAAATTAGGTATTTTGAGTAAGATGATAATTATGATTAAAGAAATAATATTTATAGAATGAAATAGGAATGATGTGCAAGTGGCTTATTTATTTTAATAATAATAAAATGATATAAAATTATATAATTATATTTGTAATAAATTGACAAATGGGAGATTAAGATGAAAAGCAAGATAAAAAGAAGATTTAAACAACAAGATTGATAATATTAATATTATCAGCTCTATTACTTTTTGGAAATAATTATTCTTTTGATAATCCATAAGCATTATAATCTTAAATAATGGAAGAAGTTCATATTTCATTGACTGAGTTTAATTATCTATACTCTTTTTTTAGTTTTCCAAATATTTTACTTACATTATTAGGTGGATGTTTAATAGATAGAATTGGTATAAAATATGAATAGAATTAGGTAGTCGAAAGAGCATAATAATATTTGCATCATTAGTTACATTTTCTTAAACTATTATAGCAATAGGTGGAAAATATAAACACTTTACCTTAATGTTGGTAGGCAGAGTGTTTTTAGGTGTAGGAAGTGAAAATTTAATTATATCATAAAATGTAATTATTACAGCTTGGTTTAAAGGACATCAATTATCTACTGTAAATATATTTAATTATAATAGGCAAGTGGATGTATAGTAACTTTGCCAGAAATAGCAGCAGCATTAAATTCTTATTTTTCACCTATGATCTATGATTATACTGGTAGTATAACATATCCATTGTTTACAAGTGTTTTTGTTTGCATCTTTTCTCTTTTATGTGCAATTTTACTTTTATTTTTTGATAAATCTAGAGAATCAATTTTATCATAAGAAAAGTTAGAGAAATCTACTATTTCTAGTATAGATGATTCACATGATAGTTTGAATGAAAATTAATAAAATGCATAAAATACTTTACATTCTTAAAAAGCCAGATTACAAGAGATTAAAGAATTTCCAGCATTATATTGGTATTTGACTGCTATTTGTTCATTATGTTTAGGAATATATATTTCTTTTATGGACGATGTAAGTGATTATTATTAAAAGAAATTCTAATTTAAAGCTGTTGAAGCTGGAAAATTTATTACTATTCCATATATATTCAGTGCTTTATTATGTCCATTTATAGGATATTATATTGATAAAGTTGGTCATCGAAGATTTTTCTTAATGATTACCTCTTTTCTATTTATAATAGCTTAAATATTATTTGGATCTGTTCATGTTGCTAGTAATGAAAAATGGATTGCAGCTATACCATTAATTATTTAAGGTTTAGCATTTACTTGTTATTCTTGTGTAATGATACCTTGTGTATAATATATTGTCGATTAAAAATATATGGGAACTGCATTTGGTATTCTAGGAATGTTTGAGTCTATTGCTTTATTTTGTTTTCCACTTATTGCAAGTAGAATTGTTGAATCTGCAGAAGATCTTTAAACTGGATATAAAAATATGTCACTTTTCTATTCCATATTAGGTAAAATCATTAAATTATTTTAGGATTGTTATCTTTGTTTTTATGTATTCTACTCTATCATTATGAATCCTCAAATAAATTAGATTTTATAGATCCCAATAATCCATTACCTGAAGAAATACGTAAACTTAATGAATATAGCATGATTACTGAAGAAAAGTGTTCTGTCTCAGAAGATAAATGATCATCCCCATTTTATACTCATATTTTATAAGTATTTTTATATTCATATTCATATATTTCTGAACTTAAAGAAATATTATTCTACATAAAATAATTTATATATTTTATTTTATTAAAATTAAAAGAATTCATTATTTTAATTGATTTTACAACTCAAAATATCTTATTTAAATCAATTTCATTTTTTTAAAATACCATACTTTTTGAATCTTGCTCTCAAAGTCTTATTCTAATATAAAATACTATTTGGATAATTGTAATGATAAAACTATCTAAATTTTTAATATTAAAAATCCATCAATTTATGAAAATAATTTTCTATTATTAAATAGTAGAGTAAACATGTTAACGAAATGAAGATCGTACTTATTATTAATTATATATAAATTTTACACTAATGCTTTCTCTATTTCTATGTATTCACTTATATTAGAGTTCATCTATTTATTAAATTCACTCAAAGTTTACTTTTACAGAGTAAATACTAAATCTTAAATCTATTTTATCTTATCTAAAATTTACTTCACTAAATTCCATTAATCTTTCTAAAGATGGCTTTTCAAATCTAAAATCACTTTCATTTGTTAAGGAAATTGATATCTAATATAAAGAGTCATAATAGACAATTATTCCTTTTGTTAATATTCCATTTAAAGAATATTAACATTAATACATCTCATTAGATGATAAATCTATTTATAAAAATTAAAATTTACTTAGATTAGTATTTTTACATGAATCTCCATAAAACAATTATTAAACTGTTTATAAATTATTGTTATAGACTTTTTTATTAATTTACATTTATTAAAATTCACTTATCAGTTCAATATATTAATATATATTAATTTCATTTTAATATTATTCTTTAAAGCAAAAGGCATCCTTAATTGTAACAACAGCCCAATAAGGAAGTAAATTTTGTGTAAAAGTATTCCTTTACATAAAATCTGATATTCCTTCTATTATTGATTATAAATAGAAATTATAATATATACCCATCAATAATAGTGTTGAAATAATTATAATATAAATGATTACTACTTTCAATGATAATCTTATCCAATATTATGAATAAGTATATTTTAAGGTTGAAGACTCCTTAACTTATTCTATTTATAAATTATCTCTTAGCATAAGATTTTCTATTTATCTTTAAGAGACTAAATTCATATTTATTTAAATACCATTGCCATTTAAATTGTTAATATTTAAAAATTTTAATTATTGTTTTAAAGAAATCAAATATTTATAGATTTATATAAATTGCTATTTATTTATCATTTGAAATGAACCTAATAATAACTAAAATAATATTATATGATACTTTTATTTTTTTAATCATTTAAAATAATAACAAAATATTTGAAAATATTATAGTTCCATTAAATAATGAAATAAAAAGTAAAAAGGCTTGGAAAATACCTTTGATATATTCTAAATTAACTTTTATTTAAAAAGTTATATTTTCCATAGATTTATTTAAAGATAATTAAAAGTAAGGTATTAAATGTTATCTAAAAAATGAGATAGTTTCACTTAAATTGTTTTGATCAATATTTTAGAGAGTTTATAAAAATAAATTAAAATTTGTTTTAAAAGATGCCATTAAATCCAGAATAGATATATCTTAATTAAAATCAGCATTTGCAGTGAAAATTTAAATAAAATTTTATGTTTCTAAATTCAATTAATTAAATTCCTAAAAAGAATGTTAACTAAGTTGTTAAATATTAGTAAGATTAACAGTTTATATATTTTTTATAGATAGATCTAGATCAATAATTGAATTATAGGTTTAAGATATTATTTATACAAATGTTGTAACTAATTCAACCTTATGAAATTACTTTTAAATAATTTAACTAATATAAAGTTATGGTCCAAAAATATACTCAGTAATTATTAATGCTAATAAACTTATTAATAAAAAACGATTCAATAATTTAATATAAGTTAATTCTAATAACATTTTAGGAATCTTATTTAAATCATCTTTTACAAATTCATTTTAAATCCAATTCTATTAAGAGAATCTATCATCAGATATTGTTTTTTGATTAGAAAAATCAATTTATAATTCATTTTCTGTAATTAATGTCTTATTAGTATTATCTCTAATTGATTCATAATCATTTTCTTAAGGAAATGTCTAAAAATTTATGGACTGATTTTATAAGAAATTTTAAAAAAATAAATCTGAATTTTTTCTTAAAATAAATTATGTAGATTATGAAGATGTTGTTTTCTTTCTATCTGATTAGCTTGAACTCTAATAAAAAATAACAATTAATAATTTACAGTATATTTCTTAGCTTCTTATTCATAGAATTCAAATCTATTAACTTTTATAATAATAGTTTTATCAAATGATGTTTTATTAGTAAAATATATAGAACCTTCAATTTTTATCACTTTACATAAATTATTTGTTTTCGAACAGTATTCTTCAAACAGCTTTTCTTTATAAAATGAAATTGTACTTATTTAATGATAATGCTTCTTTTGGCATAATAACCTATATTTTAATATTCTTCTCAATAATTCCAATTTATCAAATTTCAATTGCCCAAATTGATTTTTTATAACTATTTTACGATATCGTTATATTCTCATTGATTTATTCATTTAATCATTTGTATATAAAGATCTTTTGAATTCTTAGTAATCATTATTCAATTACTTTGAATCTTATGGTAATCTTATGTATAAAGTTATATTATTTTCATCTATTATTTTATGAAATTTCATATTATTCTTACCAAATCCAAATCCATTTATTTGTTCATCAACAAGTGCTTGATCTAACAAATACTTAAAATTATCACCTCGTCGATTAAAACCTCTTCTTGTTTATGAGAATTCTTTATTTATATTTTGTTAACTTTAAAAATATTATGTTAATTCTTATATATATTCTGCTTAATTTTATGAAATTCTTAATTAAAAGAAATCTTAATCATGTTCCTTCATTAAAAATTGATAATTAGAGTATTTTAATAATTTTGGACATTAGATTAGTAAACAACTTTATTTTGTAAATAATTAATCTAATTATGTGGTCATTGAATCAATTTCCCATAATTCATTTAATAAAATAAAATTAGCAGGAGCCATTTTTATAATTGGTCTTATCATACATACATATTCTATAGACATTTTTTAGTTTAAAATGCATTTCAAATATTTGTTAGCTTAAACTATGTGCTATGTTTCATTCATATAAAATATCTTTAATTTTTTAAATAAACTTGATCTTTTTCCATTCTCAATATATTGTCTCATTGCTATCTAATGATTCCTTTTCATTGAATTTGGAATCAATTCAAATATTGAATTCAATTATTATTATCCATATAAATTTTGACAATTCTGGCTAAATTTTAAAATTTCACCATTAGTATTACAATGAATTATTCCAGATAAGAAATTAAATATTTTTTATTGATCATAAAAGTGATCATTTTCACTATTTGAATCTGATTCTTCTGATATAAATTCCTCTGTTTCTCCAACTATCATCAACTCTTTCACTTTTTTCTTTAAAATATTCTACCTAAACCAATTATAAAGTTTGACAAATTCCTTTTTTCTATGCAAAAATGATCTAAATTCTATCTTATCATTCATTACAATTTATCTCCTAGTTATATCCCTCCAATTTATTTTTATTTCCTTAATCTTGTCTAAAATCTAATCAAAATCTTAAATTAATTATTATTCTCTTATATCATTTTATTAAATTATAGATTTAAACATTTTTATTTGTAAATCCATTATATATATAATTGATTTTTAAATCTTTTTAATGCATTCCTCTATTGCTACAACTATTTCAAAATCAAATTTTTATTTATAACATTAATTACATAAAACTTCTATTTTTTGTTTTATTATTACACTTAATTTATAAAATTAAAATTTATCACTTAAAGATTTCAATTGGTTATTCATTTTATTTAACTCTATTAATGATTATGCATGTAAATCTATTTTATAAAACAAATATTATGCATATTACAAACGAATATAATGATTGCTTTAATGATCATGAATATAATCTTCATACCATGTTTTTATAACAAATTTAGAAAAGATATTCATATGTTTAAATATAGAGGAGGATTAGTTTCTAATATCATTTTACTTTTTGGGGTCATATATCATTTTCATTTTACAATAACAGTTTTTAAAATTGTATTTAGCTAAATTGTTCATACAATTAGAATTGTTATGTGATTTGATTATTCCTAACACAAGAATTATATTTGATGATTGATCTCTTTTTGAAATTATTTATTCAAAAGAATTAATTTTTTTAAGTAATGTTTATTGACTATTTACTTTACAAAATAAATAAGATTTTTATTTTTACAATGATATCTTTAATTATGTAAAAAATAACATTATTGAGATCCATAAAAAGTGATATATTCCGTATCCTTTTTAATTACTATTACCAAAATTTGTTTCTAATATAAATGAGATGTATAGAGAAACATTCATATTAATAATAAGAATGAATTAGTATTATATAAAAATTAATGTAAAAGTTGGCCATAATATTATAGCATTAATCCACATAATTAGATGAAATAAGATATGCAAAATTATCAAGTAAAACTATATAACTAAAAAATAAATATAATACATATTCTTCAGAATTTTTTGGTTAATATAAACAAGCAAGGACACTTTAAAGTAGTTAATTAATAACTACATATATTTATCCATTATGAAAGTATAATGAAAAACTATCACTTTTTGAGAATCTATTATTTCTAATAAAAGCAATTGTTGAAAATTAAATAAATATTGTTACAACAAAAATTATTATAGAACCAATAATTATAGCAAAATCTTCAAAAGAATAAAAACCACATATTTATTTTAAATTAGATTCATCGAAATATTTACATGAGATTATTAAAGTATGAATTTATATTGTTGGATAAAAAAATATCCATTCTTATATTGAAAGCAACCTTATAAAAAACTAGAATATACTTATTTTTACCTTTTCTAAATTGTTTTCTTCCAATTTATGTCTAGGATGTCTATTATAGTGAAAATAAAGCGCAAAATATAAAATTATTATGAGAATAGGAATTATGGATGTTATAATAAATATTCCTAAATTGATTATTGAATTTGTTGTGGCCAATTCTATTATGTCCATGTATTTGAATAAATCCAAATTCCATTAACTATTTGGTATGTTGCGATTATGTCTAATGAATTTATCTGTTTTACATTCCAATATGAATAAATTATATTATAATGCAATTAAGAGTTTATGATAGGACTGCAGATGTCGGTGATTTGATATACAGGAGCTAAAACTTATTAAACAAAATAAAGTGAGTGTTCATAATTAATTATAATTTTATATTCAAATTATTATTATATTTTTTAGTATGATTCATAATCATTCTCTAATTTTATGATACTGGGTTTTTTTTATTAGGAGAGATTTTTCACATATATTTTATTTGAATTTACTGTCTAAAATTATGAAAATGAAATTAGTAGTAAAATCTTATTTGAATTTAGAGATTTTAAGAAGTAGAATGGATATAATTATCTAAATAATTCTATTTAGGATGAATACTATAATCAGTTACATTTTAAGTAATGTGAGAGAATAAATTGAATAAAAAGGAGAAGGAATAGGTAGAAATAAGATAAGAGAATAATTGAATAAAAATGAATGAAAAAAGATTAGAAGAAATAGAATATAAACATTTGATAGTATAATAATTTTGGTAAAATGAATAATTATGTAATAAAAACCTCATTCTTATGATGATAGATGATTATGTTCTGGTAATATTAAATTGTAAATGAAACTGTTGAATAATTCAAAGCTATTTTATCTTTGATCTTATGGTACCATCTAAATAATAATAAATATTTACATGTCCAGCTCCTCTAACAACTACAAAGGTAAGTTTATCATAATAAGTAACCCATCCAGCAAGATCTAAATCTGAATTTCCCCAAGGTCTCCAAGGAGTAGTTTCTCTAATATTTGGTACCATAAGTATAGCCTATTCAGTATCTACAACACTCACAATAGCATCCAAATCACCAGAATATATTAAGATTTATTAACCATATTCATCTCTTAATTATGCTAATATTTTATAGCTACCAGCTTCATTAATATTATAATTTTCATTAATTTAAAGATTGCATGCATTCCAAAATGCTGGTTAATCTTGAATATGAAGAGCTTCTTAAACATCTTATCTATTATAATATTCAGTGATAGGTCCAAAATCTGTACAAGGAGCACCATTATCTTTATTATTATTTTATATCTTATTTCCTTCAAACCATGGAACATAAGGATATTTAATTTTCTATTTAGATTCATATTTAGATTTTAAAAAATCAGGAGTAGTGTCTTCTTTGCAATATCCATAGACATTATAAATATTAATATTAGATCCTAAACAAACTTCTTCAAAATGACTTTATGCCAATAAACATTTAATAGATTCAGGTGCTACTTTACAAATTTTCCTAATTGTATTCATAGTTGTTGGAGGCATAAAATTTCTTCTTAAGAAATATTCTTATAATGCATAGAACCGTTTCTTAGGATCTGATACTAATAATCCGTTTCCTATCATTATTCCTCTTAATGAAATCTTTAATTCACTGTATTTATTTCCTTCTAAAATTGATCTTGATGTATATGGTATATACATTCCTATAATTATTATATATATAATACCAGCATAAGATTCTCCTGCAATATAAAATGCTCTTCCTTAATATTATTTAAAAGCTTTAAACCAACTCAAAATTGCTTAATAATTATCTTCTCCAGAATTGGTATCATTATAAACATAAAATGGATCATTATTTATTGAAAATCCAACTCCTGCAGGTGATTCTAAAAATAACAAATTAGCTATTCTATTCCATGAATAAGGATTTTTCTTAAATACTCTATCTTCATCAACCATTACAAAAGGTCCAATTTCTTCATTTAATCCTAATAATGATGAGCATCCTGGACCACCATTCAACCATAAAACTACTGGATCTGTTGATGGATCACTTTAGCTTTCTAAAAATACATAATGTAGTTATCTATATTTCTTTATATATATATTTACCTTTATCCTGATCCTATTGAAATATATCCAGAATAAGTATTGAAGCTATAATTACCCCAACCTGGAAACACTACTTTATCTCCTAGAGGATCCACTCCAAAAACCATTACTATAAAAAGAACAACTATCAAATATGACATCATTATTATTTATCTTATTTTTTTCAATTAAACTTATTCATTCTATCATCTATTTTCACTAATTCAATAACTCATTCCATATTTATCTCTTCTTTCCTTTATATACTTATTTATACTTATTCCATAGATATACATATATATATATATATTGATTTTTCATTATTCTATTTTTTTATTTTCTATTTACTCTTATTCAATTTGACTGACAGTTTCCATATCCCTTTACCCATCTAATAATTTTGGACTTTATTAATTCTATTTTAACTCTTATTTATTTTCCGATTTCATCTTTGCCTACAAACTAAACTATTCCTTTATTCCCATCTTTGGTTCTACATATGAAAATATGGGTTTCTTAATCTAAACTACTTATTTAGGTATTGTTTCATTCAATTAATATAATAATTCACTATAACAAGCTCTTTATTTTTCATCATGTTCCAACATTCTTTTTAAAATAAACTAAATCCTTTAATTTTAAACATTTCTCAATAATTCTCTTGTTGTTTATTCTCCTTATTCTCCCTGAATCAAATATGTAAAATTACAGAATTTAATTTCTAAATCTCTTAATTTAACAATAATGTCGTCTATAACAATGTTACACCCAATGAATATACATCTGATTTTTCTACATTATGAGTTATTTTATTTATTTTAGATATCTAAAACTGTCCTTCTTCAAAAGCCTTCCATAAAATTGGAGACAAATAAGCTGGAGTTCCAACTAATGTTCCATTTATTGTTGGCAATTTCTCTTTCATTAATTTTCGAGATACTCCAAAATCAGTTATTATTATTTGCTATTCTTTATTTAAAAGGATATTTTCAGGCTTTATATCTCTATTTTTTATTAATCAACTACCTATGAAAAATATTTGAATGCACTTTTATGTCATTTAAAGTTTAAATGCATTACAAAAATATATGATGCAACTAATCATCTGAAAACTATTTCTTTGCTTATATTCTCTCTTCAATATCTTTCATCAAACTTTTCTCTGCCAACTCCATCACTAAAACTAATGTATATGTTTTTGTAATCTGATTCGCCCATGCATAACTCTATAAATTTCATTACATCATACTTTATAAAGTTTAACTATGTTTGGATGTTATTTTGGCAGACTTTTTAATATAAGAAATTCTTTTTATATTGTTGTAAATGATTTTTCTGTTTTAGCATCCATCATCTTCACTGCATAAAACTATCCATTAAATTTTTCTTGTCCTTGCTATTGTTAATGCTTTTCTAAATCACGATTTATGCATCTTTTTGTTTTCATTTTATAAACCTCACCATAAGTCCCTCTCCCAAGTAATTCATTCTCCTTCTCAAAATCATCCAAAAACTCTTAAATATTTGGATAACTCATTTTTCAATATAATTTAAGCTATTAAAATAAATTAAAAAAAATAATAGAAATTTTCTTTTTGTTATTGACTATCTAAAAACTTAAGGAATGAATTTCTAAATTATTAAAAGCAATTTAAAATATTTTCTAATTTCATGAGTTGATAAAAAAAAAGAACTTCTTTCGATATTAATTCACTTTCTAGTTAATTCCTCAATTCAAGAAAAATTTACTTAAATGTTTATAAAGAAAATCAAAGTTCTATTTATCTATTTTTTGTCTCTGAAAATCTTAAAATAAGAAATTATCTCGTTCATCAAAAACTTCTTATTTTTATTTAATTTCAAATACAAATTTTCTATTAGTATCTTCTCTTAGATATTTCTTAAATTTAAAGGATTTTATTTTTTTAATGTAAGTATTAAATTTTCTATTATCAAAGGATTAATTAAATGAATATTCAATAATAACAATAATAAAAACTAAATATCTTAAGAGATATAGAAATCAGGTATTGAAATATAATTTTTTGTTTATAATAAAAATAAAATTAATTTAAAATGTTAATTCTTACAATTAATGATAGACTACTTATGTACTTATTTATTTGTAATTAGAATAAAGAGATTATTTTTCATATTTTTAAACAGAGAGGAGAGTAAGCCATTAAGTTAAATTATGAAGCACTAAGTTTCTAATTTTTTTTAGTAATTATGATATCTAGGAAGTACAATATATAATGATTACAGATAAACAATCAAAAAGAATTTATTTTAAAATTTTCTTAAATTGTTGAAAGAACATATATAAGTAGAAAAAACCTCATAACAATAGAAAAGCAATAGTATAAAAATAATTAAATAATCTAAAAGAATAGATGGAAAAAAATTAGAATTGAAGAGAGAAAAAAAAGAAAAAAGCAAAATTCTTTAAGATATGCAATTGGAAAGACCACATTCTTGTAAGACTCATCAAATTTTGAAGCAACAATTTAAAAATAAACTTAATAATGAAAATAACAAAGATAAAATTTTAAATCTTTATAAAGGAAAATCTAATTTATCAAAAAGTGGGAATCATAAGTAATCAAAATTATTGCAATGTTTATCTATAAATAAAATAAATAGATGGTAACCAAATTAATTTGAATAAAAAATGCATCTTAACTAGGTATAGATTAGCTGAATGAATATAGAACTCTAAATGATAGATAGAGAATAAAGATAGGCCTTATATTAGATATAATAAAACTTTAAGAACAGAGATAAAAATCAATTGATATATTATGTAAAATTTTTGCAACTTATGATTATGTATAGAAAATTTATTGAATGAATAATGTTTATAAAATTAGATAAGATAATCTCCATTTAAAACAGTAGATTATTATATAATTTTTATAATAATTATTGATTTAATACTGCGTAATAACATAATAATAAAATAATTAATAAAATGAAAGCATTCGTCATATCTAAATATGGTACAAAACCACTTTGGTAATAAGTTCTAAAGCCATCGTTATTATCTCATCAAGTTCTGATAAAAGTGAGATATGCTCCTGTAAACCCAGCAGACATATACTATTCTTTAGGGATCTATGGAATTAAGAAGGCCTTGCCTACTTAACTTGGAATGGAAGGAGTTGGAGAAGTGGTTGAAGGAAAGCATAAAGGTAAATTGGTAGCATTTCTACCTGCAAGATAAGTGGGAAGTTGGGCAGAATATGTAGCAGCAAATGAAAATGATATATTTGAATTAGATAATGAGATNCTTCTCTTAGATATTTCTTAAATTTAAAGGATTTTATTTTTTTAATGTAAGTATTAAATTTTCTATTATCAAAGGATTAATTAAATGAATATTCAATAATAACAATAATAAAAACTAAATATCTTAAGAGATATAGAAATCAGGTATTGAAATATAATTTTTTGTTTATAATAAAAATAAAATTAATTTAAAATGTTAATTCTTACAATTAATGATAGACTACTTATGTACTTATTTATTTGTAATTAGAATAAAGAGATTATTTTTCATATTTTTAAACAGAGAGGAGAGTAAGCCATTAAGTTAAATTATGAAGCACTAAGTTTCTAATTTTTTTTAGTAATTATGATATCTAGGAAGTACAATATATAATGATTACAGATAAACAATCAAAAAGAATTTATTTTAAAATTTTCTTAAATTGTTGAAAGAACATATATAAGTAGAAAAAACCTCATAACAATAGAAAAGCAATAGTATAAAAATAATTAAATAATCTAAAAGAATAGATGGAAAAAAATTAGAATTGAAGAGAGAAAAAAAAGAAAAAAGCAAAATTCTTTAAGATATGCAATTGGAAAGACCACATTCTTGTAAGACTCATCAAATTTTGAAGCAACAATTTAAAAATAAACTTAATAATGAAAATAACAAAGATAAAATTTTAAATCTTTATAAAGGAAAATCTAATTTATCAAAAAGTGGGAATCATAAGTAATCAAAATTATTGCAATGTTTATCTATAAATAAAATAAATAGATGGTAACCAAATTAATTTGAATAAAAAATGCATCTTAACTAGGTATAGATTAGCTGAATGAATATAGAACTCTAAATGATAGATAGAGAATAAAGATAGGCCTTATATTAGATATAATAAAACTTTAAGAACAGAGATAAAAATCAATTGATATATTATGTAAAATTTTTGCAACTTATGATTATGTATAGAAAATTTATTGAATGAATAATGTTTATAAAATTAGATAAGATAATCTCCATTTAAAACAGTAGATTATTATATAATTTTTATAATAATTATTGATTTAATACTGCGTAATAACATAATAATAAAATAATTAATAAAATGAAAGCATTCGTCATATCTAAATATGGTACAAAACCACTTTGGTAATAAGTTCTAAAGCCATCGTTATTATCTCATCAAGTTCTGATAAAAGTGAGATATGCTCCTGTAAACCCAGCAGACATATACTATTCTTTAGGGATCTATGGAATTAAGAAGGCCTTGCCTACTTAACTTGGAATGGAAGGAGTTGGAGAAGTGGTTGAAGGAAAGCATAAAGGTAAATTGGTAGCATTTCTACCTGCAAGATAAGTGGGAAGTTGGGCAGAATATGTAGCAGCAAATGAAAATGATATATTTGAATTAGATAATGAGATTTAAGGTAGCATGGCTATTATTAATCCATTCACTGTTCTTGGATTCCAAGAAAGAGCTAAATAATTTAAGAGTATCTTATTTTCATCAGCTCGATCATCTACTGCTATCCAAGGAATCAAACTCTTTAAAGAATTAGGTAAGGATGTTTGGGCAATAGCAAAAGAGAATAAGGATTATGTTAATACTTTAGTAGATGATGAAAGTCTCTTGTAAAATACTTAAAAGAATATTAAAGATAAAACAATATTTTTTGATTCAACTTCTGGAGATAAAGCTGGAACTATCTTAACAGCATTACCTCCAAATAGTGTTTTAGTAAATTATGGATCATCAACAGCAACATATATTGGAAAAATCAATCCTAATTAATTGATCTTCTCAGGAAAATCAATTGAAGGATTTTGGATGCATAATTATTATAATTCATTAACTAGATAACAAAAAGAGGTTGCTTTTAATTATATCAACTCTAAATTAAACACTGTTTTCAAATCTGATATATATCAGATTGTTAAGCCATAAGATATTACTGGCGAAGAATTGTATAAACTCTAAGCCTAGACTCGTGGACAAGGAAAAATTGTTTTAGAGTTTAAATGATACATAAACACATACAAATATTATATGTTATTATTTTCTATATTTCTTATTTTTATTTATTTATAATCTTTTTTATTATATATTCTTAATACAACATAAAAATCAACCTAATATTATAGTATGTTGTGAGTTATGTTCTTCCAATTATTATTCAGATTCAAAATACCTTGAATTGATCAATATATAATTTTACTTAAAACATGTATCCAAATCGCAAGAATAAAATTTCTCTGTATCGTCTAATCTTTTTACAGAACCTACAATATCATTGCAAAATTTGCAAAATGTTTATCCATCAATATAATAACATTCATAACACATAAAATGTCTGCAAGGATTTATTACTACTCTCACACTTGCAGGAAAATCACAAATTGGACAAAATTTAGCTTTTTTCTAAATTGATTTTGGATTCAAAAATGTAGCTGCTGTCCTAGGATCATATCTAACTTAATTTTCTGGAGGTGGATAATTTGGATATTATGGTATTTATTGTTGTTATGGTTAGTTTTATTAAATCTATGGTTGAGGTGGCTATATAGTGTTCATTTTATACTAATATTGAATATATATATTAATTTATTTTAATTAATAGTAGAGTATATTAATTTTATTCTAATCACATTAATATCTATTCAATTTTCATTTCTGCCTTTTACCATATTAATCTTAATGAATTCTAAGATCTTTGATCTTTTTATCAAAAATACTTAATTAACGCATCTATCTTTCTTTCTCTGCCTCTTCTTCTTATCTTATTAAGTAAGAATGCACTATTTTTGGATTGTACCCATTAGATGATTCAGTTTTCTTTGATATACTGACTCTTTCTAAACTAGCTGGATTACTTTTATTTTCAGTCCTTAATTTACTTTATTCCGATACTTGATAATTTTAATTTTTATTAACACTCTTAGCATAAGATCTGTTACTATCTTAATTAATTCTATTAATATTTGAGCTATCATAGCTCCTTGAAGAAAGTTATTTATCAATATTTACAGATTAAGAATTCCTTTTTTAATATTCTCTTATAGCTGGAAAGGTTAAAGGTTTTTTATCAGAATGAATCCCTTATATTAGAATACGATTCTGATTAAGTAAATGTTAGAATGATTCAAAAATTCCCTACTTCTTTTTAAACCCTTTTTTTTAGTATTCATCCATATAACGAGAATGATAGATTTCTTTTTATTTAATTATATATTCTGGTCTATCCACTGAGTCTGTCAATTAAACTAAAGGATTATAAATAGAAATAGGAGGTAATTTCTTTGTAACATAATATTGAGGATTATCATGATGAATAACCACATCTTAATGAATAGGACTATTAAATTATTTATTATTTGGAAGATGACTGTTACTCTCAAAACGCATAAAATCTAAACCTCTTTTTATTCTAGGAGGATCCCTATTATCAAGAAATTTTAACATTAATAAATTATTTATTAAATAGCTGTTCACAATTTTCTATTTGAAAAAATATAATATTTCTATAAAAGGATATAGATTAGCTTAACCTTTCTGTTATGAAAAATATATTAAAAAATAGTTTTAATTTATAATCCATAATTATAAAAGTAAGAAATATTTAGTATTATAATGATTTATATGTTCAAATATAACTTAATATGAGATATAGAAAATATTAAATTGTAAAATTGAACGAATCGAGTAATAATAATTGTAAATAATCAAGAAAGTTTAGTTTTTTTAATTTTCTTAGGTTATACTTCAGTAGATTCTTGTTATTCAATTGTTGGTACAACTTTTTCTTGAACTTCTTTGGCTTAAGAGATGATTTTTTTGATATATTGATTTTTAGTAAATTGCGTTTTATGTGTTTTTGATTTGATATGCTTAAATAAGTGAAAATAATACATCCAAATATTCTTCATAATGTTATTTGCAAACATTACAATATTTTGACTAACTTTTGGGTTTTGGAAAATGCTGTATTTATAAAAAATAATTACAAGCACTTTATTTTTTTTGGTCAATTCTGAATACTTTTTTTAGTATTGATTTTGATATTGATCATTATGTTAAAGATGTAGTGGCTATATAATAATGAAAAATTACTTAATCAATAAGTGGTATAAATCCAGGTTGTGCTGGATCTCTGTCATTGTTGAATATAGGTATAGTTTCCATCATGCATTTCATAATTCTTATAATATTGATTNTACTATCTTAATTAATTCTATTAATATTTGAGCTATCATAGCTCCTTGAAGAAAGTTATTTATCAATATTTACAGATTAAGAATTCCTTTTTTAATATTCTCTTATAGCTGGAAAGGTTAAAGGTTTTTTATCAGAATGAATCCCTTATATTAGAATACGATTCTGATTAAGTAAATGTTAGAATGATTCAAAAATTCCCTACTTCTTTTTAAACCCTTTTTTTTAGTATTCATCCATATAACGAGAATGATAGATTTCTTTTTATTTAATTATATATTCTGGTCTATCCACTGAGTCTGTCAATTAAACTAAAGGATTATAAATAGAAATAGGAGGTAATTTCTTTGTAACATAATATTGAGGATTATCATGATGAATAACCACATCTTAATGAATAGGACTATTAAATTATTTATTATTTGGAAGATGACTGTTACTCTCAAAACGCATAAAATCTAAACCTCTTTTTATTCTAGGAGGATCCCTATTATCAAGAAATTTTAACATTAATAAATTATTTATTAAATAGCTGTTCACAATTTTCTATTTGAAAAAATATAATATTTCTATAAAAGGATATAGATTAGCTTAACCTTTCTGTTATGAAAAATATATTAAAAAATAGTTTTAATTTATAATCCATAATTATAAAAGTAAGAAATATTTAGTATTATAATGATTTATATGTTCAAATATAACTTAATATGAGATATAGAAAATATTAAATTGTAAAATTGAACGAATCGAGTAATAATAATTGTAAATAATCAAGAAAGTTTAGTTTTTTTAATTTTCTTAGGTTATACTTCAGTAGATTCTTGTTATTCAATTGTTGGTACAACTTTTTCTTGAACTTCTTTGGCTTAAGAGATGATTTTTTTGATATATTGATTTTTAGTAAATTGCGTTTTATGTGTTTTTGATTTGATATGCTTAAATAAGTGAAAATAATACATCCAAATATTCTTCATAATGTTATTTGCAAACATTACAATATTTTGACTAACTTTTGGGTTTTGGAAAATGCTGTATTTATAAAAAATAATTACAAGCACTTTATTTTTTTTGGTCAATTCTGAATACTTTTTTTAGTATTGATTTTGATATTGATCATTATGTTAAAGATGTAGTGGCTATATAATAATGAAAAATTACTTAATCAATAAGTGGTATAAATCCAGGTTGTGCTGGATCTCTGTCATTGTTGAATATAGGTATAGTTTCCATCATGCATTTCATAATTCTTATAATATTGATTAAAGTGAATACTCACTAAATGAAGGAGAATAATTTATTTCAACATGCTTTATCTTAGCATCTCTATTGAATGGATAAGGATATAAGACAAATAAATTTGGGCGTTCCTATTAATTCATTATTTGTTTAAAAGTTATTTATTTTTTCAATATTTTTTTGCATTTTTTCCAAAATAAGAATTGTGAATTTAATTATAATAATGCACCAAAAATTTTCTCATGTTTTAGTGAATTACAAAGATAATAGAAATACTAAAAGTGAAAAAAGGTTAAGAGGTAGAGATTCACCTTATAAAATTTATTAAAATCTAACAGATAACAATTCTAACTAATCCAAAGAGTTTAATCGACCTCAAAGTTTGATATTTATTCATATAATAGATAATTAGATCAGATCTAATCATTCTTTATAAAGATCAATTGATATTCATGATTTAAATAGGTCTTAAAATACCAGGCATTCTTTTTATAGAATAAAAACTGAAAATGACGGACCAATAGAAATAAATTAGAGAAACTAGATTAAACCTACCTCCTTGTATTTAAGTAAATTAATCTACTATTACATAAGATTAAATTGAAATACAAAGAAACTCTTTAAACACTTCAAATAAGACACCAACAAGTAAGGCTAATAGATTTAGATTAATAAAATTGAATTAAGGAAGGTTTTTTATTTATAACATATATAGTGTAAAGAGAAATCTAGAATAGCCGTAACTTATAATTCTTTTAGCTCTAGATTAATGAATAATTATCAATATAGCCCAATAATCGTAGATGTATTTTTTATATTTACATTTTAGAAATCAGTCCTTAAATCAATTATGATAATGATAATTTCAATAAAATATCCTTAATTAATTAGTATCAAAAGAAAAAAAATGAAGAAAGAAGCAATTCAAGTTCAGATTAATTAAAAAAATCAATATTTTAATAAATATAAGATTTTAATTAAACCAAATTAGAGTATAAATAATTTATATTTATTAAAATAGTCAAATTCATTTAGCTAAACAAGAAGACTATATGAAGTTTTCTTTTGGGTTTCAATATAATCAGCTAAGATCAACAAAAAAATTTCCAAAAGATGTTTTTTATAATAATGTAAGCAAAGCCAAAAAAATTTTATCAACATAATGAAACATATTCAAAATTTATATTAATCAATTTTACTAAAATGAAAATTCTAATATTAATCTAAAATATAAACTCTAATAATAAATAATGTGTAATAATTATGGATTTTGATTTAAAATGAAGTCAAAAAAAGTAATAAAGTTTTAATATAAGAATATTCTTCTTTGATTAATGTTTTTTAATAAATCAAATTTCAGTTCAATGAACAAGGTTTGTTAATAAAAAATAGATATTTGAGTTTGAAACAATTTAAAGCTATTTATGTGTTTTTGATTAAAATTATTAATAAATTTATTGTTAAACATTATTGATATGGACAGTCCAATTAAGGTAAGTTAACTAAAATCAAGTACAGAATAAAAGGAAATATTTGATAAATTGTTCAAGATATCTATTTAACCTGTTTAAAAATGTTAGTATAAACACTAATCAAAATCAGATTTAATAAATGAATTGCGCCAAGAGAATGATGAGTTAAAAAATACGATTAAAGAATTAAAGGATAGAATTTAGGAACTAGAATAAGAATTATAAGGAAAAAAAAATCTTTAAATAGAAGAAGAAAATCAAGAAATACTTTCATTTGAAAAACCATAATAAGAATTTTAAGAAGAAATGAATGAAGAAGAGAAATCTCTTCATTTTGCTTTAATGTTATAATAATAAGAAGAAATGGAATTTGAAAATCGATTAATTTAGTAAAATATGGATAAATAATTAATAGAATGTAAAATAATGTTGATTTGGATGAAATGAGTTATGAGTAATTATAAGAACTTTAAGAGAAAATGGGTTTTGTAAGTAGAGGTTTGGTTGAACATTAAATATAAATATTATTAAAGTAATGCAGAATTGAAAAGTTAACTAATGATTGGTATAAAAATAATGTAATTATATAGTTGCACAATCTGTTTAGAAGATAGTGGAAATTCTGTTGAAATATAATTAGAATGTGGACATGTATTTCATAAGGAATGTATTTCAGAATGGTTATCAAGAGAGAAACATTGCCCTGTATGTAAAAGAGACATTAAATTGGGAATGTTAAAGTGAAATAAATGATTTTTTATTTAAGTTTTGTTTATTGTATATTATTTGATAACTCATATTATTTGAAAATAAAAAAATGTATTTTATTGTTTTTTGAATATATATTGTATGAAGCAATTAATTTCAATTGATTTAAAAATCTATTTGAAATTTTGATGAGTTTAGTACAAATTAAATAAAAATTAGTAACTTTTTTTGAAGTTTATAATTTCAGTTTTTTGCTTGTAAATGTATTTAATTAAAAATAGTACGAGGAATGATTTTGTCAATGCGATCAGATTTAAAAAAAACTGTTTTATTTAGAGAAGTTAAACTATAGTGTAAATAGTAGTAATGAATAGATTAGATTGAAAACATAATAATAAATAATAATATATTATATTACAAAAACGAATAATGGATGATAATTATAGAGATGAATTTCAAGGATCAGAGTCTGAAATAGTGTAAAGGTCTGACTAGATGTAATTTAAGTGTATACGCATATCGATAGCTTTTTCGATATATTTAATATTGCAAATGTTAGCTCTTAGAATAGAGTATTAGATATAATGGATTTATATTGCAATAGTTTTCATAATTTGTGACACTATCATATGGATCTTAAGTAGTATATGGTTATGTACTGAACATTTATTTTACTAGTTTCATAGCAATATCCAAGAATAGCAAAAGTGTTTTTAGGAATAGCTTAACATTCCACTTTTGGACTCTTACCAATTTTTATCTTACTTATTTGTTTGTAGTTGGATAATTATATTAATTAGAATTCTATTCTTATAGCATTTCCATTATTTGTATGGGAAATCTTATTGTTATCATTTTTAATTTTCATTATTCCTGGATTATGTGATGATAATCATGGATCAAAGAAATGGGTAGCTGTAATTATATTGTATTACATTGCAATTATTTATACAGAAATTGCCACACTAATTCTATTGCAATTCCATTTTAATTGGTTTTGGGTAACATCTTTACTTCTTTTTACATTGTTATACAACATTATTATACTAATAACCGACTGTACTATTACTGTGATATGGCCATGCATTATTTTAGCTATTTGTATATTCTGTTTAAATTAACTGACTTTTGTTTTGAATGATTTAAATAAAGATCAAAATAAATAAATGCAATATCTGGCAATTATACCATTATGTGTGATCAGTTTTATTAATTTCATTAAACAAATCATAGTGTGAATTGATTTAATATTTATTTTAATAAGAAGTTTAAAAAGTTATAAAATCTAAAATTTTTTTATCAGTATTTCTTATTTTCATTAGAATAGATATTAAAGTAAAAATAGATTAAGGTTTAATATGAGATAATGAAATTTGTCAAATTATTAAACAAATATTAAGGAAACTTCAAGAGTTAATAATTATTTATAAATATATTAATTAATGTCAATTGTAAAAAGGCAATTTTCTAATAGTCGAATGAAATCTGATGCTGATTTATTTAAATAGGCAGTTGAAGTAGTAGATAGAAAGAGACCTGGTTCTGGACAACCTATTTCAACAGTATAATCACCATTACCTCCTAGAAAACCACTATTTTCTGGAACTTAAAAATAAAGATTAATAATCGATGTTAATAATGTTGAATAATAATTTCCTGTTTAAAAATTAGAAAAGAATAGTTAGCATTCTTCTAAAGCTTCATTAAATCTAATATAGAACTAACAATAATTACAACAAATAGTAAATATTATTTAGAATTACTTTTTTAGAAAATCACATAAAGATAACAAAAACCCCCAATTTATATTGATAAAAAGATCATAAATTAAAGATAAGAATAATTTTTGAGTTCTGGTAGACCTGCAATTACAGGAGAAAGTAAATCAAGAAATACTAGCAAATAAAAAGTATAAAGTGCTGGTACAAATACTAAAAAATTTTCTTGGGCTGATGTTTACGATTAATAACAATAATAACAATAATAACAAAGAGAATCTTCTTAAAATGTAATTATTAAATTATAGCAAGAAAAGAAGGGTAGTATCAAAAGAGAAGTTAAAAGCTCTTCCACAATAACCTTAGATTAATTAAATCATTTAATCTTATAAGCCAGAACAAAATTTTTATGATGGTTTTGATGATTGTTTAACAAAATCAGTTGAAAATAAATAACCTTTATGTTATACAAACTTTAGTATGACTTCTGGACGCAATGATTTAGCAAAAGCATTAGCTCCAATTCAAATGGAAATCAAATAAGCCTCATAAGAAGCTAAACAAAATTCAGTAAATTCATATATGAATGGTATTAATTATATTATTTAATATTAAATAGCTATTCCAGAATAAGAAGATGATGGATGTTCATCATTAGCTTAGAGTACTCTTTATCAATTTAAATGATGACTACTCTAATTACTTAGTTGATTTACAATTAGTAATAAATATATTATAATTAATAATTTTTATATCTATGGGAGGATTTGGATCAAGAGACAGAGATTTTTTTTTTAAATTGGGTTTTATTAAATTATTATGAATATGCTAATAAATAGTGTTACAAAATGACATAATAAAAACAAGGTATATACAATGTATATTAAAGAAAGACTGATCAGTATTTTAAACTAAATTCACTGAAAATTCTTTTTTGCTTAGAAACTATATAATTCATGAGAGATTATGTCAATTTAAATTAATTCCTAATAGTAGGCAATTGAATTTCTTTTGAGCAAATCATTAGTTGATTTATTGACTTGATCCTCTATGAAGTTGTCAAACCAATATTCTAAGGTTACTTATTTATTTAAATTTAAATATTAAATCATTTTAAGCTATATCCTTATCTACTCATGATAAGAGACATTTAATTATAATAATATTTTAAGATATCTTCAATTTTTTAAAGCTTGTTATTTACTATTAATTAGAAACTTATTAATATGTAAGGTGATAAAAGTGATATATTGTGTTAAGATGATGATTAGGATCCTATTTCATTAATAAATAATATTTTTGTAAAAAAAACTTGATATTTGATTCAATAAATATTTAAGATTGTTAAGATTTACATAGCTGGTAAGTTTATAAATAAAACATTTAGGAATAAATTACCTAAAATAGAGTCAAGTGAATTTATGAATGCATAGTTGATTGGTATCAATTATATAATAAAGCTATTCTTAATTTCAGTGTGTTTCTTAAAAATATGTATACAGATTTAAAGTAGAAAGAGGATAAATTTATAATTTTAATGTTTTATGAAATGCTCTATTATAGTCAAAAGGATCAAATCTAATTCTATTAGTCACATCTAGAAAAATTAAGACAATGATCAAGTATAGTAATAAACTTTTTGTTATATTTCATCATATAATTGAGAGTTTTTCCAGATATCTCAGGAAATAAAGGATCTTAAATATTTTATATTCAACCTTCATTTAAAATATTATTTTTTAATAATAAAGTAAATTTGCATTATTATTGATACCTATAATTACTAAAAAATAGAGTTAGAGATTAAATTGACAATTCTAATAAGGATTAAGATAATCAGGTTTAGATATTGAAGGAAGTGAATATGATCATCATAGAATTTGGATTGATGGAAAATAATTGGAAGGAAGTAGAATTGTTATTTAAGACAAAAATATTTAGAGGGGATCAATATTATTATTAAAATCTTTTTTTATTCTATGCCAAATCATATTCATTTATTAAATGCAAATTTTAACTTGATATTATGAAAACTTAGAATTTATAAATGAATACTTCAGGATAAGGCACTTCTTATTTTAAATCTACTTCTTATAAACCCCTTTAGAAATGATATTAAAGATTTAATTAAAAGTAATTACCAGATATTCTAATTAATCTAAATTAACATGAAAAAAATTATTATGAAATTTTCAAATGTTTTTCTTAGAGAAAAGGAACTTAGGAATTCTAAATATCAAATCCTTTATTCTCTATTAGTGAGGAGGAGGAAGAATAATAATAGGTGAAATGATATTAAATATATTTATATGAAAACAAAATTCCTTATTTATCATGCATTATTAAAATAGAAATAATCCTAAGGCTTAACGATTTTATTTAAGATATCTCCTATTGCTGATAAATATCTAATTTTATCTTAGAGATTTGATCTCAGAACTTCAGCATAAGCATGGTTTTAGTAAAACTCAATTGATAATGTTTGAAAAAGTTATTTAAAAATATCCTAAATTTTTTTGGTATTAGAGGGATTTGTATAACACAAAATTAGCATTTCTTCTAAGCCTTTCAATTCAATAGAATTAATCCATTTCCAGAAATGAGGTTATAAATTTAGATTGTCAGCAAAGTAAAGTTGCACTCTTTCTTTGGATACAAAATCTTCAAATATAAATTTCATTTAACTTTTTATCAAATACATTTTAATATGTGTATCTTCTAATTATAAGCATAGGCATTACCATCTTGCTGTTTTATATTTTCTAATTTTTAATATTATATTTATGTAATGAGGTTATTAACAGCTTCTGATTATTCTTATTTTACAAGTGGCATTTTTGATTCTATCAATTGATTCAATATTTTATTTGATTAAGCTTATTAAATGAGTTATTGTAAAAAGCTTAATGGAATCGTAACAGCAGGAGTATATTGTTTATAATTTGTGCATCTATTATGAAATGGGAATTATAAATTAAGTTAAGGATAAGTTGGTATCTGATTTGAAGATACATTCTACTCATTTTTATTTTACACTATTTTTATTGGTGCAACTTTGACATTTTTCTTGGTTTCTTAATAAGGTTCAAAACTCATAAAAACTAGATTTTATAAATTTTGTGTATTTACTATTAAATTATGCATAATATAATAGAACCAAAACTCTTTCAATAACTTTGTTATTTAGTTCAATATTTAAAATACTTCTTTTAGTATAGCAAAAACTTAATTGGAGAAATGCTATCAATTATAGTTGTATTTGGAAGATTATCATCATGAAAATACTCTAATTAATTCAATAAATGATACTCTATCTAAATGTTTGGAATAATCATTAGAAGATTATGTTCAAAGATAAATAGGAGTAAAGGGTATTGATAATTACAACTATATATTCATTCCTTATTGTATAATAGATTTATAATTACAGCATAGAAATATCGAAAAAAAATAGAAATAAAAATAATTAATTTTTTATGATAGCATGATCTTTAATCTCAAGAAGAAACTTGATATATATTAATATTCAATTATATAATAGATTATATAGTAGGTGCTAAAGATAAAATAGATTTCTTGAATTAATTGATATTATTAATATAATTTCATCTTTGATACAGTTCCATGATATTTATGGGTCCATTTTATTTATATTATTGTTATTATTAAATTTAATTAGTTTATTGTTATTAGAATATATTTTATGAAAACTATTATTATTATGTTTAGGGATTGAAAAATGCAGCGTTATTTTAGAATTGTTGATAATTATATGATTATGATTATGATTATAATCCTAAATTCTGCAAATAGGCATAATTGGCATTTTTGAATGGTATGTTTTATTATGATTGCATATGTTATTTTAATTATTAATCAGGTTTGTATAGATTTAGAATGTCTAAGGATGGTAATGAATGCATAACATGATTATTTGGTTATTTGATTGAAGTGAAATCTACTTAATCTTTTTCTGGTGATAAAGAATGAGTGGTTCCAAATTAAGTATTATTAGCATGAATGATTTCAATTTTAGTTTCTTTAGTTCCAAAATTATCAAATTATTCATTTAAATCAATTAAGTCTCCTAATTTAACTTTAGGTTCTTCTTATTTGATTTGGATACGGAAATAGAATGGTTTAACAGTACTAAAATAGTTGGTTTATAAATACGTTTTAGTCAACATGTATTGTTATTTAGGATCAAGACATGATTATTAAGGTATAAATTTCTTTTTGATATATTTTTCTTAGACAAAACGAATCAAGGAATCTAAGCCTGTATTGATAGTAGGTTTTCTAAATGATAAATAAATATAAGAGAGTAATATACACATAATCTTTTGGCATAGTATTTTCCCAATAAGAATTTGCTGTTGCATTTCCAATAGATTCCATAATATCAATATTTTCTTAATACCATCCATCAATATTGGTTGATCTAACTCTAGTAACACTAGGACCTAAAGTTCTATGAGCTCCTAAATATATAAGAATTAAAATATCTACCTGCACAATCCATACATATAAATATTCCATAATCTAAACTAACCCATCTTGGACCTTTAGTAGCACAATCAGCACACAATAAATTTTCCGGTCTTTTTAGAATCAATGCAAATATTTTTTCTTATGCTTTTGCTGGAATATGCTATTTATTCATAATATTTGAAAATATTTAATTATATTATGAAAAATAGTTTATTTGTTTTAAAAATGGAAATATAAAATCTATCTATAAATTAAAACTTTAAATAGTAATTAGTAAATAAAATAAATGTTATAGTGGTAATGTAATAGTAGATAATTATGTAATTCTTAATTTGATGAATAAATACATATGAATTATTAAATTAAATAATATATGCTAACATGTTCTAAAAATGTGAAATAAAAATTATATACTGTTCCTGATGATTAATTTCCAAAAAAGAGACACAGTACATCAAGATCTTTGAAGTTGAGTTTAAGAAGAAAAAGTATACTAATAAATAAATGAAAGAATTGCAAGATGATTATGATATATTTTAGTATTTAAAGAATGAGAATACATCAGAGAATTATATGACATCGTTAACAGAGAGAAAGGAAATAAGTTAAGTTAATTAAAACAATAGGATATCAGTAATGAAAGAGAGTATATTATCAGAGAAAGATAAAGGATTTTTAAGAAAGTTTAATGAGGTATAATAGAAAAGGAAATAAGAATAACTTTTAAAGGCTGATTATTTATTAAAGAAAGATTTAGCAGACTTAAATAAAATAGCATAAAATAGTGTATAATAATTTTCGAATCATTTTTCTGTTTATAATCATTTTCACTTCGAGCATTTATTAGAACCTTAGACAGCAAGAGCAGATTTACAATTATAACCAAAATAGATATTCACAATATTAAGTAACCCGAATAAAAAGGATAGATCATAATATAAGGGTGGTTCTTAGAGAATGTTTGTATGGCAAGAGAAGATAATAAATGAAGAGTATTTAGAGAAAGCAAGATTAATGAATTAAAAGATGAATAGAATGAGTTTAAATGTACATAAGTATGTAAATGAAGTTAATAACGAAATTGGATCCAATGAGTGAATAATATTTTGAATTGATACAAAATGGAAATGTAGAACAATTAAAATAATTGATTAAGACATAGCCTCATTTATTAGAATAGAAAACTAGAGTAACATCATAATGTTTGTATAGGATAGTTATAAGAGACAGGATTACATGTAGCAGTAAAAAGAAATAAGATCCAAATTGTGGAAGTACTTTTGAATAATGGAATAGATGAATTCAAAAGAAATATAGTAAATTTAATTTCAATATGATAAGTGGGGATAAACAGCAAGACAAGTGGCTTTCAAATTATAATATCGTGATATATTAAAGGTAATATTATAGTAGATTATAAAGATGCTTACTTATGATTAGAATTAATGATTATAGATTTATATTCATTTATATAATTAATTAATTAGCATAAATGGTAAGGATTCACATTCCATATATTTTAGGCTTCTCTTCTTAATATGGTTTAGGGATAACCTATAATAGAAGTCAACTTAGATGGAATTGAAACACGTAAACATACAAGATTTCAAGATAAGTAATTAGGTGCTTTAAGATTACCTGTTTATTCTGTATAGATATTAATATTATTATATAGGGTGATGATGATATTTCAGGCGTAATTGAAGTTAAAATGAATAAATAAAAGAAAATTGAACATTTAGGTATTAGAGTTGAACTTATTGGACGTATCGGTAAATATTTTGCATTTATTAATTCAAGAAATTCTAAATGATCAAAAATAAAGTTCAGATTTTATGTCTATGTCGAGAGAATTAGAACCGTAAGGAATTCTATTTGAAGACAAAACATATAAATTTTAATTTCAGAAGTTTGAAAAACAAAATGAAAGTTATTATGGAAACACAGTCAGATTGAGATATTACCTTAAAGTTTATATGAATCGAAATTATGGAAAAGTATAAAAAGAAGTTGATTTTGCAGTTTTAATCCCACAACCTGAACTTGAAGATTAACCATAAACTTCATTGAAATTAGAAGTACTAATTATCATTCAATCTATAGGTTGGTATTGAAGAATGTTTACATATTGACTTTGAGTATTTCAAAAGCAGATATCATTTAAGAGATGTAGTAACTGGGAAAGTGAATTTCTATTTGGTAAAAATAAAAATCAAATACATGGAATTGGCAGTGATTAGAAAAGAATAATATGGTTAAGGACCTCAATAACAAACTGATAATGAAACACTTGTAAAATATGAATTGATGGATGGTTGTCCTTAAAAAGGAGAAGTTATCCCAATCAGATTATATTTAAGTGGTGTTGATATTACTCCATCAGTAAAAAATGTAAATGGTAAATTCAGTGTTAAATACATTCTTAATCTTATTTTGGTTGATGAAGATGATAGAAGGTATTTTAAATAATAAGAAATTACAATATACAGAAAGAAATGATCAACTTATATCATCAAATATAAAAAGAATTTCTAAGAGAAAATTAAAATATCATTATTGATACAAATAATTAAATCTTTAAAGTCCTGTTATTATGTCACTGACAGATCTGAATCTCTATTCCTTTCTTTCCTAACCACTATCCTGTTATTACAACTATTCTATCTTCTCTTATAATCCACAATATATTAATTCAGCCAAACCTAATAAAAACTTTTTTGAATCTTCCTTATTATTTGGAGCATAATATGAATAAAAATTCTATTACTAAAATTACTAAATCTGTTATTATTATTATTATTATTATTGTAATAACATTTACTATTAAACCTATTTCTATTCTTAGATCTCATTTGATATTATAGCTTCATTTGCATCAATGAAAGATGTATCCAATATCATTTCTTAAGAAAGTTCTGTTGGACTCTAAGAAAATCTTCGATTATGACTCTAAGTTGTTGTCACTTAATCTTTGTTATTAATGTAAAATTATTGTAGAAAATAATATTGCTTATTAATTTTCTACAATTTCTCTTGATGTCTCAAATTTGAATTTATTAATATTTATATTTAGCTCTATGTCATTAACTATATCTTATACTTCTAAATCCTCACAATTCCTTTATAATTCATTATTTGCTGTCTCAAGAGTCTTATTTAATAACATCTCTCTTTAATAGTTCTTTCTTAATTCTTCTATCATTCTTTCATATTTATTTATTTTTTCAATTATATTTGGATCTATTTATTTTTTTATATCTTGCATCTATTATATCTATCTTTTAGCATTTATTTCTTAAATCTATTTAGCCTTTGTCAAATCTAATTTAGGAATTTCCTTCATTTATTTAGCTACTTGATTCTCTTGTTTCAATGGAAGAGGTGACATCAATGGTGAACTACCTACTGAAGAATTTATCTCGTTCTAAGATGAATTCTCATTCTCTTCCTTATTCAAAACATTCAACAAATTATTTTAAACTTAAATAATTCAATTTTTTACATTTTATCAATTATTCAGGACCTTATTAAACCTACTGCTATTAAATTATTAGCTTATTACAATGATATGTCATTGCTGTATTCTTCATTTGTACTAAATTGCTCATTAATTTCTATAACATATTAAAAATAAATTAAATACCAAATTAAATCCTTGAAGCTTTTATTTTTCAGCTTCCATAAGTTTATTCTTCTTTATTTATTAAATTAATTATGAAGTAAGCATTTCTATTTGATTATGAAATTTGATAGCAATTTTATCAGGTTCACAAATTTCTTTATATTTAATAACAATGCCTGAAATTTCATCATATTCAGGTTTCAATTATTCCATTTTGCTTAATTACTATTCTGCTTTGTTGAGATTGTTTTATAAAGTTTAGATTTTATTCTATAATGATAAAATTAATTCTTTTTCATGTCGTTAAGCTTCTTCAGTGATTTATTAATTTATTAATACTTAATTTTATGCTTGATTTCTTTCTTCAATTAGTTTATCGATTTGATTATGCAATTTAGTATTTTCTTCTTATAAGTTTTTTAAGACCATAAGTACAGCTTTATTTTATTCATCATTATTTTAAGGTGTCATGATTCTTAAAGCTTTTTTATTTAATTAGAGTAAGCCTTTTAATTCATTAAGTTATTCTGTTAATTGCTTATTTTCTTATTTGAGGTAATCAATTAATTCAGTATGTTAATTGTTAGCAATATAAAGACTGTTAGTAAGATTTTTTTTGGAATGAGATTATTTCATAATTATATTTATTATTGTTAAACCTAAATCATTTTTTTTTGTTAAATGTGTATTGTAGCTAATCCCCAAGATAACTAAACTTTAATAGATTTAATAAGATCCCAACCAATCTAAGGTTCTAATGTTTTAGTAACAGTAATAAAGTAAGATCCTTCTTTCAAATCAGCAGCTTTTTTACTTAGCTGTTTCATAAGATCTGGATCAAAACAAGTAGTAGAAGCAAATAAAAAGGTACCATCACTCCAATCTAACTTGATTTTGTAAATGAAATAATACCTCTCTAAAATCTCCTTAAATAAATTCAATTTTTGGTTATTGATAATCATATACACCAATTTATTCCATTTCTTATTCAATAAGAGATTTTTATTTTTCAACTTCTTATTTTAATTTACATGCTTGTTCATGTAAAGAATGTAAATATTCAATTCCTTTACAAATATCAAATTAATGCATTAAAGATGCAGCAATAACACTTTTACCTATTCCACTACCCAAATCATAAAATACTCCACCTTTATTTGGTTATACTTATTGGAACACCATTGATAAAGATGTGAATTCCTTTTGTTTAATGTATATTTACTTACAATTTCACCATAAGAGAGTGAATTGGATGTCAAATGATTCGCCAATCTTTCTTCTCTGCTTAAAGTCTAATGTTTAATCATTCATCATTTCTTACTCGAGCTCTTTATAGTGAATATTCTTTTGTAAATTTCTCGTATAAGCTTCTCAATGATTCTTTAGAACATTATGAATTATCCATTTGTTAAGTACAATCTTAATTCTATAATGAGTTTAGAAAATTTAGAATCCTTGCATGGTCCATTATATAATAATAATCTAAAATAATTTACTCTCATTATTATTATATAACTATTTCATTATTAAATTAAATACATGAATAGACAATTATGGTCCAAAATTACACACAATGTAGTTGACTCTATTAAATCATTCCCTAATGGTGGTTTTATGATATTAACATCAGGATTATCTATTGCAAATTTAACATCTTTGTTTCTAACATATTTTCTTGAAAAAAATAAATCTGTAATCATACTCCTTAATTATTCTAACCATGAAATAGATTTTATTGATAAATAGCTTAACATTTTTGTTACCTAAAATTAACTAAATAATAACAAAGAGTATGCACTTTCTGTTGTTGTCTTAACTAAAATACCATCTGATAAAAGAGCTGCTTTTTATAAATAAGGTGGAATCTTTTCAATTACTCCCTAAATCTTAATGTAAGATTTATTAATTAATACTTTATCACCTTTCATAGTTACTCATTTAATTATATAACAAACCCATCAAATTAAATCTAAATATGATTATGAATGTTGGATCACTAATTTTATTAAAATTGTTAAACCTGAGTTATTTCTTCTTGCTTTTAGTAATTAACCTTCAATTCTTCAATTTCAATAAAACACATCAACTATTCTTAAGAATTTCTATTTAAATAATATCATCCCTTGGCCTATGAATAGAGCTGAAATTATTAATTGTTTAAAATCACATCCATTTAAATGGAGTGAAATTAAAATTAATCTATCTAAAACTATTAAAGATATATAAGATATTTTAATCTAACTTATTAAACAATGTATTTAAGCAGTTAATGGATAATGTGGTACATCCTATTTAACAACTGATATGGTTATTTAATAAAATTGGAGGAAACTTAAAGCACTTATATAAAGATAATCATTTAAAATTGATCTCATTCAATAATAAATATTCTTAGATATCTTTTAACTTAGAAAATTATTATTTTCTTTAATTAATTAATCAGCATACTAATTTTATTTTACATTAACTTAAATTATTAATGATGCTCCGATAGAATCCATTTGGTATATATCATAACCAGAAATTGAAGGATTAATTATTTAATTATAAAAACTAGCTTAAGAAAGAGTTTACTAATTTGTACATTCATAGAATCCTATTAAATACACTTTTAAAAAATCAAATGGAGATGAAATAATCAAAGAAATCAATACTAAAATTGATTTTAAAATTGAAATTCAATCTAAATATATATAACTTATTAAAATTTTAGATGATATTTCAATATAAAATTAAAATCAAACTGAAAATATTAGAATTTGGATTTGGGTATAAAATAATGAAAATGTATCCTAAATTTAATAATATCTCGTTTCTACATATAGAATGAAGGATAAAAATAATTATTTTAATCAATTTAATTTTTTAAGAAAAGTTTTAGAATAAAAAACAAGAAAGTCAATTGATAATTTATTGAATTCAGATTAATAAGCATCATAATAATAAGTAATATAAGAGAGGAAATCTAAAATAGTTTTAAAACATAATAATAAATTATTAAAGTAGACTAAATAAATGAAATAAGATGAGGAAGTTCTTTTAAATTATTTATTATATTAAGAATTAGAATAATTATTTGAACAAGTTTTAGAAAAAGAGGAGTAAGTGTTATTGCAACAATCATAAACAAATAAATAATATGTTTATTAATTATTACCTTAAGAATTATTGTAATTTGATTAGTAATAAAGTGGACATAAGGTAAATAAAGATGGTAAAGTAATATAATTTGAGGAAGATACAATAATACCAAAGATGACAATTGTTGTTAATAATATGATTGATGATTGTTAAAGATATGGTTTTAAGGACAATTATAAACCACATTATATTATAATGATGGAACCAAATCATTCTTTTTTAAAGGAACTTTTAATAAATCAAAATGAAGTAGAAACTATTTTGATGATGTTAAATGATTGTGTTGAATATTGGTAATATTATAAAGAAAAAATAGATGAAGAATCATCATTTGAAAAAATTATTGAAAATTTAAGAAATATATCTAAAACTTATGAAAAACCTGAAGATTCTATTCTTAAATTAAATATGCAATAGTAATATTAAAATTCAAGATAAGGAAAGGGTGAAGAATTTTTTTAATAGACTGAGATTTAACCAAGAGTTTTAGTAGATTATAGAGAATTTAGATGTGATGTTCCACCTAAATTGTATTTTAATGGGTTTTAATTAACTCCTGTCATGTTAAAAGTAGCTGATATAGTTTTAAGTAATAATTGTGCTATTGAAAGAAAATCAGTAGAAACAGGAGACTTAATTGAATCATTAAATCAAAATAGATTAGATTAATAATTATAAAAGATGAATACTTTTGATCATCCCTTTTTATTAATTGAATATTCAGATAATATTCCATTTTGTTTAGGATCTTTATAAAGATAATCATAAAATTATAGTTCTAATACTAGAATTATGGTTAAATTATTAGAATTAATTACAAAATATTCTAAAATTCAGATTCTATGGTCAAATAATTCAGATGAAACCATTAAAATAATTAGTAAATTAAAATAAACATTAGCTAGAAATTCACCAGATATAACATTATTTAAAAGTAACAATTAATAATAAAATGGTTTGTAATAAAATGAAAAAATAACAGATTATTTTACTTAAATAGAGAAAGAAATGTAATGAGAAATAGAATTTATATATATAATTTATTTATCTATCATACAATTGTAACAGTATAAAATGGTAAATATCTAGCAATTTTTTATCCAGTAATTTCTAAATACATTAATCCTTTTTTATTTAATCTATGATGCATAACATCAATTTCAAAATGGACTCCATTATGATTAGAAATCTCTGCAAAATATTTAGATAGTTCCTAAATGTAAATAAAGTATTTTACTTTTCTCCTAATAGATGCAGCATCAATATGATTAACATATGCTTAAAATATTTCAGTAGCACCACCTTCATGAAAAGTAGTAGATGTTGGACCTTATGGAACACTAGCTAATGTTATTCTTCTTTTAGGTTTAAGTAGTGGTGCCATATTTTATCTTATACAAGCTTCATTAATTCTAACTTCAAGAAATGCCCTTTCTTCATGTCTACCTGCCATTACTTCTAGTAATAATTTATGATTTAAAGGATTGCTTTTATTCCATAATATAGTGAAATAACTTCTAATAAAATATCTTACCAAATCAGGTCTCATATCATAACTTTCAGGATTCTTCATTATACTTTTCAAATGCATGCATCCTGTATTTTCTGGTTTTAAAAGTGATGTTAATAGATCATTTTTTAACTAAGAATATTAATTTATATTTACTGAATTTGGTGGATCTATTAAAGCATCTACTGTTAATGTCATTCCTAATTCTTTTTCTAAATGTCCTATAGCATCATCATCTGTACACATATAAAATCCATCTTATTTCATGTATAATAAGTAATTACTTAAAATACTATCTACAGTATCTTAAGACAATAGAGTATTTATTGTTTATTCATATACTTATAAAGCTAATAAAAATTCACCAGAATCTCCTCCTGGAGTTCCTAAAACACCTTATTCATTTCTTCCATCTAAACAAGAAAAATGATAACTGTTAGGATCACCAAATTACAATTCATTCAGTGGTCCAATTAAATGTCTAATCTATTCAAATGATGCTGTTTTTCCATCATCTCCAGCGAAATCTTAATGTAATTAAACCTTTGTTGGATCACAAAATGTTTCACCTACATGAAGTGGTGTTGTTGTTGATTCACATTAACATTATGTTTCATATTCTTATGCTATATTACTTATCTAATCTTATATCTTACCATCAAATTCAGCCCTCCCATTTATTCTTCTTATATCTTTTGGTGATGATTCCATTTTCAATTTTACTTCTGCACAAAATATACCACTGATCAATATTACAATTATCATATATTCGTTTTTTATTAAATTATAATTTTTACTCTTCTTTTTTTTCTAGTTTTATTTAATATACTTAAATTCAGATAAAAAATTAAAAAAGATATATTATTGATTGAAATTATTATCATATAAATTTTAAATCAAAAAGTATCATTTAGATTAGTTAGTTTAAACTTCATGTTTCTCTACTTAAATATAAAAGTTTGCTCATCTTTACAAATCACATATAACAATTATTAATTCTACTTTCCTGTTATATGTATTTCATTATTTATTTTTTATATTTAACTATTAGATTATTCAAATATCTTTAAATATCCATCAGAAGTTAGTAAGTAGGCATCACCAATTAAATATAATTTCCAATTTACATTATGAGTCTACTAAAATTTTTAAATAATACTTATTTTTATTTAGTCAAACTTACAGGATTGGCATAAGTACTTAATTTAGTACTTAATTATTCTTCAATAGATTAATCAACTAAATTAACAATAGGTTTGGATTATAATTATTCAATTATTTCAGAAATGAATTTAGAATTAAAATTATCGCCATTATTGATAGTTTGTATATTTTAAAAGAAACTTTTGAACGCATTTTCTTTATCATATTTAGTACTTTCAATATCAAGAATTACTAAGGCAAAACAAAACATATGTAATGAATCTTCAGATTTAAATGGAAAAGATTAACTTTTAGAATTAAAATTCAATTCATAATATCTTCTGCTGAATTCCTTAACTAAAATATCAAGTAAATATGGATCATTTTGAACTTATAATTTATTAAATAAACAATGTAAAGAATTGATTAAATTTGAATGATTAGCAACTTTATCTACAAATAATTTAAGAATGAGTGATTGTTCTTAAAGATTCAAATTAGTTAGCAATCTAAGAATATGATAAAAATGAAATATACTTGAATATTTATATTTTACTTTTTTATTCAATATTTGAAAATAGCCACGTGATTATCGATTAAGGAGTAGGTTTAATAATTGAAGTAGCAATCATATAAGATAATCCCATAAAGCATGAATGATTAAATAAATCAATAGCAAGATTTTCAGTGTTATAATCATGTTTGATGAACTTAACTTAATCAACAAACATAACTCTTTCTTTGGATGCATTTTACCATAATACTAATTGATTAAGTGAAAACTTAAAAATAATATGTATTAGATACCATATCATCGAAGAATCGAGGAATAGAATTACATGGGGAAATAAGATTTCTATTAATTTTAGATCCAAGTTCTTTATTAAATTCAATAATCTCTTTATATTCATATTCTGAGATATTAGATTTAGATAGAGATTCTTGTAAACCAACATTTTCTTTTTCATTTAATTTAGACTTTTTAGGTGTTGAATTAGGACTTATCAATTTACTTTATGATATTTTTTCGCAGAAACTGCTACATTCATTATTTTTCCTAAATATTTAGATTTATATTTACTATCTTTTTAATTTAAGTAATTAGAAATATTCTTCATATTAACGTTATGCTGGATCATATTTTTTAGTTTATCTTTCACTATAATTTTATAAATGATCTTATGATTATTTGAATATTTCAGATGTCATTTTATCTCTTACCAAATCTTAAGCAAGATTACCATCACGATTTCTAGTTCTAAAATCAGCTCCTGATTTCAATAACAATTAACATACTTAAGCTCTCTAATAAAATGCTGCAACATGTAATGCTTAAAAATAATTGATAAATATATATATACGAGTCCAACCAGCCATATCTGTTATATCTAAATTAGCATTATTATTTATGAGTTCTTCAACTACTTATATTGAACCATATCTACAAGCTATATGTCTATAAAAATAATAATCTTAATATTTTTTACAATGGTGATGTTCTATCCTCATCTAAAATATTTATATTGATTCCTTTGCTTAAGTAAAAACGAATTAAACCTAAATTTCTACCTGAAGCTGCTTTAAAAAAGTTTTTCTCATTTTCAGTCAAGTAAGCTGTAGATTGTTAGGTAATTCTTCCTAAAATAACAATAGCTTTATAAAAAAAAACCTCTAGCTTTATCTACATCAAGTCCGATTTGAAGTTCATTTAAATCAAATCCTTCATTTTCTTATCCCATACAACCTAAACAATTTGCTGGATTTCTTCTTTTATGTTAAACAGTATTACCCATATTTTTATATTATATATATTATTAATTATTTAGGTAGTCAATTACATAATAACATTACTTTCTATTCAATATTATATTCAATTATTATATTTATTTATTTTATCAATATATCCATTCATCTACTTGTATTTATTCTTTTGCTGTGATTTATTTTCATAAATTAAAGATATAAATTTTTTTCAAATTAAATCATGGGAAGAGTTAGAAATAAGACAGTTAAGAAAGCAGCAAAAGTTCTCATAGAAAAATATTACATGAAACTAACCTCAGATTTCCATTTTAATAAAAAAATATTATCTGAAGTAGGATAAGTACCATCAAAAAAATTGAGAAATAAAATTGCTGGATTCGCAACACATCTTTTAAAGAGAATTTAAACAGGATCTGTCAAAGGTATTTCACTTAAAGTAAAAATACACTTTAATTTTAGATTCAAGAAGAGGAAAGAGAAAGAAGATTAGATTATGTTCCTGAAAAATCCTCAATTGATATTGATAATCTTAGAGGAGATCAAGATGTTAAAAGAATGCTTGAAAAAGCTGGATTAGAAATTGATATTCCCATTGATGAACCTGTTGTCGAAGAAAAATAATAAAAATAACCAAGAAGAGGATAAAGAAGACAATAATGAATATGATCATCTAGTACATATATATATAACATTAAAGTAATTAGGCATAATAAAAACTTTAATATAAAATTATTATTTTTTAATAATGAATCATGCCGATTTCCTCTTTATTTCATTCTCTGTTTATAATCTTAATTAATTTAATAGGAAAATTTTTTATTCATTTACATAATTCGATATATCATCATCATATGTATTGAATCTTTTTGTTTTTTATCTCTAAGTACCTTATTATTATTCCTCTAATAATTTGGTACTTAAATTAGTACCTCTTGTGCTTTCTGCACAGTTTAATTCTTTAGGATTATAATAAAAATTCTTTAGTATAATTTCTTTAGGAAAATTCTCCATTATATTTTATTAGAGTGGCTTAATCTATTATAAGAATTCAGCCTCTCCTTAACCAAATTCTTCTTCATCAAAATTAAATGAGAAATAATCTGGTTTGAAAGGAGGATCTATTTTTTTTGACAAGAATTCTTTATACATATTTTTATCACCCCATTAAGTCATCCATGGATGTTTTAATAGAGTTTCTATTTTATCAATTCTATTTTTAGGATTCTTAGCTAATAAACCATTTAATAAATCTTTTAAAAGTGAAGACATTTATAATTATGGCGGATAACTCAATTTCTAATTTAAAATCCTTTGATAAATTTCATCAGTATTTCTAGAATAAAATGGAGGTAATCCAGTTATCAATTCATATAACAATGCTCCTAAACAATATAAATCTAATTATAAATTATGGCCTTATTTTAAAAGCATTTCAGGTGCCATATATTCAGGTGAACCACAAAATGAATATGCTATATCTTAATCTAATTATCTTGATAATCCAAAATCAGCTATTCTAACATGTCCATCAAAATCAATTAAAATATTCTCAGGTTTTATATCTCTATAAATTATACTTCTATCATGTAAGTGTTTCATACCCAAACATATTTCAGCAAAATAAAAAAATGCTTATTCTTCATTCATTCTCTTCACCTATTTTCAATTTAACTAAATAATTACTTTTCTTAACATGAAAAACAATTCTCCTCCTGAACAATATTCTAAAACAAAAACTAAAAATCTTCTTGATTCAAAAGCATATTAAATTTTAACAATAAATGGATGATTTAAATTACACATTATATCTCTTTCATTTTATATAATAATTTATTTATTCTATGAAATTATAGAGTTTTTTTCAATTAATTTCATTGCATAAAATTATCCTGTCCTTTTTTCTCTAACCATATAAACTTTAGAAAATCCACCCATTCCTATACATCTAATAAACTCAAAATCCCTTAAACAAACTCTTGATTATCTATTTTCTTATTCCATTTATATAATAGGCTCTATAATTAAAGGTTATATTGGACAATTAGAAAGTAAAGATAAAGGTCTATCAATTTAAGAAAGTATATAATCAATAGGTATAGAAATATTGTATGTTTTTATTCCAATTATTTATAGAGAATCATTTTCAACAATTTTTTTAAATAGTTCTACTTTTATTAACTCCAGTAATTGTGATATTTTATTAATCGAGATATCAATAGTCATTTTCTATTTTAATGATTTATATTACAAAATAATTTAAATTAAATCTTATTAACATTTTCTAAATAAATCTTAAATTTTTACCTAGTTGTAATAGTTTTAGTTTTTTCAGTCTAAATTTCAATAAGGGGTTGCGATGACGTTTAAGTAGGTAATTTTTAAGTTTCTATAAATTAAGCACTATTTGATTTATGATGATTATGAAGCTAATAATTAATTGTTCCTTAGAGTTGTGTAAATTAATGTTTAGCACTAGACACAATCAAAGACTTTTAAAAATTTAATCTAGCTAATATATCAGTTGATTATTTTTATTTAGTATCAGATGTTGCTTATTATTTGAATAACTATTCAGCTTTAGCTAATGTAGAATTTTGTTGACTTTTAAACAATTATTTTGGAGCTAAAATATAGTTAATTGAATCTACATTCATCTTAGATGCTTTCAATTGATTTCATTTTGGTTTATGAATTTTGATTTGAATGTGGTTGTGTTTTCATATGATTGCCTCTTGATTTGGACTATGTCTTTTAATTCACTCTTTCCTAACTAGTAATCTTTGGAGACATGAATCCTTTTGATTTTAGTAAATCTGATTGTTATATTTTACGCTAATTTTATCTACGTCTATAGCCATATGTACTATTATTAAGTCATTTTTAAAGTGGGCTATGAAGCATTCCCTTAAAATATTGTGGATTAGAAAGGACCAATTTATTTGCTCTTAAGTTAAACATCTATTTATACTTTGTAATCTATTTGGAATGTTGGAGAATTTGACATCCTTGCATGTAATGCTTCACGATTAGAAAGGTAATTCATAAGAGCCTAATTTGATATCTCTGATGATTAAGTTTTAAGATGTTACTTCTTGGGTAGCATTCTCGTTAATAATAATTATATATATTATTTGTTTATGATTATAATATATTATATTTAATTTACTTCGATACCATTTATTATATTTATAATCATATTTTACTCCATTAACATATAACATTAACTAAAAATCATTAATAAACCAATTTTATAAGAAATATTTCTAGTTATTAGATAGTTGGAAAATTAAATTAATCTAATTCAATCTTCTAAAAAATAATTTTTATTTGTCTACTGATATATTATTTCATCTGAATTACATATTAATTTCATCCCATTTCTAATATGAAAAATATCATCATTTTTAATTTTAATTATTTTGTAAAATATATATTTAATAATTTATAGATTTGCAATAATTGGTTATTTTGTTTTCCCATAAAATTATTTTGTCAGATTCTGCTATTTTTGAATAAATAATAATCATTTTTACAAGTCTTTTGTTCTTATTAAGGATTTATAAAATAATTAATATCAAGTAATTGAATAAATTAATTCTTATACAATATTGTTTTTTTAGTAAATTTTTCCTACTTATTTTAAATATATATGTCTTTTTGTGTTTTAAGTTAATATCTTCATAATTTGATTTATTTAATTTGATAAAAATGATTACATACAAAACATAAAGAAAGGTAATAATTTTGAAGGATCTTATGTTTAGTAATTTTATTGTATCTGTAATGAGATTTTAGATTATAAAAAAATAATTAAAAGAAGAAGAATATTTCTATAAAAATATAATTTGTTTAGGAAATGAAAATGATAAAATTAAGTAATGATATATATTTAGGGTACTTAAAAAAGTAATGGCATAAATGATACATTATGAATAAATGATTTAATTTTTATATTAGTTAATTAGAAAATTTGACTTATGAAATGCTATAATGCAGAATCTGAACTTCAAACAACAATAAATTCAAAATAATATCCTTCTGAAATAAATAGTCCAAAATTAGAGAGTCAGATATAGAAAAGAAAGAAATGGAAGAGTGATGAAATGGCTAAATATTGTCCAATTGATATACCAAATGCATTCTAATATGATAAGGTTAATGGACAGAAATTTCAATTATTTTTAGATGGAAAGTACTCTGCAAATAAGTTGGTAAAGGATATGAATGTAGTAACAAAGAGGAAAAGATTAACCTAATTGGAGTAAGAATTCTATAAAAAAAAGGAGGAGCAATAATTAAAAAAGGAATTAGTTGAAAGAAGATTTACAAAAGTAAGAACATTGATTAACTCTAACATAAAATTAAGAGAAGTAAAAAAATATAATTTATTATTTTAATTTAGTCTTTGAAGCTAGAATCTAACTTGAAAGGAAGTAGAATGTTCTCTTAATTAAATAACCATATAGTTGATCATATAGCAAAGATAAAATCGAAAGATTTATTGACTGATCGAATAGATGGAGTCAGATAGCATGAGACAGCAAAACTTTATGATTATAGTAAATCTGGAATTAAGTTAAAATTTAATAAGAAATAAAGACTCATTAAATCATAAACATAATATTGTTTAAAATAAGCAGCTACTTTAGAAGTATAAGATCATGTTGAATAATACTTTAAATAATAACATGAAGCAATATAATAAATTGAATTAAAATAAAAACGTAAGGCCAAACTTAAAATAATCTCTGATAGAAAACATCGTAAGTATTTTACAGAATTTGATATCAATATGTAAAATAGAAAAGCACCTCCTTCTATCAAGGATGTTAAACTTTTTAAATATATTCATGGTTAGATGTTGATAGAAAAGTTTTAGTAAAAATAAGGAGATTAAAAAGAGTATTCTGAAAATACTATGAAAAATAGAAAAAGTTATCATATTCTTTCAAATTTTGAAAAACCTTCAGAATTATACGCGTTTGATGATTGTGATTAATCTTTTGAATCAATGAAAGAGATGAAATTATCCAATCTCTATGCTTAAAGTATAGAATTACAATAGAAATTGTTATCAGAACGAAGAATAGTAAATCAAGTTCAATAATCAAAGTAAATAGATTAAACAACAAATTAAATTTAGATTGTTAACAAATAAAAACTAAAATGATTATTATTTATATATATACTAAGTATATATTCTTTATTTATTAGTTTGAAATAAGTATATTAATAATTACATATATATATATTATTATATAATAAGAATCATGATAGTGTAATAAAGGTTTAATGCATAAACCTTTTAGCCAACAATGAATTAATTTCTTCCCAATTTCCACTTAATACTGAATATCTTGAATTTAATTTAAGAATGATACTTTTCAACTGAATCAAGAGGACCATTATCGAATCCTCCAAATACATAAATATATTAATTATCTGGAGTTGGTAAAGCAGAGAGAGTACATCTGGGATGGATCATAGGTTCAATTAAAGTCCATCGACCATCTTCATACTTTTCTACGCTGTTTAGATATTATGTTCCATCAAAACCTCCAATTGCATATATTCCATCAGGCAATGAAACTCCTGCTAATGCTCTTCTTGGTATATTTAATGGAGCACAATGTCCCCATTTACCTGAAGTGAAAACTTCAACAGTCTTAAGACATGTATTAACTAAAAATATTAAATATTATTTCATTACATTATCCACCAAATCCTCCTATTGCAAATATTGCATTCTCATACATACAAACAGCCAATTCATCTCTGGCTTCTATCATTGTTGGAAACTTAATCCAATTATTATCTATCTAATTAAAACAATCGAAATCTTTTAAATTCTCTAAAAATCATAACAAATTAAAATTACCTTAACCATCATTACCACCAATTACATAAATAAATTAATTTACATTCAATGTACCAAATCCACTTCTGGAAGATGGTAATTTAATTTTTGATTAAATAACTTTCTTATCTTTATAATTATACTCTTCACATGTATCAATACGAACTCCATCAACTTTTCCACCCATTAGTAAAACATTTCCATTTATTAAATGTGCGATACCAAATTTACATCTGTTATTTTTTAATTAATCTTTTTCACTTGGATAATCTGTTTTTATATCATATTTTTCAACAATTTATTTTAAACTATCAACAAAACCGCCTATTGTAATATATTGATAATCCATTGACATATGACTAACATTAGTTAATTCAGGTTCAAAATCATGTATTGAATTTAAAAATGTATTAAAATCTTATTTTGAATCATCCTAATGCGCAAATGGTGATTATGGATCTTAACTAACTTTTGATTAATTTTTAAATAATCTTCTTGGAGTACTATGATCTCTATCTTTTCTCCTTTCTATACTTTTTTCATAGTTTCTTTCTTTCATCTGATTTCTTGCTTCTTAAAAATTTGTCAATCTCACTTGATTAATTTATTTTTCTTCTACTTTCTTCTTTAGATTTATTTAAACTGCACAAGGTCCATTAGTTTCACTTAAAGGTACTTTTTTAGATTAATTCATTTTTTTTTATTATTATTATTAAGTTTACTGCTAAATGATTTAATTTTATTATTATTGATATTAAGCATTATAAGATGATTACTATTAATTATTGCTTTATTTTTTAATTGATTAAACTATTTTTTATTAAGTTGATGCTGTCTATTAAGTAGGAGGAGGTGGTAAAATTTGTTATGAGTTCGTTTTTTTAGATAAAAGTTTAATAATATTTTAATTTTCATGTTCTTTATTAAGTTCAGGAAATTTAATTTATTAATCAATTGTTAGAATAGATTTCGGTAATTTATTGATTAGTTTAGTTCTATTTTAAGTATTTTATAAAAATTTAATAGGATCTTAAGATTTTTCGTCTAATTCTGAGAGTTCTTATAAATAATCATTAATATCTTATAATTGTATTTACAGCTTCGATTAATTTTGAGAAATCTATTGTTTCTAGTTGATAAGTGATTAATTTAACTAAGAGTTAAAAGTAGATTACTTATTCCTGAAGTTTGGATTCTCGTTCTTGGATGGATTGTCTAATTGAATTGAAAAATTTGGTTATTTCAATATTAAGTCTTTGATATTCTATGTCAAGTTGGTCATTCATCTATGCTAACTATTAAAAATGCTTAATGGCTTTCTAATGATTTTATTGGACATTTTCAGAAATAGAGTAAAATCTATTTAATTCCATTCGTAAACTCTAATTAGAGAATAGTAAATTACATCATCCAAAGATTGAAACTAATGGCCTTTATGACCATCATAGAGAATGCAATTAATACATAACATTGAACAATCATCAGAACAGAATGCTAAGTATTTAATTAATAAAGTACCTTCAATGTGTTTGATGTGTTTCTGACAAATGGTGGACAAGGTACTCATTAATGATGAATAGTCTTTATATACAAAAATTCAAATATTTAATTAATAATATAGTTAACATATACATTTTCTTTTTAGTTTTATTGATTATAAATAAATCCATTTACCATGAGGAGTGATGCATATATAGCTTAATCGGAGATATAATAATTTAATAATTAATTTTTAACCGAAACATTAAATGTCACTTCAAATTGTGAATTTACCAGAGTTTAGTTATAAGTCAAACACACATCACTCATTGGATCTTGAAAACTTTTTTAAGGAATTCGAAATGAAATAATTCTTAGAAGAATGTAATTACTCAGAGTAAGAATTATATGTTGAATGTCGAAAAATGAAATAATTTTAACAGAAGCGTAAATTAAAACTCAACCATTACATAAATAGTTATCTCGAGTCACCTTCAGTAATTAGTCCAGTTTAATTATTGCTTTGAAGTGCAATTACTATAATATATATTCTACTTATTTAATAAATCATTCCAAACTGATTCCTTGTTTTCTTAATGAATCTAAAACCAATTATTCATAATCTTCTAAAGTCACTTTACCATCTCCATCTGTATCAGTCATCTAAATCCAAATTGTCACATCCTCTTTTGTTGGTTAATAATCATTCATTCCCATATGTTTATAAGTTTCTTTCAATAATTCTGGTACCTTTATTTAAATATATTTAATTCATACTTCCTCTTCAGTCAAAAATCCAGATCCATCTTTATCCACAAACTTAAAGATACGTCTAGCTACTTCTAATCTTTCTTATGCTATTCTTGATAACTTCTCTGGTACTCTCTTTACTGGTTATGCTGGTGGCTAACCTGAAAAATACTTCTAAATCAATTATTCAACATCTTCTGTATGAACACGTCCAGTCGATTTCCCTTCAGATATTCATAAACTTACTGTCTAAAATACTCTAACAATTTTAAACATCTTAAGATGTTGGGTTAAAACCTTTATTCATTGCTCTATATGCATCTGACAACATCATGGCAATTTCGTTTTATTCAATATAACCATCCTTGTTTTAATCGTACAATTCCATCACCTATTTTGCTATCTATTTGCATTTCTCTGGCTCAAAAACACCACCAAATTGTACTCTATCAGATAATTGATAACCTGAACTTCTTAACTTATTAGTATCCATTTATTTATTAATATCAATCTTTTTTTATTAGAATTTTATTTAACCATTATATACATCCTATTTATTAACATTTCATCATTACTCTTACATAATATCTCAAATATTATATATCAATAAACCCTCTTAATCACCAATACTACTAATTATCTATATTTTTATATATATTCTTATTATCTATTGATATTTTAGTTTTATTCTCCAAAAACTTAAAATATGTAGAAAAAAGAATTACTTTATTGTTAAAAAAGCTATAATTTTTAGAATTGACAATGATATTTTACTAAAAATAGATTTAACTAGATATGTTATATGGCTTATTTAAGTTTTACTTTATAAGTAAAAGAAAATCTTTCTATTAAGAGTTCTGTACCAACTTTTATTGATTAATTCAGCAAAATATTTATGATAAAAATTAATCTATATCATTTTTATTTCTTCTTAACAATTAAAATTAATTCTAAAGGCTAATGATTAAAGAGATAATAAATAAAAATCATGAACTTTTAAGAACTATTGTAGATAGATAGGTTGAAATAATTGAAGAAGGATTTAGAATAGGAAGAATTAAAAAATAACATTGCAATTAACATTATTAGAATATAAAGTATATTAATACAGTTTCATTATTCAATAAAGAATTGTTAATCTGTTTTTAAGGGGGACTCATGAATAGTTTCTTCCTTCTAGATACTTTATTGGCTAGTAGCTATTCTTGAAAGGGGATTGTAATCATCAAAAAAGATTTTATATCTTACTAAAATAAAGTATGAAAAAGGATACATTTATTAATGTCAATTTAAGAAAAAACAAGCTTTCGTCTTTATTATTACTTAGTTTAATTTTGAATTCCAAAAAATAATGGTTTTGCAAGTTTCTTTTCTTTATCCTTATCTTCATTTAATAAATATCTTCCTTTCTTATAAAAAGGACTCTTTATCTCTGCTATCATTTCAGTAATTTAGTGTTAAAATTTCTCCTTCTTTTAATCCTTAGCTGTATTTTTAAGATGAGGACCGTGACTTTATTTTTTTGAATCTTCCTCTTGTTGTTGAGTTTATAATGAGTCAAATTTCTGTTGCTATTTTGTTTATTAAATTAAGTTCTTTGACAATTTTCTGTTATCTTCTAATTTTTTTATATAGGCTTGAAAATTTTTATCTGATTTTAACCCTTTATTTTCTGAATTTCTTATAAACAATGCATAATTGTGTATTCCCATCTAAGCATATGGAGTGCTTATAACATTCTACTACTTAACCAATTAAAGAGAATTCTATCTATTAGGTTGATGAGCTGTTTGACTCCTTGAAGAATATAATCTATAAGTTTTTATTGGATTGAATGGATTGAAAGGTAATTCTTCATTATTTTCAGTCATTATATATTTTATTAATAAATATAAATCAAAATAGTAATTCTTATTATGATATTTCCTAAAAAAAATTAATATGATTCTTTAACTTATAATATTATTTATTAATAAATGGATGCCAATAAATTAAAGAGCTTAAAAAATTTCTTTGAATCAGAATACTTTACTCCTGAAATGCTTTTACAAAATATCTCTAAATATAGGGATTAACCTGATGTTTTAAATTTATTAGTTGAACCAATGTTAAATATGGCAGAACAGACTATAACTTTTTATTCACCTTAATTCTGTTAATTGCTTATCAAAACAGAGATTTAATAACTTTTTGAATTCTTTAAGAGGTTGTGTAGTAAATCAATCCCAATGTTTTTTAATGTACTTTATTTATTAAAAGATTTAAGTTGTATTGGCTACTTGGGGCATATTTACAGTTGGAGAAAAATAAAAAGAAAAAATAGAAAATTGATTAATTTTTAAGAGTAACTGAATCAATATTTATGTTAGCAAATGGAAATGTCAATGGTTAATGGTTTATTCAACGAGAATACATTTTAATCATTGAATTAAGAAGAATAAAATTAAATCTTATTAAAGGATTTTTAAGAAAAAGATAGAAAATAAGAATATTTCACAGAGGTTTAAAAATTTATAGGAACTTTGATTAAACATTCATTAGTTTTAAAAGAATTTGCAAAAGAAGATCGTAAACATCACTTGAAATTACTCATTTAAAAATAAAACTAATATTTATAGAGAATAGTTAAGAAATTCTAACAGGGAGTATCACTACCATTTTATGATGATGATAATAAAGAATAGATTAATTCTTATTGTATAGTAAATATCTTAGAAAAACATTAAATTTGTTTTCATACAAAAAAAAGAGTACCTTACTTAATATTGGTTGAAACAATAAAGTAATGACTTAATTTATGAGAGATAGTCCCATGGAAATTCATTTATTTAATGAAATACCAGCATAATCTTAAACAAATATTGAAGTGATTGGTTATGTTGAGGCATAACTAAATGATTAAGGATTTGAAAAATAAATGGCATAAATTGATTAGGAAGAATAAAAATTATATCATGAAGCATTAGAGAAAATTATGAAAATGGAGAAGAAAGGTAAAAGATAAAGTTAAATTATGTTAAGTATTGATTAATATATGTAAAAGTAATTGAAAGTAATTTAAATAAATAAATTAAATAATAGAAATAATAAATAAACGATGATTAGGACAAAAAGAGTTTAGAATTATCCAAAAAAGATGTATATCATCGAAAAAGATTATAATCATTATAATTCATTAAATAACATGAAAATCTAGTTAAATCAAAATCTTTAGAAAAAAATGAACAAAAATATGATTAATTTTAAAAGGAATTATAAATGATTTTACCAGTAGAAAAGTTATACATATTAAAAAAATTCAAGAAAAAAACTTTTCAATTATGGGATTAAGTAAATAATCATATAATTTAATAAGAGTTGGGAAGAAAAAATAAAGATTTATAAAAAAGAATCAAGATATTAGAACTTCCCTTCTTTTAAAATTAGACCAATCATAATAAAAGGAGGTGATGATCTTAGGTAAGAAATGTTCGCAATTCAGATGATGAAATAATTCAATAAGATATTCAAAGAATCAGAATTAAATTTATATTTAAGACCATATCAAATTATAGTAACTTCGGCTAACTCTGGGATTGTGGGTATAGAATATCTACATTAATAGAGTATATTCCAAATACTTAATCAATTGATTCTCTCAAAAAGATGTTTGGAAATGGTACTAAGACTTTGTATTAAATTTATTAAGAGATTTTTGGTAGTGGTTTTGAAGAAGCTTAAAAAAATTTTATTGAAAGTTTAGCTAGTTATTCTTTATTTTCATATTTGATGTAGGTATGTAGTAATGTACCAATTTTTTTTATAGGTTAAGGATAGACACAACGGAAATTTATTAATAGATGACAGAGGTCACATTATTCATATTGATTTTGGTTTTTTATTGTAAACTTCTCCAGGTGGAGTAAATTTTGAATCAGCTCCGTTTAAATTGACTCAAGAATATGTAGAATTAATGAAAGGTAGAGAAAGTGATTATTTTGGATATTTTAAAACATTAATAACAAAAGGATTTTTAGCTTTAAAAAAATACATTAGAGAGATAGAGAATTTTTTTATGATAATGGTTGAAAAATCAGATTTACCTTGTTTTGCAAATTTAGATATAAAAGCATTTACAAATAGATTTTAATTAAATTCTACTGATAAGGAAGTATAAAAAATTTTTTATAAAAGATTATGGATTTAGTGGATCGATTAATAAATCAAAGTTTATCTAGTTGGAGAACTGCATAATATGATAATTTTCAAAAGAGAACAAATGGAATATTACCATGAATTATTCAATAAGATTTTATAATAATATAATTAATGGTAATTAAAAAGGCAGCCAAAAAACAAAGAGTCTTACGAACATCTTAAGGAGTTCTAAAATAATCAAATAAGAAAGTTGGTTTTATCAGTGCAACTGCATTAACTTAATAACCAGGAAAGCTATTAAGAAGACTTGGAGAAAAGAAGAAAGGAATGAGAGAATTAAGAAGGATTAAGAGAGAAACTTAAAAATAAACAAGAAAGCCAAAAGACAAATAAAAAGAATAATTAGAAGAGTAAGATGATTTACTTGAATTGCCAAATACATTTATAATTGATTAAGTTAAAATATCTGCAGAAGATGAATAAATATTATCCTAATTTATGGTTGGAAATGATGCAAAAACTACATAAATTATGGAAGATTTCTAAAAAGGATTGTAAGAAGATGAATAAAAGAAACATCATGAGAGTATAATGAATAATCCAAAAGTAGTCTGTGTGTATGAAAAGTAAGAATTCATAACAATATACGTAGCGTTGCAGAATTAATGAAAACATATAGATCTGGTAAACTTCCATAACCATTCCATCTAATTCCTAAATTGGAACATTGGAAATAAGTGTTTGAATTAACTAAACCTTAAGAATGGTCTCCTTAGGCTATTTTTGCAGCCACTAAAATCTTTTCATCTGCTTTAGATAGACAACAAACTGAATATTTATATTCCACTGTTATATTACCTGCAGTTAGATTAAGTATTCAATAAGATAAAAGACTAAATGTTCATTTATATAATGCATTAATTAAAGCTATGTATAAGCCTTAAGCATGGTTCAGATCAATATTGTTTCCATTATGTTTAGAAAAAGATTTTACATTAAAAGAAGCTTAAATTATAGGTAGCATTATTCATAAAGTAAAAATTATTATATATTCTAGTTACATATTCCACCAATTCATGGTTCAATAGCAATTTTTAAAGTAGCATAATTAGATTTTACAGGTCCAATTGCTGTGATTTTGAAAGTGTTAATAGAAAAGAAGTTTTCTTTACCAGAAAGAGTATAAATCAATTAAAAATTTTATAGGCATTAGATGAAGTAATTAAATATTTTATGAAATATGAAAATGATTCAAGAGAAATGCCAGTTATTTGGCATTAAATGATTTTGAGAGTTTGTGAATTATATCAACTTAAATAAGATCATAAAGATTAATTAAAAAAATTGATTAGTAAAAAGAAGCATCATTTAATTACAAAGGAAATATAAAAATAACTAATAAAAGGCAATAAAATGGATGTAGAAAAATGATTATAAAACTAATGTTCATATATTTTTTTAAATACAATGGACCTTAATTTTTAGAATAACTAATTCTTTTATCATTGTTTAAGAGGGCCATCATCTGCTAGAAGGAATTCAACACCTAGAAGAAGACATAAATTAGTTTAGGCAACCGTATAATTAGACTTAAGCCTAGTGCAAAATAATAATCATTTAGCTGACTCTGCAATTATTAGTATATCAAAAGATAGATAAGAGAGAAGTGTTCCTTAGACTTAAACATAAGAGTTATTAAAAACAGATTTTCCAAATAGAAAACAAATGCTTATCTAAAAAAGTTCTAATGTACATAGATAATTAACTTAAATGATTGACACTAATAGATAAATTATTTTATTAGATCATACAAAAGATCAATCAGATGTGATTCTTTAATATCTTCCATAAGGTCAAATATTTTTAAATAAGGCGAATTAATCAATTTTATAGAGTTGGATACCAACATTACCTTAAGATGAAAGAAAATAAGTAGAAAAATATAAAAAAAACTTTCCAATCCCTAGAAATATTCCATATCATGAAATCATTGATGGTTTAAATACAATTTATGGATAAGGAAAAAATAGAAGATTATGGCCAGGAGAAGAGGCTTTATTAATGGAAACTATTAGATTATATATAAATAAAATACTATAGAATCCAAAATTATTAATACATAGTGTTCCATTTACATTGTAATAAATTATCAAAATATCAGGATTGACTGAAATAGAAAATAATAAATTTTGTATGCTTTAATTAGAATGTCATTGGAAAATGATGATCACAAGATTTAGATATAGTGGCAATAAAGAATTAAATAAAAAATCTTGGTAAAATTGGTTTGAAATGGCATAAATGAAAGGACATTTCTTAAATTTACAAAATGATAATATTCTAACTTAGTATCTATTAAAGCATCAGTAAATAGATTGACTTATTTATTCAATACATTCTTTGTGATACTTCTCATCTTATTAATATAATTTTTTTACCTTTTTTTAGATTTAGAATTGTTTTTCTTAATCGATCAAAGTAGTATAATTTAAAAAATTCTAGATTTTCATAGAGTCAATCAGTATTTGATATTCAAGATAGATAAGGAATCAAAAATAGTAAAATTAAAAACTAAAGTGTTGTTAATACAAATAACTTGGATATACTGTATTAAGTTATAATATTGTATTATTGATAGAAATAATAATTAATTTTGATAATAAATAAAATGATAAAACCAAAAACTTATTTAAGATTACTAAAAAAATGATTGATATTGGATATAATTGGACATGATATATGCAATTTTAAGAAAAGAAGAATCTAGAATGATGTTTTTTAAAAATTTAAGATTTTTCAAATACCTTCCATTTTAGTGATATAAAAATCATTAAACTTTTTGATTCTATGATTAGTTATAGTTGATGACAGATAAAAAGTTATTATTAATAAATTTTTTGATCATTTTATGTTTATAAATATGGAAATATTATTTTGCTGTTATAATGACATAAATAATGTTGTAATAATAAAAGGGCAATTAAAAAGAGAATAAAATATGAATATAAATGTAGAATAGAACATAGATTGTGTTTATTAATATATTAAAATAATAAAATGATTAGGATGTATTTATATATTAATGTACTTAAAAAGAATGATCATCTTGAACCTTTTCCTTTTCTTGCAGTGTGACTAACATATGGTTTAGCATGTGATCCTGGTAATCCAGCTGCTCTACCAAAATGTTTCAATTCTTCTCTCACTCTTGGTCCTCTTAATAAGATTGTTCCAGTGCCTTTAAATATTTGATTATTTATATACCTGTTGGATTTTATTGTGCTAATTGATCAAATGTCAAAGTCTTTCCACCAGCAGCTTGAATTCTTTTTCTTGCTGTTTCTGTGAATCTTAAAGCACATACATTAATCTTTGGAACAGTAAGAAGACGTACACTAAATGCTTTTTAGATATAATTACTCATCTGTAACAGTGCCTACAACAACAAGTGTTCTTGTCTTGTCTTTGGCTGTATTAATTTATTTAACAAGTCTGCTAACACTAATTGGATATCTGGCTGTTCTTGTTTATTAGAGTCTTCTTAAAACTGTTGCATTGAAATTTGAATCTGTTCTTCTGGCTAAGAATTTATATAACTAAGATTCTTATCCATTATTCTAATACCTTGATTAATAATTTCAAATAAAGGTTTGTTGAGGTCACCTTTCTTTATACATTTCTTTATACTCTTGTCTTCTTATATGCATCAACTCCCTAACATTATTATTAGTGATATTTATTACCATTTTAAAAATAAATATATCTTTATTTAATTTATGTCATTTATTACTACAATAAAATTATTCATCAATTCATATATTCCTACAAACTTTATTTTATTTTTCATTTTATTTCATTCTTCATTTAATACCATTTTAATCTATAAACAACTATTTACTATTTCTAATCAATTTCATCTTATAGATGATTATTACATTTTCTTTCTTTTCATTAATAGAAGTTAATTGTTAGAATATAATTAACTCATTTAATATTAATTTTAAGATAATTGGAATGTTCAAAACTTCATTCCTTACACAATTTAAGAAACTATCAATAATTTTATAATGCTTATTTTAGAATAGATAAATTATTATTCATCTAGTATAAAATACTCCACCGAAATTTCTTGAATATCCATTATTTGTACTCTTGGTATGATAATCATTATAAACAAAACTTGATTTTCCTATTCCCGGAAGACGATTACTAATATATACTAATTTAATTTACACTGCAAATTCCTTATTTTTTAATAGATTCAATTGTTTTAATTTATAAATGGATGTCATTAACTCTCTCTTTTAAAGTAATAAATCTGCATCACTAACAATACTATCAATAATTTAATTTCTTATTGTTGATTTTGGTACTTTGTTAATTCTTTCATCAAAATATAAACTGTCTTTGAATTATTAAATTGTTCTCTATTTTATAATACTTTAAGAAGGAGTAGAACTATAAAATTTCTATTGTGTCTTTCCATGTGAAGTTTTTGGAGTTTAATTAGACAATCTGTATCTATTTTAAGTTACATTTCTTTAATTTATAATATCAGCTTTAGGTTGATTTCTCTATGATTATTATTAATCCTATTCAAATTGCTATTATTCCATTTAATTTTAAATATTGTGATTTTCTTATTCATCTTAAAACTCAACTTTTAATTGTTTTTATGGAGATTATTATTATTATTGATTACATACAATACAATTTATTAGGATGCAGAATATTTAGGAATATCTTATTTTGGAACATACACAGCAAATTTATTGTTTGTTGAATAAGGTTCATCTTAGAATTCAACATTTTTATATATTGACTTGTTATTACTATTCATTAAGGATATTGATTATTTTATTATTTAATAATTTAAATAATAATTAATTATCCTATGATTAAAGATAAAAAAAAATAAACTCTTCTTCAAAATCCTAAAAATTAAAGCAAAGGTCCAAAATAATAAGTTACATAAAAACTTCCTGATGATATGGTATTTTATATTGATCGATATAAACATAATTAGGAATCAGAAATTAGAGACTGTTTCAATTTTTATGATCCCTCTAGAACAGGATTCATTAATCGTTAAAACATGAGATCAATATTAGGTAATTTTGGTTTCATTAATAAAACTGTAAAAGACATAGAAGAAGAAATAAGAGATGTTGTTGAAGAGTATAATTGTTTTCTTATATTTATATAGAACCCGTGATAGTTTTTCAATGAAAGATGTTATATCATTGATTTCTAGAAAATGGTTTGAAAATAAAGGTAGAGATGAAGAAATTGATGAAATTTATGAATTATTTGTTAGAAAGTAAATGAATATTAAATAAATTAAGGGATCGAAAAGTTGGATTACCTGAAATTAAGAATGTATTTGCATAATATCTTGATATTCAAATAAGTGATGCAGATATTTTAGAATTCATTTAAGATGCAAGTAAAGATAAAGATGGATTAACAAAAGAGGACATTGCAGCTAAAATGGGTTACATCTGATATTAAAATTATAAAATGAACTAAAGATAATTAACTTTATAAACATTTCTACAGAAACAACCTACAATCAATCTAGAATATCAATTACCTACTGTTGTAACAACCAATTCTGTTCCTATTTCATAATTATGGAGTGAAAAATATTGTTAAAAAGTTTTAAGAGTTAGCAATCTTAAAACTTTTTAATAATCCTAAGAAAAACAAAAAAGAATTACAGCACATATCAAAGTCTAAAAATTCTTTCAAAAACCTAAATTTGAAAAAGTTAATCAAAAATATTAGGCAGCAGAAATATATGGTTTCAATTAAATCATCGAAGAACTTGATAAAGAAAGATCAGACATTAAAGATTTATCATAAAGAATCACTAGAAGTGTTTCAAGAGAAGAAAAAGAGGTCAAATTCAAAAAAAATAGAGAATAAAGAAAATAAGATGAATTTATAGAATTTTTACATAAAAAGTTTACACCAAAACCTCTTATTAGACTCAGAAACAAAAAACATAATATAGATATCACTATATGAAGTTACTATTAATACAATTAAATCTTATTATAAAAGTATATATATCTCTAAATCATAACTTTACTCAAACTCATAGTTTCTTTTTTAATTATTTACTAAATTAATTTAGATCTGCAATTATATGCATAATTTCTTTAATTTCAGGATTTTAACAATTATTAACACTCTTCCTTCCTTTTTATGTAATTTTTGTTTTTGGTTTATCACTAGTTTTTGTTTCATTTAATTTTGGTCTAAATGTACAATCTTTCATTTCTTATTGACTTTTTCTTTTTTGTTCAAAGATTATTTTTTCTTCAATTTTTTATTTCCATTCTTAATTTCTTTTTGCAATATCTGGAGATGATTTAGGTTTCTCTTATTATTTGATCTCAATTTTTGGAGAAGTTGGAGATTTGCGTAAATGAATTTTCGCATAACTTCCATAATAATCTGAAAGTATTGATTATTGAGATTAATTAGGATGAGGAGATTTCAAGATTTAGGAGGAATTTCTTCGATATACAAAATTACTATTATTTTATTATTTAATAGGACTAATGTCTTCTACTGGAAAGAGTTCTTATTTAGCATTAAAACTCGATAATCTAAATTCAGATCTTTCTAATGGTAGAGATTGTCTTCTTAATTCTTAAGAACAAGTATATCTTTGATATTAACTTATTTATCCTTAATCATCTTCTTTTTATTCTTATGTTTCTTCAATTTAATGTGGTTTTATTATTGATGGAGAACTTCTTATTGAATCTTGAAATTTTTTAGGAGTATTAGTTAGTTTTAAGAATTCATCATATTTTTTAATTGTTAATTGTACATCTTTATGAACATCTTTAATTAAAGAACAAGATTTTTTTGCTACAATTTTAGCATTGAATAGAGATTGATTCAATTTTATATCAGATTTATCTGGACTTATAGGATGAGATACTTTCTAGGCATATGATTGTTCATGAATTCTCTTTTTGGATTCTGAAAGTGATTACATATTCAATAACAATAATTTGATTGTTTTTTTTTATTTAATTTTATTTATAAGGTTTATATGTTTAGATAATAAAAAAACATTCATAGATAGATATAAAAATATTATTAGTATGAATTATAATTAAAGTATATAGTTAAAAGAATATTAAAGGTAAGTTATAAAGTAATGTAGTAGTAATAAATTAATTACAGAAATAAATTTTATTATGGATTAATTAGAATTATTGAAAACTTGGAAAGGAATCAAAGAAATCTTACAGAAGAAATATAGTGATATAAATGCAGCATTTACAGATTTGGATACAAATAATTCAGGAGAAATAGAGATTGATGATTTAGAATCAGAATTAAAGAGAAATCACAATATACAATCTGATGAGTACTTTGTTAATTAATTTATTATTAGAACTATAAGATAATTGTTTGAATATTTAAATACATCTAAATCAGGAGCAATAGATTTAGATGAATTTGAGAATCATTGGACATAAGTTGATTAAAATATTAAGTAAATTACAAATCAATAAAAGTTTTAACAATAAAAATAAGAAAATGAATAATAATAATAATAATAATAATAATAATAATTGTTGATATCATCTGGATAGAAATCAACATAATAATTTTCTGATCTTTTTAAAAGTTATGCATCAGGAAATTCTCCTACAAAATACATTAATATTTAAGGTGATTTTTAAATAAATCATTTTATTCAAACAACTGGAACTCCTCCAAATTAATAATAATAACGTCCTCTTAATTTTTTAGATAATTTTAATTATAATAAAAAAATATCACCACCAAAACATTCTTACTTATTAAAAAGTAGAGCAGAGATTTAATAGGATAGATTAAAAGAAATGTAAAAGAGAATTACAAATATTTTTAATGGGAAACCAGAATATAAAAATTAATCACCAAGATTAAAAAAAGATTTTGATAGTTATCTTAATAATAAATTAGTAAAACCAATTACAACTAGAAGATAAGCTTCTTATACTTAATTGACATTAGATTTTTAGAATTTGTTACCATAAAGAAAGACATAGAAAAATAATGAATAAAGATTATCCTTTAATATTAGAACAGATCCATCTCCAAATAGATCTTAAGATAGAATATCATTATAACAATATGCATATTAATTTTTTGATAGAGTTTATGAACACAAATAAAAATCATCTTTAATGGGATTGTAAAAGAAATAATAGATTTAACCAAAGACAACATTTATGTTCAGATTATGACAATTTAATTTTTAAGTTATATAATTAATAATCTATAGTAATAAATAAATGGCAGAAATCAAAATTAGTAGTAAAACAAAAGATAGAGTGAATGCTTGTAAGGCTTATGTAGAAAGAAAATATAAAATGTTTATAACATAAGAGATGGAAAAGATGTAAAATTGGCAATAATTGGAAATGATATTAAAAAGTCTTAGTTTTACAGCTATAGAATAGGAATTGATAAAGAAGGAAATATAAAGAAAGGAAGCGATGCTTTTAAGAAAAAAGTTAATATGATTTAATCTTTAGGAGATAAAAGATTACGGTTGAAGATTTTGAATCGTTGGCCATAATAGGTAGAGGTGCTTTTGGAGAAGTTAGAGTATGTAGATAAAAGAATACAAATGAAATTGTTGCAATAAAGAAAATGAAGAAATCTGAAATGATATTTAAAAATTAATTAGGACATATAAGAGCTGAAAGAGATTTATTAGTATAATCAAAATGTAAATGGATAGTAGAATTGAAATCTTCATTTTAAGATGATGATAATCTCTATTTAGTAATGGAATTTTTAAGTGGAGGAGATTTAATGACATTGTTAATTAAAAAAGATATTATTCCAGAAAGAGATGCAAAATTCTATATAGCTGAACTTATTTTAGCTGTAGAAGAAATTCATAGTATGAATTATATTCATAGAGATCTCAAACCTGATAATATTCTTATTGATTCAGATGGTCATCTAAAGATTTCAGATTTTGGTTTATGTAAACATTTAGGTATGCATTATGATATGGCTATCCCATATAAAAATAACAATTCAAATGTTGTATCTAATAATAATTAATCACGTCGTTAATTAGCATATTCAACTGTTGGAACTCCTGATTATATTGCACCTGAAATATTCTCATAAAAAGGTTATAATCAATTAGTTGATTGGTGGAGTATAGGAGTTATTTTATTTGAAATGGTTATAGGTTATCCACCTTTCTACAGTGATACACCTTAAAAAACATGTTAAAAAATTTTATCATGGAAACATCATTTCAAAATACCCAAAGAACCTAAAATATCTTCTTAATGTTAAGATTTGATTCTTAAACTTATTTCTGATTCAAATGAAAGACTTGGAGATCCCAATAAAATTAAAAAACATCCCTTCTTTTGTGGTATAGATTGGATTAATATCAGAAATCAAAAACCTCCATATATACCTGATAAAAAGAAATTAACAGCTAATTTTGATAAATTTGAAGAAAAAGAACCTTGGATTCATGTAATTCATACTGATAAAGATAATAATGATAATGAAAAAAATAAATTTATTAATGAAAATAAAAAATATTTTCATGGATATACATATAAAAGAAATTTTGATATTGAGATTAGTCCCATTAAAAGAGTTTTAGAAGAATTACAAAATATTAGACCATCAGGATTCAAAGCAGAATTCGATAAAAAATAAAGATCCTAATCTCCTAAACCTATTAATGCACCTCCAGAAATTAATAAATCTTAAAGATCTCAATCTCCAACAATTAAAGATTAACTCAAAAATACTTATATGTAATATATTGGATAATTTTTATCACCATTAAATAAATTATAATAAAAATAAAGTTGAAAACTTAATTATATTTTATTATCAAAAGAGCTTTTTCAAATTCTTTTTATATACATTATTATATTATTATTTGTCTCAATTTAAAATAAATTCAATCTTTTAAATAATTTATTTTATTCAACATTTTATAAATTAATAATTCTAATCAATCAATTATTCAACACATTTAAAACCCGTTAGGATTTATTTGATTTTATTTTTGAGCTATTGGTTTATATAATTTTGTTTTCAAAATTTTTATTTGTTGATAAATATCAATAATTAAACAACAACTTAAATTTATACTAAAACAACCTATATTTATCCATCCAATTTATATTCTGTATTCATAAAAATAATCTAAATCATGACATAAAAATAAGATGGAATTCAACCATATAGATATTTCAAATATTAGGATTTTAAAATTCTCAAAGCCTTTGATCATTGGTTTTGATAGAATAATAAATAATATAAAAATTATTGACTAAAAAGATATAAAAATAGTTTAACAAATTGGTATAACTTAGAGAAGCACAAGAGTACTTATAAATATTGTTTTCTTTAATAATACAATCGTTTAATATTGAGCATTCCATTTATTTATTTTTAAATTAATGCCTTCAAAAAACATGTTTTATTCCAAGATTTTAATTGAATTATTAGAATATAATGAATAAGAATAAAATCCAAGAATAGATAATAAATTAAATGTAAAAATTACAATTGATAGAATTGATGATGCATAAAGTATTGTATTTGATTTAGAGAATGTTACTATTTATAATAAAGAGGAGAATGTTAGATCATAATAGCTTGATAAAAATATTCTAATTAATCCTTAAAAAAAGAATGATTTTATGAAAAAAAGTGCTAATTATTGTAAAGCATATATAATAGCAACTAGTTTTGTAATTATCAATCTAATTGAAGAATCAACAAAAACAATTATATTTGAATATTTTGATTTGATAAGTATATAAATGAACAATTAGGATATCCAAAAATTAATGATTGTTGTTATAAGGATGATAATGAAACTTTAAAAATTAGTTGCAAAAAAACAATCAGTTTGAAATAATCTAAATTTTCCAATAGGATACTGAACTATAGGTATATCTTATTTTATAAATTTCTGGAATATTGAATCTAAATTAAAATAATCTTGAATAGGTTGTAATGATACAAAATCAAAAATGGCGAGAAAAACAGAAAAATTAACAGGGTAATTTATATTGATGTATTTGATATAGGATAATTATTATAAATTATCTAATAGATTCCAAAAGATTTCAAAATTACCTAAAAAGATGGATAAGATGGCGATGGCAATAAAAATATAAATAACAATAGAACTAAAATAAGCAGCTGTGTCTGTAATTGATTATTATAGATTTGTTAATTATTCTATACTTGAAAGTTTGAGAGTGACATTATTGTAAGGTTTATTGAATACTTCATTGATTACTAAATTTCTGTCAAATTATAAATTTACTATAGGATTTTTAATTGAGATTTAAAACTAAATTTAGATTGTATAATTAACATTCATTAATTATTTAGATATTTCTGTTAATGGGATAATTACATAATTAAATTAGTTTTTATCTAAATTGGATATAGTAATTGAGATAGATTTAAGAAAATCTTGAGCTGAATATTAAGATAACATAACTGGTTAAGAGAATGAAAATAATAATTAAGATGGGTTTTGATTTATCATTTAAAGAAGTGGAAGTGGAAAATCTAATTAAAAACATAAACTTTATAAATCTTGAATGATACATGTCCAATTATCTTAGATTTAACATTTTTAAGTGCAACCATCATTATCATTTAAATTACCATCATCACATTCTTCTTTTTCTAGTATAACAATACTATCTCCACATTATGTTTTACAAAAAGAATTATTAGAATAGAACCCATAGGGACATTCTAAACAAACACCTTGATAACAATTCAAACATTCTAAAGAACATTAATAATCACATTAAAAACAACCATCATATTAGATAAAATTAGCATCATCACATTTTTCTAATATTGTAATAATCCCATCTCCACATATTGAATCACATCCTGATGTAATATGATTCAAAGTCCATCCATTAGGATTACATTTTATACAATTTTATCCTTCACAAATTAAACAACCTAAAGAACATTAAATTTTGCATTCATAACATCCATCATATGGTAGATTATTAGTATCATCGCATTCTTCATATGGATATATAACAATTCCATCTCCACATTATGGTTAGCAGATATCTGAGAAACATTATTATAAAGAGTCATCCCAAATACATGTAGAGTCATTATAATCAATTAAACATTCAGACTATTGTTTATAAGAATTACAGTCTGTTTTTATTTAACATCCTCCTTAACTTTTAATAGTGCATTGAATTTAAACAGAAAAACATTCAGCATAAGATAATTAGATTATAGGCATAGAATTACAAGTTCTATCATAACATTATCCTTAAATCCAAATACATTCATTTAAATTTATATTTAAATTACAACAAATTTATTAATGACAATCAATACAATTTGATCTTTTTATGCAAGATTGGCCATTAGTAGTACAATGTTTATCAGTAAATAATTATGAACATTAGATTTCATTATCATATTAAAAATCTTCACAATCAATAGTTTTACAACTTTCATTTATACAATATTATGTATAATCAGAACAATTATGAGTTTAATCAATAAAAAGATTATTACAATCTAAAAGTATACATTTAATATTAATCTAATCCCATACACATTTTTTATTAAGATCTGATTAAAATAAGGCATTTTCACAATTTGTCTAATCAGTATAAAAATTGCATTCAATTGTTATACATTTATCAATATCCCAAAAACATTTATCATTATTTTGATTTATATAGCATTAAAAAGAGTGATTATAATTATGACAATCCGTTAAGTTGATACATCCATTTTATGAATGATTGACAGTACAAGAATCTAATAAAGTATTGCATTTCATATGATTATTATTACTAGAATCAAAGATATTACAGGCATTTAATTCAAAACATTTTAATAAATCAGTATTCCAATAACATTTTCTTTGATTTACATCAAAATAACATTGATTTTATAATGCCTAAGAACAATATTATACAAAAGTTCCACATTTAGGTTCATCTCCAATTGTACATACTTTATTAGGTCTTTATTACTCACATATTGTAATAGTATAAGTATTAGAACCAGAAATCAATTAACAAGCATCAATACATTTGTTTGTAACAAAAACACAATTATCTAACCAATTATCACAATCAGATTAATTATTTGGCTATCTATTTAGACCATTCTTATAATTGGAACAAATTCTTTCTACACATTATGAATTTATATTAAATGTACATTTAGTACCACTTCTAGTAATTGCCATATCACAATCAGAAACATTGTAATCTGAACAATTTCTATGGACTGGACTACAAGAAATACCTAACCATTAACAATAAATAGGATTAGCTTAACAAGTAGATTAATTTGTTAAACTTGAACATAAAGTATTACAAGTTCCTGATGTAGGAATATATGGACTTGTAGTTGATGCCCAAACAAATAGACATTTAGTTTCATTTTATGTATACTTACAAGCTGAATAAGATGAATAATCAAAACAGTTCGGTTAAACTAATCCACATGTTTATATTCTAGATACTGTATATAATTTGTTTTTATTATTACATTCCTTATGATAATCATTTATCACTTCTTGACAATAATTACTATCAACACATCTATTATCACACCAATAACATTTTGTATTAGTATCATTATATGCTGATATACAGTTTGTATTTATTGTATAAAAAGAACAACTATTAGTTAAACATTTTGTAGTTGTTGAATCCCAACTACATGAAGTTCCTTTTGGTTATTAAAGTACACAAGTAATGCTATTAGTGATTGAACTACATGATTTAGCAGTGCATCCACGTCCATTTCGATAGTTTAATTCACATATATCATTTATCTATTTACATTCATAATTTGTTGTCGCTGATACATTTAAATGACAATTTTAAGAATTGTTTTATTGTTATTCTATACAAACACCACCAATGAATTTACATGAAATCTCATTTCTTGAAACAGATTAATTACATTTGTCTTCATTTATTATTTAAGAACACAAAGTCATTACTTCACATCCTACTTCTCTAGTACCATCTATTTTTACTTTTTGTTAACAATTTCTTGGACTATTAAAATAATTAAAACAATCACTATCATTTGTAGCTGTTGTTTATGCTGAACATTATAAATCTCCACAACTATTACCATTCCATACACAAGGTTCATAATATGCATTTATTTTGCATTACTTTTCAAATGTGTACCATAAACATTCTGTGTTCAACGGTTCACAAGCTAAATTTAAATTCAAACATGAAATTGAAATTTATTCACATAATTCATTTGCAAATTTTAAATCTAATGAACCCGGACAACTAGTTAAAGTATAATCTTAACATTAATTTGTTGTTGTATTCCATTCACATTTTACTCCATAATAATTATTAACACATTTTAATTGATTATTATATTTTGAACAAGAATATTATTTTCTTTAACATCCAACTGCTCCAGTCAAGTTTTCAGTACACAAAATATTCCAAGCATTACATTCTTAATGGTTTTTCTATGTAAAAACTATAGTCATACTACAAGTATCATTTAGATCTCTTTATTTACATTATGAAGTTGATATATCATAATTGCAAATTGGATTCCATTGTCCACATTAATAATTTGTTGATGCTCCACTAGATAAACTACAATCTTTTAGAACACATGATGTACCAATCCATAAACATTTAGTACCATCAATCAAACCTTAAGTACAATAAGTTATATCTGAAAATCCTGAACAAGTAGTTGGCCATTAAACACATGCAGTATTTGATGAATTAATTAAACATTTCATACCTTTTACTTTAAGATTTATACAAACTATTTCTGAAGAAGTTAAAAAATCTGAACAAACTTTAGAAGTACATGATGTACCTATCCATTTACATTAATATCCATCAATAGTAGTATAACATTGGTTTTAATGATAATCATTACAATTTTGTAATTTTTCCACACATCCATGAAATTAATAAACGGTTGAAATTTAATATACTTTAACAGTGCATTTCTTCAACCAAAGTTCACAATCTGTATTTGTTATTAATGATACTGGAGCATCAGAACATTATTTTAATTTACATCTTTTAGACAACTTACATAATGGATTTGTTAAACAATCATTTTAATGAAGTGTTTAACAATTATAATCTTTACAAACTCCAAGATAATAATCATAAGTACATTTATTATTAACTGTAAAACATTGTAAATGATTTGAGAAATCTGGAAAGTAAAAATTAGAACAGATATTTTCAACACATTGATAAGAATTCCAATAGCAATTCCTATTATAATAATCAAGTTCACAAAATTAACTTTGATTAATCAAATTACATGTTAAAGGTCTATCTTAACAACCACCACCAAATTTACCCATACATTTCTCAATCTATTTACATTAATAATGATTCAATGATAATAATTGATTTAAACATCCTTTTTTTTTACATTGATTATCAGACCAAAAACAATTCTAGTTTTAAATTGATAAACAATCATCTTAGGCATCATAAAATTCACATTCATAAGGACGATCCTTACAACCACCTCCATTTTTATATACGCAATCTAAATCAAAGTCAAATTATTAACATTTAATATAATTTGAATAGATATCCACATCTTCAGCTAAAGAACATTCCTTCTTTTTACATTCATTATTGATAAATATGCATTTATTGCCATTTTAATCAGTAACACATCCTTCTATTAATTTACTATCTTTACATTCCTATCTCAATACACATGTAAATCCATTTGTTGTACATTCTAACAATTAGCTTCTACATTCAAAATCACTTGTAAATTTTAAATTACCACAAACTAATTCTAAACATATTGACAAATCATAATCCCAATAACATTTTTGTGATTTAGCTTTATTATAATAACATTATTTGTCAAATTTAATCTTTCCACATTCCTCTTCACTTTCCACACAACCTCCATATTAAGATACTGTACAAGTTGATATCTATTCTCTGCATTAAAAATCATTTGATAGATACAATGGCAATTCATTACATTCTCTACTTAATCTACATTTTGGGTTTTCTGTAATTGACCAGAAACAATAACGGTTAACCTTATCTCTATTTTAACATGCATTCCAATTTATATATTTCTCACATTCATCCACATCTATGCATTACATACCATCACTAACACATTTCTAAGATGATTCAATGCATTCTTCTCTTTTAAATAAACTACATTCTTTAAAATCTATACACTCACCCAAATAAAATCCACAATTATCTTATAATCTACAATCTTCCTATGAGTATTCTTTACATTACTTCTCTAAACTCTCTATTTCAACATATTTTAAACCATTTCTTATCTTACACTTACTCTCACTCCACTAACAAATACTAGATTTTTCACATTGTTCACTATCTTAGATTTATCCACACACACAAAAACTACTCATTTAAGCATTTATTTATTTAGATAATGCTTGAATTATGAAAATCTTCTATAGTATTTTTATCATAAATTAAAATCTAATTGTTCTTTTTTATTTATAAATCTCGACTACTTTTCTAATTTTATTCAAATCAATCATTTCCATATTGATCCATTTTTTACATTATATTAATCAATTCTTAATACAATTTTACATTTAAATTTTTATTCTGAATACTTTCTTATATAAATACAAAAATTTATATGTATTTTTTTTTTATATTCTACTTTTTTCATCAGTAAATAAAATCAAGATTATGTTATAACACTTCAAAGGTTTAACTATTATTCTTTTTCTAAATATTCTAGATTTTTTTAATTAATATTTTGGTATAGGAGAAATCCAATAAAAAATTTAATAAGATCAATCTTTGAATTTTATATAATCTGGTAACCTAAATACAGATTCTAAGAATACCTAACTTATTATTCAGGAATGGATATCATATAATATATTCTAAAATTATTTATTATTATAAATTATAACATAATAGTTATAAAAATAAACCTTAGATTAATTATAAATTATTGTTTAAAGTAATACAATTATAATATGAATTTATACTAAATTGATAAATTTATTCATTTGACTTTACCATAGTCGCCATAATCCAATTCTACATCTAATATGGATATTGATAATAAATGGCTTAATGAATAATTACAATTAATCCAATAGGCAGAATTTTAAAATTATAACTTACCCAGTAATACAGATATTTCACAGTTTGTATTGTAATCATCATACTGTGAATCTCCATCTGTATAAAAGAATAAGAAAGAGAAAATTTAATTTTCAATCCTCAATTTTGAAAACCTTTAAGATGATGAATCTAATATACAACCTCAAAACAAAAAGTATTCATTAGAAAGAAAGAAAAGGAATTTTAAAAAAAGTAAAACAACAACCAATGGTTTTCTTAACGATACTGCAACTATATAAAATAATTAAGAATCATTCAGAAGATTCAAGAGTTCATAAACATAAAAAAAATCAGAATTCACAAAATAATTTAATGACTATAAATAGAATTGCCATACAGAGATAATTGTAAAATATTTTGGATTAAAATATTAATAAACTTTATTGGTGAATGAATAGATTACAGCTGCAGAATTAATTGTATTAGCACTTAAGAGATATTAATAAGATCAAATTAGTGATAAATCTAAATATGAATATCCTAATTTTACTTTAGCTTATAAATTAATGGGCTTAGAATATAGTCCAAGTAAGTTTACTACAGCAAATGATGAAAATGATTAATTAGAGGATGAATCTATTGAAACTCCAGAAATTGATTTAGAATCTAAAGTATTTTATTAGAGTGTAGAAATATTGCCAGAGTTAAACTCTTTTGGAATGGATTTTGAACTCCTAAAATAAACATATAGATCATATCCAGAATAAATTATATTATTAATAGAGGATACATAATCTTAAACATATTATCACATAAAAGTTAAAAAAAGTGGCAGTTTAAAAGATTGTTAGAATGAATTAAACAGAAAGTTAAGTAAAAAATACTAAAAAAATGATTACTATTTAAGTTTAAAGTATCCATGTATAAATTATGATCGTGGTGATCTTGGAGAACAATTTCCAATAAATTTATTACCTTTACATTGGTTAGTGATCTGTTAAAGATCTTAAAATTTATAATAGCAATCTTATGAAGATACATCTGTATAAATTAATTTGAAAAATAATAATAATAATGCTATTCAGGAAGATAATAATAATTCAACATATTCTTATAGGTTTTTATCATTAAATTTTATGTAACTTGCTACTATTGAAAAAATGCAATTATTATATAGCTATTAAGAATTTAATCTCATTAAATACAATAAGGGCTGTTAGAATGAGATTATTTTTGGGTTAGACTATTTTGACATTTATTATTTTTATAATTAAAAATCTACCAATAAATTAGGGATTTTAAAGTTTGTAACAATGATAGCTAAATAAATTTTTATGGAAGAAAAGGAAAAAAAGAAATACAAAAGAATTCCATTAAGTGCTATTAGAGATTTAAAATAGAAAAAAGATAAATATATTGAAATTTATTATGAATTAAACGATGGGTTTAGAAAGAAACTATAATTCTTTTCAAAAAATGATGATAAAAATGTGATTAGAGAAGTATTTAGTAAATTAGAATATTTAGTATCAGTATAACAATAAAATGATTGAAATTAATTTTTTATTTAATTTTATTCATAAATAATATAGATATATTATCTTTGAAATTATACAATTAAATTATATTATAAATTATAATATTTAAATTTTTATAGAAAATTAAAATATAGAAACCAATTATTAAATTATGTCAAATAAAATCCCAGCTTTAATAACAATTGGCGTAGATAAAAAAAGTCTATAAAAATTTGACGATAAACTTTATCTAGGAAATGGAGAATTCAAAATTTCAGGATTGAAAGTAAGTGTTGATAAAAACTAAATATGTGGAATCTCTATAACTTATTAAAATATTAAAAATGGTCAGAAAATAGTATGCAATGATACCTGCATAACAGGAAAAAATATAAATCAATATGAATTTGAAATAAATCAAAGTAATAAAAAAATTATAAAATTAAGATGATTATATACAGGTGCTTTTTGGATATTATGAATCTGGAATTAATTAATTAGGAATAATAACTTATAAAGGTAAGTAAGTGATTTTTGGAAAAGAGAAAGGTTAAAAATTTAATTATATGTTTATGGGTTACACTTTTACAGGATGTTGTGGTTCATACAAAAAAGGATGTGTAGAATCTCTAACTTTTAGAGTAACTAAATTACCAAAAGAATTTTTAGTTTAACAGGCATGTGTATTTAAATATTGATTTAATTAGTTCACTCCTTTACTAGGAATTCTATATCCAGATAATCCATTTGATAATATAGTACTTACTAATTTTGAGTAAGAATAACAATGTTAATATGAATAACAACCACAACCTGTAATGTAGCCTATGATTTCATCAGAGATTATGAAACCAAATTAATCTCTCTAAATAAAATCAGCTTGTCCTATTCAAAATCAATAGGTTCCTTTAAATTAGATGTCTCCTTATGAAAATTCTTATTATTAATAACCAATTTAATAATAAGGATATTATTAATAATAACCAAATAATTAGTATTAAACATCATAGTAAGGAGTTAATTAGGTTATTGTAGTGGATTAGTAATAATAACCATAATAATAACAATATTAAAAATAAGGCCCAGGATTTGCTGGTACAATGGCTAGAACTGCTATGGGAACTTTTGCAGCTATAGAAACTGTTAGAATGATTGAAAATATTGGTCATAATCATCATAAGGCAAATGTGGTTATTATTGGTGGTATAATATTCATTTAGATTATGTAGGTAATCAAAATAATGGACATCATAGACATCATCATCATCGCCGACATCATCATCATAGACGATGAATTATAAAATTTTAATTCCATATAATTTTAATATATTGTTATTTTTAAATGTTTAATATTAAATTTACATATTAAACATTTAATGCAATAAAGTGAATAAGGACTTTTGTGGTAAACAATTCCAAAGGATTTTGTGCAATCTAAAATCATTTATGAGGCAACAGTAACTAAATTGGGGAAAAAGAAACATTAAAGACATCTTGTGATTACTGACAAACATATTTTATTATTCAAAGTAATTAAAACTTGATTTAAAAGGAAAATGGTAAATATGTACATAAATTGTTGCCATTAAATTTTTCAACTAGATTTGAAATATTTAGAGATGCTCCTATTTTAAAAGCAAATGTTCAAACAAAAAAATCAACACCAAATACTCCTCATTCTAATAGACTTGATATTGTTAAACCAGAAGATGTTTAGACTTTAGGAGATATATTACATATAAGATTGTAGAGTGAATCATCAGAAAAATATTGGGATTTTACAAGTGATTAAGAAACACTGAAAGTATTTAGAAAACTATTTGGTTAAAAAATAAATCAAATGGGATTTCATCATATGTTTAAAGTGTTTAAAAAGATTGGTAAAGGCAACTTTGCAAGTGTGTATTTAGCAGAAAGAATAGAAGATGGATAATAAATGGCTATTAAAGCATTTTCAAAAAGTGCAGTATATGCTGAAGAAAATGGAAAAGTAATATTATAAATATAATAATAAGGAAGGATTAATAAACGAAATAACAATAATGAGAGAATTAGATCATCCAAATATTATGAAACTTTATGAAGTTTATGAAACACAAAATTCTTTATATATGGGTTTAGAATTATTATAGGGAGGTTAGCTCTATGATATAATGAAGAAGAAAGTGATATTAACTAACAAATAGATTCAGTCTATAATGAAAGGATTATTGGATGGTTTAGCACATATGCATTCTAAAAATATTATGCATAGAGATTTAAAATTAGAGAACATATTATTTAAAGAATAAAAGTAATAGAAATATTTACATTATAGTGATATAAATTCTGTAGTAATAGCTGATTTTGGTTTAGCAACATTTGTAAATCTTCCAGTCTATTTATATTGTAGATGTGGAACACCAGGTTTTGTTGCACCTGAAGTAATAAATATTTCAGATATGACAACAACTTATGATAGTGTTTGTGATGTTTATTCCTTAGGATTAGTATTTCATATTCTACTTACAGGTAAACCAGGTTTCTCAGGTAGAAGCTATAATACAATTGTTTAACAAAATAAAGAGGCTAAGGTCAATTTTAAAAGTTAAGTGTTTGATGTGGTACCTCCTTAAGCATTTGAATTATTAAAATAAATGTTAGAACCTAATCCAAAGAAAAGAATTACTGCTAAAGATGCTATTAAATTTGAATATATTTAATTATGTGAGGGAAATTAATAAAACACCTCAACAGAAGATGATGGTAACATAGGAGAAGTTGATGATAAACCAGGTTTGAATGTAAGAATATAATAAATCAATGAATAGTAAAAAATTCAATTATATAATATATAGAGCTGCAAAATTTGATATGCTTAGAATCAATCAATTGACTAATTCACCTTTAAAATCACCAGTCATGTAAGCTACTAACAAAATGAAAGAAGTTTAAAATAAAGATTAATAAATGATTATGAGAACTCCTGTTATTACTGGGAGAACTGTTGGATGTGAAGGTATATTAATTTAATATAATAATTAATAGAATCTCCTAATATGAACTAATTTGTTTCACCAAGTGTGTAATTCAAAAAACTCTAATAAAAGTAAATACTATATTATATCAATACATAGTTAATAAGAAGCGCCTACTGGTAATGTTTTGTTAAAATATACCTAAAAACCACAGTAACAATAACCTAAAGACAATGAAGATCAAAAAAAAGAATAATCTAATGTTGCCAAATCAGTAAAAGCTGCACTTAGCAAACATATTTGATCTAAATCAATAACAATTATTTATTATTATTAAAATAACTTTTAAAATTATATTTTTAAGAAAAACAATAGAAATAATTAATATTATCTCAAATATAATTACACTATAATTTTTTATCAATCTTACCCTTATTCCTTTGGTTTCTCTTAAGAATCTTCACTTTCAGATTCGGAACTTTCATGTTCTTATTCAACAGGTTATTCCTTTATTTTTTAAGTTTAAAAATCAATAAATTATTAATATGCTTTCTGTAGCTTCTCCTTCAAATCCTTTTCCATTTCCTAAAATTTATATTTAATATCTCTTTACATTGAATCTATCATTACTATATTCTTTAAGTGGATTCATCCCTTCATTTGTTTTAACTGGTTACCATAATATATGTGGAGCTTTTCTAAAAAAATTATTTATATTGTTTACTTTGTGATAAAAAATGTTCTCATTGTTTTTAATTATAGCTCTAATAATAATTACTATATATGTTTAATTATAAAATATACTTGTCTTCTAAATTCATCAGCTGCTAATTCTCTCTCCAACTACTTTCTTTCCATCATTAATTATTCCTTTCTTTTCTATTTCTTAAATTTTAATTTCATACATCTTAATCTTCCTTAAAAGCCATCAAGTCTTATTTATCTTTATCTTCCAATCTTTTGCTAATTTCTATTTGTTTATCCAACTAAATTCATATTCTTATAAAAATTACTTTCTATTTCTCACCATCTAAGTCTTGTTTAGCTCTTTATAAATGGTTTCCAAATAGACTTTTTACTATTCTTCTATCCTTCTCTTTCAAAGCTAAAGGTACTTTTTGATCAAGCTACTTTTATTTTTCAGCACGTTCCTCTTTTGCACCTTCAAGATTTAATTCAAAATTCTTCCAAAATTTAGTAATCTATATAATACCTTTTCATTTTCATCTCTCGATTTCTTTATTTTATGATTATTCTTTCTATCATCATAAGCTATCAAAATTACTAAAATGGCATGCTTTTAATTTCTTTTATCAAACTCTTTCTTTTATTTAAACTCTCCTGTTATTTTTTATGTAATTCTTTCAATTTGTTTTTGAGATCATCTACATTCATTTTTGTTCAAATATATAATTAATAAACTATATAATATTATCACATATAATATATTTCCATTTTACACTTAATATATTAATTTAACTATAGATAATAATTTTAAATCATTATCTATTATTATAACTTCTATTTAACTAAAGAATATTAATCTAACTAAAATTATAAATTATTTGAAAGCTATAAATAAACAATGAATTAAGTTTTTGAATAAACTAATAATTGATGAAATTTGATTGATATTTATAAGAATAAAGTTGAGAAACTTAGTATGAAGAAAATAATGTTTAGTTGAAATATTTTGACTTTCCTTTAAAGACAAGAAATATTTCTTGTTAACATGGAAATATAAATTTATAATAATAATATGATTTTTATAATAATTAAAATGGAAATTATTATAATATAAAATATGGATGACGTATCTACAATGACTCAGCATAATTAGTATTCATATATATTAAATCTTTCTAAATTGACTTGAATATTAAAAACTAAATAAGAATGTCAGAATTACCAGCCAATTAAGACATTTCTGGTCCAAGAAATGAAAAAAAGGAGTTTTTACCATAAGAAAGAGAGACTACTAAAAATAACTCTGAATAATCCCTTGTAAAATAAGAATTGTACAACGATGATGAGATGAAGGCAATAATGATATCTGGGATAAAATCAATGATTGGTGGACTATTATTACATATAGAACTAGGTACATTTTATGTATGGGGTTCAATAAGTAAAAATTTAATAAGAATTTTAATTATAGGTCCATATGTATGTGCTTGGATGAGAGAGAAAGACTTGAGTGTGACATTAAATTATATGGCAATCATATTTCCAATACTTGGTTTAATAACAATGTCATGCCTTTCATTTGGAATAAAAATAGCTGAAAAAATAGGTTTTAAATTAACAATAGGAATATGTTCAACGTCAATAGCTTTGGCATTTTTGATAATATCATTTGTACAAGATATTGGAGGTTTTATAGCAGTATATTGTATAATGGTTGGAATATCAGGAGGTTTAGCATATATGTTACCAATAATTTGTGGATGGAGACATTTTCCAGATAAGAGAGGATTAGTGTCTGGTATAACAATAGGAGGTTATGGATTTGGATCATTCATATTTAATTTTGTTTGTAAAGCAATAGCAAATCCCAACAATGAAAAACCAAGTTTAATCTTTTAAGAAGATGGAAAAGATGTTAAATATTTTGATAATAATGTTGGAGATCGAGTTCCATTAATGTTATAGGTGTTGGCAGCTTGTTATTTAGGATTAGCTATATTATCAACTTTATTGATTCGATTTCCAAAAGAAATAGATGTTGAAAAATTGATTGCTACAATTGATGCTAAAAAGAAAAAAAATATATAATCTAATTAATAAATTATTGTGCCATCATCTTATTTAAGTCCAGAAAAGGAATGTTAAACAGTGTAAGAATATTAAAGTAAATTTTAGATCAAAAGGAGTTAAACATGTAGTATTTCCAATTTTAGTTTTAATTGTTTTAATGTCATGTACTTTAGGAATGTTAATTTCTAATTGTTATAAGTTTTATGGTCAAGAATTAGGAATAGATGATGCAACATTAACAGCTACTGGTTCTGTTGCTGGTGTTATGAATGGTTGTTCACGTTTCTTTTGGGCTACTCTTTCAGATAAAACATCTTTTAAATTCACATTTACATTAATATCAATACTGAATTTGATCACTTCAGCAATTCTACCTTACAATACTGATGGAATTGGATATTTATTATTAATAGCTGTTGTTTATTTAGCAGAAGGAGGATTATTAGCTACATATCCTTTAATATGTGCAACAGTATATGGAAAAAAGATAGGAGGATTGATGTATGGATTTCTTTTCTTTATGATTGGTGTCTGTAATATGTTAGGTTACATTTTTTACAGATTTGCAAGAGTTGATATTGGTTGGGAAGGTGTTTATTGGATTTGTTTTGCTATGAATGTAGTTGGTATTATCTTGGGATTAATCTTAAAAGAAAAAGGATATGATTGGAGAGATGTATAAGTCTAAGCAGCAGATTAAATAAGAAATGAGAATTCAGAACATCAATAATTATAATAAGGATCTTGATACTCAATGTTTTTTTTACATTATTTATGTTTAGTATTATTATCAATTCTAATTAAGATTCATTTACTAATTAAATAATTATAATATGTTAATATTTCCAAAACAGAGTAATTTATTTAATGTTTATTTCTAAATATATTTTTAAACACTAAATCAACAAGAACAAGTTTATTCTTTCGCCTCTTCCTTTGAAGAATGTGTTGCCAATAAAATTGGTTTTAAATCAGTTTTTTCTATCTATCCATTATCAATCTTTTAAACTAATTTCTCTGATAAAGTCTAAAACATGTTCTCTATTTACTCTCCTGTTACAGCACTTGTTTAAAAATAAGAATCTATTGTATAATCCTTTACTAATTTTTAAACCTAACTCTCTGTAATTTTTCTTTATTCCTTTTTTAAAATATATTTAATACGATCAAATCTATCTTATTTCCACATGCTATTATACATATATCAGGCCTTGCAAAATCTCTTGCATCTTTTATCCATTAAGGCATATTCTAAAAAGATTCTGTATTTGTCAAATCGAAAAGACATATAGCCCCTAATGCACCTCTATAATATGTTCTTGCAATAGATCTATATCTTTCTTAACCTGCAGTATCCCATAATTGCAATTTTATTGATTTCCCTTTTATAGATATCATCTTTGATGAAAACTCAACACCCACAGTCTAAGCTACATTCTTGGGCTCTAAATATTTAAATTATATTTTATACATTTCCCATTCAAATAATGATATAATATGCTTGTTTTTCCACAACTTCCATTTCCAATTATTATTATTTTAAAAATAAAATCATATGGTTCTTTATCCATTTCCATTTTCGTTTTAATAAAAAAAATATTTAATATTCTTATTATTACTATTATTGTAATTTACATATATTTTTATTTCATTAAATTCATGCAACAATAAATCTCATCAATCAGAAAATGGCTTGGTTCTAAACACAACAACTCATTTCGATTTATGTCTTATAATATTTTAGCTGATTCATTATTACAAGATAATGAAAAACAATTAAAATCATATGAATGGAATACTAGATGGCCCTTAATCTTTTCATAAATTAAAAAGTATAAACCAGACATTCTTTGTCTCTAAGAATTAGATTATGATGAAAAAGATTTAACCTAATTATTGATTTAAGATAAATATGAAAAACTTTACTTAAAAAGGACTCAAGAAAATTAAAAAGATGGATGTGCTCTTTTTTATCTCAAACAAAAATACAAATTAATCAAAACTTATAATATTCATTTAAAATAAGAAAATTTATTTTATAATTCAAAATCGAGAATAGATAAACCAAATGTATGTCTTATTACTGTTTTATAAGACATTAATGACCCAAATCCACTCATTATTGCTAATTCTCATTTAATTTTTAACAAAAATAGAGGAGATTTAAAACTATGTCAAATTTAATTAATTATGCTTGCCCTTTAAACCTTACAATTTACATATTAGAACTCAAAAATTATTTGGTGTGGAGATTTCAATCTAACACCTAATAGTGCTTTATATTCCTATATTTCTTAAGGCTAATAATAATTTAGTAGACTAAATCCTAAAAGAATTAGTGGATAATATAATATCTCTTATCATCCTATTGATTATATATAGGATAGAATTAATGTTCAGAAAAAATGTGGTGAATTCAATATATAATATGAAGAACAAGATTATGATTATGAATATGATTTGTATGTTTAAGCCTTGAGATGCTAAATTATTAATGATACTATTTCATTTCATCAAGCAGAATTAAATCCATATCCTATTGTAGAAACACCTATTAAATTTAGAAGTGTTTATGCAGATTTTTAAAGAAAGAAAAGTAAAGATTTAAATGACTTTTATGCTAAATGGTCTACTTATGAACCTTTAATTACTACAATGTCATCATCCTAGGTTGGTTGTGTAGATTATATTTGGATTAACAAATTGTAAATAGCATAAGTATTATAAATACCAACTGTAAAAGATTTAATTGAAAATCCTATAGTAAACTCTGAAGAAGGAAGTGATCATCTTGCGTTAGTATGTGATCTTTATTGATCTAATATTTATTTTATGGGACATTATATAATTAATTTCTTGTATTTTTTTTGTAGATTATTTATAAATCATTTTTTTTAAATAAAAAAGTAATTAATGTTATTCTTTATTTTTTTGTTTAATTGGTGTAGAGAATATTCTTTTATAAAAATATTTAATAAATTAATAAATAAAAATTGAAGATAATTGTCGATAACAGTTAGTTTAAATATTTATAAAATAAAAGAACTAACTAAAGTTAGATATTCTAATGAAAATAGTAAACCTATTAGTTTATATTTTGAATTTCGATTCTTGATTAACTATTACATATCTAAAAATAGAATTGGAGATCTTTTATTTGTGAATTATGTATCTAATTATATCAATAGAATGTTTTGTTAATTGGTAAACAATAGTAAAAACAGAAAACTTGTATTTAATTGATTTCATAATTCTATAGTTTCTATCTTTATTTATAGATTTACTCTAAAATGATCAAATAAATTTATTGAAGATGAAAAAATTATAGCTGTGATTTGTTTTGAAAAAGGATGGCCATAAGATTCAGATTTCATTAATAATGAAATAAATTTATAACTTACGAATTAAAATGGAAACATGTTTTTATTAATGAGGAAAGGTTGAATGAAAAAATGATTTAAATCTAGGAAGCCCATGATGAATGGATTAAGTAGTAACTATAAGATGCTGCATTTTGTAAAAATTAAGTTTAAACCAACAGTTCATTTAAAGTATCTGAAATTATTCCAATATTTCCAAATTAAATTATTTATGAAATGAATCTGAAAATAATTTAAAGGGATGATATGAATAAATACAAAAATAATCATTAATATAAATGAAATAAATTTCTAAATTGGATTAATTAAATATAACATGTTATTGTGATTCCAATAACATTGCTTAATATCCCATTAAATAGTTAACTCAATTTAAGGAATCTCAAAATATAACTTATAATCAAATAAAGTGATGATTTGAATTCTAATCCATCCTATTATTTAAATTTAATTTTGGAAAGATAATAGTATTTTTAGAATACATTTTTTTTTTTGGATAAATTTTTGCCAAAGATTGATTGAAAACGCTCTGAGTTTTATGTTTAACATAAATCAGGCATAGATCAAGAACAACTTGTTGATAAATAAATTTGAAGTTATTGAATTTACAATTGATACTATTGCTAATTATAACGATTAACTTATTTAATTTGAAAATGGAATACTTTAATTAAAAATATATTTAATATAATAGCCCAATAAAACTTTAAGCATTGAAGATTCCTTCCGAGAATAAATTATATCATTTCTTATTAGATAATTTATTACTCAATTTTTAAACTAGCACGTAATGGTAGTATTGGTATTTATAAATTATAATAATTATTAAAGTTTTTTGCTAATCAATGAATGAACTTAAGTATTAAAAATGAAATAAGATACTTTCAGCCTTCTTTAAATTTCGTCCTATATCATAATTGTTCTGGTTTTAAATCTTAAACTCCAACAATTAATTATCAATTTACTAAATAAAATTTAAATGATCTATAAATAGAAAAAGAAAAATCTGAAATATCTGTAGATTAAAATTACAAATAAGAAAATGAACAAGAATTGTTGACTTTGATTCTAAAGATTATATTTAAGATAACTAAATAAACTCCTAAATCTAATCTATTCTATGGTTAAACTATTTTATGATAAATTTTAAGATATTCTTTCGGAAGACTTTCTATTAGATTGTTTAAATAACTAATAATACTATTTTAATTAAATATCCTAAATTTGACAAACAAATATTATGTAAAAGCCAATTAATGATGCAATCAAAGATTTTATGCATTGTTGATTTTGTTATTAAAGATAAATATCAAGTTTAATAATATGAATTATAAAGAAATAAGTGAGAAAATTAGTTAAAGAAATTGGAAAGTTGATTAAATACAAGAGATTTTGAAACAGCTTTAATTGTGAAAGGTTATATTTTTATTAAAAGTTTTTATGTATGTCTAAAATGATTTCCATTGATTTAATATTATAAATATGGATTATATGATTATTTTCTTTAGATACATAGTCATCAAAAATAAAAACTCATTAAAAAGCTATATTCTGATAACAATAATAACGGTTGAAAAAAAGTTAAAGTCAGATTAATTAAATCAAATATTGCCTTAATTGGATTCTGTTCAAAACCATTTGAATTTATCATAAAATCAAATTAATATTAAGTAGCTCGTATACAATAAGATTTCAACTCTGAAATTATCATAAAATTTTTCCCATAATCATCCTAACGAAAAAAGATAAGATAGAATTATAATAGACATAAATCATTTGACCATCTAAATCAATGATACATTCTCATATGATTTAGGAAATAACTATCTTAAGAAGGTGTTTCGTTTGAAATCAAATTCAATTTAAAGATCCTCAGGGATTTTGAGATCCAATAACATTTTATAATTATGAAAGTCTTTTTAAGAAGATGACTAAATAAATGAAGGAGAATTGTAAACTATATTTAGATAAAATAGCAGAATATTTGATTCAGACTTGGTATTTAGATATTCTACACCATTTTTTGATGGATTATTATTAAATATTAAATTATAGAGTTAAAAAAAGTATTTTAAACCTTAAGATAAGATATTAAATCTTATTAATTTAGATAAAAATTCTAGAGGGCGAGTTTACAAATGTAGTATCGTTTTTCTCCAGAGAAAAAATATTTACATTTTTTCTTACCTTATAAAATAGGTTGCCCTTGAAATCATTCCTAACTCATATTTAACTAATTTCAGGATAAGGATAATGAGCAAATTAAGACAACCAAGAGTTAAACACTCAAAATAATAAAATTATTTATTGATTTCTACTCAATAAAAAAAATAATAGTTCATAGAAAATGAATTTTGAAAATTATATTTGCTATATGCACACTTCTTTTCACATTTCTAAATTGAACAATTATTTCAAAATCTTATTATGAAATCCAAAGAATTGATTCATACACTAAAATAGTGTCAGAAATAACAATCTTATAATCTTTAAAAAAGGATTGAAATTCTCTATATAAAACACAGACCCAAAATTAAATTTAAAAAAATAACAATAATAATCTATTTTATCTATATAAAATCTATTAATTTAAATGTATTTGTATCAATAACACTTGGAAGTGAGTGAAAAGATTCTTTTTTTTTTTTCCGAATTACTATTCTAGAAGCTTTTTCTATAAACATCTTACCAACTTGAATAATCAACTCTTGGGTAATACCAACAAATTTTCCACCACCTCTTACCAACACATTATCTAACCCAACTTAATTTTATTGTTTAATATGATGCATAAACATCAAATGTTAATGGTTCAATTTAAAAATCTAAAAATATTATATATTGGTCAGGTATAATTGCATTATCTATTTAATTTATTTTAAATTATGCAACCCCATTAACTGATCCCTTAAAGACATATCCTTCAACTCCTGCTCTAATGTTTAAAAGATGCATTATATTGAGTTCTCCATAGGCTGTCACACTCAAAGATGCATTCAAATATTCCGAAATACCAAACTCACTTTCAGTTTTTATATTAGATTCAATATAATTCCAGTTATGGTTGTAATCTGCCCCAACAGTTAAAGGATACCCCATAATTAAAATAACAGTGCTAAATATCCTCTAAGATTAGCTTCCTGATAATTAAAATGTTTCCAAAGGTTTTCCTTCATAAGAAAAATCTCTTTAGTATAGATCAACTACACATTCACCATTCAGTGAAACAAAAGATCTCAAATATCCTGAAGCATTTCCTTCTTTTATTTGTCCTTTAAATTCTGCTTATAATCCAACTCTTTATCTAAAAACAGTTGCTTCTTTTAGAGTTCTTGTTTAATTGAAATTACTGAAAAGACATTCGCCTTCTTGACTTTCATAATCAGTTTCAGAACTAGAATGAACATCTCCATTTTCATTTTCTAATAATCTACTTCCTCCTTATTGTTGACTTTATATTTTATCTTATAAGTCTGAGATAGAATAATGTTGAAGTGTCTATTTTGTTTAAATTTCAGAAAGGATATTTGTTAAATCTTCATCTGATTTTGTTTCAACAGTTATTAAGTTGGAGTCATTTGTAATTTCTGTCTCTGATTTATCAGATAAATCGTTGGTACTTTAATTAACTTCATTTGTTTATACTGAATGACTCAATTTAGAATTTGTTGCTATATGTGAAGATACTAAGTAATTGTTATAATCTAAATTTGTTTCTTAAATTTGTTCGAATATATCAAATAGATTGATTCCTTTCGAACTGCCATCTAATAAATCAGATTAAGAAATTGTCTTTTTAATTATAGTATTACCAAACCATGATTTTTCTTTACTTGTCTTTGGAAGGAATCCTTCCTTGCCAATATAGTAAACATTCTCTTAGTCTTCTTTTAAAAGTCTATTTCGATTATTATTTGAAGTTTCATCTACATTAGGAGCTATATGTAATATATTAGAAATTAAAGGTTGAAGAAGAAGATCTGGAATTTCGGCTGGTATTCCAATTTACTAAACTGCTCCTGTTTATTAATCAGTAACTACAGTAACTAATGGTACCTAATTTACATTTCCACATTCTTCAGCAGGAATTGCTTCACATAAATTGCCATTTCCAGGCAATTCACTTTGCTTTAATATTCTTAATTATTTCTTAATTTATTTTTCTATTTCTATATTCTAATCAACCATATCATCATATTCCCTAGTTCCGTCAAAATTTTAAACAAAGTTTCTGACTTTTAAGCTAGTCAAAATTACTAAACTTGAAGCATTTTTTTAGTTCACATTATTGACAACTCTTTTGGTTTTCATATGAATTTCTGTACAGTTTTAAGTTTACTCAGATATGTAGTTCATACAAATTTGATCCACTTATAAAAATTCATCTCTTTAAAATTTTTCTAGTGTTGGAGCAGAACTTTTTTAAGTCAAATAGATGCCTAAAAATATTCCAATACCTGCTAACACAAAGAAAAAAACACTAAAAGTTATCCATTTACATTTAATTGTGAAGTATTACTTATTTGATACAATTGATTCATTTTTTTAGGATTATAAAATATTATTATCTGGATTTATCTTCGACTTTTCATCTTCAATATTTGATTAATCCATTAATTAAACTTTTGATTATTTATGGAAAATTGTTAAAGAGCCAAATAAAAGAATAATAGAATTAAAATTTGTTCTAGAACAATAAAGTATGAAAAAATTTATATAAGATTAATTTTTAGAGGTGTTGGTCAAGTTGATCCAAGTGGTTCTTTTTTGAGTTTCTAACAATCCTGTTAGGTTGGCCCACTAGTAAGTATTTCTAAGAAATCACATGATGTTGTATTTTCTATAAATTTGAAAAAAAAAAGATTTTGACATAGGGTAAAAAAAAATTTTACCTACAATAATCTGATATCTATAAGAATCTTTTAAAGTACCAAGATTTTTGGCCCAATTAAGCTAGTCTTGTTCTGCCAGTTGCTTGGCCCACTAGTGGTT